GCAAAAACAAATACTCTTCCAAGGTGGCAATGTCACTTATTGAACGTGGTGCTGATGTATCGGCCACCGATAATAAGGGCAGGACCCCCCTTCATTATATTGCTATAAATTCATCATTTGATTCTACCTGGCTAGAAAACGTCGGGCTACTGATTAAACACGGCGCCGACGTTTCGACTACCGATATCGAAGGAAGAACGCCAATCCACTACGCGTGTAGCAACGCGAGATACTATAGCGATATAATTTGGGAACTAGTCACGTTACTAGTTCAGCACGGCGCCGATGCGTGGATTACAGACCAAAAGGGAAGGACTCCACTTGATTATGCCAATGAGATAAATAACATCGAAGAGTGAAATTACTGAACGAACGCGGTGGCAATATTGCGAACGTGCCAGTGCACTGCTGAGATAATTGCCGAGTACATTGGAACGATAGACTACCATCAGGAGTCCTTTGATTTGCAATATATGATACTTGCATTTGGATGATGAATAACGTATCCCGCTGGTCACATTGAGCTCACTCCCTTTTGATACATGCATCATGTCTGGGAGTGGCAGTTGATGTTCATGGCCCTTGGTAGCTTGATGCAGCCTCTTTATCCAGCGGTCAAAATATCGCGGGAGCTTGAGCCTACCTACAATCGCGCCGAGGTACTATGCATCTCGGAAAGCAAGTCGTATATTCGGTCTGAGAGCCATATACGCTGGGGGATCTATTGTAACCTTTATTTTCGATCCGATATCAGCCTGTGGATGCGCAATTCGCGTTGACATGATTTATGTCAAGGGCATCTTAGCTGCCGGTGTCATTCGATATAATGCGCCCCTGTACACTAATACAATTAGCAATTTCCAATCACAGGGCAACTCAATTGATCATCTGGCAATCAAGGTCAATCAATATTACTCAAGGCCAAAGACTGACCTCATCCTTACTCATCGGCTCGATTGTCGACACTTTTTATCTCCCACACCTTCTAAGCAGCCAGTGCCTTGCAGTCACTCTTCCGCTTCGTATGAGGGGTTCATACCGTTTCCGAAACCCGCTACGTACTGCCGTTGCCTTTCACCACAAAAAGGGTCGAACACTACTACACTATACTTGCTGCCAAGAATGAAATGAGCGATGAGGGTGCCATTGACTCAGTTGAGTCATGAAGCTATTGATCGAACATTATTTCGAGTTCTCAAATATAGATGAAAGCGGCAGCACTCCATTGCTCTACGCTGTGCGTTGGACGGAAAAGGCATGCTCAGCTGCTGATCAAGCACAGCGCTGGTGTTGAGAGCATGGGACTAGATAGATACTGCTAGAATATGATAACTTCCCAAGATGGATTCAGGCACCTGCGATTTATTGCAACAGAGAACTACATGGTCACTTCGTCTTGCTGTGACCATACGAATTCGATAATACTGTTTGACTCGTGGCAAGCGAGGCTCATCGCTGCATAGACTTCTTGACTACTCCCGTTTCAATCCTTCATTGCTTGATTAAATTGCACAAACCTGAGCTTATGCTGTAGTCCCATAGTAGGCACCCTTTCCCTTACCAACTTGGTCTTTAGGTTGCTTTGTAGCCGTCTTTCATGTAGTCTTCTTTGTAAATCACCTCGATCTATTGATCCTACAACTTACAAACCCATCCTCGCATGAAAGCAGAAGGTAGTAGCTTGGCTGGTGATCATGCAGCTTTGGAAGGATATTGAATTCTCCGACCACAGTACCCATTTTTCTATACATCCTTTAATATGATTAATTCGAGACTTGTAGACGTCGCGGTTGCGCAAGTTCATTTGATAAGTATGCAGACTTAGATTCGGGTGCTTGTACGACAGATGGTCGTACTATACCCACTAGGTTGTAGACAACGCGCCCTTAACATGACACTAACGACACCCTGGTCCCTGGAGCGATTTCTAATAGAACTTAGTCCCACGCGTATACTCAAGCAACTTGCTGCTCCCTCCTTTCCAAGCACAACTGTCGGTTTATAACTTTCATTTCTTTCACTCTGGTCTCTTCAAGTAATTCTTCAGCCACTCGTTCATTGAAAACAAGAGTCTACTGCTATCCGCGAAACCATGCAGCGCACCGCCCTTGCTTTTCACCGCAATGCGCACCTTCACAAGCTGCAAGTCGCCGTAACGGCAGTCAAGACGCTGGCATCCATCGACGAGGTCGACAGAGCTCTATTCAAGCTGCCTAATGGTGAAGATGGCAGTAATCACCATGTGGTCGTGACGGACTCGACTATCTTCCACCCCCAGGGCGGCGGTCAGCCTTCAGACGTGGGGTCCATTGAGGCTACAGAGGGCGCCAGGGGTCCTTCTTTCGACGTCCAGATGGTGCGAACCAGCGCCTCGCCTTCATCACCAGGCGCCGTGCTGCATTTTGGCCGCTTCGCCGCGGCGGATCCGCTGTCCATTTTTCAGGCGGGCGATGCCGTCGAGCAGCGCATCAATGTTGAGAAGCGGCTTCTGTACTCGCGGTACCACACGGCAGGCCACGTCCTGGGTTCAGCCGTGCGGCACCTGCTCGAGAAGGAGGTGGCCGGATTCGACGAGACCAAGGCCAGCCACTTTCCCGACTCGGCAGCGTGCGAGTTCATGGGCACCATTGAGGGCAAGTGGAAAGACGCCATCCAGAAGCGCGTCGATGAGTACGTCGAGCGCGACATGCCCGTCGAGATTGAGTGGTGGGACGAGGAGGATTTCCGCTCCCACGGTCTCGAGCGCCTTATCCCCGACCGCGCCGCCATGGGCATGACCGACGATGAAAAGTTCCGTGTCGTCAATATTGTCGGTGCCGAGGTCTACCCTTGCGGCGGCACCCACGTCGACTCGACCAAGCTGTGCGGCAAGACCAATGTCAAGAAGATTGGGCGGTCCAAGGGTAATAGCAGGGTCAGCTACGTCCTCCCATAATGGAAAGCAAAAATAAGACTTGCAGGCTATTCGGTTGTACATGGGAAGCTCTAGAAAGTCGCTCAAGCGTGTTTGGATTTAGAAAAGACCTGATAGATAAACGGAAATCACTGAAAAAGTCGCATTTAATGGATACCATTTGCGCTCAACTAGAACTACACGTACGATTCTGATAATACAAAAAAGATCACAAGACTATTTGAATTTTGACATCTCATAACCAATCAAGAGATCAGTAGTTGATGCTGCTCGTTAGACTCTCAATGGTACACGCTCATTTCCTATCGTTTTAGGTTACAGCTCCTGCAGGAGAAAAGGTTCGTTATTATAAAGATCCTATGTACAGATCGCAGAGTGGATGTACTCTGCGGACTCTCGAACAGAAAGCCACACAGTGATCTGGAGAGAGAATTGAAAACCATGGTCTCTCAGGTCATGCTATAATGTGACACCGCCAATGATGCCTCCGCCGCTATTTGCTGCGTACCAAATTGGTCGCGTCTTTGACAAAAACTCCACACAATGCTGCCCATCTGTTCCGTAACACACCTTGCAATGCAAACCCTCCCTGGAGAAAAAAGTCCGTGACAGCACAGATTACGCCGTCTACTGAATCCAAGATCCTGGTGCCAGGCTTACTCCGTCAGACTGACAAGAGAAACCGAAAAGATCAGATCCTTCATATATTTCGAAGCTCAGGCTGTTAATTGTGCCGGCTTCGTTTCCCCCCACCGTTGCCACCACCAAATATGTCCTTTCCTCCTATGCTTCCAACGTCAAAGATTTCGGCAATGTTGAGTTTCCGTTTCGAACCAGCACCTTTTCCTATGGCACCTACGTTTCTAGATCTCTGCAGGCCGTTTTTGTTGTTCCGTGCCCGCGAGAGGCGGGCCGAACCGTGGTGAAGAGAAGAGTTGTTGGTATTGTTGGTTCTAGAATCTGACAAGTCAAGGTTTGCCATGCTCAGGTCGGTATCTTGGGGGTAGGCTACTGATGACTGGAAGGTAAAGTTGTCCTGTGTCGGTACGGTGATGGATTCTAGCGGCGCCGGCGCTGAAGTGACGTCTGCTGGCTGGGATGGAACAGGTGCTAGCGTAAATGTTGGGACGGGAGCTGCTGCGGGAGGTGCAGAGTCTCTCCGTATCTCGGCGTCATGTTGTGTTGATGGGAGTGGTGTGTGGCTGTCTCTGTGCAGTTCTGGCGACGAGGCTGGCTCGTTCTTGTCCACCTCATCCTCGCTCTCGATCGACTGTGAGATGCCTTCGCGGTCGAATCTCTCAGTGGCCCATCGGCGAATCTGCCAGCCCTCGCCGTCGCCAACGCCTATGTTTCGCTTGTCCAGGAAGATAAGGAGGTCCTCTAGACAGTCTTGGTACCCGTCATTGCGAGCCTTTGTTTGCGCAGCGGCCGAGGTCTTGTAAAGCTTTGTCACCGACAGAGCAGCAGCACGGAAAACGTCAAGCAGCTGTTCGGGTGACTCGTTGCCGCCCGAATTCTTTGTCGGGGAGCCGCCTCTGATGCCGTCCATGGTGGGGGATCTGGAGCTCGGTGGTTGGCGTAAAAATGGTTGTTTGTGTTGCTCGATAGTCCCAGTAAGACTGCGGCGATGCTTTCAGGTTCGAATGTTCCTGTGTCCCCAGGGAGAATGGTTGGATGTTGTTGAGTTGCAATGGGTTGGGTGTCTTGGTGCTTCGCCCGGGTGAGGTTTGCTCTCTGCTTCTTCCTCGGTGGGGGTGGATTCTGACTGCTGCAAAAGGTGGGCCTCCGATAAAATCGCTTGGATGGAGACACCCGATTTGACCTGCCTTGGTTAGAAGCCCGTCACTGAGGAATCGAATCGAAGGAGATGGTGCTGTAGCAACTTGTCAGCCAGTGAGAGGGAGAAATTATGTTTGTAAAATTAAGTGGTTATGAACCGAAGAGAGGGAATTGCGAGAATGCTATTCCCTTGGGAAGCAGCTCCACGTCAGCTGAGGTCGAACAATGAAGATAGGTAATTACGGAACCGAAGCGTCAGCTTGTGATTCCTCCAGCGTTGTGTTGGCCTAAACGTTTTGGAGTCAGTCCGCTGGGTCCCCTGCTCTCTGACTCTGATCTCCGGGTCGGCATGGGTTTTGGAGGGGGAAGAAGGCTCCAAGGGCTCCTCTTGGGCCGTGCGCCAGATGCCCTCATCATTAACATCCACTGGACTGCAGATTGACCCGTTCTCGCCGTTCTGGTCCGTCCCAGCAAGCAGCAAGCCAGGCAGTTATGTTGGCGCTAGCCAGAAGCCAACCGGAGTTCAAAGCCACATGACTGATTAAGTACTAGAGCCGTTGTGGCTTAGTGTCTCGCCGCGACTTGCCGCATGTTTGGAACTTCAACTTCTGTGCCGCTTCCACCTTGAACCTTTTTTTTATTGTTATGGAAATTGCTAAAACACCATGGACAACTCATGAAGTCCCGATGTGCTCCCTTGGCATTTTGGAAATCAATGATACGTTCTGTCAATTGAAGTCCGCAGTAACATTCTGAACCCACTTGGGAGTCAGAGTTATTACCCCTTGCGCGAGGTCCCCCTGGTGCCGCTTGCACTCTATAATTCATGCCAGCCAACTCTACTCACTCCACTCCCAATTGTTGCAATGCATCATGACTGCATCGCCCTGGGGTTGCTGGTGCTCATGGCGAGCTCAGGGGTAGCAAACAGCGACTTAATTCAATTGTGCAAAAATTGAATGGTTGCCAGGAACTAACTACTGCCTGTGACGTAATAGTATTTTATATGGTACGGCATCGAGGAAATTAATACAAGTCTACCATGGCAAAGAGGTTTCTGGGATCATTTTGCAGTACGTTTTATGTTTTGTTCAATAGTGCTCATTCTGCTTTCTATGCTACTATGAATGGAGGTAGCGATTGATGGAGGCTCGGGTCGCATGCTAATATAGCTTCATCCGCCTATCGGCTTATAAGCTCAAGCTCAGACTGTCCGTGTCAGCCCTATCTACTACAGAGAATATTGCCAATTTCAGCTTGCAACTTTCAACGAACCAATTTTCAAAATGATATAAAGACAAACTCATTTACTGGATGTAACCATGTCAGCCACATGTTCAGCAAAAGCACACTACAAGTTTGTATCACTGCCCGCCTAGTGATCATATTAGGAGACGACTATAAATGCCGGGATTTAGTATAATAAAAAATGACCAGGGCACAGTTGTACACGAATTTTGGGAAAATAACCGGCGTGTAAGAATTCAAAACAGAATCGGGGATGTGTGCATCCATCCGGGCTGCTGTTCCAGATTTGTCCAATTGAAAAAGACCAAACACATGTGGTTGAAAAGCTCTAGGTAGTAGGTAGGTCGAGGTTCTATGGAATTCATAGAGTTTCATACCAAATCGACGCATGGGGCAATAAAAATGCATGGCACAACTTTAGTCCGGCCCGATGGTCCAATTAAAGATTCGCGTCGTGGATAATCGCGTCTAGTACGAAGAACTCCCGCGGGACCTGCAGCTTTATCGTCTGCGATCCACTCCCACTTGCACCACGCTTTTCTTTTCGACCTTACATCACTTTGCCTGACGCGTAAGTAATTTTGCGCCAGCAACACCGCAACATTCTACTCTGGCGTGATACTGGAAACCGAAAATATCATCAAATCCATCATCAGGGATCAACTGGGAGGTTTCTTGCGCGTACGCCAATCACTTATACAAAGTCGCGTCTCGAGTCGCGTTACGTCTCGGCCAGCGACAGGGACACAATTTTGTTTGGACTTTCAATTCGCTCCAACACTTGCACCCTAGTCCACACACACTTCACACACGCACATCATGGCCCCCAGATCACGGCCCAGTGCCGTCGACGTGGACACTTCAATGTCGGATGTTCCAGAGCCCGTCACGCAAGGTGACGAAATGGTAAGTTTATAGTCGGTAGCTTGACCTAGCAACAGCTCTACTTGCTTTGCGTCTTGGCTTGGACAGCTCAATTATCGCTTCAGTATGCCACACTGGGTTTGGAGCATTGTACTGACTTCTGTACAGCAGGTTGACGAGACACCGGATTACAGCGACAGCGATACAAACCCAAATACCACAGCCAGCAGTGTCGCTGGAGAACCAGTCGATGGACGAAGGAAGCGATCAGAGGCAAATCTGCTGCGTAGGAGCATATTCGGCAAGAAGCACGATGCTCTTGGTGAATCAAAAGAGGACGACAGTATCCGAAGATTCCGATATCTCCTTGGGCTCACCGATCTCTTCCGACACTTTATCGAGACAAATCCGAACCCGAGAATCCGCGAAATCATGGCCGAGATCGACCGTCAAAATGATGAGGCTGAAAAGTCAAAGAAGAAGGGTAGCCGACAAGGCGGTGCTGCTACGGGCCGCGTCCGCCGCACAGAGGCCGAGGAAGATGCTGAACTCTTGAAAGACGAACGACACGGTGGTTCCGCTGAAACCGTCTTCCGGGAGTCTCCTTCTTTCATCCATGGAACTATGCGCGACTACCAAGTTGCTGGTTTGAACTGGATGATTTCGCTACACGAGAACGGTATCTCGGGTATTCTTGCAGATGAAATGGGTCTAGGAAAGACGCTGCAGACCATTTCATTTTTGGGATACCTCCGTCATATCATGGATATCAAGGGCCCGCATCTTGTCGCAGTCCCCAAATCGACCCTGGACAACTGGAAGCGAGAGTTTGAGAAATGGACACCCGAGGTCAACGTGCTTGTGTTGCAGGGTGCCAAGGATGAGCGACACGCTCTCATCAACGAGCGCCTGGTTGACGAAAAGTTCGATGTTTGCATTACGAGTTACGAAATGATTTTGCGCGAAAAGTCACACTTGAAGAAGTTTGCTTGGGAGTACATCATCATTGATGAAGCCCACCGTATCAAGAACGAAGAGTCCTCCCTCTCGCAGGTTATCAGAATGTTCAACTCTCGAAACCGACTGCTCATCACTGGAACACCCCTTCAGAACAACCTGCACGAGCTTTGGGCACTGCTCAACTTTTTACTCCCCGACGTCTTTGGTGACGCCGATGCTTTTGACCAGTGGTTCTCCGGTCAAGATCAGGACCAGGACACCGTGGTTCAACAGCTGCACCGTGTGCTTCGGCCATTCTTGCTCCGTCGTGTCAAGGCGGATGTGGAGAAGAGCTTGTTGCCCAAGAAGGAGGTCAATCTCTATCTTGGTATGTCAGACATGCAGGTCATGTGGTACAAGAAGATCCTGGAGAAGGATATTGATGCTGTCAACGGCGCCGGCGGCAAGCGGGAGTCCAAGACCCGCCTGCTCAACATTGTCATGCAGCTTCGCAAGTGCTGTAACCACCCGTACTTGTTCGAAGGTGCCGAGCCTGGTCCACCATACACCACCGATGAGCATCTCGTCTTCAACTCTGGCAAGATGGCAATCATGGACAAGCTGTTGGCTCGATTGCAGAAGCAGGGCAGCCGCGTGTTGATCTTCTCCCAGATGAGTCGTCTTTTGGACATTCTCGAAGACTATTGTGTTTTCAGAGAGTTCAAGTACTGCCGAATTGATGGTGGAACAGCTCACGAGGATCGTATTGCTGCCATTGACGAATACAACAAGCCCGGTTCCGAAAAGTTCGTCTTTTTGCTCACAACCAGAGCCGGAGGTTTGGGCATCAATCTGACCTCTGCCGATATCGTCATCCTTTACGACAGCGACTGGAATCCCCAAGCCGATTTGCAAGCCATGGACCGTGCGCATCGTATTGGTCAGACTAAACAAGTTGTGGTTTACAGATTTGTCACTGAGAATGCCATCGAGGAAAAGGTTCTTGAGCGAGCCGCACAGAAGCTTCGACTCGATCAGCTAGTCATTCAACAAGGTCGTGCTCACCCGGCAGCTAAGGGACCCGCCGGCAAGGACGAGCTTCTGGGAATGATCCAGCACGGTGCTCAGAATTTGTTCCAAACAAAGGGTGCCACGGGGTTGGCTGCAAAGGGAAGCCAACTGGACGACGATGACATTGATGCAATCCTGGCCAAGGGAGAGAACCGCACCAAAGAACTAAACACCAAGTACGAGAAGCTTGGCCTAGACGATCTTCAAAAGTTCACCTCAGAGTCAGCCTACGAGTGGAACGGCGAAAACTTTGGAACCAAGAAGAAGGGCGAGGTCTTGTCTTGGATCAACCCTGCCAAGCGTGAACGCAAGGAACAGTCCTATTCAGTTGACAAGTTCTACAGAGAAGCTATCTACGGAACCAGTAGCAAGGCAGAGCAGAAGCCAAAGGCTCCACGAGCGCCAAAGCAAGTCCCCGTCAACGATTACCAATTCTATCCTGCCAGACTTAGGGAACTCCAAGACCGTGAGACTGCCTACTACCGCAAGGAAATTGGTTACAAGGTCCCTCTGGGCGATGGCGATGATGACGACCTCGAGGAACGGGAACGACAGCGCGAAGAGGAGCAGAAGGAGATTGACGAAGCTACTCCTTTGAACGAAGAGGAACAGGAAGAAAAGGCCAAGCTTTCCCTTCAGGGTTTTAGCGACTGGAATCGCCGTGACTACCAACAATTCATCAATGGCTCCGCCAAATATGGCAAGAATAACTGGGAGAAGATTGCCGATGAGGTGGATAGCAAGACACCTGCAGAGATAAAGGCTTACGCCAAGGTCTTTTGGCAGCGCTACACTGAAATTGCGGAGCACCAAAAGTCTCTGTCGGTCATTGAAGCTGGTGAAGAGCGCCGAAGCAAGACGGAGCATCAACGAAAGATGCTGCGCAAGAAGATGCAGCAATACCGCGTACCTCTTCAACAGATGAAGATCAACTATTCTGTCAGTACCACGAACAAGAAGGTGTACAATGAGGAGGAAGACCGATTCTTGCTCGTCCTCTTGGACAAGTTTGGGCTTGACACTGAAAACCTATACGAACGTATGCGCGACGAGATTCACGACAGTCCGCTCTTCCGCTTTGATTGGTTCTTCTTATCACGCACACCTGTCGAGCTGTCCCGACGATGCACCACCCTTCTCACTACGATTGTGAAGGAGTTTGAGGATGTTCATCCCATGAAGAATGGCGTCAATGGAAAGAGCAAGCGCGAGGTGGAGGACGATGAGGAAGATGAAGATAGTGTTCTCTCAAATCAGCCATCGAAGAAGAAGTCGAAGGCTGCAAAAGTATGCTCTTGATGCCAATTTGGAAAATCATTATTATGTGCTAATCTGTACACAGAACAAAGCTCTTGACACTGTTAAGGGCAGCAAGACCAACGCATCATCTCGCGCCTCTAGTGTAGCTTCGTCGAATTCTGCTCCTGCTGCCAAGGCAAAGGCCAAGGGCAAAAAGAAATAAATTACAAGAGTATGAATGTGGGTTGAAATCTGGTCTGTCAAAGCTCAAAAACGACTCGCGGGTGGAGCTTTTTGGTGGATTTGAACCCCAACTCGAGATGTGCATTGTGTTGTAAACATGAGCGTATGTCTACTTGGTTGATGGAATATTACATTGCTTTTCATGCTTTGATCAAATCATAGAGGTAACCAAACGGCGTTGAATTGCAACAAGGACGAAAGTCTCAGAAGAGCTGTGTCGGCCTAGGAGGCTAGTGTCTGGGGTTCATCAGTCGCAGGAGAGGGGTTGTGAACAGGCACAGTAAAAGCAGAATATGAGGAGCAAATGCTTTAGGTGCGGTTGGTCTTTCTCAGGCAGTAAAACTCAGCTATAGTGCTGCAAGCTTGCATAGAATGGCTCCAGTAGAAGGCCATTGTAAGCATGTATGTATGGTGGTCAGCTCCACTTACGAATGAACAATAATTATGACCTGACATTTTCGCTACGCGCATAGGTAATGGAATCTATAAGTTTTTGACGCGGGCTCAATATTTATACGCATGCTGGCGAATTTGGTAAAATGATACTACGAGACACGAGCATCAGTCGTGAGAATATCATGGCTTTGATGCATGACTTATTGGCCTCATACTAGGTACCGTATTCTGCGACTGTCTACATTCAAATCCTCTGCCGGTAGCTGCAACATTACAAATATGCTTTACAACAACAAGTATCCTCCGTTCGTGTTTAATACAGCACCAGTGCAGTTCCAGTCCTTGAGAACCCCCAAATACGTTTCTGCAACATTTTCGGTGCTTCCAATCTCCCCAGTTGCAAGTTTCGTCCTAAGCATCTCGATAAGTGCCGTTTTCTGCTGCTCTGGCATCCTCCAAAGCGGCGTATCCGTGGGACCTGGAGCCACGACGTTTACTCTGACTGGTTGCAAGTCAACAGCCAACGCTCTGGCCATTCCGTGAAGACCCGCGGCGTATGCTCCTGCCACAGCGCCCTCCGGGCCCATCTTGTACGATCCGACGCCACTTGTAAGAGTAATGGAAGACTTTGGTCCAGGTTGCATATGAGAAACCGCGTGTTTCGCCACCAAGAGCGGTGCCGTAAACCTCACCAAAACCAGCATGTTGAATACGGGACAAAGTAACGTCGTGGATGGGCATCTGAGCAAGCTGGTCGCCTGCGGTGAAAATGATGTGGTCAAGAAGCCCCGACTTGGACACATGCTGGAATAGCTTGGCAATATTCGCTTCAATGTCGGAAGTGCTGCCAAGATTGCACGCAAGGGAGGTGATTCTGTTTGCCGCAGACGGATACGATTCTTTAAGGCGTTTGTGGGCATTCTTGGCGCTCAATGCCGAGGATGCCGAAATAGTGACAATGCAGCCATGTTTAAGGCAAGCTTCGGCTATCGCATGCCCAATTCCTGAGGAGCCACCAATGATGAGGACGTGATCCCCATTCAGTTTGTTCAGATATTTCTGCTGATCTGGCATATTGAAGGACAGTCTAAGGACAATATTGAGCTTACACTGTTTACTCAGGCACGTAAAACAAATTAGGGAGCTTCAGCTTTAAACAAATTCAAAGGCTTTAGAGTCTTTCCTTATGCTACGATTTGCTGACAAATTCTATTCCAAAAGTCTGATCATACGTGGAAAACATTGTGTTCCTGTGCTCTAGCTGATCTACACATGGCCGATCGTCAGAGTGCGGACAATTTGGATCGCGATGCGGAACATTATATGCCTGCGGAAGACTCCAAGTCTGCGGAAGATTTTAAGTTTGCGGAGATTTCTACGGACTAGCTTGTGATTTGTAAGTAGTATTCTAAAAGCTAGCGACAGTTGCATGTATTGCGAGAGCATTTTGTGGAGACATTTGACGGAGAAGAGGTACCAGGCTTGATAGACTTTACGATATAGTCGATCAAGCGTGCTTGAAACAAAATGTAGAGTATATATAAGGGGAGCAAAGAAGCAGTTTCTGTCAAATCTTCACCAACAGAGAACCAAGAACAAGAAAATAAGATTTCCTTCACTTGCAATGTCTTCTCAAAAGATCTATCTGGTAACAGGCGCCAACAGAGGTAGGTCTCTTCACTTCAAGATCTTTCTCAATCAGAGACTTACGTTTTGCAGGCATTGGAAAAGGCCTTGTTGCAGCCTATATATCCGAGCCAGAGACTGTTGTGATTGCGGCAGTGCGTGATCCGAATCACAAGACTTCTCAGTCACTCGTCCTACTGCCAAAGGCGACAGGCAGCAGTCTGATCATTGTAAAGATGGACATGCAATCAAGCGCATCCATTTCTGAAGCAATTGATACCCTCAAGACACGCCATGGTATCAAAAACATTGATGTGGTGGTTTCCAACGCAGGCATCGGCGAAGTCACTGGTCGACTTGTTGAGACGCCTGTGTCAGTGATCCAAAGGTTCATCGATGTTAATACTTTTGGTCCTCTGAATCTATTCAAGACTTGCCTGCCCATGCTTCTGGAATCTCAATCACCCAAGTTCTGCATCATATCTAGCCTTGCAGGATCTAATAATTCACTCAACACAATGCTACCTACAGCACCGTACAACGCATCCAAGCTCATGGTCACTCATTTTGCTCGGTGGTTTGCCGTGGAAGTTCCAGAGGTGACCACTTGGTCGGTGCATCCTGGGTATGTCTTGCTACGCGTCAGCACCAATGACGTTGAACACAGCTAATCAATTTTGTTTGCCTCAGATTGGTTGACACGGACATGGGAATCACGGGTGTGGATGCCATAACAAAGATGCAGCCAGAGATCGGTGCTTCCTTGAAGTGCATATCCACTGAAGAAAGTGTAGCAGGTTTGAAAACAGTGGTTGGTGCCCCGTCCGTCATACATGATATTTAGCAACCCAATCTAACATGACACAGATTGAAGGTGCCACGAAGGAAAATACTAGCGGTCATTTCCTGAATTACGATGGTGCAGAGTTGCCATGGTGATTCTACTACGGGATTTCCAAGTCGGATGTCGTTCAAGGCCATGTTCCAACAGATGGAATGCAAGCATGCTCTTAGACAAATAGTTTTGTGGTCTCTGCGCAGAATCGACAGATAGGCCAATTATGGAGCAATCTAGATCATGATAATCCGAATGAGGAAAGGCAGTGAATATACATTTTAGTTGTTCCTGTTTTGCTTACAAATATGCACCTTGGCACACTACGACGTCGGCCCTAGCGGAGCCAGCCGTCTTCCAAGGCCCCAATGCCAGCTTTTGTTTCTACAACTCTTCAAGTTGCCATTATCATGCCTTCGAATAGTACTATAGACTTACAACATCGTAAAGCATGCCAGCAGTGCACCAAGGCGAAACGGAAATGTGATAAACAGATTCCTACGTGTCGCCGGTGCATCCGAAAAAGGGCCCATTGCCAATACCCAACAACGCGGCGGTACGAGCGTAAAGTCAAATCGCCTCGGCAGCTTCGAGGCGCAAGTAACGATACCGCCGGTCCACAATTGCCAGTGCCCATAGGCGAGGGTGCAACAGTTGAGCGTTGCCAAGCTGAACCAGCAGTCGTTGGCTCCTTCACTGGGTGCGACGACTCAGACATGGCCCACCACTCCTTGGAGCTGTTGTCGCCGATTCCTGTGCTGCCAGTCGCAAACCCGGCACCTATGAGCAACCTCGATGTTCGGTCCTGGTTTTGTGGCCCAGATGCATGGTCGATGAATCACCATATTCCCGCCACCAGCTCCAACCTAAGCTTGCCTTCTTCCGCTGTCAATGCCTTGGCCTTGAAACAATGGGTCGAGTCAATTCGTGGTTCACTCCGATATTGGATTGAATTCGGCCATAACATATTCATTCACAAACATTTGTACTTGCACATCGGACTACCGTCATCACTTCAAGATGCGTGGATGGCATTGACAGCATACCATTCCAAGACGAAAGAAAACGAGGAGATAACTCTCACAATGGTGGGGGATCGAGCGCAAAACTATATTCTACAACAGTCCCTGATGGATAATATAACGAGCACGGCATCTACTGGCGATGTTTGGAGTCATCTTGTTCGCGTTCAAACTCTTTTCATTTATCAATTCATCCGTTTATTTGATGGAGATATACGCCAACGAGCATTAGCCGAGAAACAAATTCCGACCTTGGATGCATGGTCTGAGCAGCTTTGGCAACAAGCCCAGTTTGATGCAGAGCTGATGACGGCCCAAAGCATCATTGGCAGCGGTTCTATTCAAGATGATGGCCATGACGACAGCGAGGAAATTGCTTGGAATGAATGGATACTAAGCGAGAGTGTCCGGCGCATTCGGCTACTCGTCAACTTTATGCATGGTGTCTACTTGACACTGCGGGACGGATGGGTGGAATGCAATGGAGCTCCAAAGTTCACGGCAAGAAAGGGGCTCTGGGATGCAGTCTCGTCGGCTGACTGGACGGTGCTGCTGCGAAATAAGGGGCCATTATTTGTATCCTTGAATCAAATTGATCAGCTCACAATCATGGCAAAGGCGGATGAAGTAGAGACATTCTCATTTGATTTACTGTCGGCTTCCGTAAATCATGGCAAACTTGATACTTGGATCAGGACTTTATAAATTACAGATAAAATATCAGAGTGCATTATAGGAGCGCGTTATAACCTCTAATCATACCTATGCAAATCCACAATACGCAACAGCTGCCTTGGCCACCGTGCACATATTGTGACTGGGATGTGTTCATTCGTCGTCTGACAAGATGTATGACACAGTGCATGCCTACACCGTAGCCCAGGCGACTGGCTGAATACCAACCTACCTACCTACTATCTACCAAATATACTACAACTATCTATTTGTGACCAGACCCGATGACCCCATCCTTTGTAGCCACCCGTTTCTTAATAATAATAGATGATAGATTCGTCAACGATCCACCTGTTAGAAGTTCCAAGACTTGCAAGTTAGCCTCCAGTGACTTGGTAATCCAATTTCTAAGCTCAATGGCATTAAGACTGTCAAGACCATATTTTGTGATGGGTGTCTCTGGATCCAAGTCCTCTGCCGGCACCATGAGGATAGTGGCAAGTTTGCTGGCAAGTCCTGCGCCCACAATGTGGAGGGCGTCTTCGTGGGATTGAGCGCGGGAGAGGGCAACGCCAATGGGCACCTGAGCTGCAGAATCGGCTGATGCCTGCGCGAATGGCAAGTCCTGGCGAAGATGCTCAAACTTGGCATCTGCAGCAAAGTAAGGGAGACTTTGGGCGGTGCTGTCCTCCCCGAGATCGAGGCCGGTCATGCAGTGGTTGCCACACGAACCACGCATGCGGCCCTGGACTGCGGCCATGACAAGCGCCAGCACTTCGGCTTCATTCATACTCTGACCTCCAAGGTTTCTCAGCACGTCATCCTTGCGTTCTGCATTGTCGGCCAGGTACCCGACGTCTTCCACGGCCGTTAGGTCGAGCGCCGTAGCGGCCAGACCGAGGCGCGTTCGGTACCGGACAAAGGCATCGAGAAAAGTGTTCGCTGCGGCGTAGGCCGCCTGCCCGCGATTACCGACAATACCGGCGGCTGAAGAAATGACAATAAAGAAGTCAAGAGACTTCCCTGCTAGAGCGTTGTGCATATTCCATGCGCCAGCGACTTTGGAGCGTATGACGGTTTGATAGTCCTCAAAGGTCATTTTTTCGAAGAGAACATCCTATAACAAATTAGTCAGGAACTACTCAACACGAGTGATTAAAAAGTGAGAAATTATGAAAACCTACTCTTAGCACCATGCCCGCATGGATGACACCGGCGACAGGAGGCAATTCCTGGGTACAAGAGCTGACAACCTCCGTTACGCTGTCCATACATGCGACATCGCACGCCTTGACAGCAATTTTTGCAGATAATTGCTCCATCTCTTCTACAAGGCTGGCCACATGGCTTTGAACGGCGCCGGTCCGGGAAAGAAGTACAATGTTTCTAGCTCCCTTTCCAACCATCCACCTAGTCATGGATCGGCCCAATCCACCAGTGCCACCAATGATCACATAAGTAGCACTGCCTCGGAAGAGGCTGGTAGAGCTGTTCTTCAGATGCGTTGCCTTGACTTGATCACCAGGACGGGGGACAACTACAAGCTTTCCAGTCGTCTTGCCACTCTGCAGCAGACGGAACGCCTTTTCAACTTCAGAGATACCAAACACGGTGACGGGGAAGATTGGATGAACCACACCGCTGTCAAAGAGATCCATGACCTTTGTGAAGATTTCGCCCATTTGCTGGGGCCGCTCCTTGGCCAAGACTGTCAAGTCCACAGAGCTAAAAGTGGCGTTGTATTTAAACTTGGACATCTCCAATCTAGTGTTGGACGTGATGTCTCGTTTACCAATCTCGATGAACCGCCCAAAGTGCGCAATACAGTCCCACGTCTCGCGCAGAAAGTCCCCTGCCAGCGAGTTAAGGACCACGTCGATGCCAGCGCCCCTTGTGGCCTCACGAATGGCCGCCCCAAAAGCAGTATCGCGACTGGAGAAGATGTGGTCGGATGGAATCCCATAATTGTCCATGATGAACTTCTTCTTCTCCGGACTACCAACGGTGGCGTAAATCTCGGCGCCCAGCATTCGGGCCAGCTGCATTGCCGCCTGTCCAACACCGCCCGCCGCCGCATGGATGAGAACGCGCTCGCCCGGGCAAAGTCTCCCAAGCTCGACGAGACCATAATAGGCAGTGCAATAGACCACGGGAATCGAAGATGCCGCGGCAAAGGACATGTCTGCCGGAATCTTGGCGGCGCTGGTAGCCGGGCATCGCGCAAACGTGCTGTACGCCCCTTCGGACATGGCACAGACTCTATCTCCTACGGCCAGACGCTCGACTGCGCTGCCGATCCTGGATACGGTACCTGCACACTCGATGCCAATGTATGGGCTTGGAAGTTGTCCCATGGCAATGACCACGTCTTTAAAGTTCATGCCCGTGGCCTCGACGCGGATTTCAATTTCGTGTTTGCCAAGCGAGTAGACCTCCTCGTCTTGGAAAAACAGCGTGTCAAGAGCTCCCGTAGTACCCATGGTCATTTTCAGACGCCGCGTCTCGTGCGTAAAGCTCTGTAGGTACGGGGAGGAGCTGTGCAGTTCACGATGAACAAAGTCGTTCATCTCGACATCTTCCATGATGCGCGGTACCACCAGCCGTCCGTCCTGTTCGGCATATTCCATATCGGCAACGGTATCGTCATGGAAAACCCTGTCAAAGGTCTCCAAAACGAGCTCGGCCTGAGCATAAATGGGCAGCTCCGACTCTGGGTCCAAGTCAAGCGTGGCGATCTTGGCAGCCGTCTCTGACCGTATCGTTCTCGTTAGCCCAACGGCCATGTTTCCAGTCGGGTTGGTCGCGTTCAGATAGGCGCCCATTGTGATCCAGAGCACCCCGGCACAGGACACGAGAAGCTTTTGGATTCTTGCAAAAGACTCTTGGTTGAGGTCCGAGAGTATGGGTTTTTCAAGCTCACACATGATGATATGGGTGTTCTCCATGTCAGTCAAGGTATCAAGTGAACAGATCAGAGCATCTTGACCAGTTTTGCTGCAAAAGGTCTCGCTCAAAAGGGTAGCAAAGTTGCACTCGGCCTGGCAAGAAACGATTCTGGTAGACTTGCTCGCCCATAGCGAGTTAATCGCTTGCTCGGCCTTGTTGGCATCATCTTTGCTTCTCTCAAGAGTATCTTTGGAATCGTTGCAGACGAGCAGTGGTTGAGGACAGGATTTGAGAACCTGACTAGTCACGTTTAGACTCTGCTCATCCATGCTCGCCACGAGAGACGACCTGCCAGTAGAGTCAAAGCCGCCCTCGCTACCTTCGAATGACGTGGGACTTGTTGAAGGACTTGAATCGCCCTCAGTCTCATCCACGGGATCCCATTGCATCTTGAAGCAAAGTTTGCAAGCCTTGTCGCTGATGGCGCTCTCGCTCTTGACGGGCGTCATTTGCAAGCCGACGAGGCTGATTATGGCTTGATCGTCGTCCGGGCGGAGAAGAGCGTCGACGACAAAGTCGACAGCCCTGGGCGCCTCGAGGTCTGGAGCGCCTTGTGCAATTGCGTATATCTCCGTCCCGACAGCCGCAGGTGTATCTGTCGTAATGTGAAGCTCCTGGATCGCCGAGGGCATGTATAGAGTGGTCATTCCGCAACGACCGGCGCCCAATATCGGAAAGGACAGCTGAAAGACCTGGTCCAACAATGTGGGATGAACATGGTAGGGCGTCTGATGTTCCAGTGGCATGGTCGCCGTTGTATCTGCCACGTCAAACTTGGCGACAGAGTAACCACTGCCGGCGCGGATGGATCCGAGCTTGCGGAATGTGGGACCGTAGATGGCACCTTGTGCTGTAAGTTCGTCATAGAAAGCAGAGACGTCGACGTGTTCATGGCACGCTTCGTCTGCGACCTGAAATCTACGAGACGCGATGCCGGTATGAGCTGAACTGATCAAGTTTGCTTTACCGCCCTTGTTCGCAGCGATCGATCCGCGACAGTGTTCCATCCATCCTTTGCCCTGCTCCCAAGACCAGATGCGGAACTCGTCCCAGTCATCAGAATAAGACCTCGTGCCTTCAGGAAATGGGGACATGGACAGGACGACTTCGTAAGCAGACTCGTCCTCCATGAGCAATGGCTTCTTGACCTGAATCTCGCGCAGGCTAAACCTCTCGAACTCGACGCCACGCAACTTTGCTCGCTGAGCAGCAGCCTCGACAGCCATCGAGACAAAGCCGGCAAAGGGGAACGTCACTAGGGACTGCATCTTGTGATCTTTGAGCCACGGAATGTCGTCCGTCCTGAGGACGTTTCGCCATGTGGGGGCCAAATCGTTGGAAAAGTCAGCCATGCTTCCCAGTAAATCATGACGAGGAAAAGGCTTTTGGCGATGCTGCAAAGACAGGCGACTCTCGGACCAGTACCGTTGGCGAGACCAGGGATAAGGAATGAGGTCCGAGACGAGTTGTGGCCGATCTCCTTCCTCCTCTTCCAAATTGATTTGTGTAAATTGCAAGGCTTGACCCTTTGAGTACAGTTTAGCCGCAAGCTCCAATACTGTAGTAATGGCATTCTTGTTTCTGACCAAGGCAGACAAATAAGTAGTCTTCTTGACTTGTTGACCAAGTTGCTTCAGTGTCTGCTTGACTGGTCCCTCCAATGCTGCGTGTGGTCCAATCTCTACAATCACATCTGGCGCGCTGTTTAGACAAAGTTCCGTGAGAGAGGTAGAGAAGCGCACTGGGCGGGTCAGGTTGTCGACCCAGTACGATGCGTCCAGGGTTGAGAGCTCAATTTTGTGGCCGTGCAACGACGAATAGAACTGTACAGGACTGCCGGTTTGTGGTACAATGTCCTCAATGAACCGCTTATAGTCGTCGGCGACGAGCTTCATGTGTGGCGAGTGATAGGCAACATCAACCCTGAGCTTCCTGTTGAAAAGTTGCCGCTTCTCCATCTCGATGGCCAGCTCATCAATAGCTGCCTCGTCGCCCGAGATGGTCACTGAGCTCGGAGAGTTCTCGCAGGCCACCACGGCTTCACCGCTGCGAAGTTGCTCCACTAGTGGTCGCAGTTCATCGGGCCCAGCACCTACTGCCATCATGGAGCCTTTGAGATCTGGATAAGTCTGCTTCATCTTGACCACTGCCTGGCCGCGAAAGTATGCAATGGCCATGGCCGAATCCAATGATAGGGCACCCGCAGCGTAGGCTGCACCTATTTCTCCGCTGGAATGTCCAGTCACGGCAAGTGGCGTAACCCCCCAAGACTTGAGAAGTTCTGTGAGACCGAGTTGAACTGCTGAGCAAATAGGCTGACTGATGTGCGCTCGACCCACAAGGGAAGTTTCCTTGTCTCTCGAGAGCTCTTCAAGCAAGGAAAAGTCTGCACCGAGTCGCTTCAGGCAATCATCCGCTTCTTGGATGACATTGCTAAAGATGTGATAGCGTCCAAGCAGCTCACGGCCCATGGCATGCCACTGTGCGCCTTGGCCAGTGTAAACAAAGGCGATCTTGGGGACCTGTGACGTCCGGGCCGGCTTGGTGTCTGAGGATGCCAGCGCCTCGGCCAGCTCAGATGCCGACTTTGCCGTTACAGCGACTTTCCATGGGGGATGCGAACGCCTTTGGCAAAGAGTGTACGCCAGGTTACGCATCAGCCCCTTTTGGAAGACCTCGGGATGTTGCTCCAAGAATATGGTGAGCTGCTCCATGGTCTTCTTGGCGGAAGCCTCGTCACTGGATGAAAGAACAAAGACACGCTGGTGCTGTTGTGCTTCGGCCTTTTGACTGTCGACATCCTGTCGGGGTTTTTCAACAATCGGAGGTGCTGCAAGAATACAGTGTGCATTCGAGCCTCCAAAGCCAAAGTTGTTGACACTAATGTACTTTTTATTTGATGGCCATGGACGTTGCGCAACTGGGACCTATTTCCTCAACCATTAGCTTTCTCTTCTTCTTTTCTTTTTTCAACAACTATCAAAACATTACTGACCTTTATGTTCCACTGCACGAGGGGAATATTCTCATTCGGGCAAGCAAAATTTGTGTTGGGCAGAATAAACCCCTTTTGCAGCATCATCGCCGCCTTGATGACAGAAATTACTCCACTGGCATTCTCCAGATGCCCAAAGTTGCTCTTCACCGAGCCAAGATAAAGCGGCTGTCTTGATGTCCTTCCTTGACCAAACACGTTGTGGATTGCCGTGGCTTCGATGGGGTCTCCAACCTTGGTTCCTGTACCGTGCGCCTCGACGAAGCCGGCGTCTTCGGGCTTAATACCTGCCCGGTCATATACCTCACGCATCAACTGCTCTTGGGCCGCGCCCGACGGAGAGGTGATGCCTATTAGACTTGTCAGAGTTTACTTCCCATGTATTGCAGTTGGCCTTGGTAATACACACCAACAGTCCTTCCATCTTGGTTAGCTCCCGTATTGACAATCACGGATCGGATCGCATCATTATCCTTCAAGGCCTGATCGAGTGGCTTCAAGATCAGGGCACCGGCACCTTCGCCCCGAGCAAAACCTGACTTGGCACGGTTGTCGAAAGCATAAGTCTTGCCTTCATCGGAGAATAGCCTGCAAGATGCAACGTCAGTGGTCAACTCTCGTTTACTTTTTTCTAAAAACACACACAAGACATTACTGACCGTGACAAGGACATTGATACCCAGTCTCCAGGTTGCAGATTCAAGTGACAAGCTGCGACAATAGCTTGTTCAGACTCGCCACTGCGAATGCTCTGCACGGCCTGATGCAACGCATACAAGGATGACGAGCACGCCGTATCGACAGTGAAACTGGGACCGCGCAGGTCAAAGTAGTGCGAGATACGTCCCGACATGACGGACTGGTGGTTACCCGTGGCGTCAAACATTGGCGTTTGCTCGAGGTCGCGCAGCGTTCCAAGTCGATAGTCAGAGGCAGCGCCTCCGACAAAGACGCCGACTCGTTGGCCGACTATCTGCTCCTTTGGCACTCCCGCATTCTCGATGGCTTCGTAGGCACACTCGAGCAGAAGTCTCTGCTGGGGATCTAAAGGCTCATGTCAGACAAACAAAGGGACGAAAGCCGGGACGCAGGGGACGACGAACCCATGGACTCGGCTTCAGCCTGTGTAATGTTGAAAAAGGGCGCGTCAAAGAGCGCGGGGTCCTGATTAAGGAAATATCCTCCAGTCGTGTTAAAGGCGCCTTTCTTTGCTGGGTTTGGGTGATGATACGCATCTTTGCTGAAGCGCTCCGGTGGGATCTCGGACCAGCCACAGCGCATGCGTGACACCATTTGCCAAAAATCATCCAGGGTGGACACATCTCCAGAGAGGCGACATGACATGCCAATGATGGCGATAGGCATGAGTTGTGGCTGCTCTCTGGCCTGGCCATTGATAGTGGCTGGGTTGCTCGGTGAGGACGTCATGTTGTAATCTTGTGTGTAAGGCAAAAGAGTGTGGTTTGGCTCATCATAATCAACGCAAAAGAGAGAGAGACGCTGTCCAGATATATCAGAGATCGAGATATTGCTTCAAAATTCTACTGGCAGCAGATGCCACCATGAAATGATTTCCCCTCCAATGTTGCAGTGGTCACAAGTATCGTATTTGCTTGTCATGTGTACCAGCATCTTTCCAGATCCAGAATTACGGTGAGGCGGTTCGTAATCGTACGGCGGTGATAAAGTTTGTCTTTCCCTCTTCTCATCCTGGCTACGGCAGGAGTGAGCTCCTCCGCAGGAGATATCTTAGCTACATGTATAGTACTTTTCGTACTTTTCAAATATTTCAATTTCCTGGATAATGTTGGGATATGGGGTGAGGCAGTTCGTAATCGTATAGTGATAATACTCGTTTTCGCATTTGCTTGCCGGATTGTGCTCCGCATTGAGGATCATTATAGTCGTACGTACGCTAATCTTCATATCAGGGGTTATCTACAGCATCATCAAGAGGATACAAGTCCCAATACATGATTATTTCTTTTCCGGAAATTCCGTGCTTGCATTGGCAGCACCCACGATAGAGTCTTCCCTGTCCAATAGGTCTTGGGTAAAGGTTATAATCAATTAATGACGGCACCAAGGCCCTAAGAAGACTGTATATAGAACTAAACATAGATGAAAAGTTCATCATGTCCAGGCCCCTGAAAGTAACAATAAGGTTGTTTTCGATGACATCAGCAATATACGTTTGATTCCCTTCGTTGTAAGGAATATCACAAGAACCTCAAGAAATGCGTAGAGTTGCTAGTTTCTGTGCATTCCGTACTGCCAGAACTGTCAATATCATGCTTGTACATAATGCTGCCACACCGTTGAATAACGGCGGTAAGCTGTAAAAGTACTGCAGACGGGCTGCTCCAGTTGTCTATTCCAATGCGAGTTAGGGACGGTAAGGCTCACGATCCCTCAGTGTCTCCCTGCTGATGATGATTCCGCTCCCCCACACTTCGAAGAGACCATGTCCTGAGTCAAGTGGGTTCGGCATTCGTGGTGAGCTTCCAGTGGGCTGCTTGCAAAGGTTATGTATACATACATATTTGTACTCTTCCTTGTCCTGTATCGAGGAGTGGATTGACGGCGAAATTGGTAGGTAACCTGATTGGTTCCAACTGCTCGGAGCAGCTAGTGTCACAGGTCTAGGTCCGTTAATCAGTTCCATATCTCGGGTCAGGTCCACTTCAACCGCTAAATCCACCGTCTCTAGCTTTTGGTGCTCGGCACTTGAGGACGCCAAACATCGGACCCGAGCTTGAATGAAAGTGATGAAATGGTTGAAGTTGGAAGAGGTAAAAGATCCGATACTAACCAAGTGCACACATGGTGCTTATTTCTCGATTTTCCCTCTTGCTCTACAAGGAAATGATCTCACACAATGACCCTTCTCTATTAGACGATTATGTCCAGTCTGCTCAAGTCTGGAATCTGTATCTGGCATCTCCGTACCACTTTGTCAGGTAGTAAGTACTATGATTTTGTAGTGCTGTGGGGAGCGTTTAGTAAATGGTTCCAGGTCATAGACAGCCCACTATATCCTCGCAAGTCGCGCAAAAGTACCACCTCAAATCACTACTAGTCTCGGTAAATGCCGCTGCCAGTCCCCTATAAAGAAGATCCCTGATAACGTTTGAAGGCCTTAAAGAATTATTGCCATTAAACGAGTGTGGTACACTAATGATGTTGGACTGTTCTCCACTTAACTGTGACCAGGTAACACTCGGCCATCATCACCACCCAGCCCGAAACGATCCGAAGGCTTGCTGCACTGGTATTTCCTCCACTACCTCAACCTATTACCACCAATCCACCACCCCAGAGTTTCCCCCCACAGCCATGCGCCCACTGCCAACCCTCTAACCTGAGTGATTCGTGCTGCTGCACCGGGATAATGGTACCGTTTTGTGTATGATTATATAGCGTCTTCGGTCCTATTAGATTCACGTATAAAAAAACCTTATACGTAAACGTATGCTAAATTCGAACGTGTGGCTTCTGGAAACGGCGGCTGGCTATATCTTACCCCACTCTCATCGCCATAAAGAATTGTTGCCATTAAACGAGTGTGGTACACTAATGATATTGGACTGTTCTCCACTTAACTGTGACCAGGTAACAGCCTTATGGGACATTATCTCCCTTGACAGTGTATATGATCGTCACGGTGAGCGTCCATGGCTCCGCAGTATGGTCGATGCTTTTCAGATAACACTCAATCATCTTCCCACAGTACATAGGGCCAACGATTGCCCCACTACAAGGAACAATTCTGGTGTCGTGCACGGAACAAACTGTTGATAGAATCCTTCTTGGCTAGTAGGTATACTACTGTAGTATAGAGTCCCCTAGGGCCTAGACCGCCTAGCCAGGCCTATGTACAGAGTGCTATAAAGTAAGGTTAGGCTTGTACTGTACATTTGTACAGTGAGTGGGTAGTAGTGCATTGGAACATCACAACCACACTCGCGACAAAGTGAATTTATCATTACAGATCTTATCCAAGTCGAGCCTTTCCTTGGTGAATAATCTGCTTCAAATTACAGGAGTATGCATAAAAGAACATGCTGGGTACCCCACCAGGTTTGACTACTATCTTTGCAAATCAATGTCGGATCAGATCATCGGACCATATGCAAGGCAGTCCTGACATTCACATCAGTCAAGCTTACGCGCCACGAGTATGCAGACTTGCACCGTGTCACGATGATCCGGGCAAGTATACCAAGTTGTCATTACATTGCTGAATACTCCTCCGGCCCGGCGTTCTGCAAATTTTGCGTCGCTGCCCCAAGTATCCATTTCCATCTCAAACCCTGATGACTGATCCTCCACCGATCGCAATGACGGGGGCTTCCTTATCCTATGTAGCCCTGCCCTGGGACCTGCGAATGCACTAGCTCGTATTCGTTGCTAAGAGGTCAGAATGAACAAGGCATGCGCGGCCCCCCATCGTGGTCCACGTGTGATGTAGGAATCGCCATAGCTCTTGCCACAATGTCCCCATGTACGCCGTGTATCAACTTGCCCACCAGGTCCAATGCCAACGACACCGTGCTCCGCACAAGGTGCTGATAAACATTCCTACCAGTAGAAATCAAGCCAGGCAAGAGGGAATGGAGTGCGTAACATGTTACCTGCCGACCAGAAAAGCTTCTAGACCCGAACAGTCCTACCTAGGTAGTCATCGTGGCCGATCATAATTATACGCTCCGAGAAATAAGGCCCGAGATCTTTCGACAGAAGTCATTATACCCACCATTGTGTCAAAGAGATATGGTAGGTGTCGTGGAATACCAAGTACAAGACCTTGAGGTCGATATAAACAGTCCCGGTTTACGGAGAAGTATTGATTATTGCTCATCCATTGCCATATACCAATAAACTCGACGATCGCGCAACCCTCAATTCCAACCAGCGAAATGAGATTTCTCTGTTTGCCAGGCGCCTATGCCAGTGCCGAAGTATGCAAACTACAGTTTTCCATGATAAACCGACGGTCCGTTTCACTAAGCACATTGATAGACCTTTCAAGTTCAACTCGGTCCCTGCGTAGCCGAGGTCGAGGAGGCAGGCAATGCCGAGTTCGTCTGGACTCAGGGCACATACTCTGCCACGCCGCCAGACGGGTTCAAGGATTTCTTTGGCCGAGGTCCCCACTACCGCTTCTTCGACTACGACGGACATCAGGCTTTTGATATACTGGAGAAGATTCGCGATTTCCCCGAAGGCGCCAACGCAGAAGAAACAATGAGACAGCTCATGGGGGACGGAGCTTCACATACTGCCAAAAGTGTGCGCAATGCACTGCAGGTCTTGATTGACACTATTGATGCAGACCCGCAAATTGAAGTAAAGTCTGACTGTTTGCCAATTGTTCCTTGTCCAGCTTGCTCATATTCAAAATAGGGTATCCTGGGATATTCTGAAGGAGCCACCACCGCTGCAAGTTTAATCTTGGAGGAACGTCGCAGATTACAAGAGACTGGCAGGCCGAGGAGAATCAAGGTATGAGAACAAGCGATGATGAGAGAAGCAAAGCAGACGCTGACGATTACGTACTAATACTTTATAGTGCGCAGTCTTCTTCGCAGGTTGGCCGCCCTTGTCTCTCCAAGACGGAAAAGTGCAAGTCTTGCTCGCCGACCAGAGCGAAAGCGTCATTGACGTTCCGACCCTGCATGTGATAGGATGCAACGACCCGTACATTCTCGGAGCCATGGCCTTGTACAACATGTGTGACGAGGATTCGGCCGAGATCTTTGACCACGGAAAGGGCCACACGGTTCCTCGGGATCGGAGGACCGTTCATGAGCTTGGCGACGCGTTTCGCCGCGTCGTGAGCAGGGAATACTCGTGGCAAAGCAATCTGATTGAGGTCAAGGGGCTTGACATAAACTAGTAGAAGAGATGGGTGACCTGTTGGCCTGTATATAGGGCTATGCTAGATGATCACACGGTGCAATTTTGTGCAAAGGGATTGGGTGCATTATCCCATTGAATCAGCCGATTTCTCCGAGAATTCGTTTCAATTCGCCTGTTCCCACTTTCGCCTTACACATCCAGGAGGGTATGCCTGGTGGTCTCGATAATACTTGTCTCTCTCAGTAAGTACCAAGGCTTGCCACTTTGGGTCGTTGGGTGTACGGCAACTACCCATCTGGTGATAGGCAGTGACTGTAATCCGCCAGGTGCCTGGCATTGGAAACTCGGGCTTTTTGGAGACGCCAGTACCGTGGTTTACTTGAGCAGCCCCAGAACTCGAGGCCGTTGTTGTTGTTGTACTCGCATCGGCGGCAGTGACGACGTTCTTTGCCGGCTTGCGCTCTGTAATCTGCTCGACGGAAATGCAAAAGTCTGTCAAACATTTGGTACAAGAATGCAGGACGCCAGGAGACGAGAAATAGACAGTACGGTAACTGTCTTCGGACCCGTTGGGTCCCCCGGCTATACGACGGATTTCGACCCATGGGAGTAACGCGGGTCCTTTATAGGTACGGCGCATCTTGGGCGCTCTGTTATGTGCGCAAAAGTATTGTCTTTCTCGCCATGGGCGTGTATTTCGAGGCATCTGGTCATCCTTCCTATACGAGACGTGGATGACCCTGAGAAAAAGCTCGTCGTCCACGATCTTGGCCGTCCAATCCTGAGTCCAGGAGGGCATGCCGCTCCTCATGTACACCTCGGGCCGTCTGCTGAGGCAGTCCAGGGGCAACCCTTTAGAAGGCCCAAAGAAGTGTCGATTCATTACGAGGCGAGCGTCACTGAACCGACTAGGTTTGGGGTACAATCGAGTTAGTACTGAAAACACAAGACTGAAATAATATTATGAAATGCGGCTATACTCACAGTCGGAGGTGGCTAGTTATAAGGCTGTAATGGCCTGGATTAGAATACCCAAACGAATACATTTCGCTGCGTGACCAATAACGACATTTTGCGTAATCCTCGCACAAATTTGTTTTTTGGCTCTCTGCATCTAATGGGGTCCAGCTCTGCGAGAAACGATGCATGCGTTGGCAGAAATAACAAACGTAAAACTGCTCCGCGAGATCCTTTTCGAGCAGTGAAAGGAAGTCTATGAGGTCATCGCCCTGCAGCTTTGTGCTAAATGAATCGGAGATCAAACTGCGGAGTGATTGACAGGTTAAAGACAGTACAGCCAATTCGATTGGGGCCAATGAATCAAATATCATAAGGACCAAATCGAAGGGAAGATCTCCAAGCGAAGTTGCCGTGGCTTTGGAGCCGTGGGGCTGTGAAGAGTATGTCTCTGTCATGGCTTAGTATAAAGTAGTATGTGATGAATGATGGGTAGGCAAATGATGTGTATAGAAGTTGAGGATGGGGTTTGACGGAATATTTCGGAGGAGCAAATTTCGCTCACGGGGGGATGTGTCCGATTAAATACTATTTTCGAAAGGGGGGTCGGAGAATCGATATATATAGTTGCGTAGCGCCGATTACTTCTCGGCGAAAGAAAAGTTTGAAATGTACATGTTAAGCTTGATCGTGACTAAACACCTACCCATACGTATCCTGTTTGAGTGATTTGCCCCCATGGCGTCAAGTCACTCAAATGTTTGGAGGTCCAGGTTCTTCCAATTCGCCAACCTTGAGGTAACTGATCACCTAGATCGAGGTTAAGACCAGGAGAGGGTTGGTCACGTAAGCGTAGCTTTGACTGCCTAGATTTTCCATCGGTCGCACTATCATATTCTTTTCATTCCCTCAATCAACAATTTGCTATTGAAATGTAATTACAATTCATCGGCGATATTCAGCACTTCTGACTCATCCTCCTCTCGCCGAAAGACCCTCTTCCCAGCTATCCAAGTCTCACGCACACGATAGGCGCGCAGGTCTTCTACGTCGGTTTCCTCGAGGGGCATGTCGAGAACGACCCAGTCGGCAAAGGCGCCTTCTTGTATTACGCCAGCCTTGCCCTTGAGAAAAGCGCCATACGCTGGCGCCTCAGTAAAACCGCGCAAGGCTTGATCTAGACTCAGAGTCTCTTCAGGATACCACCCGTCTGGCTGATCCTCGGTTCCGCGGCCAGTGTGCGGACTTCGGCGCGTCATGGCAGCGTAGATGCCCTGGAACGGGTCTGGAGGCTCAACAGGGAAATCACTGCCAAGGATGGGAGGGATATCGAGGAGCGAGCGCATCCGGTAGGCCCCACTGCCTGTCCGTTCCTTGCCGAGGCGCTTCTCGGCGTAAGCCATGTCCGACGTGGCGTGTGTAGGTTGAATCGATGGAATGATGCCGATAGCATGAATCCGTGCCTGGTCGTCTGGGTGGATGATCTGGGAGTGCTCGATGCGGAAGCGTTTTTGAGCTTGGCATGAGGCAAGACTTTCGTCCGGACAAATACTTTCAAGGGCTCCCGTCATGGCATCTATTGCGTATCTGTTTGCCAAATCTCCTATGGCGTGGATATTCACTTGAAAACCTGCTTCGGCCCAAAGCTTTGTTATGCGGGCCAACTCGGTCCCGTTTATGAGCAAAGAACCCGAAGTGCCGGGGCGGTCCGAATAGGGTTCAATCATGGCACTTCCCCAAGACCCAAGTGCGCCGTCTGCAATTCGTTAGTTCCCTTGAGTAGAAGTGTGGCATGGGAGTGAAAGGGTTTGCAAAATATAGTTTGCAGTTGCTGGGTAGACTACAGGGTAGCCACTTACCGGCGAAGAGCTTGACGCTTTGTATGCTGAGGAACCCGTCTTCCCTGCTATGCTTCTTCGCGTGCTCTGGGCAAAAGGTATTGCGCTCATCGCATTCAAGCATGGCATAGACTCGCAAAGTCCAGTCCTTGGTGCCCGCAAGCTCTTTGAACAGAGCGGCGTTACTAGGGGAAACTCCTGCATCAGCCATGCCAACGAGTCCAACCTCGTTCAGCTTGGACATGGCACTGTGGAGAAACTTTTGTTTCTTCTTATTGTCGGGCTTTGGCCAGAGTGCCATGATCATGTCCATTGCATTATCACAAAAGACACCTAGGCCGGGCTTTCGGATGATTTCTCCACCGGGTACATCAGGAAGGTCATCGGGCAATAGATCCAGTACAGGCTGCGAAACCCATATACAATGCACATCGACGCGATCCAGCATGATATACAGGCCCTTGAGACGTTCGTCAACACTGAGGTCGTCCTATATATGATATTAGCTCAGCACACAAGCACCTCGTGGGGGCCACGTTTTGCGTACAGCCGTTGGCATGCGACCAAACGCTGCTTGGTCCCATCCGGTTCCTCTCAACCAATTATCCGCATTTCCCGCGTCTGGATGTTCATCGAGGTAGTTGTCGACACGAACAATGATGTCTTCGAATGAAGCTGATCCGAACAAGTCTACCGAGTTTAGGAACTCTCCATATTGGAGCAGGTGGCCGTGTCCATCCCAGAGTCCCGGTATAACATGCCCTTGGTGCGACTTGCTTGCCCCATTGGCGACATTGGGGTCATGGTAGACCTTTGTAAAGATACCTGACGGCGATACTGTGAAGCAATTCGCAAGAGGTTCCGATAGTGAGTGTGTTCGAATGGACTCGTAGCAATGGGTCTCGCTAAACAGATAATCGGCCAACCCGTTCCGAAGTTTAACGACACCTGCGAGTCCTGTAGTGGTGGCCGAAGCAAAGTTCCAGAGCGAATTGTCCCCTCCAAGCTGCGAGCGCAACAACTCCATATTGCTTTATTGGCTGATGCGACAATGTTTGGTGAGCCAATAGAAGCGGTGAAACATGAAGACTTTGTTTTCACATGAGCTCTAGGCTATGACTTGGCATTGCTGAAGCTGGCTGCCAAGGCTTCTGACTGGCAATAACTTGAATGTTAAAAATAACGACAGTCTCATGAATGAGAGCCTTAAGAATTGAAAAATCAGATTGATGCCGATTGCGTGGTGATCTAGGTAGTAGGCAAGCAAACCTTACCTCTCTGACGTTGTACCAGGACAGTCGGTGGACGGCCCACTTATCGCACGCCGGCCCCGGACCTCCAGAAATGTGCAGGGATGCCGATAAGGGTCCAACAAGAAACCCAATCCGGCTCAGTACCGATTGGTTCCTACTGCTTAAATAGAATTTGATGTACGAAGTATATTTGCCGACTTTGAAATGTAATGATGCCTCTTCATATTGTTCATTAGCACTGGCCTTGGATGCAACGTTGCCCCGTTTCAGCTCTCTATCTATTTCGATCTTGATGGCTCAAGATGTGATTATGGCGGGATCCAGGGGAACCTACTAATTAGACGCAGGTTTGCAGGCTGCTGCTGCATCGGCCTCGGCATAAAACAGTTTTAAGGTTTGAATTGTGCCTGGCAGATCTGACACTCGACTTTTCATCCCTACGCCTGTAAAGGCATCATGTTAGCTACGCATGGAACATGATGCCATGACTGTGAATGAGGCATGGCTGAGGAATTTCATCTAGCATTATTCAGGCATCTATCATTTATCTACAAGAACGCGACAGAAATCCATAGGATGAAATCGAACACCACAAGTACAGACAAAGAAATAAGTTTCCCTAGTAAGGACTTGAGATGCAAGGGGTATTTACACCGATGTTTGGTGCTGCGGGGTAAATGGGCCGTAGTTGGCAGATCGTGAAGTCCTTAGTGGGGGGATTGATTTCGTATTAGTACCTACCTAGTATAAAATGTTGTCTTTGAAGGACGAACTTCAACAACCAAACGATCATGATGGGTGAGAGAACAAGTGCGACAATTCTTTGCAGAAAATATAATACACATAAAACTATCGTCCAGTTGGGCCGTTTTTGACTCGAGGGGCCATAACCATTAGGAGCACAAAAACGGATGCTTTTTACCCATCAATCACGAATTCAACATTGCATCGGGATAATTAAGCCTCAAACCTAGAACATGGACCAAGAAGCTAACCTCCGCAAACTTGCAAACACCGAAGTTGTACGCGAGATCCTACCCACAGAATATCTGCCAGTGTTGACAAATCCTCCTTTTGTCTGGATCGAGGGCACATTCAACAGTCGTGACCTCGGCGACATCCCGAGAAGCCCGCTCCGGAACAACTTTGTTTACCGGTCTGGTGGGCTGGCTCGGCTCACGGAGCAGGGAAAAGAAGCCGTCACGGCTCTGGGCATCAAACGCATTTTTGACCTGCGGTCTCCAGAAGAAAGGGGCCATGCACCCGATCCAGACATTGAAGGTGTCGAGAATACGTGGATACAGAGCCTTCGGCCAGATAGCGCGCCGGATTTGACCAAGTTCATTTCTGGCAAGGGAGAAGCAGGCTACGAGGACATGTACTTGGAGGTCATTGACGTCTATCAGCCTGCTTGGAGGGCCGTACTCGAACACGTGAGGGATCGGCCAAAGGACGCTCTTTTGGTGCACTGCACTGGTAAGTTTGAACAGCCAAGACTTGCACCACATATTCCTGATAGATTTTGCATGCAGCTGGGCGTGATCGAACTGGCGTCATCTCGGGTCTGCTGTTGACCCTTGCCGGCGCCTCACCTGATGTTGTCTCGCTTGACTATATGTTGTCGCGCATTGGAACCGAGCCTGTACGCGAGACCTTGCTTCAGTTTGCTCTGGCAGGAGCCAAGGCTGAGAGTGTCGAACAGCCAGGGTTCCAGAACCTGTGCGAATTGCGAGAGGAAAGTTGGAATGCATTCGTCAAGGGTGTTGAAAGGAACTTTGGTGGATTTGACAAGTTTGTTACCGGCCCCTTGGGCTTCACTGAGGGCGATTTGGCCAAGATCAAGGCAAACTTGATCAAAGCGTAGATAGCATGTTGCGAATGCCATCGGTAGCGAAAATGTCGCAATTCCACATAAGAGGTGTTGGATAAGAAACAGCTGCCAATTTGAGCCAACTTTTGCGATACCATCATGTTAGGCTGGTAGCCATTGATTCTAGACCACTATTGAGACTCATTGTATCGTCACTCTAGTTTTCGACTCCAAGAATGAACCAATCCATGACGGTCCAGCCATGATGATCAAAATAGAACCCTGCTGCGATCATAGAATCGGTATCAAACCGAGTTGACAAAAAGCCAGTCAATATCAAATGAACTGGGTATACAGCAGGATTTCGAGGAGATGTCGAGTCTAGACCTCGATGGAAACCAGGAATGAAACGGCCCTAGAAAATGGCAGGTTGATCACGTCTGTAAGAATCCACCAATCGGGAATCCACGTGTAAATAGTGTTTCCAGGTTCCTTTTGAGTTGACAAGGTACTAGATATCAATACGATCGAAGACTCCAAGAATGCCTTTTGTTGCAGATTACTGTATGCGTCGGTATGTGAAGTTGAGGCGTGTGGCTTGGACGACGGAAGGATGACATCACTGCCGGTAACCAATGAGTGACGCTAGCTGCGACGAAATCTCCCCTCCCATCTGGATTGGACCCAGGACCCTGCAGCGACGGGAACTGCACCAGAATGCCACTGATGCCCAGCTTTTCCTAACCGAGCCAGTACCCCACCTGCTAAACCCCGCGCTGCCGTCATAACAGTAAGGCCCTATGCCCACTTCAGCCCTGGACAAGTGCTAGGTGTCGTAGGACCCTGACGCTAGGCCGCATCAGACACGTCGGAAATCTTGGAATGCCAACTTTCGCTAACGCCTCACTCATTGTTTCGTACGCCTGGGCAAGCCCCGTCACCAGTGGTGAATGGAAGTGCCAACAAAGAAACCAGGTTGGACCCTTTGGAAACAGTTCACTTGATCTGCAGGGTCCTGCCATTCTGCTGCGGGGACCGGGCTTTGATGTCATGGTTCTCTTGCCGTCTTGCCGACGGTTGCATCACAATCTGGGCCAATACCTGATTATGGTCTTGATCCAGCCATGAGATGAACTCGGTCTTTTGGATATATAAGTCTGCTGTTATTCGACTTTACTCGACTTGATTCTAACTCATTCTCATCATCACAATCAATAATCAAACCGCTCAAACAAAAACCACAAGCTCTCATCAGACTTGAAAAGTCAACCCATTTACACAAAACAATCACATAAACAAATCTACAACAAAAACAAATCTCTTCAACATGCATCGCACACACCACACCACTACCACCACCACCACCCGCCGTGGCATGTTTGGCCGCAAGCACGTCGTCCACCACCAGAAGCGCAAGCCCACTCTGGGTGACAAGATCTCTGGTGCCATGCTCAAGCTCAAGGGCTCCCTCACCCACCGCCCCGGCGAGAAGGCCGCTGGCACCCGCCGCATGAGAGGCACAGACGGCCGTGGAAGCCACCGCTCCGGCCGCCGCCGCACTGGCCGCTACTGGTAAATCAGGCGGAGGAATCAAACATCCGAACCACTATATGATCATCTGATGAGGAGGAACACTTGTACTATTATTGGAAAGCGATGATACCCAGCGAACTGTATTATACTCTACGATTGTACGATAGTACGACAATGTAAATTTTTGGAAATCTAAGCATTGAACCAAACTTCAATAGTTTCCTACATGTGATACCTGTTGGCAAGAAATACTAGGCCACATGGGTGGCTGAGCATCTGACAGCGGCTGCGTCTAATTCGGCCCGTGCTGTAGTGGGCACTAACTAAACTCATTCAAGGTCCGGCGAAGGTAACCAACCGCCACTGCTCAAATACACCGCCACCAAACCGGCGTGACTGTGCTCCCTGCCCATGCTGTGCAGCCTCGATAAATATCAAGACACTATCTTGATATAAATCAGTATTTGCATAATGGAAAAAGTCTCAGGAATTTTCCTCCAAGCCCATTTCCGTCACTTATCTTGGAGCGCCAGCCGCAATGTCAATAAGTTTCGACGACTTGCCAGGCGAGGTTCATGAACTCATCTTTCGATCACTCGACCCAGTTACTCTGATCAGCTTTGGGCAGACCAACCGCCAATTTCGTGCCGTCATCAAAGCAACAAAGGAGCTTCTTGCAGAACGCCTATTGGTTCTAGAGTGCCAGGAGGAATTTGGGGGTCCGGTCTTCCACTTTGACGGAAGAGATAATTCCCAAAACCCCGCCTGGGACCATGAACAGATCGATCAAATACGCTGGGCATGCACGCACTGCCTGAAGCTACTGCACCACAGAAACTTTGATAACCACTCCCTACTACGGCTATGCTTCAGGAAACCTCTCCCAGATTGGCCGGCCGCTCAACCCGTCACCTCGTGGGAGCCGATGGGCAAGGTCGCATCGAGAGCGGTCCTCAAAAGCAGAGTCGCCGCCTACCGCGATTCGCTCCACTGGGGGCGGACGGAGTTCGCCAATGGAGATAATGAGAGATACGTTTGTGGCTATCGGCGCCGCCACCGTAGATGCAATGAATGCAGATACCAAATTGGCGATTTGAGGTCCCATATCGTGATCCCACCCGACGGCATTGGGTTGGAACCATACCTTGCGGGGGCGAACCTGGGTACCGCGACGGTCCCAATTGTCAAGAGTCGCCGCCTGTTTTTCAACTCGTCCATACACAGGTACTTTCCGGACCTTTTCACGGACTTGCCATGCTACTCGACGCTGGCCGACAAGGCCCCGACCTTTCCTATCCACCGACAGGATGCTCGCGACCGTGCCTTTACCCACTACATGGTCCGTTGTCCAGGATGCGCGACCTGGAAAGAGTTTGCAGCCTTCCGCGGCGGCTCGCACTGGCCAAAGTGGTGGCCGGCTCATCAGCACCGGTGGGGCACGTCCTGGGAAAATTGGGATGGCAGAAACGTCGACCGATCCTTCATAGAGGGCCTCCGATGTCATTCGTGCTACGCTGCAGTCCATGGGCGCCAAGCTCTCATGACGGTCCTGATAGAGTGGTACACCTATTTTCTACTCGGCGAACTCCACTTCTTACTGCCAAAATTTGCAATGGGCTGGTCGTGTTTGTACCGCGCGACGATGGACGGTCCAGATGTGCATACTTGGTATCATGTTCCCGCGCGTTACAAGTTCGACGTCTTGACAGAAGTCATGGCTGGGATACCGTGGGAGGACCCCGACGACAAGAGGGAAGGTATCGAGAATGTGATGCTTGCGGACCGAGAGACGCTGAGAACCATGAACGAAAAGCACAAGATACTGAAGAAGCATTGGGGCACGTGGTTTGTGCCAAACCCGCAGGAGCACACACTTCCAGATGAATTCAATGATTGGATCATCTCGTGGGTGGATGGCTATGACAGTCTAGAGGCAAAGCTGTTGTGGCTTCGCGGCTGTCGCGAGGAGTTGCTCAAGAGACCTAGTGCTATTCTGGAATGGGCGCTGAATGACAAGACTGCTGGAGACGGTCTGGACATTGATGCCAAAGCTATGTGGAAGAACATGGCAAAGACGTTGAGTGAGATGTGGGGTCAGCCCGAAATTGCACTTCTTTAATGAACAGGTTGATCCTGAATAGGGTATGTATTAATTATTTCCAGATGTACACACAAATGAGGACGAGGATTCATCACACCACATTTGCAAAATCAAAGGCAGCCATACAATGGCTTTCATCCACCCTCATCACGTTGAGTTCTAGCTTCGTTTCATGTCAGATGAATCTTGTCCATATCTGTATCGTAATATTATATTGTTCAAGCCATCCAATTCCCATTGCATTGTAATTCTGCAACGTGATATTCAGGAGGGACTGAAGGTATCAGACAAAAAGAATCAAGAAAATCCCAAGCCTTTGATTGTTGGAGCTGGTGGCCGAAATGGTGGCACCGCACGAATGTACGGTGCACACCTGAGCCAGCACTTCTATACTAAACTGGCCAGCGAGGCCAATGCTCGCCTGGCCCGAAGTCATGCTCATCACAGGACGACAAGATATGGGTCTCATCACTCATGACTATGGGTATTGTCTTGGTAACAGAATATAGAATATGTCGCTAATGCGCTATCTCGAGATGAAAATATCTGGAGTCCGTCTAACATTTGTTGCCTACTATATTGAGACCCGTAAGAATACCTACCTACCTATAGGTAGCCGACAGTGGGTCGAAATAACACCCTGCATACCCCGCAGTCTGTACTACCTAGTAGGCAGTACTAACCTAGACTGAAGCTTACCCGAGGCCATAATATTTTGGTGCCGTGCTCCTAAATGCACATCCTGTCAGCCTTTCTACTTCTATGATTCGTCAATTGTTAATCAGGTGGATAAATTGCGCAGATTGCGGAATAATAGAAACCGATACTCGTGAGATGTTTGTAGAGGGGCTCCAAATATTGAGTGAGCCCTTCTAGAGCTCCTGGGATATCGAGGCGGTGACTGGAGATGCTGTTCACTATACGAAGTACCCCCTGCTATAATGTAACAGTACATTACCTAAGCTCCGAAATTCTTATCTCACCACGGCTGGAGTCTTTCTCAGGAGAAGACGAGAATTTGAATTTCTCCTCGTGCAAACATCACTGCATACGCGTCGTACACCTGTACCGAGGCATCCAAGATGCGTTCGCACATTCTTTCGGGCGCCTTTTTGCCCATGGCGACTCTGGCGGCCAACTCGTCGTCGACGCCGTGTAAATGCTTCCCCGGCGACGCGTGCTGGCCCTCGCAGACGCAGTGGGATCTGCTGAATACCACCGTGTCGGGTCGATTGGTCGCAACCACTCCCTTGGGTTCCCCGTGCCATGACCCAACATATGACGCCGAGACGTGTGCTAGTCTACAAGATCAATGGCTCTATTCTGGCATCCAGTAAGTTGTGCTCAAGGCATTGGTCCTTCTTCAAGCGCATTTTTACTGAGACGATTGGTATAGCATGAGCTCGTCCTCTTCAGTCATGGCACCTCTCTTTGCCAATCAAAGCTGTGATCCCTTTACTGCAGAATATGTTCCTTGCACCCTGGGAAATTATGTTCGCTATGCTGTCAATGCCACCGGCCCCGAAGACATCATCGCAGCAGTCGAATTCGCCAAGGAGAAGAACATTCGCTTGGTGATACGCAACACTGGCCATGATTACCTCGGACGATCGACTGGTGCTGGGTCCCTTGGGGTCTGGACCCATTACCTCAAGAGTATCGAGTCTCTGGATTGGACCGACGACGGCTCCTACACGGGCAAGGCCCTCAAGGTGGGAGCTGGCGTGCAAGGGTTCGAAGCGCTAGCTGCGGCACAGCAGCTCGGGCTCGTCATGGTCACTGGCGAATGTCCCACCGTCGGTCTGGCCGGTGGTTATACTCAGGGTGGCGGCCACTCGGCCCTGAGCACTGTGTTTGGCCTTGCTGCCGATAATACGCTCTCCTTTGACGTGGTGACGGCCGCAGGGGAGCTCGTCACGGCGAGTCGAACACAAAACACTGACCTCTACTGGGCCCTCAGCGGTGGAGGCGGAGGCAACTATGGTGTCGTCGTCTCATTGACTGTACAAGCTCACCCCGACACTACGATTTCTGGTGTTTCCTTGGTCATCTCGGCCGATGCCAACCAGACGACTGATCAGATTTTTGATGCCGTAGACGCTTACCACGAATCTGTCATTGACATTGTAGACTCGGGTGTCATGTCAATCTACTACTTCGGTACCGGTTTCCTGCAGTTGCCTGCTGTCACGGCTTACAACAAGACCAAAGACGAGCTCGAACAGATTATATCGCCCTTTGTATCAAGGGTCGAATCGCTGGGACTTGCCTATACGATCAACTATACTGAATTCTCTTCATACTACGATCATTACGATCATTACTGGGGCCCACTGCCTTTAGGCAACATCCAAGTCGGAACGTCTCTATACGGAGGTCGCTTGATTTTGAGAGATCAGATTGGGGGTATCAGTCAGGCCTCACGCGATCTCGCGGCAGAAGGTACCACATTCATTGGCGTGAGCACCAACGTGTCTCGATTCGGTGGGGACAACGCGGTACTGCCGCAGTGGAGAGAGACCATTGTGCACGCAACACTCGCCCTGCCCTGGAACAATAGCGCGCCGTGGTCCGACGATCTCGCACAGCAAGCCCACGTTACCGACGTTGTGGTGCCCATCATCGAGACAGTGACGCCTGGTAGTGGCGCTTATATGAATGAGGCAGACTGGGCACAGCCCGACTTCCAGGAAGTGTTCTTTGGCAGCAATTACGAGACCCTTTTGCAAATCAAGGACAAGTGGGATCCTTCTGATCTCTTTTACGCTACTGCTGCGGTTGGCAGTGATGCTTATACTGTTACTTCTGATGGCCGCCTATGTTCAGTCTCACAAAGCTGATGATATGCAGTAAAACGTAGAGACTTCAGAGATAGCAAATAAGAACGACTAGTAGCCATTCATTACGTGTGCCGATTACAGCCCAACCGTACCTCGTTATGCATAATCTTCATAAACAAATGCCTACATGATATCAAGCCATCTATGGAAGAGTTGTTGGTGACAGATGTGCTCTCGATGCTGAAATTGAAATGGCCCTGATTGAAACCAAGTCGAATAGCATAATTCGTGCGTATGACTTCTAAGAGGGCCAGCAATATCGACACCATGCCCACCAAGGACATCACCTCTATACTTTATTAACACTGCAAGACCTTGGCTATCCTGAACCCAAAGATCCCGTAAGCTTTGTAGGTACTACTCGGTGCTGCAGACAAGCATGATGGACATTGCACACTGCTGCTTTTATTTACATGTTCATTTAAGTGGTAAAGCTGCTTTGAGAAGGAATAGCGATCCAGTCTCTGCAAACGAGAAACGGCCAGGTCTGATTTATGCTGCGAATTTCTAGTGAATTCTTGTGCGCCGAAAAATTCTAATAACAAAAGCCACCCCGACCTATTCGTCAGCTTGGGGCGTGCGCGTGCGTACCTAATATGTAGGTCCGCCTCGCCGTATCTGGCAAGATACTTGCAAGCTGTCAAGCAAGCACAAGGTGTTTCAATGCATACGAACAGAAACTTGGTTGGGGCTCGTAGGCTTACAGTCCCCTGTCCCTTGTTAGAAAACCTAAACTTGCTATATAAGGTGGCAGCAGCAGCAGTTGACAGCTGAAGCTTTCTTGCATTCCATAATTTTCAATGTGCTCTGCTACTTGGTTATCATCAACAGAACTTATTGGACTCACTAATATCTTCGTTGTGGATCCTTTGTGTTCACAACATACGTCGACTTCCACTCTCAGCTGTAGAATATCGAACTCACTCTCAAAGGTCAGAGCTTGTTTCTCGTTTAAGTACTCGCCGACACGTCTCCCTACCCTCCTTCTCATTCTGCCTTCCCTTATCAACAAAACCGCGCCAAGCTTCATTTCTGCTATACACACGGATCCATCAACACGGTGTATTCTCTATATTGCACACCAGCCGCTTTCTTAACACTTTTGAAGCATTACAGACGATATGGATGCATTCATCTTCTTCTTGGCCTCGTTCACAGTATGGGCCTGCGTGCTCGTAACACTAGACGTTATGCTGTTGTTCAGGCACCATTCGTGGGTCGCAAGATGTCTGAACAGGCTCTTGGGACGAGACGACACCGTAGCTGCCGCCCTCCTTTCTGAGATCTCAAGGCCGGTGGACGAGGGAATAGTTGTTACGATTGTCTTCCAGCTTGAACACGTTAATCAACTTTTGGATGATACCATTGAGAAGCACCGCGAGATCGACCGGTTGCTTCACGAGAGTAATGGAGAAGTTTTCCGTAATGGTTAAAATTAATAATACTGAAAAACTCAGATATAGCCACTACAGCCTGTCGTCTTTTTTTTTTTCTTCAAATAGAGACAATGCGAATGTGTTATTCAGGTGGGAGTAGCTTTTATTTACAGACGTCTCGAAATGAGACGAGAATGCATCATGCTCAACTATCTTATCAATCAAAGTAACAATACCCTGCCTGCAAGGTGCCACTGTACACTTCCAGGCTCTGTCTAGTCTAGAGATGCAGAACCGGTCTAAGTTCGGCAGCCGTGGGGCTGGCATTTGCATCTCGACTACTTACCACAACAGGCTCCGCAAAGCGTACCTTGGACTTGCGCTCCTGGCGGGCAAGCTGGGCCTGATGAGCATCCCCAATCAGAACTTGTTCTTCCGATCCTTTCCGTCCAATCGTCTTGCAAAGCCTGGCTTCTACACCGCGGGCGTAGTACAATCCCGCTTCGCGGCTCAGTTCCCGGTCCCGCCCAGCGTTGGCCACGTCTGTGCAGAACGACTGAAGTCTCTCGCACCGCGCCATGATTCGCCCGTCTACATCGCACTCTTGAGCAATCTCACAAACTGCGTCGACCTGAAGCAAGACTCGTGAGGCATCCAAGAGGGCCAATCCGCGTCTTGACAAGAGGGCGAGAGTTTCGCGTTCCAAGACGTTGAGTTGAGTGTTGAAAGTGGCCATCTTTGTCTATCGGATCAACGAGAGAAGCTACTACCTAAGAGAAGAATCGCAGGTAGGAGGCACGAGTGAAGGAGATCAGTAAGACAATGTAGTATATATAAGAACAATTGGAAAGAAATGCGCTGTATCTCATGCGGTACCGGCTCACTATGCGGGAATGTCTGTCTATTTAAGTCAATATGATAATCATTGTTCCCGAAAATGAGTTTGTTCATCCTTCGAAGGCTGCGGACAAGGAACACGAACAAAGAAATTGGGCACAACACAATGGACGGCACGATTATATTATGAAATAAAGACATCGACATGAGAAACCAATCTCCTCGACGTAGCCAATCATCAATGATCGAGTCTTAGTGCAATACACCGATAGATCCCAAATTCAATCTGCGTGTCAGAAGGTGTCAAATCATTCAACTGCAGTATCTACATTACTAGAATTCTATTATAAAACAATGATTCGGAAAGCCGTACTTGCTTTGGACATGAAAATCACCAATAAGTGTAACAGAGGGGTCCTGCCTGGGGATCCATGGCCTCGCTGACCTTTCGGTTGGGTCCTAGTGGGCTAAAGTCCATTTCGTAGTCAAGCGTGACGTTGTTGTATTCGATATCACCAAAGAAGTTGAATGGATAAGCGAATTGCGTGTCGGGTCCGGCAATCTCGGACTTGCGCTTCTGCCAGTCTAAAGGGGAAAGTCAAGTCAGCTCTAGAACTGTACCACAGCTCGGGGATGTTTTATTCAGTGACTCACCTAGCTTCTGCCAAGTGTACCATATCCGGTCCATGTTGGCGTGCTGTAGAACATTGTCAGTATTGTCTGCAGGCATTCCTCAAGTGCATAACAATTGCTGTTGGGACTCACATGTAGATAGAAGAGTGGATCGCCGGGCGACGAGTACACATTGCCCATTTCGCCTAGGTCGCCTCCGACCGACAAGTGGCCGCCGCCGTGGTACGTCAAGGCCTCGACTTCGATGCCGCCCTGCACACGGACATCGAACTCGGCAAAAGTCGGGGCGAGAAGAGGGTAGAGTTGGGCAGTGATGTTGAGTTTCTGCACCGCGAGACTAGGTGCAAGATCTCGGGTCAGACAGTGAGGACTGTAGGATGTATTGTAGCCTATGAAAGTCAGAAGGATTGTCGTAACTGAGTAATCTTGGGGTAACTGACCAGGTCCCATATTGACCGTCATGTTCTTGAAGGGGCCATCAAGGATGCAACCTCCGCGAAAGTTAGCGATATCACACCGTCAAGAGAAGATGGACTCACCGCCGCCTGTTTTGCCTGGAATATGAAGCCGGACGCTCGAATCGTTGGAAGAGTCTATGTAGGGACCGTTGCCTGTACCATTGCTTTAGTACAAATTATCGCGTCATGTTTCTTTCGCGGGACATACCTCCGAATCCATTAACGGGATCAAAGACAGGAGCTGCGAGGAAGGTATCGTTTGAAAAGGCATCGAGAGACCAATCTGCTACACTTTAGTAAGTCATCTTGAGTTTTCAGATTTTGTACCTACTCCAATACCTATGAACAGTTAGTGATGGAGTGCCAAGAGGTTCTGGGTTTACTCACGGTTGAGCTCCAGTATAGCCACAGACAGATCTGAGCTCGGACTCATACTGAGCGACAAACATTCGGTGCCATCTGATAACGAGCATGTAAGCTTCATGTGATAATCGCCCATGCAGTGTGACTAACGGCTGGAAGAACCCGACAAAGTGAATAAAGTCAGTTCGGTTAATGTGTTCGGCCATGAAGTCATCGTAGCGCGAGCGAACGCCGGCATATGTTGACTGTGTCTGGGCGGGAGCCTTTTGCAAACATTTTACCGCCGAAATGTAGCTTTGCTTCTCACTGTTGCTGAGTGTTCGCCTACACAATCCGTCAGTATATGTAACTTAGCACAAAATATTATCACTCATGGATTGCCTTACCATTCTCTGCGCACCAGAGGGTTCCGGCAGGCGGCGACAGCTGAATCGATCTGGGCCAGAACCAGAAGGATGGCGGATACGGCACTCACCGCGAACTGCATGTTGACTGCGAAGCGGTCGTATAATAAAAAAGAGAAAGAATATACGTGACGAAACTTAAAGGTAGTGCACGCCAGGGCTTCCCTTCGCTTCCTTTGCTTGGCGTGTCTGGGAAATAATGAGTGACCGAGAAACTGACGTGCTCAGAATCCCACCATGCAGAAACACACACGACAAAAAAACGGGAAAAGGAAAGAGGCAATATGTAAATTGGTGACGGAAGTTTATATGGGAAAAAACAAGCCACTCCCGCTCAGCCGCCTCCCCCACATGGACCGCGAAAGGAATCGCTTAAGCATGCAAGATAAGAGCGTGCAACCTCTTGAACATAACGAGAACTAGATGATCTGATTTCGGCCCACAAGTGATATTACGGCCCGGGAGGTGGCTGCGTGTTCTTGAGCAACAAAATGCCTGATAAACTGTTGGCAACGAACCCGAAGATTTGGTTCGCAATTATAGAGACCCTCTTTTGCGTTTTGGAACTATTGGTTCTCCATCCCACAAGAGGAAGTGACCGGTCCGTGCAAAGTCGTCTTTCCCTTCTCTCCCCAGGGTTATGTGGAATCTGCCGTTATATGCAGGAGCGAGACAAATCATACGTAAAACATGCAGGCCAAGGTCCCATCATTGGTATATTCCCAGGTATCCATGAGTATCCAGAGCACGCTTGGATGCATTTATTCTTTTTTTCCGAGTACGAATAAGTATTTTCCTTTTCCTGTGCCGTTTGGCCGCAGACACCAAGCCGGTTCTCTAAATCGGCATGTGCAAATTGCGGCCTTTAGTCTGGAAGATTCGAAATGCGGGCTCTGTTTCAGCAGCTGAAGAGACAATACTTGAGAAAGAAGCACTTGGCGATAATAAATTTGTGTGAATCCCCAAGGCTTAGAATGATGCTGGCCATGTCGCTGCTGCTAAGGAGAGAGGTACGACTGGTGAATGGTCTTTCATAAGATTGTCTAAATTTGGTGGCGGTTTCTGAACTCGCTTGATTCATTAATTACAGGCCAACTGCTGCCCTTGCCATATCATTTACACAGTTGACAGTATCATGCCAGTTCTCCAAGCTATAGAAAGTCGCGACCGCCGGCGGATCATGTCTCAGAACAGATCATAAGCCGAATTCATGGCTTCTCGGGCCAGGTCAGGATTTCATCCGACCCTTGGCAATTTCGGATGACCCCTGCCAGGCGTCCTTGTATACTATAACGCCCATAGTAAAGTGCAGGTGGTATACAAGAAGCTAGTGGAGACAATTGGTGTGTGGTGGGCCGATCGCCTCGGGAGGGACAAGATCTTGTGCTACAACCCTGGTCCTGGGGCTGGAGGTGGACTCCCTGTCAAAGTCTCCAATCTACTATGTACAAGGGGCGAAAAAGACCCCTGACAGCGAGAGTCGGCAAGGTCGGTCAGGACTTGAGCCGAGACGCCATCGAGGGATAATTTCAGGGGCACATCCATCGGTTTAACTGCACGGGAAAATTAACATGTTTTGGTCCGGCCATGCGGCCTCTCGAGACGCGTGTCTTGATAACAGTCGATTGAGTGTTTTCCATGGAAGCGAGGTCAATCGCGGCTGATCAGCATGGGGCACAGCTTTCCCCAAGACGACCACGGAACATTCGTTCCTCAAACGCTCAATGTAGGGTTGGCGCTACTTTATACTGTGGTACGCCTTGAAGAATGGGCCATACTCATTGGCCCGGTCACTCAGATACTTGGACTTGTTGAACGGCTGCATGGTTATTTAGGAATGACCAAGTCAACCTATCAGCTTCGAGCTCGAGTATTCACAAAGGTCATAGAGGTAATCGCTCATCAATCAGACAACACGACATTTATTCCTAGAGCCGAAGATGGTATATAGTCACAGGATCATACCGCAACAGCCTTGGTGTGACAACAACCTCCACTGTAAGCCTTGCCATGTTTTGACATCCTCATAGGACCCGGTGACAAGCATAGCGGACCACAAAGTTCATTGCACGGCGGTACCCGTAGTCTTGCAACTACTGAAACCGACAAATTTGGGCGTGACTGAGCCTCTCGTCGCTTACGAGGTATAGTAGGCAACGACTTCAGCGAGCGTCTCATTCAAGTCGTCAATATATCCCTGAGCAATGCTCTTCGCGGCATCTGGCACCTTTGTGAGAATCGTCACCCCAAAGGCGTTGGTCGCAGCCTGGAGCTCAGTAAGATATGCGAGCAGCTCGTCCACGTAGTCGATCTCCTCGACGAGAGGCTTCTTCTCCTCCACCACGGACACGAGGTCGTCAATGGTGCCCTCAAGGCTAGTGACGGTGCCGGCGAATCCAAGTGCCTCAATGAGAGTAAGCTCATTGCTGGCCGCCGCGATCTCTTCGGCTGAGTTGATGCTGGCAACCAGGTCGGCGCCTGCGGTCTCGATGCCTGGAATGGCACTCGCATCTGTGGCTGCTTCAAAGAGGTCTCCCAGAGTGACTGCCTTGGCCTGGGCAGCCTCGAGAGCATTCCTGATCTCAATGGCGCTGCGTCGAAACAAATCGGTAGGCGCCGAGACGCTAGAGGGGAGAGCTGCGGCAAAGCTCGCCAGGGAAACGAAGCCAGTAAGATAGTTTGAGAACTTCATATTGACAAGTGAGGACAGAGACTTTTGACTGCGGTTTATGGAGGACTTTCTGTTGAATGCTGAGTCGAATGGATGCTTCTTAGTCGTCCAGAAAAGGAGCGAGATCTGTCATATTTGTACTCAACTTCGATACCCGTCTCCCGACCTCGAGTTTGTCCTCAAAGGCAAAAACAGAGCTCACGATAGATTTTGTCGTTGAGAAACTGAGCCGAGGCATGCAAATCTCCCACTGCAATGACCACAAAAGAAGGCATCGTGTAACAGCTTGAAGATGTCCTTTGACTATGCTGACCATAATGGAAAGATGAGTCCCTCGGCATGTCACTCTGAGCGTCGATTCTGATATTCGTCATCTGGGGTACTGCGGAGGTCGTATTGCCAAGAATTCAACCATCGTGGCAAGCCATTGAAGTGGTAGGTAGCGCCCTCTCGTGACTTGACATAATCATGGCACAATGCTTTGCCATGTGCCAAAGCTTCATGGACTGTGCCGTGAATGTTCTAGATGGCTGTTCAACTGCTGTATTCAGCTATTGTCGAAGCCAATCGTGGCATTGCTTGGGGAGCCATGAAAGAGGGCGGCGTCGCAATTGGAGATTCCTCGGTAGCGAACACTTCTATAGTCCAAGCCTGGAATATTTGAAAAGTGTGGGGTACACCTTCGCATGCAACAGACATCTCCCGAGGCTGCATTAATGCGGAGAACATTTGGTCCTGTCAATGCAACCTGAATAGAGGCTGTCATCGTAGTTTCGCTGACAAGAGAATATACCATTTCTGCTATCAAGCATTTGTCTTTACGAGTCATTGCACTGCCCAAGAGAGGCGCATGTAGCTGATGCTCGCCTGCTGCTCGCTCTCGAGGTGAACATGGAAAACAGTTGACCTCGGCATTTGTCAGGTTTGCTTGTAATCGAGTGGCTGCTCAGAGGTCGGGCAGATTTCCGAACCTAGTAATCAGAAGCGGATTTGGAGTATATGAGTGAGAGCACTTGAGAGTGAAGGTTTGAGTTAGCCAAGTCATAAAGCCACCAGGTGAGGCCGATCTCCAGACCAGATTGATCCGGTGTCTTGGCTGGCGAAACGCCAATCAAGCGTTCTCACTCTTTTATTCAAGTCATCCAGGGCATCTGCTGTGCTGATTAATTCTGGGGGTCTGCCTCGAATCCCTTGAGCAGTCGTATCCCGATGAGAGATAGAATCAGGCCCCAGGTTTTCAAAGGCAGGAGCTCCAATGGTGACCATCAATGGGAGAGCCACATGCAGAGACTGTGTTGAGTACAAATGCATAATGTTGGCTGCAGGTTTCTGATGTGTCAGTGAAAGCTTGATATTTGTCATCAAGCGTTCTGCTGCTTCATGTTTCGCCTCTAATGATGAATTCTGCTTCCGGATTTCATTTGACAGAAGAAGGGTGTGGAAACCAGGCAGCTCATGGAGTAGAAGAAACAGTGCACTATGTTAGGCCGTTTGGTGGCTAGCACTACATTAGCACTAGGGTCGATCTCCCAAGCTTACCGTAGTCTGTTTAGTGGGGATTAGTGGGCTCAGCACAAGCACTAGCCAGCAGATCAGCCTTCCAAGGCACCTTCCATGCAGTCGCGTTCCATACACACTGAGCAAGGACGAGTGACTTGATATGTAAAGTATCGGAGATGCCAATTCAGGCCTATTTGGCTGACAATTCAAATGGACATGATGTGGCCAGAATGACAGTTTGCAACGAGTCAGACACCTACATTATGCATGGAAATGCCATGTCCATGTGTTCGGGGACCTTGCAGACAGTCCCAAGAGCTCATTGTGTAGTGCAGCAGGGCTTGTCTGCCTGCCCGCCTGCCCGCCTGCCTGAAAGACCTGGAAGTAGTCGCGTAGTGGAGCAAATGGAGCTAAACAAGCTCTTGCCATTCATGTCTGCTCACCAAGCAAGCATCAATCCCCATCAGCCCATTTCTCGGCTTGGCATTCCGAGAATTTCCAAGGCCAAAACCCAAGCACCGTTTTGCTTGGCAGCTCAAGCCCTGGGCTATGTACAGAGTACCTGGGATTTTCCAGACGTCTCTTGTCCGCGGGGGAATTTCCCGTTCATCCTTGCTAACTCGGTCCGTTGATTCTCACTCGAGAACTCTGTAGTATCTTTGGCTGATGCGGCCGCCCATGTGAAGGCCCTTACAGCACTCAATCAGGATGTTCTTGGTTTTTTCTCTCTTTCCATCCATTTTCCATTGTCTCTGCTTTCCAATCTCGTTTGCAGAATATATGCAAGGTCTACTAATTCCAAAGCCGGCGTGGCTGCAGCACTCCCTGCACCTCATCTGCCTGCCAATAAACAGCCTTTCATAGCCTCTGAAAAGCAGCAAATAACGTGGCAGAGTCTTATTACCTGGCTCTCTGTGACATATTCAGGTCCACGAATGACAACAACCCCGACTTGGTGCTGTACCTCCGCCAGCCTCCGGTACCGAACTATACTACCTGTAGCGAAGAACAATTTTCCATAGAGTATCCTGGCTTATTTTTGGCAATACACTCCAAACTGGCATACCCATTGTGCTCCCTCAGTGGAATAGGTTTTGCCCATTGTCTGCCAAAACTTTGAAAATCACTTCACCGACAAAAAGATTCTTCTATCTCTGAAACTGCAGTGGCGTCGCCACGAGCCAGTAACAACGTGGCCCTTTTTTACTTTTTTTTCTCCAGGGACCTCCGCCACAAGATCTTGTGCAACAGCGTACAACAGCACAGTTCCCATCCGAACGCGGGCACTATTAGGAAGTAAAGTCTCCAATATCGACGTCTTCGCCTACGCACAAGCGAATCAATGGAAATAAAGACAAATATTAAGCGCAATGTCAGCTATCTCGATAAAGATTGAGCATGACGCGGCCTGGAAAAAATTAAGGCATTTAATCTACAACAGCATAGACGGAGCTCAAGGGGCAATCATTTCGGCTGCAAGCCTGTTTTAACTTTGAACATACATCAAATTCCACGCCTGTCCAGAAAAGGAAGAACTACACATTTTTGTGTAAAACAATAAGCAAAGTCTACCGACACAAGGACCGTCTGTTTGTCTCTACCAGGGTCTCCTTGGTTGGTCAGGGTGCCACGCAGTACCCGTTTCGTATCAACACCGCAAGTTCGTCGAGCAATCTTTCTTCAATGTGTTCTAGACGTCTCTGCCACGAAAATTTGCTATCTGCTGAATGAACTCGCTTCCACACGACTTCTGTTCCCCCACTCACTGTGCCGGGATGAGAAGGACATTGGATGGTATGCGATCTACCTTCATCGCGTCTTGCACGTTGATCTAATTACACAAAGGCAATGACTTGATTCTGATTGTTCATTGTACACAACAATTTTTCTTCTTCAAGCTTCAGCAATCTTTCAAGACGCCCACGGCAATCCAGCACGCCATATGAACGCAAATGAGTTTCTTTGGTGGCTGGACTACCCCTGCTTCCTTGCACCTAACTACTCCGAATAGGTTGTACAAACTCCCAAAGCAGGCGATAGAGGTTATCCAGTATTGGGGTGGCCGGTGGATCGTCACCATACATGGGCACTGCATACCGATACTATTAGCAGGACCCAACGTCTGTATCGTGCCGTCTCTGACGGTATAGTTTCATAATCGTCCCAAGCACACAAATGACCCTTGGGGTACCCCCAAACCTGGGCTAATGTCCATTCATGCATGAGTTCTCCCCGGGCAAGAGGCGCACTTCCCCATCCCTCCACGAGCCTAGATACAAAAGAAGACCGAGAAGCGATCGAATAAAGTCGAGTCAGGTCGATTTATCCGCGTCACCATACAAGGACGCCAATCGATAATACTAACCTAGAAGGCTTGCCAAGGGGCTGTCCTGACTCTTTAGAGTTGGCTCGGACCTTTTCAAAGTCGCCAGCCCTGCCGTTGCACTACAGCAGAAGAAAGGCCACCCTCCACACATCTTGTATGGTCGAATTGCGTCCGTGCCAGCGGGACAAGCCTTTCGCCATTTCAAAGAGACCCAAAGTATAAACTTCAAGCCGACCGGGATGGCCAGTCCACATTAAACCCGTGGCCAAGTGCATGTCTTTCTTTTTTGAGTTTCCTGGTTCAGCGTGGACCCGAATGACAGCTCCTTCAACCATACACCATATCTTTACCAACCGTTCATCTACATGGTGATATCAACTAGAAGTTGATCCAACTATCGCAGTAACCATGAGTAACTCGACTGCGCCGCCCGAGTTCACCGTATTCGACCTGCCGCCGGACTCTCGGGGCAGTGTGCTGGTCAATGTCAATCTCGCGCTCATTGTCATTTCTAGCACATTGCTGTTTACTCGATTATATGTCCGAGGGTTTATGGTGAAGGCTCTTGGCTTGGACGACTTGCTCGCCACGATCGCATATGTATGAAGCCCGTATATGTTGCAGAAATTCCGCGCAACACGTTACTAAATACTAGTAGTTAATACTAACAACGCAATCTACGCTCGAGATCCTGGCTGTAGGAGTTGGGTCTGGTACCCATATGGATGATGTCCCTCCAGAGAGAATACCGACATTTTTCTCCGTCAGTTGACCCGTGGCAATATATACATTAGTTGACAAGTACAGCTGACACTTTTCTTTCAAACAGTATCTTGTTACATTACAGCTATTGTTCTTCTGGGCGACGTGCACCGTGCGGCTCTCCATAGCAGCCTTCTACCCACGTCTGAGCCAGGATAGTAGGTTCAACGAGATCAAATATGACATGTCTGATTTGGTCGCTGACAGCGTGTATCAGGAAATTATCTTAGATGCATTTACTTGGTCGCCTTTGTCATCATAGCAATCACGCTGACTGCATTCTTCTTTGAGCTGTTCGAATGCAAACATATCCCGTAAGTGTCTGAAGACATGGACTTGGCAAAAGTGGTTTTTGGCTGATAACAGGTTCTAAAGCGATTTGTGGGACATCACAGCACCCGGGCGACAGTGTCTCGACAAGAGCAAGGAGGCGCCAATGATGTGGTCGCATAGTGCCGTCGGCATAATTATCGACATTTCACTCGTCATTCTTCCTATCTGGGTCATATATGCCAAAATGAAGTTTTCGGCCAAAACGGTTCAGGTCATCCTCGTTTTCTGTATCGGTATTTTTGCCATCATCACGGGTATCGTGCGCTTGATCATCAACGTCAAGACAGATTTTACTACTGATACGTAAGTCCAATGACCGTCACACAATTCACGGCTACTACAAGGGGCTAATACTGATCCTTGCGTGCTCCAGAACTTTCAAAATGGCTCGGGTAGCGCCGTGGACCGACATCGAAGGCCATCTTGGATTATGGACGGCTTGTTTCCCAGCCCTTCAGCCGCTCATCCGACTGGCAAGTTACAAGCTGGGACTGAGGTCGACGCTTAGCAGCACTGCGAAACGATCACGGACGGCGGGTGCCAGCGGCGGCGCACAAAAGTGGCTCAGCAGCGGAAGCCATCACCGGAGCGCGCTGAGGTCGCACGGTTACATGAGTTTCAGCAGCGGCGACGACTTCAAGGTCGAGGACACGCGCAGTGCCGTTGTCGTGGGCGGCGGTACCGGTACCGGTATCAACGGTGTCAGTGCTACAGACCTTGAGCTACGAGATCTGGAAGCTGCCCGGATCCTCGACCGCGACGGCGGCGAGCACACCGACCCCTCCAGGAATGTCATCTTCAAGAGAACCGACGTCAAGGTGCAGATTGTGGACGCCAATGACCACCCTGACAGTTGAGAGACCTTATTTTCATATTTTCTACCTACTTTTCTCATGCTGTCTCGGCGGGCTCGAGCGCAAATCTTGATAATGTTTCATGGTGGCATTTACAGGGAGTTTTGGAGATTATGTTTACCTGTGGCGGAAAAAAAACAAAAGCTTTTCTGATCTTTCCTGTATTTCCATGATACCACTGCTGTTATCCCCCACCGGTTGGTTCACTGGCGATTGTGTATAGCACTAGATTATAGTTTCTGTGATCCTGGCATTGCTAGGCATGCCAAGCAATGGGAAGAATTGTATCATTTCTGGATAGAGGAACCAGAACTCCTGTTTGCGATAGAGTATCTATAATGTCATTATTTTGCCTTGTGGCGAATCATTTGCGATCAGATCTGATCGACATGTACGCAAATAGGCAGTTGCTCGCTCGCAGCGGCTGTTTAAAATTATGCTTAAAAAGTTGCAACCTTCCCGCTTCCATTTCCCCGCTGCAACATCTGTGCTCGAGCAGCAATGTATGCATAGACAATGATTTTTCGAGCTTCCCGCAAAGGGCCTTGGCAAGTTTTGTCCAGAAAACACAATGCACCTCTGTGTGATTCCGACCGCTTTGTCCTTTGCTCGCCACAGAGAAGCGAACGACTCCTCTACCACCCTGACGTCTCCTTCACTTCATACTTTCCCACAATGCATTATCCCATCTCACCGCAAAGCTCGGCAAAAGTGTTGCATTCGCTTCACCTCGCACTCGATTAGCTGTGATTTGAGGGAAGCTGTAGCACCAAATGCAGGTGCATCTAATTCACCGAGCAGTCCCAGATGCGAGGGTGCGGCCGACTGACCGATTCCGGTCAACCCCGCGAAAAGCGAATCGACGACACCCCGGTGTTTGGACAAGAAACCATGTCTTGGTTCTCCATCCAGTTCCAGACCACTGGGTATCACCACCCCCCAGTCGGGCGCGGAAAACCCGGGCGAACCCCCCATGCTTTGGTCTGAACGAGCTATAGTCGCGACATTGGATGCCCGATCCTTGCAATGGACCCAAACCCGGGTAAATAAGCTTGGTTCAAGAAACCAGGGTAATAGTGTTCTTGTTTCTCAAGACCATGTCCGGGGGCATCGGAGCATCAAATAGTGCTTCAGCTGGGTGGTATTTTTACCTCGAGAACAGGCCTAGTAGTAGTGACGGTTGAAATGAGTGAATAATCATCAGGGGCCGTCTTTGGCGTCAGCGTAGGCTCCAGAACATATCACCGCATGAATGGGTTTGACCAGGACATGGTGAGAATGTATTCATAGGACAACCCAATCACAAGCGACTGCCCACCGGCCTTCCGGCCCAAGGTTGATCTCCCAGACAGGTTTGGCAATTGCCACGAGAGCTCCGACGATGACTTCGTTTCTTCTCGCCAGATCAAGCAAGCGGCCCTCTCCCGCAAGCATCACCTGTAAGCTTGGGACTGTCGCCCGGTGTTGTGTCGTAGAGCTATCGTCTGGGACAATGTGCCCCTTGACGAGAACCATGCTCTGACCATGCCGGAACTCTTCCACGGAGATTCGCGCCACGAAATCCCCGTCTCGTTTGGACCCCGTATTGGATTCAATGTCCATGAGCCAATCTCTGACTTGGGCCGCAAGTCCTCCTGGGACATCTTTAGTGCCTCTCCTCCGTGGTGAAAAGGCGTCGGGCAGCGGATCATGAGTTGTGCCCTCTGGTCGCTCAACCGGCTTGAATCTTGGTGCTCTTTGAAATGTTGGCTGTTGAACATTCACCCCCGGTGACTCTGGTGCATCCGAGTTTGCTGTCGACTCAAAATCATCAGGATTGTCCAGATGCTCGTCGTCCGACTGCGCGGCCCTTATCTCGTCTAAAGGATCTGTCCAAGGCAAGGTAGGCTCATCCTCATCCTCCACTACCGAAGATACCGATAAGCGCCGCCGCTTTGGAAAAGGCGCCCCATGCTCGGGGTCGCTCTCTTCGACGTGAAACCCATGATCCGATGCCGCAGCCGCTGCAAAGGACGACGACGGAATGGACTCGACCTCGATGGAGTCTCTGAAGATCTTGGACGGCTGCACGTCGGGAGGGGAGCTGTCTATGACATCATTGATGTCTTCCGTCTGGCGTTGGCGCGCAAACGTCGCCGGACGCGCCGGCGTGGACGATGGTTGCAAAGCAGGCGGCTCGCGCGGTGTAGAATGCAGCGAGAACCGCGGCGTGGCATGGAACTGCTGCGATCCGCTGGCAAGCGGCTTTGGAGTGGCAGCTCGCTGACTTGCCGTCCTCTTTGGGATCAGAAATCGATGAGGAGTTGGTGTCTTGATTGATCGTTAGCCTTGAACGATGCGTGCTCCCCAGAGTTGAGTAGGGCGGTAAATGGAAACTCACTGATGGAGGAGGCGCCATAATCCGTCCAGGCTCTCAACTCCGATCATTGAAGGAGGATTCGTCCCCCGCGGCTACCCTGAAGCAAGCGCCGTCGTGCGAGCGATTACACACGGTATCATCTGCTCGCCATGGGGAAATTACCAAAAGAAAGTGTTATAAGCCAAAGATAATTCGTGACTTGGAGATATCCTGTTCCAGTAGTGCATCAGCACGAAGTTCAGAAGCCAGGCAACTGGACTGAAACGGCCAGGCACCTAAGTGCAAGCTTCCTAGCGCCACAATTGCAGGTAAACGGCACTGTGGCTCGTGCCCGGACTCCTGGATCCGAAGTAACCTGGAATTGGCATCAGATTTTTTATCCATTAGTACGGGTTAAAAAAAAAACTGATAAATTAGAAAGAACGAGCTCATTGAGGATTTAAACAGTGAGGCTTCTATGAATTGACATTTACAGTTGTTTCTTCATAAACCATGGGAAACCCGTGCCAAAATCCAATGACGGTTCCAACGTTAGCCGTCAGCAATTAACCATTCTAACCGTTTGGGACCCTCATCAAGCTGCCAAACTGCTTATTTCTCAAATCATTTGAATACCACCAAATAATTACATGCAGATAAAAACAGTCCAACTCATCATCAAGTATCAAATACACACACACCAACCCGGCAGGGATCATCTTGGTGTAGGATCTGTACTTGGCACCGGCAAACAGAGTGCGAGCAAAGCGCATGGACTTCCAGTCGGGTGCCACGCAAGAGTTTGCTTTGACATCAATGGCCTCCGAGTCGTCCATGATGAAGAGCGATGCTGTAGATAGACTATAGAGCACAATGGTCCAAGTACTGGCGCCATCACCCTCAAGGGTTACGTCGGCATACGCCTCCAGCTCGTGCATGATCACTGCCTGCGTACCGCGGTACTTCTCAGCATAGTTGACAAGTTTTTCATTGAAGAAAATGTAGGCCACCATGTACGAGAATTGGTTGGCTCTTGTGAGTATATAAAGACGAGTGGGTAGCCCTGGTCTCAGCCTGAAGCTCTTATTCTTTCTGCACTCCAGACCGGAATTCTATTTACCATCATCACTATAATATTTCTCTTTTTCTTTTTTAAATTCCTATTCACTTTAGATTTTTAAGTAAATCAAGATTTAATGTATTATTTCACGTGAGTCGATGCTTAACCTTACAAAATTTTCAATGACCCAGAAGCCAATGATAAGTAAAGGGAGAATAGTTTGAATTCCAAATCTAAGTAGGTACATTATTTGTAAATGGGGAAATCTAGGAGAGTCATGCTAGTCTTTTTTTAATAACTAGGTGTACAAAAAAGGTCTTGTAAAGAGACCATTTACCAGGGCAGGATGCCACCGTCAAGGTCAATAATACCCGACTCCTTGCCGAATTTCGCAATGTCGTCGTCTCTCTTGCCCATGATGGTGTCAACCAGAGCGTAGGCTGCGTCCTTGGCATCTCTAGCACCATACTGGATGCGCATCTTGCGACCAGCCTCGCCAGTAAGATTGGTCACACACAGACCGGGGTTGAAAGAGCAGACCTTACACCAGTCCTCGTAGTTGGCCTTGTGGCAGGCAGCCAGCATGTTGAGGGCGGCCTTGCTCATACGGTACGTATCGCCGCGGATCTTGTAGTTCTTGGCGCTCTTGTCGAGGCGGCCAGTGATGGAGCCCTGGTCGGAAGAGACGTGGATGAGGCGGGGGTCGGAGGACTTTTTGAGGAGAGGCTCAAAGACCTCGGTGCAGATGGCGGTACCAAAGGTGTTGGTCTCAAAGTGCTCGCGCAAGCTGGTCAAGGTGTCGACATCGGGGCGGTAGACGATGATGCCGGCATTGTTGACCAGCACGTCTAGCTTGCCAAACTTGGTCTCGACCTGGTCCTTGGCGGCCTCGATCGAATTCCTATTGGTAACGTCGATCTGAATGAGCTCAATCTGGTCCTTGATCGAGGGGTGCTCGACAACGATCTCATCAACGACCTTTTGGCCCTTTTCAACGGATCGCGATCCGAGAAGAACGTGGTAGTTGGGAGATGCCTTGGCCAAAGCAATGACAGTCTCCAGACCAATGCCACTGCTGGCACCTATCAGAGAAAAGTTAGATCATTGTTGATTCCATGAGTTGATTGCCATGGTAGTCTTACCAGTGATGAGAACGACGGTCTTGTCAACAGACATTATAGTTTGTATTGGTATTCGTTTTCGTTGGAGAAATGGAATGATTTAGAAGAGAGATGGAGGGAATGCTTGAGTGTCGTGATCTGTAGAGGCGAATGGGTTGATGTTGAGAATGATGATGATAATTAGATTCGGGATGTGATCGAGAAGAAACAAACATAGATATAGTCATGGTTGAAGTCAGCCAAACACCATAACGGATTAGCAAGTCCGCCGCTACGTCCGTGATGATCGACGGCCGGAAGTCCCTGGACTCGGCAGTCCCAAAGGCCCTCTGCAGCCACAAAAGCGACGCCCCCACACGGGGCCCAGTATAATGCCAGCCCCGGACAACGGCCGTCGGTCGTCGGTGTTCGGGCCTGGTGTCTGCCTAACAAGGACGCTAACATGCTGTTGGATCCAGATTCCAGCGCTTCACAGCCCTACCCCCACTATACAATGCTGCAAGAACGAAAGGACCCTGTGATAAAACGCACACTGATAGTAATACAAACGCCGTTCAATGTTTGCGGCCCTCGGTGTGCTAGAGACATATTCTTGTCCAGGCATCTCACAGCTCGTGAATATCATCTTGGCCAACTTCATTGGGCCGCTGATCATTACTTCAACTCGGCAACAATGGTTCTGTCAATTTGTCCAATGATGAGCAATACTCGTTCAGTAATGGGTTTCTATTGTAGCTGGCGCTGGTCTTTCTCCTATTATGACTATAGTGTCGAGTATCAACGCCGAGTTTATCTGAACCATCGTGTTTTGGATAGCATTACATGTTCTAGATCCAGCACTGCTTTCGACGATACGCAGCCATTCACGTTGCTGCAACCACACTGACATTATCTATTGCCACGTTACCTAAGCCCGCTGGGCAAGTGATTCCAATAGTGAGACTATTAGCGAGACCGTCAGCAACAAAGCTTGTCGTATAAGTCTGAAAGCCCGATGGCGAGCTGACGACGGTATTTTGTAGAACCGTGCCGCCGTAGTAGCTGATAAAACGGCAGAGATATTCTCCATTTCCGTCCGGTTGAACGTCCAGAATAGAGTACTCATAGGATACGGTATAGGTGCTGCCCGTGACGAGCGCAATGGGTTGCGCGATTTGTGCGCCGGCCGACTGTGAGAGTCCGGTATTGGTGACGTATGCGCGCGCAGCATTAGCCGAATTGCTGCCTGGCTGTGTGAGGCCCGCAAATTCCTGATAAGTGGTGGTATTGCCCGTGGTCGAGGCGATCCACGGAGGGAGAGAACCGCCTAGTGCTTCAAAGCCCCCATTGATGACAAGATTGGTAGAAGCAGGACTAGAGTGGATTAGCGTTCGAAAGACAACGTGACTGCGAATGCCTTACGTAGTGGAAGTGGAAGTAGAACTAGAAGTCGAAGTCGAATCGGAAGTGGAGGTCGAAGTGGAGGCGGAAGTGATAGTCAAGGTGACAGTCGTGGTAACGGTAACAGTGTTGAAGTTCGGTTGGTATATCCCTGGGGGTGGTTTGTCGAGAAAGGGATAGTGTGGCCTTGTAAATCTATTTCCAGCCCCGGGTCTGTAATGGTATCGACCAGCTCCTTGATTGTATTCCTCGGGGTATGGTTCTTGCGCAATAGCGAGGGTAAACCAGAGAGCAATGGTCAAGAAAAGGGCGTACATCTTGCTTCTTCCACGATAATTCGATCGGTGTTGAAACACAACTGAAGGAACGCTCAAACTTCCCACCTCCCATGACGAGAAATGAGGAATAATTTTTCTATTTATACTTTTTATTCATGTATTGCCAGGTAAATTGTTTGCCGTACGCCTGAGGACATGTCGCGGCCGGGCCCGTCTATTCAACTTTGGCAGCAACTTTCAATGCGAATGAAACTACGGTAGAGCTGCGGATTATGCTAAGCTCCCGTCTCGTGGTGGCATCATTTTGGTGCCGATGGTATATGAGCCATGCCGCATTTTACCGTGTGAGAAATTTCAGGAAGCTCATCTCCCATCCCGGCCACGGGATCTCGTCAAGGGGCGAATGTTAGGCAGGCAAAAGACTTTCAATATTCTCTTCATCTCTTGACAATTATTGATTATCGATAACTCTGTGGGATACTTCCATCTAATGGGTTCTTATCATAAAGTACGACCAGAGAACCAGGAACAATCAATATCAAGATGAGTCGATTGCATGAATAGATTCAATCTTCGTTTTGGCGCAGTGGACTTGGCAAATTTGGCCAATCCACAAGAGTCCATGTAGTTGTATTCGATCAACAGCACTCATCACATGTCATGAAAGTGTCTTTGGTAAAAGTCGTTACCGTCTTTGAACCTCATACACGGGATATACTTTGTAATCTGTACTTTCGTCGTGTATGAGTCTTATTGCGCCCAGTACCAAGGCATATGCACCAACCGCCGCAAGGAGCAAGTGGCGCGGGCATTTTTCAGATAATCCTAATTATTCATCTCTATCTACCTTGGCTTAGACGAGGCTTTGAGCGAATATTCATTTCCTAAATAGGAAATGCCTCGCTCCATTCCCCCCAGTCCATAGACTGGACAAAATTATCTACGTCCATTTGTCCTACATCACCATAACTCTGATCAAGGTCACCATTGGAGAACCATAATGGAAGATCTTGACCGGGCAGCCCTTTGTGTGCCATTGCATCTGTAGATGTAGCTGGTAGCCCTTGCAAAGACAACCCGTCCAACTGTGACAGAGCGACAGAAGGACCGGCGGTATTGGCTGATTCCTCAACAGTAGCCTGCTGCTCCTCGTAGGCGCTTCTGGTCGACTCAGCTATCTGCATCTTATCCTGCTCCATTTGAGGCTCTGCGACTGACTGTTGATGACTTTGAGTCTGGCTCTCTAATTGTTGCATGCGATGTCTGTTTGCTCTCGTGACAAGCTGCTGCAGGGTTCGCCAGAGCGGGTCGGTGTGCACAATATCGGGGACTATTTCAAGTGAGCGTGTCACGAGGCTCCAAGCATGTTCTGAGGTCGAGTCCCATGGGCACGAGCAGATGCGGGCCAGAACAATGGCTAGAGGCTGCCAATACACGTTGCCCTGCACAAGCCAGGCCCATCGTTGCGTGGCTTCATTTGTTTGAAATTCAAAGAAATCTTCGATAATGGCAAGGGCAAGGGTGAACGATTTTTCATCAGGTCGATCTTCCTGAAATGAGGATTGACGCTTGTGGTGCAGGATCATAAGTTCCCAACTGTTGCAGTGCACCTTGGACAGCATGGACAGGGCGAGCTGAATTGGCTGATCCAGCTGCCAATGCCAACGCTCTGCTGATATCCTATCCTTGAAACTATGCAATTTTTCCAGCTTCTCCTGGATGTTTGCTTCTGAATCACCCTGTCCCTGGCCAGAAGACAGCTTTGACGTGACTGACTGCATGGTGCGAGTAAGCCGCCACTTCTCACAAGCTATCAGGGTGATAGTGGTATCAGTGAAGCCTTGTCTAGGGACCGGAGGATTCTTCATCCCTGGTTCAATGTCTGCATCATCGACGTTGGTAGGGTCAAGGGTATCAAAATTTCTCTCGGAAATGCCCATCTCGGGCACTTGTCCGTCGCCAAGGCGAACTTCAGTACAGCAGATGTGCCACCAAATACGTCTACGGATCTCGACTTCGAATGGAGACAGATTCGGAAAGTGAGAGCCGTCACGATGTAGTCCAATTGAAACAGCAATGCGCACTAGCAAGCCAACCAGGCACCATATGTACCGAGCCGACTCACACCGGCGGAGGGTGAAGAGGTAGAGGATGAATGCCTGCACAACAGGGAGACTAGTGGTGTTCAAGAGATCTGCTTGGCCCAATGCCTTCTCTGTTCCTAGACGCAGCTGGGCCAGGAAGTCGCCCTTGTCGCGGTTGAATGCATCTCTCACCTAAACAAGCATCAAATATCAGTATTTGCCATGTCATACTTTTGCAATTTTTAGAAATGGCACTCACCTCTTCTACGGTTAAAGAATTGACGGCTGCCATTGAAATGGCAAACATGAGTGGCTGCATCGACGAGTCTAGAGCATCGATGCGACCTCTGCACCCGTGGATGGCCTTTCCGACTGTCGGCACGTGCAAGATGTGAACAAATGGGCTCACCAAATCCACGAACGTCTGCCATATGAAGAACATCTCTGCAGGAAGCGGTCGCAGTTTGTCGAGATTCTCCATGTTGCTCTCCGCGCCATCGCCTTTGCTATTGCCAAAGACAAAACAGGGATTGACTGCAAAGGTGCTCTTGGCAGGAGGCAAGAGATTTGACTCATACGTTGAATCATTGTCCGTGTCTTCGGGTGCGAGCTCATCAAACGTCTCACGGATTATTCTGATCTGAGGACAGTCAATATACCGCGGGAAGATTCGGGGACTTATTCCGTCCAGAATATGTAGAGACTTACCTCGCGGCGCAGAGCAGCCCAGAAATGGTCCCCGACATAAATACTGCCTTTCTCATCGGATGGCGTGGCCTGCTGCTGTTGGCTCTGCGGAGGCGTGAGCCCTAAGCCGCTCGGTGGACTGAAACTGGAAATGCTGTCATCCCGAGGGCGGCTATCCAGATGCAAAGGTGAAGCCGCAAAGCCGTCCGCCTCTGAATTAGCGCTATCACCTGTCATGCCCTGACTGGAAGATGGAGCCGGTGTGCCTTCACTTGAAGGAGCCGGTCGGCTCTCCAGCTCCGTGTTCAAACTGACCACGACCTTTTCCAAGCGCCGAATCCGGTCCATCAACTCGGCCTGTTTGGCCTTGGGTCGCGCTAGATCACGTTGCGGCTCCGGGCGTCGAAAGACACGACCAGACGTAGGAAAGACGCATTCTCGCAAGCCCTTTACACAATTGGCGCATGGATAATGGCGATCACATCGTACTTTGCGCCGCTTGCAGTTCAAGCAATTCCATTGATGTTCTGCGGGATCAACACTCGACATTTTGTGTGTGAGTAGATTACAAGTGCTTTGGAACGACGAACTCGGTGTCGCGTAAGCAAAGAGGTCTACCAAGTCCGCACGATAACGTGGCCGCGGAGGAGAAGGCGTCTCTGGGTATTCAAGATCCCTTTACATGGTTAGCTAAGACTAGACTAGTATATACGTTATCCCCGCCCAGACATATTTATAGATCCCATCACTAGTTCGCGCGGCACATCACCCGCTAAACCCTGCAGAGTGTGTGCTTGTCTGCATCTATTAGGACCCTGCAGCAGTCCCGAGTATGCTTGGTACGTGAGCCCATGTTATTCGCGATAGGATGGTCGGCCACGATCATTACTTGAAAGTGACAAGTCTCCTATCAGCAGTGCCCTGGAGAGATTATCAGAGAGTTGTGCCCACTTGTCCATCATGTGATGAAATCCACGTCCGATTCATGTTGCACTATACAAAAACCCGGATTATGCCAGTTTGTACTTGCAACTCGGCAGTTGAAAACCTCATGTTCATCCAGTCTAGCTTCTTTGGCAAATGGGGAGTCTTGGATCTGATTCCTTCGTACAAGTGAATCGTTGCTGATGTTGACAGTTTGATCAGGCTGCTGAAAAAGTGGCGCGCCGCTTTGCGTTATGGTCCCACATGGGGGCTTGGAACCGGTTTGTTGGTTTTGGGAAACATCAAGTGCAGATCACGGATCTCAGGCATTTGTAGGGCTTAAAAGTCGGGCTCCAGGATCGTCTTCGGGCAAGCTTCTGCCCAGTCTTTAAGTACCATCTGGCCTGTTAGGCAGCACGTCCATATGCCATACGGGGGCCACAGGGCCACAGCTCAGAGGCGTTCATACTAGCCCCATATCCCGGACGTTCATAACTTATCGCGTACCTAAAGTTTGACCCGGGTTGACACTTCCGGGGAACACCTCTGTCTGACCAGTGACCAGCCAGTATCGAGGCGGTTGCGGCCAGAGATTTTCAATTGCATGAAAGTTATCCCAGATGATTGCGATGGGCTTTGAGAGAGTAGAGTCTCGACTCAACAATATGAATTCGTCGATTTATCTGATCTCATAACAATGGTAGCACACCTGCTATCGCGTCTGCCCAACTCTACCAACTAGATCTTCTTGTCCGTAATACCACCAGTCTTACAGAGAATGGAATATCATTTATGTCTGCTTGCGTAATCACATCCTGCCCTTGCCACTCAACCGAAACCGCTCTCCGTAGATGGAGAGAATCCAGGGAAGGGGTATGAAAGCAAGACCGAGAAAGCCTAGAAGACTGTTTCCCCAACCCACTGCAACAACAAGTGTTAGTAATTGCAACACGGATATCAAGTACCATAGGATGTTGCTTACGGCCAAGTCTTTCGTACATGGGCGGACCTGCGAGCGGTAGGAATGCGCCAGCAATGTACCGAAGAAATGTGTTGGCAGCCAATGCAGAAGCACCAGCCTCGGCTCCAAACACTTGGACGAGGTAGACCATCTGTGGCATCTACGGAAATAGTCGTTAGCTACCCGAGTCCAAAGTTTGTGCGATCTGCGGAGAACATACCATGATGAACACAATGCCGACGCCGACGACGGCAGTTGCTAGTTCGGGGACGATCCAGTGCAAGTTCTTGTCGACGCTCCAGCCGTACCAGAACATGCCAATCGGGAGTGCAGGTGCCATGTAGGCCATGAGTGGAAGGCGATCCTCGGGCTTGGAAGTCCCGTTCTTGGCTGCCCGTGTCCTCACAATTCTTTCGGCAAAAACAGTATGGACTATCACGGCACCAAACATGCCAATGCCAAGACCTATGTAGGCCAGGCCTGAAATGCCGACAGACCAGTGATATTGATTCATGAAAACGTCGGTAAAGGTCGTGAACAATATGAACTGCAGACCAAAGGCAAAGGCTGCATAGAGCGAGAGCAACAAGACGATTGGTGAGAAGATGAGAAGTCTCGCCGGACGCAGGATATCGTTGGCAAATTTAGATAGTGAGGTACCGGATTGAGAAGATTTTATATCGAGGCCTCGACGCACAGCTCGTCGACGCAGAATGACTGGACCATAGGTTTCGCGAAGAAAGATGATGCACAATACCATGATAATGCCATACTATAGCGCAAATTTCAGTCAGCATCTTCCGACTCATCGAGACGTATTGCAGAGATTGACTCGAAAATACTTACTGCAATCAATATAATTCGAAAGATCCAGCGCCAGCCGATACTTTGGACAACAAAGCCGCCAGCAATGGGTCCAACAACGGGTCCCGCCAAAGGGCCCAACACAAACAGACTCATCCATCTTCCTTGGTTCTCCTTCGCGATCACATCGGCCAGCGTGCCACCACAAAGCACCAACGTACAAGATCCGGCACAGCCAGCCAAGAGACGGAAAGCAATAAAGCTTCCAATGTTCGTGGCAAAGGCACAACCAATCGTAAAGGCGGCGTACAAGAAGACAGAAGTGGAGTAGATGGGAAATCGGCCGTACATTTCAGAGAGAGGTGCCAGTACGGATGATCCCACAACAAAGCCAAGGACGTAGATGGAGACAGTGAGACTGCCAATGGTTTCGCTCGTGGAGTGGAACTCAGCCATTAATTCAGCAGAACCAGGCGCGAACATGGTCATTGCAAGATTGCTATTCAAGAGACATGATGAGCGAATTGATCGTGCCCGGGAGAGGGTATATTAATCAAAAAGAGAGTGGCGACTTACTTGACCAGAGTGATCAGAGCGACGAGAATAACTTGCATATGCCGTTTATAGGCAGGCCAGTTCTGCGGATTTTCCGGGTCGTCTGGTCCATCCCAGTCGAGCTTGTCTGGATTTTTCCCATCATCAATTCCTGCATCTCTCTCTATATCGGCAGGTGTTCCTAATGAGTCGAGGGGAAAATCTGTACTGTCTCGTAGTGTCTTGCTATCTGGTCCCCGGACGTCGGAGAGAGATGCCTGTGTGGCTTTGGAAGGCATGCTGACGGAATTTGAATTTGCAAGCACGGGCTGTTTTTTCCTATGATAATGGGAAGAATAGTATTTTTTCACTTGATCTGTTTTTCAATATCGAGGATTCATTGCCCTCTAGACATTTTTAAACTGCATACCTACCTACCCATACCCAGCAGATCATACATCCGGCGGCCGGATTGTCCCCAGTGCCATAACTCAGGCCCGGGGTGGGGCTACTTAACGCCCATTGGCCAGGACCGAAGTATTCAACCACGGCCGACGGCCGAGACGTATCAGGGCCGAAGGGCAACGAGGCCGAAATCCATAGAGACGTACTACCGGGTCCGTTCAGCCTTCATTGGTCGCTAGAGATGACATGCCGCAGCATTCCAGTATCCCGGCAGTCACATACCATGATGACTTCTGGGTTAATCATAGGACCCATCGTTACTTTCCATTATTCAATGGGATCTTGCGATTGGCTTGAGTCCTGAACCAGACACCACAAACTGAATGAATTCCCAATTTCTCCTGGACGGGCGTGGCAGCTAGACTGGTCCCCGTATGACGAGGCCGGATCTGATGAGACCATCCTGGTCTGGTTGACTCGTGCCTGACTTTCAATCCCAGCAATGGCAAGGTATTGGGTGATCATCAGCAGGGTACACAAAGACCAAAGAGAACAATTCTCCTACTTTCAATAAATGAACCACGTGTTTCATTGCATTTAGGTATTGACAGGATCAGCTACCCTATCGAGTTACCAGCGGCCTGAGTTTCCATGTGAGCAAAGCTGATGCTAGAGACTACGAATGCAAAAGATCAACAACCAGGATACCATGTTTCTCTTTGTACCATTCTGTGTCCTTTAAAGTCATGCTCCATCTCCATCCAGGTGGCCTTTGTCAGAATCATTGGTATGATCTGTTGGCAAGGCATAAGAGATCAAGAAAGAAAGAATATGTCAGATCCGGTTCGATGAACACAGAATTGAAGTCGCACGCTTGTATTTCACATCATTTTATGCCAACAGGCAGTCATCAAATTTAACTTCTCCAGATGATTGTATTCCATGAGTAGATGCAAAATTATCTTTCAATTTTATTCATGATAGTCATGTCAAGCTGTCCAGGATACAAGAATCGATTGGTTAGACATATGTCTCTGACAAGATTTTCTCTGATTGGACTGCTGAATGGCAATTGTGATATTCCTTTTGCAGATATGGCGTATAATACAAAGCTGTGTCGTCTTGCTCAAGTGGATACTGACACCATCACGAAATCTCCTTGATCTTACGGCCATGTATCACGAGGCCTGTGGAAAGAATAACAAAATAGCATGCAACCAGCCGTTTCATGAATGGGCAAAAGTGGCAATGAGGTTTCAACGAGACCATATTCACACTTTTATCTCTCATATACTAAGATGCTGGAACGACTTCTAATTAGTCAGTCTTGCTGCCTCTTTAATAATTTACTCCTATGTCCCTCAAGGTAATATTGCTCACAGCTCATAGAAGAAGGAGACAAGCAAGGGAGCAGATCCGGTCCTTATCACTCATAGTTGCATGATACATCTCTCTAGATTCTCACAGCAACTATCCAACAAGCATTGTCAATATCGAGGCTATCAAAATAGCCGGGTACAATGTTGCTTGGAAGTGATACCTAGGTAGATTATCACAGTACCAAACAACTGCAACTCTAATTCAGTCCAATGACAGACTACTCTATACTAAAAATAATCTTAAAGATAAGCAATTCAGGCCATCGTCAAGTCTTCAAAGCCACGATGTCAGCTCCGCAACCCCATAAGATGAGCTGGCCGCAGAATATCGAGGTATATCCACAGATACCATGAATGTTGTAGCCTCAGCAGACTAATTCGCACCTTGAAACAGACACTTCATCTCAGCTTTGAGCAGGATATTGCCCGAAAAGCCGCGCACGTCAATGCCACTCTTGGAATATACAGTCGATCATCTCGATGTCTGTGGAGTAACGAGACAAGAGACCCTCCCGTTGCTATACCTACGAGGTCTCTCAACAATATCTCGTCCACGCCAGCATGCATAGTCGTGGCCGCCTCATGGGCATGCGCCTTCACCGTTTCCCCAATTTCTTCTCTGCCTCTTTCCTCCCCCTAGCGGTGAATGTGCTTTTCCACGACCAGCTCCGGGGATCTAGCGTCTACGTTTCAGGTTTAAGCATTGTGCGTGTCCATTTCACTATCGTCTTTCGTTCTTCTCCGCTTGAGAAGCTCTAGCCATCTGACTCGCTTCCTTGTGCACATCCTTTGCTGGGGGAGGGGTGAGGGGTGGTTCGTTGGTGGTGAAGAAGGGAAATGCCATGGGTAGAATTCGCGATGCTGCATCGAAAACCGGATGGGCAATGAAAATAGCCTTCTCGGCGCCTGCACTCTTTCCTTGATTCCCGCCTCAAAGAAATGGAGAAAAAACACACACAAGAAAACTGCAGGCCACCCTGGTGAACACGCTTATACCCGGCTCCACATATTAGAGGACAGCTCCATTGCTTTAGTCCCAGCGTGGGTTAAGACGAGGTACTTTACTACAGTAGTCTGGTTCTCAATGCCGCGTAGTAGCCAGGAAAAACCAGAAAAAGATGTCGACTAGAGCAAACCTGGAGCGCCGTTTGTCTTGTTTTCCCACCTGATTGATCCCGAATGGGGGTCAAGTGCTCGTGCCACCAGCTCCTCGAACGAGCGATTCTAGAAGGTATCACGATCCAGGCACCCGAAATCTAAAAGAGGCGTACCTTTTTTTTTTCCCCCTTGCGCACGCCAACACATTGGATGAGTGGCCGTGCAGCAGAGACTTGCGAGAGATAATGCGTTGCTAGGACCGGACTGGTTTTGAGGCATAATGAAATCTCCGTTTGAATTGGCAAGTGTCACCGGATTGAGCGATGAACTAACAGGACTCGCCCAGTGGGGAGAGGGGCTCCTCTGATGCCCACTCTGTTTTCCTCATGGCCATCGGCGTTGAGGCTGCGGATCGATCATATTTGATTGCAAGTCGGCTTCACTCTTTCTACTGGCAGTGCTGCTACTAGACACCCCCCCGCGGCCCCCCGGCACCTTTACATAGTAGAGGCTCTAGTAACCAGAGAAGTGGCAGTCTTATCCTTGCTTGCAGATATGCTCGGACAGCTGGTTTGGGTTCGTGACAGCCTTACCTTGCCGCCCAGGACGGACAGCAACTGCCAGCCAGTAACTATCTATGTCCACTTTGCGGCGTGCGAGATCTGCCAGACGGGCCACCTACGTATACTAACCTCCATCACCATAGCATAGCGGTCGATCAGGGACATGAATCTAAGGGGTTGTCTGGGGGAAACGGGGATATCTCAGCTGGCGAGCAATAAACATTTGAGAAGGCACAAGAACCATCTTCCTGGTTGTCTACGTTTCAGAATTTTTATAACCGTGCCCGTCAAGCTCTGCTGGGCTGAGAGCATTCTGGAACGACGACTTCGCTAATTGCGCGTGGGAGAACTGCGAGTCAGGTTTGCGCCTTCAATCAGTTGCCGCTGACAGCGCGCAATAGTACCTACCTACGTAGATATTTTTTATTTATTTACAATAAACAACAAAACAAAACAAACTTGAAGGCGATATTGCGTAATTACAGGTACATGTGCTCCTCATCTTTACAGACCACCAATGCTCGTGTGCTATCGAAGAGCTAATTGCCTACATCCGCAACGGGAAAGAAGCAGTCGGCACAAGGCACGCAATATAGTTTGCGGATGTCTGTGCCAGCCGAAATTGCTCATGTACAATTTGGCGATCACAAGGACGTTGATAGCCCGTTTGTTATAGCTCCAAAAGCGAGCTATTACGGAAGTTCAGAGTTCGCGGGACGTTTTGCTACAGAGATCCTGTCATTTCTCAAGGTTCGGGGCCATTGCCGCTTATGACGTTTTGAATGCGACTTCGGTCCTGCGTCACTCAGAAAGATATTCGCAATGCGAAAAGAGTGTAAAATAATCCGAACATGACATGTGCTCCAAATGAATCCTACAAGTTCAAAGCCTCATGGCTACATCAATTGATGTTCGTGTGGTCACATGTAGTGTGTATGCTCTGACACGTGTGCTTGGCATATTGGCCTTGCATGTAGACAAGCCCGTTCGTTTCGAAAGCTTCGAGAAGAACAGGAACAACTATTAGTGCAAAAGGGAAGATGGAGGTCATCGTTAGCATTGTATGTAAGCAGTGTATAATCCACTGGGCACGATAGTTCTTTTCTTTTTGCTATGGTATTTTTGCTTGTCATCGGTCTGGTCCGTGTTTGACCTCTGGCTGTTAACCACATTGGGTATTGCCTGGACGGAGAGCCCGTACGAGTGGTGGTGATTGTGCAGTGGAATCCAAAGTACAATGGGATACATGACAGAGGGGCACCGATAGCCACAAGCTACAAATCAGCCGTGGCATGTGGCATGGGCAGATCTGATCTCAAGCACAGACTCTCTCGCTTGCCCCCTCTGTGGGCTCTGGGGGAAAAGGCGCCGCGAAATTCATTGCAATGGCAGTTTTGGCACGGCGGACAAAATGGTTCCAGTTTTCTTCACGCGTCGGCGGAGATTTGGCAGAATCCACAGAGAGATGGAAGGTAGCGCGTGTGGCTTGGAAGCGAAATGGGCACTTGCTGGCTCTTCCTTGCCTCTGCTCGGGCATTCCTGCGAGCGCATGAATTATATGACCTCCAATAGTGAGGTCCATAATGGGGAATTTAATCAATACATCGTATTGACGGCGGAGAGAGGTTCTCCTTTTGTTTTGACGATCCCAAATGGTGCTCCTGAGCGGTTGGCGCAGACGTTGCGCCGCGGTCGTTCTGATTGTCTAGACTATCCGCTCGTCCACTACGAGTTACCTATCTTGCAACTGATGAGTCGCTTGCACGGGAATCAGTCGTTTGGCTTGACGCGGGCAGGCCCCAGGATCAAGACCAGACAGCGGGACTCGGGACTGGCCTGCCCGGATCCTAGGCGGTGCGCTGGAGCTTGGCCTTGAGTCTCAAGGAGAATTGGAGACTCGCATCTCCTAGGCAAATTGTGGTTGGCTCCCAAGGAAGCACCAACTGAATGGAACAAGGGCTACCTGGCTTGGAGCAGGCCAGCCCTGACCGTCTCCAAGAGAGAGTCGGGACACACGCTGAAGTTGATTAAAAAAACCTTAGGGCTCGATGGTCCAATGTCTGATGGCGCGACAGTTTTCGTTTCCTGTAGAAGAACCCTCTGCGTATGGCAGATGAAGGATCTTGGGAGGGTTTGCACATTTGCGTGATGAGGTTCTTCAGAGAATCACTAGGTAAGGTTCAGCCACGATGTTAGAGACTTCTCGAACGGGAACGTCACGAAACAATGAACGGCTCATCAGTCCGGCGCACCCCAAGTTGACCTTTCCTACTGCTATTACATATGTATCAGCTGCCCCTTGGTTTGGGTGTGCGTGAGCTGCTGGGTACAGAGTAAGGGGGGCGGGCAGGAGGGAAGTCAAGGGGCCTGACGCAGATCAATCGGCCATTTCCTTCTGGTCCTCACCTGTGGCGCCCTGGCGGAAATTCATTGGGCCTGCCGTTAGCATCCACACATGCTATGTACGGGGCCGCTTCCCGGCTGGGGAGGCGGCGGCGCGTCTACTAACAGACAAGGGGGCGCGTCTTTGTTTACTCCAGAAGACCAGATCCACCCCAAAATAGCAAGGCTCAACGTCACTTTCCATCTCTCCCAACGGTCCCTGCATTGCCGCTGCGGCCGCGGCCGCGGTCGCAATCAGCACAACAGCTGGAGCGACCAGAGCAGAGCAGAACACAATGAGGTCAGCGCAACCCCTTTTGACGCGCAATGACGATGATGCAGATCCTAACACCCGATATTGGAAGTCGTACAATCGATCAATGGTGAGGTAAGAATGTGCCCATTGAGAATGCAATTGACATCAGAGTGCGAGGTTGTGGTAAGCACTTGGCACGACTTGTCGCAGGTAGTTGTACATAGCACACAGCCGATAGTGGCGCCAATCTACTGTGATCTTGGAGGAAATCTTAGTCTGAGATCTCCGTCCATTTGGACCCATACTAACCATAGAATCGTCCCGGAAGACGCGATAAAATGGCACTATGGTTGGTAGTACTAGCTCCGTTCATCCAATGCTCACACCGCTCAACATAACGCAGGCAGATGGAGGCAGATGAACATGGAATCAGTCAAGCTATGCAATAGTGATATGCTAGAAAGGTAGTAGCCAGAATGGAAAAGTGTTGCGATTGTTTGTTTGTTTTTTTTGTTTGTTTGTTTACTTTGTTATTTACGACCAGCTGACCGCCATGGCAGTATGCATACCACAGCAATCTCTAAGTCCACCCATATTGCGTATGTGCGATATCAACTGTAGTAAGACACCATGCGGCTGATGTAAAGACGAGTGCTCAGAAGACGAGGACAGGTGGCGGTAGAAGATGGGCAGGATCTCCATTGGGCCTGGAGGAGGGCAGTTGGATTGGGTGGAATAGTAAGGCAAATCTCCACGAAAGGATTGTCAATAGCAGTGTACAAGTACCAGGTGCCAAGTACTACCGAATAATGAAGTAATATCAGGGTCTGGTGGCACAAGGTGTGATCGTCTGTGATATATTGCATCCTGGGGCATCATCTACCGGCTGCACAGGATTGAGAAGGAAGAGAATGATCTCAACCCAAGTAGCTCAATTCGCAACTCAAGTCAAGGTTCCCCTTCCCGTTTAAAAGAGGCGCCTCACAAGGCTGGAAGTGAACAGTGGCTCAAGTGGTTAAACGGCTTTGTGTGGCAGGCAAGGCAAGAGGCAAGACACGGGCTGCATGAAGGGCAGAGCCCACACTTCAGGCATCAAGAGGCGAAAATTCGGCATGAACGGGTGGGTGGCATGATGCTTGGGATTCGAGATGGGAGCCGATCAATACATACCGAGAGCATGGTTCACCTGTTTTTATTATTGATCGAAATTTCTGTCTGTTTATTCACGAGACAGTCACTTGCCGTGAACAGCCAATACAATCACATGATGAACATGTGCCGTCCACTGGGAGTTGCCTCACATCAAGGTTCATTCTGGCGGGAGATGGGCTCTCTGGGTTTCTTGGAGAGACATGATGATACGGCTGAATTTTGGCATTGAATCGTGGAATTAGTTGGAGAGAGCCGGGTGTCATCTCATTTTCTCCCTCTTTCTCTCTCCATGCAGTATGCCCGGCCCCTGGTCGAGGCTACAGTAGCCACCAAGTGCTGCACTTTGCGCCTGGTCGTGATGTACATGAATACAGAGAAAGCCCCAACCAATAAATGAGGTATAGAAACACACTAAGCAAAGCAGACTAAGGCAGAAGAACCACGGACCAACAACAATTGACCCATGTGCACGTCAGGCGCGGCGCATGTGACCCATATTTCTTTAGGCTCTGATTCGCCTCCTGACCACTAGGGCCTTGACGCGTTCGGGACGCGCCTTTCATTGTTTACTTTTAGAGTGTGCGCATCGACTAGCAAGGGCCCGGCCGCTGGGCACCTTTTTTTGTTGCGACCGACCGAGACTGCTTGCAGCTTTGCGCCTGCGATTTGCGATGCGACGTGATGCGACTGTGAACCCCCCTCCCCCTCCTGCCCCCCCCAAGGTACACCAAACTCGCCCGTCTCCACTGCGCCTGCCACGTACCGACCGTTCTCTCTCACTCGCGCATCATACTACGCTACGATTCTACTACACACTACTCGCGCTCAACGACTATTGACCACCGCCAATCTCTCCTCGCCTTCCTGTTGGCTCTCCCGGTCTGATCCCTCTGTCGAGTGTAACATACTACCTACCACATTTCGTTCTTGCCTTCTGGGCTTGCTCTGCCATTGAATACTTGTCCTGTACCCCCGTACTCGCTTGTCTTTTTGGCTTGTTCTGTTTGCCCTGACTTTACTCGACCTGACCCTGCATTTACCTACCTTCAGGCGCGTTCCTATTTGGTAAACCCGGTCTCTGAGTCCCCTTCATTATTTTTTTCTCCCCCTCAGAGAGATTCCAAGTTTTACATATTGCCACTTACGCATCGTGTCTATCGAACGCTTTGTTGATCCGGTCTAAAAAAGTGCCAATCGTTGGCGATCATTCTTTTTAGGGGTCCTGGGTGTTGTGTACTTCAAGGTTATCCGTTCAAGCACATTTCCACCTGTGACTCTTTGCTGTGGCAAGCGAGAGTTGGGTGTTTACGCGTGTCATGTCGATGTCGTTCCACACCTGCGCCATCTGATACCAGAGAAGAAGAAAAGAAACGAGCAAGAGAAAGAACAAGGACAGGAAAGGAAAGGAAACAAAAAGCTCGAAGGGCAGAGAAAGTGGTAGCTGCTACGGAACCCGAACTCGGTCATACGCCTACAGACCTCTCCTTCGCCTTCCCGAAACCTGACACCACTTTGATTCAGAACTCCCGTCTGGTTCCATTCCAGTATCGGTTTTCATTCCACGGCAAGAAGAAGGAAAGAACATCGCATTGTCAACATACGCGATCCACGACATAGCTGCTCAGGAAGCCGTTGTTTTGGAGACTTCCTTCACCCCCACCGCATTTCGTCACACTTACATCCATTGAATTGTGCGGTAACCTCGATTGTCGACAACAACGCGCAACATCTTGCTGGCAGACCGCGCACTCTATCATTCAACAACAATGTCATTTGGAAATAGCGGAGGTGGCACCCTCACCCTGCCTAGTCCTACTCATCCAAATCACATTGACGTCCAAGCCGCCGTCGCGCGATCTCTTCGACGATCGATATCGCGATCGCCTTCCAAATTTCATCTCGCAAGGACGTCGTCACAGAGCTCCGACGCATCTATGAGCTCCATTCCAAATTCGCCTTCGCCCGCCTCGCCTTCCTTGAGGCGCATGGCATCTGCACAATTTGGCGCGTTCAGTTCTCAGAATCACGCGCCGACCACACAATCTGTCCTCGCGCAACCGCCTCTTGCAACACCATTTAGACCGAGCGTTAAGCTTTCATTGCGCTCAGCAAAATCTTCAGCAAAGCTGACGTCTAGTGGATCCTCCACATCTTCAAAATCTTCTACACGATCCAGGACATCTCCTCGAAGTCCCACCAAGCGCGCTCTGAACCCCTCATCTCCGTGCGCCGGTAACTCAACGCCATCCTCATCGGACGACTCTCCTCCATCAGGCCAGGAGAACATCAGCTGTTTCCGTGCGCGAAGCCCAGGATCGAGGAGGAGGAGTTTCGAGCGAACCAAGAGTCGTCATAGCATGCATCTCGATATGTCTGGTGCATCGCTGCAAGCCATAGCCCGTAGCACCGACAGCAACCTTCCGAGTGCTTCAGCTAGTCCGTTGAAGCGCAGCGACGCAACCATGGATTTGGACCAGGCCACTTTCGGCAGTCCCAAGGCAAAGCGCAGGAGTTATGGCCCGGCAAGTTTCGGAGCTGACTTGAATTTCCTCGAGCCAGGCCACGTCTCGCCTGGATTCGACATTCACGATGAGACAAGTCGTGAATATGACTGGACGCCTCCGAGTAGCAAGGAATCTGATGAGTCATTTGCATCGCCTCCATTCGCTTCGTTAATGCTTCCTCGTCGGACAACTTCTCTACGCCAGTCGACCCTTCAGCAACGCCAGGTCAAGAAGGAGCGTACGTCGTGGGGACGACGATCTGGTGCACAGCATCTTTCCCAATTGTCGAATGAGGCTGCTACCCCAGTGAGGACACGACCGCGGGTTGCTTCCGATCAGTTTCAACCACTTGCTCGCGAAAGCATCTTCAGTGCTCCGAGCCCTGTGCCTCCTACCTCCGCGCAGGCTGTGAACCCGATCCAAAACCAGCCTCACCCACTTTCAAGGACCATGACGGCTTCATCGTCAAACTCGAGCATTCCAGACGAGTCACCTACTCACTTCCCTGTCATCGCACAAAGACCCAGGGCTCCTATGAATTGGTCCAAGAGTTTGCCGATTGGTGCTCTTCGTCCAAATCCGGATGACGAGACACCCATGGTTGGGAGCATTTCTACCCCAGCTTACCAGCACGCAAAGCCTTTCATGGGCGCCTTCGCCTCAACAGGCCTGGTTTCCAAAATGAGAAACCCCGAGCTGGAGCCGCTTGTTTCGCGTGGTGCTCCAGTGCCCGACACACCATGCAAAGGTCGTGTCAGCCCATTCCATACCTTTCCGCCTTTCTTGCCCAGCAACGTCAAATCCCGAAGCAGAAACGCTCGATCAACACTGGGCGCCTTTGGTGGCCCTTCGACTCCGTTTGCTTCAAACGATAATCGGTCTCCGGCACCTAATAGTTTTGGCAGTCAAAATGGCAGACCCAATCTCTTCACGTCATTTGGTACGCGACATGGTCGTTCGAATAGTACTCTCAGCCTCTACAGCGACGACGGGAGGAGCCCGATCGACTTGAATGGCGATACCCCCATGGCAACGGCCGAAGACGTACCACCCACACCTACCAGGCCGGCACAATTTCTCACGCAGATTTCCGACGGCCTTGATCTGATGATAAACGACAGCCCTACTGCCAATCGCCATATCACCGCAAATGTTTCAGCGAATCTTGACAGCTCATGGCATCAAGATTCCGCGGCAAGCCGTAAGTCCCGCCTTCAAGCGCCCCGTGACAATGGGAAGCTCGAGCATGCGTCGTCCACCCAAGGCGTCTCTAACTCGACTGTACCAATGATTCGGGGACCGGCCGTCTCCTTTACTGTTCCTTTGTCTTCGTTCTGTAAGAATCGAGCCAGACGAGGGGAAATGCCCACGCCTGCGCCTTTGATGATGAGGACAGTGTCCTCGACGGGAATTTCTGCTAGCTCCAAAAAGGTCAGCCTTACTGAAACCACTGTCTGTACAGCAAGCCCCCTAGATCGACTAGAATTTGCCGAGTCAACAACACCGAGAACACCACATGACAGTGAGGCAGTAGCCGAAGCCAGCCGACTGTCGAAATCGACACCTACCGCAGGTTTTCTGTTTCCTTCCAGCAGCGGAAAGAAATCCCAATTCCCTCCGGCCACCCCAACGGCTCGTCAAAGTGGATCTCTGCTCTTCCCAGACCTTTCCGCCATTACACCAACTCACGGTAACGGCGCTCGACACATTGATGCATCTTTGACATCTCGCTTCGCTAATGTCGAATTTATTGGCGAAGGTGAATTTTCGGAAGTTTTCAAGGTGGCTGAAAAGGTCAAGTCCGCGGCTGTTCCTGCCCACGGGCTCTTCAGCACCCCGACACATCGCTCACCAACCTCCCCGTTGTCGGAAAAGGTGTACGCAGTCAAGAAGCTCAAGCTACCTCTCAAGGGCACAAATGATAGAGCAATGCGGATGCGCGAGGTATCCGCTCTGGAGGCTCTGCGCGGATGTGAACATGTCTTGCAATTAACCAATAGCTGGGAAGAAGTGAACAATCTGTACATTCAGACGGAATACTGCGAAGAAGGAAGTCTCGACGTCTTCCTTGCGCAGGTCGGTATCAAAGGCAAACTGGATGACTTCAGAATTTGGAAGATCATGCTGGAGTTGAGCCAGGTAAGTCGCCCCCTCTACTATGAATGGTAACACCTGCTAATGCCGCTTTCAGGGGCTACAACATATCCATGATGCTGGTTTTGTTCACCTCGATCTCAAGCCCTCGAACATCTTCATTGACTTTGAGGGCACCCTGAAAATTGGCGACTTTGGTATGGCGTCGGCGCTTCCTGCCGTTAAGGGACCAGACTTTGAAGGCGATCGCGAGTACCTGGCCCCCGAAGTGCTGCGTGGCGAGATCGACAAACCAGCTGATGTTTTCTCTCTCGGACTCATTATGGTGGAGGTCGCTGCAAATGTCAAGCTGCCTGACAACGGTGCCACCTGGGTGGCGCTTCGCGTCGGCGATTTCACAGATATTGGCATTCTCACACAGGCAGACAACAGTGTCGTGCGTGATGCGACGGGCATTCCGATCGAAGACACAGAGCGCAGTGTCAGTGATACCCCGGAAGGCAAACCGCCCTCGAGCATTATCACTCCAAGGACTGGACTTCGTCAGTCTGGAGACATCTTCGGTTTGACCCGTAAGAGCGAACTGATGCAGCCTCCACCATTCATGCAAAACCCCGACGATGATAACTCGTTGGACCAGGTTGTCAGGTGGATGTTGCACCCTGATCCTCAACAACGCCCAACTGCATCGGCCATTCTGAAACTTAATGCCTTGGAATGGGTGGCCTCTCGCTGTCGTGCGGGCGCCACGGTGTTTGAAGGCAATTGGGGACCGGCAGATGAGCTCTCCGACCAAAGCTCTCCCGACACCGAGATGACTGATGTTTGATTACCTCTATGAACCACATCGAACAGCCTTAATACACGCTGCTTCATGCGCGGCCTAATGTTGCTTGATCTTGAAGGTCATCTGGATATGACACCTCATCTCAGATTGGTGTTGCTCGCGTTGGTTCATCTGTGGCCAGCTTTGCTGGATATTTACCAGGCCCTTTGGTGTATCGGGCTCTGTCTCTCAAAAGCTTTATATAAGCTGTATCAAAAAGTGCTGGTTCAGTAGCAGAACTGAAACCTGCAATGTACAATACGACAACATGGTGATTGGTTTGCGGCATCCAAAAGTCATGTGTTCCTAATTGGAGCGTTCCAACAACGGCAATCAGTGCCATAAAAAACCGACAGCAACTACTACAATTCCGACAATCCCACCACTCATTATCTCAACCTTCCGACCTGCACAAAGCACTCACTCCCCATTTGCTTACCTCCTCACACTCACGTCACCTACTGCATACTGCTATCGTTTCACATGCAGCTCCCATCACGACGCAGAGAGATCTACTTGACACCCGAGATCATGATTCTGCCGACATCGAGGTGCATGAGAGCTCACCTGGCAATGGGCCTTACTTTTTCATTTCTTTCTGTCTCCTTTTGGAACCTCACCAACGACCTGAATGAATCGTCAATCGTCTACGTCTTTGGAGCAACTTGTAGATATAAATGGCAAAAAGCCTAGATATCCTTGTATTTGAACCCGGTGAAGACAGCTTCACTCAGAGAGGGTTAGGGTGGCGAGATGATGCTCTGAAAGGGCTACATCATTTCAATGATATAATATCATGAGCGTGGGGCGTTTTGCGGCTGTATTAATTTCTCACAACAGCCGGTCATCTGAAGACGGATCCTCGCCTAATAGAGAAGGACAAAGGAAAAAAGGGCGCATAGAGAAGAAGCCCAAGGTCTACCTATGTATTACGAACCCATAGTATGAGCGATGGACGTATGAATCACGACATGATATGAAGCCCTTCCATAATTTGGCCCTTCTTTACAAGTCTATGACATGTTGCACAAGCGAGTGAATGACCTCACGTGGAACAAATAATTGAGGAGAAGTTGGGTTCACCATGAGATCATGATATGCACTGTGAAAATGTCTCGAGTATCGTGTCGTGTTCAAAAGTATGCTATCATTCCAGATCCAGTCCCTGCCAGACAAGGATGCCTCGAGTTCTGGTTACCCAGTCAAGTGAACATTTGACCCGATACTCATTTGGAGATCTTGCTACTATCCATAAGGCCTGCTTGCCCGCCGCCTCCTCCCACTGCCCCGGCGGCAGTCCTGGTCGTGCTCACAGAGATTCCCTTGGCCTTTTTCCTAATGGGCTGATATACGTCATTGAAGTTCATGGCGACGCCAAGGAATCGCAAATCGACATCAGACTGATAAGCCAGGTCGCCCAGCAGAATTTGAAGCTGGTTTCTAAAGCGGTCACCTAGGTGCTTGAGGCGCTCCTGGAGGGCGGGGAACTCGCTGCCATCGCCGCCCGGGACAGCTTGCTCGTCATCCTCTTCAGAGGGATGGGGATTGGCGCGCGATGGCCGAGTCGTCACGTTGGGATGAGACGAGACGGCATTGTTCTGGAAGTCGGCCTCCTGGCGCTGAGTGAAGTCGGAAACGGACCACGAGTACAGGCCATCGACTGAATCGCGATACGCGAGCATGGTGCGGAGTAGTTCCGAGAGCTGGATCATATACGAGTTCTCGTCCTCGTCCTTTTCGCCGCCACCAAAACGGCGGCGGCGGACGCCAAGGAGGCCCTTGTGCGTGATGGATTCGAGATATTTCGTATGAGCATGAATAATATCGTCGAGGGTACAGTCCTCTTTGGTAAGCCGGCGCTGTAGCTCAGTCCACGACGACTCAATGACTTCGAAAAGGATGTAATATTGCAGCTGACCAACAAAGTGGACCATCTCAGCTAGAATGCCGCGTGTTGTCTTCCACGTCTGCTGGACTGTGCGGTGGCGCGTCTGTAGCACGCCGCGCGAGCCCGTGGTTACCTTGCGCCAGGATGAAGACAGGGCGAACTCGACGCGCTTGACTCGCCATAGGAAATTGAACACCTTTAGATACTGGCGAGCACCCCAATCTGAAACGACAACGTCGCAGGGTGCGTCAATCTTGTACTCGAGCGTAAAGCAATCCCAGCCGATGTCGCCGTGCGTGAGCTGGAGCATTCGCGCGTCAAGCCTCTTGAGTACTTCGGGCGAGTCGTACTGCGCGTTAGAGCCGCGTATGGCATGCTCTAATTGCGCCGTCAACGTGTGTCTGTACTGAGCGCCAGCTGGGCGGTCGAGATTTCCAGATAGAGACTCCATGAGCAGAGCGATGAAGTCGCCTTGACCTAGCAAGATGTAAGACTTCAGAGCTCGGAGATGGTCGAAGAGGTGAAATTTTTGAGTCATGAGATGGAGCAAGCGACGCATTGTCGTCTTGTATGCATCATCAATCCATGATTCTAGAGTCTCCGTATCTCCATATCGCAACTCTTTTGAAGATTCTTTACTGTAGGACTCTACCCAGTGAGCATCGCCACATGAATGTCGGATGAAGTTGAGGGATTTGCCGATCAGAAAAATCTTTTCGGCAAAATCTGCGGACATGATAGAGGGAATCATGGACTCTTGAACAACATATTTGTCCTCCCATACATTGGTGGAGCCAGACTTGCCCTTTGGCATCTGTTCAGGTGACTGCTCTCGTACGAAGAACTCTTGGAAGGGGTCCGATAGCTCGCCGTCATAAATCCAATGCCTCAAAACATCGTAGAAAGGCCGTGTGACTGGGGTCAGGAGCCTCTCGGCAAATGCTGCAACGACCGGGTCGCCATGGAGTGAGGAGAAGGAATGGATCAACGAGATGAGCTGGCCGCCCTTTTTGCTTTTCGATTCCTCTGCTATCAAACTCATGAGCCGCAGTCCCATGGTGGCCTCTCTGGTCCATACCACGCAACGTTTCAAGGTGACGCCTGCTTTACCAATGCCGCTGCGTGGGGCGTTGTCGTCAATAGTCGCGAGAGCCAGTCTTATCTGTCCTTCGAGTGTCGCAATCAGTGTCAAGTAAGCGCGAAGCTCATTGCTAATGGCAGCACGAAGACTTTGATTCAAGAGACCTCTGGCTGGCGTTTTGACAAAGTCCTCCAGGGTCCGGTAGAGAAGAGAAGGTTCTGCAAGTGTGTTCAAGATGGAGACAATAGGTGTCGGCAAAGTACGTGGAAGCTTGAGCGTATAGTCTTTTCCAAATGGTAGACTCGTTGATGAGAGCCCTTGCAATGTGTATGGCAGATCGCGCAATAGGACTGGTTCAGTCGGGTCAATGCTGGAATAGTTGTCTGATAATTGACTAGACTTGATCACGACGTCTCTTGGTTTACTAGGGCTCTGAGGCATCCTGTCCATGGTGGCTTTGCGCTTATGCTCGCCCATGGAGGAGGCTGGTCGTGAACCACTCGCTGAAATGAGATTATCCTGATTGGACTCGTACTCTTCCTGTGGTTGATCTCGGAGACCCCGAGCTCTTTCCACCACTCTCTTTAGGCCGCCGGCGGTGGGAAAAGTATCGGTGTCGGTGGTGATTTTGAGCGCGGCTTCCCTTGGGCTTCTGACAGCCTCGAGTTCTGCTGGGTGTCTGCTTGCTTCAGCGCGAGACTGTCGTCTCTTCTCTAGCTTGGCTTCCTGCCTCGCCTCACGCTCCTCTTGTATATATTCTTGGTATGCGACCGGATCATCCTCGTCCTGGTTTGGCGAGTCCGCCAGGTTATTGAGCAGAGACAGTATTGCCCATTTCTGATTCAAGACTGGCAATGCCAGCAGTCGTGAGTACAGGTTTGAGAAGCGCAGCGCCTGCGCAGGACTCGTTGCGATGAGCTTGCGCTTGATAAGGTCCGAGGCATGGTTGACGTCGGATGCGACAGTAGGTGAAGCATTGCTAGAGATTACATATCAGTGAACGAACGGGATGGTGAGAGGCAAGCTCTACGAGAGGCGACATACTCCTGCAAGAAGGTATGAATATTGCCTGCGTGTGAATCTGCCCAGCTTTGGTACTGCTCTTTTGGGATGTCTTTCGGTGGAGGTGCTACATAGGCAATCAACCGGTCAACACCGTAGCTGATTTTCCGGGCCTGTTTCTCCTTATCTTGGGATGATGCGGCCGACATGTTGCATCCTCGAGGTTGTCTCCATGAAGAGGGACAGGGCTGACGCGCTCTTGGGGGAATTGAACCTAGGACTAAGTTTTGTGTGCTGGTGAATGAACGTATGGCAATGTATTCAGGTGTGTTGGCCCCCAACTTTGTTGGTATACACAAAGATCTGGAGCTTGATGCGGGACGCGTCTGTCGCGACACTGAGTTGAGCTACCTCGGGTATGTACCTCTTGTGCTGGTGGCAGCGCCGTCTCGCGTTCACCAAAGATGGACTGTACAAAGTCTTGGGTGGAAAGTGGGCAAGCTTCAGGTCATTTTCTTTTCTCATATACTATCAAGTTATTCAAGAGTAAAGAAACAGCTGTAAGAATCTTAAGCAACAGTGTACTACATATAGCCCTGTTTATTAATAAGTCAACATCGAGCTACAATCCGCAGCGTCGGTTGATGCCCCGCCATCTCAATAGGCCTGGTTTACCCACCATTAGGCACACATGCGCATCTACAGGGCACCATTCTTGCACTTTGGTGTGCCATTGTTCACTATAGAGCTCACAATATACGCTGACCAGATACTCCCCCCCCCCCCTTATGCCCAAGTACCTCAGCTCAGGCGGCGCCGATGCACTTTTAGCACTTACCATCAAGAGTTTAAGCCGCTTGCTGCCAATTCGTCCGCCGTCATCCTGCGCAGACACAGACCAACCATTCAATATAACAACCTCTCCTTGCGACCAGGACCACACCCAGGTGAATCGTCGGCCCATCGACATCTTGGCCTCAGCGACGCCTTTTCATCGTTTCTTGACCGGAACTATGATCGCATTGCATCGGGCCATACGATTCACGGGTTCATGACCAACAACTGCACTGCGCGCGGCATTTACACGCCTCTGAACTGCACGCCTCCATCGGACGACTCCAGTCCCGGCGACAGTCTTACGCATCGCGATATTACCTAAGCAGACACGACCCAGCACCCGCCCACCACATCACCATCTTGTCCTTTGATTGATCGCAATCATGCCTGACATAGATCCCGCGGCCTTGAGCCGGCCGTCGATTAGTATCTCGACTCCCGTCCTCAAAAACATTACTGTTTCGACGCCCGCAAAACCAAAGACGTCCCAGATTATACCTCCCCGCATAGATCTCGAACCTCTCTATGCCGCCTTAAAGTCCGCCATCGGTTCGGAACAATGGACTGTATACAAAGAATCCACTACCCAATTCATCCTGGGTAAGTTATCATGGTCTATTTGGACCATTTGCGCGCCTTTTTAGATGAAATAATACAGCTGCTGACCCTCATATTCACCAACAGGACGTCTCAACCAGACCGAATACTCGGATCGCATCGATCCCATCATCGCTTCGCCCAATGGCGAGAAGGAACACCTCCACAACCAGCTCCTTGCTGCCATCTATGGAAATCTGACAAGAGAGATGCCAGACGTGGGACTCGCGCCCTGGGTTTCTGCTAATGACAAGCCCACGATTGGTGTCGGCGCAAAGCCCGTCACTGGCGATGCCGCAGAGAGGAGGCTCAAGGGAGAGGTGATGCAACTCCCCACTCGTGATCGCCGACGCATCAAGGAGCTGGTTCACAACGACGTAAGTTCTCTCGCCCATCAACCCCCCTAATCGCCATCCTTGGCTAACTCTTCCAATAGTTTGATCCTTATGAGTCTATGACCAACATGTTTTCCGAACACCACCGTGGTAAGCCGACGCGGGCACCTGAGACGCTGCCGAGCGCCACGGGCGGTTTGAACAAGATGAGTGAGTGCTACTCTGCGCAACGTTGACAGGTCCATATTAACAAGCTTAGATTGGGACCTGGAGATTAAGAAGCGATTCCAGCAACCTTTGGCAGTGGAGTCTGGCGAATTCCCCGATGTCAGCATGGTCGAGGGACGCATGTTACCTTTTTGTTACGAGCATGGTCTCGTTAATGGTCATACCCCCGAGGCCGCTCAGCTTCTGACTGTTGCAACCGAGACTTTTGTAAAAGAAATGTTGACGGCTATCTTTACAAGAACAAGAAGCAATGGAGCGGGCGACTCTGGTAGTGCTGGATTTGGCGCTGGAGCTGGCTGGATCCAAACCAAGAAATATCAGCGGCAGCTGCGTCGAGAAGAAGCTGCCCTGATGCGCGGCGAACTGTCAAAAGATAAAAGTGGCCTACTCCCAATTGAGGCCAAAGCGGCCAGCGAAAGGCCGCCACTGAATATGGCAGACTTGCGCCTGGCTTTGGAAATGGGTGACTGTGGAATCGCCTCTATTCCCATTGTCACGGCTTCGGTCTTCTACAACTACCGCGAAGGAGAACTGGAACACTGGGACGACTACTCTTACGTCAACGACCAGAAACCTCAAGACATGGATGAGGGCAAAACAGCTGAGCCAGATACGAAGCTTTTGACGAATGGCGACGTTCACGCTGATCCCATGGACATTGATGATCAATGGACCTGGGAAGGCACAGACGACGCGACTATAGAGCAACTCGACAGTGTTCTCGACTCGTGCCTAACATCTGGGTTCTAATTATGACTTGGATGGTGTGCACTACCATCAGCCCACCATTTTTATTGAGCATTGACACGGCTGCAATTACCGTAATAGGTCATTTATTTCTACTACAGGCGCAAGATGGAATCACTTGGCACGCATTCTGTCACAAGGAGTTGCTGTTATCCGGCAGTAAGTATCTTCCAGTGACTTTTGCAGTCAGTTGGCGGAAACTCGCATGACATTTTGTGCCATCACAACAGAGCGTGAGGCGTTCGGTATTGAGCGGGGGGTTTGTCTGACTTGGTTCAGATATTTGACATTTATATTGCAATTGGCATAAGTGGCGTCAGCATTTGTTTTCAGATTGGAAGTTTTCCCCAATCGCCCCATGTACCATCAAGGAGAAAGAAAAGCGTAAAGGGAGGAAAGGAGAAAAGAAAAGAAAAAAACAGCTGGGGAAGTCCCAGTCGAAACGGTTCAGTGACGAGAAGAGTCTTTGGCGTTGCTGGGCGAAGAATGCGTGCCATGGACGGCACCAATTTGTTCTTGACTCGAATGATACCCAAATGGCTTGGACAGAAGTAATTGGCGCGATATGTCAACAGATAGATGCCAATAGAATATTCATATGTGACGTTGGAAATACACAGTGGTGATGAGGATTGGGCAGATCCATCCATGGATTCAATAAGGTAACAACATCGATTGTATGACACGACTCTTTCACGTTGCGCGTTGAATACAGCATCTGCGGACGTCTAGGTGAATAGCCGATCAAGAAAGGTTGTAAAGCTATACTAAAAATGAGACTGAAAGTGTGCGAATACTGAATCCATCATGGTTTTTATGTACATGTATGTACTTCTGCATGTAAATATAGTTGCGAAGGCACTACAGTACATTATACATTAGGAAGTACATTAGGAGGTACCTTGTTGCACATTGATGTGGCTCCCCATAATGGCAGGGGCCATGACGTGGGGCCCATTAAAACGCGCCTGAGCAGAAACGCGACTTACACGGTCAGCCCGCGTCAACTTTGCCTTTGGTATGTACCTATACCTTTTCGAGAATCCCACTCAACACCACTCGCGCCTGTTATTCGTAAAAACACAGATTTATTCCCATGAAATAATGATCTCTTGAAATCGATATTTGCCCATTTATATCTTGTTCCTTAAAGGGTAGCCACAATGGCTTCTGCCACGCGCTCTCCTTCACCCACAAGCGACGCGTCCCCGCCAGGCTCGCCACAGCTCTCTCCCAGATCAAAACTTAGAGCAGAACTCGCGGCCTTGGACGAGAGCTCAGACGAGGATACGGCGCCAATCGATAGAAAGGCACTCTTCAAATCGACAAAAGACATAATTACCAAGGCCGATGAGCCTGTGCAGAAAGACATTACCAACGCGAAGCAATCAGCAGACGATGACGATGAAGACGACGACGATGATGATGATGACGAGATTGTGCGTCCACGAGGGCGATTGGCAGCTCGTATGCAAGCGGGCAACAGCAAAATCCAGACCAGCGCCCCAGCCCCAGCTCCAGTCCCAGAGACAGAGCGAATCCAGTCACAACAAGACAACATTGTGGACGCCAATTCCGAGGATGAGGAGACAGATGCCGTACAACGCAGGCGGAGAATACGATCTGCACGTGAGAGCACACCAGAAGTACGTGCAAGCCGTGAAGCTAGCCCCGCATCGCCAGGCCTCTTTGTGACACCCAACAAATCACAACATTCGGAGGCTGGGTCAGATAGCGAGGACGGCTTGACATCCAACCTGGCTCAAAACGCGCGCTTCCAAGCTCTTGTTGCTCGAAAGCGCGAGGAGAGGCTCGCGAGAGAGGCGGAAGAGAAGAAGAAGCGTGAAGAAAGGATAGCTCAACGCGTCGAAGTTTCTGAAGAGGATGACGACGACGTGTCGGACATTAGTGACGACGATGGCGGCCGAAAGCTCACACAAGAAGTCTCCTCGAGGCCTGCTGTCAGAAAAGCTAGCAGGAAGGCCTTGGAGGAAATGAACAGAGAGACGCAGCGGCTGAGCCGTAGTATGCAGCTCGCCCACGAGGCCAAGACAAAAAAGAAGATCAGCAAGGCGACTTTGTTTGAACGATTCAACTTCAAACTGCCTGCCGCCTCAACACACACAGAGCTCGCACCAGCTGCGAGCTCAAGCAGGCCTGGATCGCCCGCCTCGGTTCGCCATACAGACACTGAAGCGGCAGAGAAGGATACGCCACCAAGCTCTCCGCCTGTTGTGCTAAAGGAAACAACAACAAACAACCATACACCCGAACTATCTGGAGCACCAGAGCAGCAGATGGTCGTGTTGGAGAAAGAAGATGAGAGCGAGCTGCCAAGTCTGAAGGATGTCGTTGTTGAAGCAAAGAAGCTGGACAAGGGCAAGGGCATCGCTACTGCGGCGGATCTCGAATCGCCCAAGAAGAAGACGCCAGTACAACTCAAGCGTCAGGTCCGCGTCAAGTTCCTGACTGTGCAGACTAACCAAGTCATCATCGACGAAGATGACGAGCTTCAAATTGCGAAACCCAAGAAGCAGAGCAAGATTGATTCCTTATTCAGCCGCGTCCCTGCGCAACAGAACAAGGAGGCTCGATCCGTTCAGGTTTTCCGCCAATTAGCTCATCTCTCTTCACCTCCACAGGATGCTCGTAAAAGAACTCAGAAACCCTCCATGACCGTGGGCGAACTGCAGCTCACTCTACAGCAGCGTGCTCGCGCTCAAGCCAAATCTGAGCGTGATCGCCGCATGGAAATGCTCAAGGCCAAGGGTATACATGTCCAGACTGAAGAGGAGCGCGAAAAGGAGCGTGAGCAGGTCGAGGACATTGTTGCTCGAGCCCGTTTGGAGGCCGAGGAGATCATGGCAAGAGAACGCGAGGACGCCAAAAAGGCCAAGAAGGAGAGGAAAGCCAATGGAGAAGGAGATCACCTTGACTGGGACGATAGCGATGATGACAGCTTTGCTGGCAGCGAAGCCGGAGAGCTGCAGCCCATTGAAGATGGAGAAATCGACTTTTCAGGCTCTGGCGAAGACGAAGACGAGGATGAGGATGAAGAAGTTGATGACGAAGAAGAACCAGCCGGGGACTCCATTTTTGATGAGGCCGCCGAGGAAGCTGATGAATCTGGCGATGATGACACAACTGCAGAAGCGGCAGTCCTCGATGACGACGATGAGACAGACAATGTCCGTCCCACGGCCTCGAGGTCTCGTCGAGGCAGAAAGAATGTCCAAGTGCTCTCTGACGATGAGGAGGAGCTTTCTATTCAAGCTACACCCAAGCCTAGGAAGGTCTTGTTCAAGTCGCCGACCGGCCAAACATCCGAATCTCCCAATGCTCCCACATCCGTTCTCCGCTCCGCTACAAAGACCTTTATTCCTGGTCTCCCGGTCCCTGCAGCCGGGCCTGCCGGCCTTGGCCTCACTCAGATCTTTGCTGGGACCATGGATGACAGCCAAGCAGGCTCAATGCCACTAAGTGCTGGATCGCCCATAGAGTTTAGGCCAACTTTTGAGAACTTCCCTGATTCCCAATTCTCTGCCACTGCAGGCGAATCTCAGCCAGCAGAAGGCAGGATTGTGGACAGTCAGGTCGAGACTCAGGGGGTTGAATCACAAACCCAAGGTGTACAGCTTCACTTTGAGCAGAGCCAGATGCACGGCTTCGATTCACTAATGCAACAAGATGGCACACAAGCCTCAGATATGCTTGAGCTTACCCAAGATGGCGGATTCGGGGATTACACGCCCTTGAAAAACCGCTTCGTTGACCCACCTCAAGGCACTGTAGATACTGTTATCCTGGATGGAACTCCCAAGGCCAGCGTGGACGCAGAAGCAGTGATTATGGATTCGCCGCTTGTGCAGAGACGTGGTAAATTGAGACGAAGAGTGGAAGTCTCGCTCTCCGAGTCTACACTGCCACCTACGGAGGTTCCTATGCCTCCGTCCGCCGGTACACCAAGCCAAGCTCTGACGGCTGATATACCCAGTCCCAGCAAAGATGAGAGCTCTTCCGCTTTTAGGCTCATGGCCAAGGCTGCGCGTCGCAGAAAGCGCGCTCAGGAAAAGTTTAACAAGAAGAAAAGCAAGGCAAGGGAAATGGTGCACGGCGAGGCTGAGGAGTCTGAAGATGAGTACGCTGGTCTCGGTGGTGCTGATGGTGAAGACTCTTCAGATGAGGACGAGGATGATCTCGCGGAACTGCGAAAACAAATGATCGACGATGAGAGCAAGGGATTGACCGAGGAGGAGGAAGGAAAGCTAGCTGCATTCTATGCGTAAGTGCAGGACCTGACCCATTGCTAATTACTCTATGACACTAATAACATGGGACACCAGTGACCGCGAGCGGGCAGCAGACAGCGCACAGGTGGATAAGCTCTTCAAAGATATCACTACAGGCATGTTGCGAAAACGTCGCCGTGGCGGTGGTGGAGGCAATGGGGATTTCGACCTGTCAGATTCTGACGACGGAGGCGAGGCTCGACGTCGCATGAAGCGCAAGCAGTTTGCAAAGATGCAAAAGGCACTCTTCGCTGATGAAAGAATCGGCAAGATTGCAGAGAACCCTCGTAATGCTGCTTTCATGAAGAGCATCGAAGACTGGGGAAGCGATGAGGACATGGGCTTCGACGAGCCATACTTCGAGCCCGAAGAGGAAAGCCAGAATACCAACGAGACTGGCGCGAAGCAGGCTGTCGGCGAAAGCATCCCCGACTCTCAACCTTCAGCTACTGCCGCGGCCAGTGCCAATACAGGGAGGAAGCGAACTCGCAACGAGCCATCTGATCCCGGAATGCGCCCTCCTCCCAATCTGAGAAGAGTACGGGACGGTATCAAGCCTGCCAGTATAGCAGATGTGAGACGCTCACTGTCGAGCCTGCTGGGCGAGCCCAACATGTCATCCGACTCCATCATTCCCGCCACAGACCCCAATGGGTCTGATAGCGAGGGTGAGCAAGAGGAAGCACCCCAAAAGTCTGGACGAGGCAACAAGGAGAACCGTCGGCCAGGATCTGTGGCAGTTGTTGACCGCATCTCGTTGAAGCGCTCCGGCTCTTCGAATCTGAGCACGAGTTCCAAGCTGGCCTTTGCAGCACCGGCGTCCAGCTCGGGTAGTGGCGCTTTCAAAGTACCAGCACTTCTACGCCGTGCCACTACCAATAGTCTAATGTCTCAAACCTCGAATTCGTCAACCTCATCCACTGGCGTCACGACTGGCAAGGGCGCAACAGGACTGGGCGGCATGGCGTCTAGCGCGTTCAGCGAGGAGGGCAAATTGAAAAAGACGGCGGGCAAGCGAAGTGGCGTCAACTTCTTTGCAAGAGAGAACGAGAGGCGAGAGAAGCTCAAGGAGAGCGAGCGCAGGAGAGAGGAGAAGAAATGGAAGGGTGCCAAGGGCCGGTCAGAGGCTGTTGGAGGCTTGTTCGGGGGTGGGCAATTCGAGTAGACTTGTCCAGGAAGGGGTTCATTCTCTACGATTTCCTCTGATTGGGAGAGGAGGATATGGAAGATTCATGGCATGGCGTTTGTGGTGGGCGAACCACAGGGCGTTCTCTTCTTGTTGGCGGGATACTGCTTTGGCATATGTAATGAGGCATCAATTCAGTCTTCTTCTATTGTAACATGGTCGTCATTCTGCAGATGCGGGTGCATCAATCTACGAATATCACGCACGACTGGAGATCAGCAATCAGCTTGATGCAAGATGGACGCAGCAGTACGTTAGGGTAAAAGGTAATGGAAGAGTTCGAGTGATTCAACACGGACCACATGGGCCACATCTTAGGTACCCAGGATTCAACTACATTCCTTCCTACAGCAGAAGGTGCACACATTTCACATCATTCAGTTCAATATGTGCCAACTGTTCATTAAGTTATACTGCATCACCATTTCATACTATCAGCATTTCTCAATCTCGGCCACTCGTTGTGCGATGGGGATCTGGTGGCCGGGTACTCGGTAACTTGCCATGTCCGAGGCGAACGCGCCGAGTGCAGTAGCTGGTAAATGGAGAGCTGTCCTGCTAGGCTTGTGTAGTACATAATGTACATACCTTGATAGTTAGCACGTTGATGGCTAGGTATCCCCCGTTCCCAATTTTTTCCCCTCCGCAAATTCCATATGATAAAACAAAAAAAGTTGGTTCCGTCAAGTCCGATCACAAAAGCGAGTGGGACGGGAGAAAAAAGCCCTCGGACAATAGCGGCTGAATTGCTCCGTTCGGGTTGTGCGTGCTGTTGTGTAAGTGTAAAACGGAGGTATGTAGGTAGCGTAGCAGTGGGATAGGAGCGAGGGACTTTTCGGTTGGTGCTGCTCACGCGTTGTGCATACATGGTACATATGCATGGAAGCCGGCGTGCATGCGTGCCGTCCTCGTACGTACTATGTATTTGTAAGAACTCAGTAGTACGTGGTCAGCATTATATGAATCCGCTGATGGTCCCCCAGGAGCCAATCGCCAGCAATACAAGTAATATTTGGACTGAATGCGGCTTTTTTTATGCTCTCAAGAGGGTTTTGTTTCGACCCTTGCTTCTCGCTTACTCTCTTACTCCATGTCTCTCTGCTCTCTCGCTTCCTCGTCTCGAGTCTCCAGATCTTTGAGGGGAAGAAGCAAACGACCGACCTCCCGGACCGGAATGTGGAGTATTCTTTCTGGGTGAGGCTCAGGAACCGTGACGCAAATGAAACCCAGCGCTACCCCACAGAGCAGACGAGTATAAGCGTCAGCGGATCCCCGGTTACAAGGTCCTACAGCAAAAAAAGAGGGGTTGCGTTGCGCGCCGTTGCGGGCTGAGCTGAGCAAGCTGAATGGGGCAAAAAGGCATGGATAGGTAGGTAATGCTTACCGAGCACCTGGTGTGCGTGTGTGTGGCTCAGTATGTTGTAAGATTGGAATCATATTATGAATGAGTTGCAAAAACCTCGCATAGATGGGAAACTTTTTTATTTTACTCGGTAGTTTGAGCATCAATTGGCATGCGGAATATATATTTCGAACATGAATTCACTAGGTCAGAGCCGGAACCAAGACGAAAGGGCAGATCGGGTATTCCAAGTTGTACAAAGTTCAAGATCCCAGAGTTCGAGATCTGGAAAGATCGGCCAGGTACGCGAAGAGAGCCAAGAGGAAGGATAGAGTTGGTTGAGCCAAAAAGAGAGAGGACCCAAAGGAGAGCCGACCAATTGCTGACCACAGAAACCATGTGCTTGTACACCAGCTTTGTCGCTTCTAGTTAGTGCCGAGGCGCCACGAAGGATGTATGGGATTTCGGCTGGGTGCTGGGAGCTGGGAGCGGACTTTTGCGGGATATCCGGGCACCAGCAACAACGAAACGAAACGAAACGAAACCAAAGCAAACCGCGCATACTACAGCACTAAATAAGTTGGTGGATTATGTAGGTAGGTACATGTGTGCGATAATGTAGGCAGGCTGTACATATCTAGTATAGGTTTGACCCATTTCGCTCGGTTTTCATCTTCTTGTTTCCCCTCCATTGGCGTCTTTTTTAGACTCTGGCAAGAGAGACAAGCCTCCCTCTTTTTGACGTCACGTACTTCGTGTGTGTTGCGTATAGTGTCATACATGGATGTAGTCGACTAAAACTACCTACCTACTGCTGCGGCTGGCTACTGCTGCTGAGATCCGGCGATCTGCTGCGTGCTGAATTCTGGGCGCGCGTCTCGGCGTTTTGTCTTGCACCTTGATTCTCTTTTCCCTTCTTCTTCTCTTCTTTTGATCATTATTCTTGTCTTCAATTGCACTCGTTTTGTGTTCACTTCAATCAATCACTTATTTACACACTACTCAATCAATCAATGGCGGACTGAATCATTGACCTGGCCATTGGATCCTTCCAAATGCGAACAATCACAATTACAACTTCTCACACTAAACATACTTGTCGTCTCTCAACATGAGCCAATTCGCTCAAGGAGAATCGCCTTTGGGCGAGTTCCATTACTTCCCTCTCTTGCCCAAAGAGCTACGGGACATGGTATGGAATTTTGCTGCTCAATCTCAGCTATCGGCCCCATCAATGCACTTTTTCCAATTGCAGACCGTCTTGGAAGAAAACCGTACACTAGAGGGACGGGACAATGTTGAAAAATGCATTCTTACAGTACCCAAGCACTCTGGATTCGCAGATGGCCTGGGCTTCAGGCACAATCCGTCGTCGTACCTCAACGACTTGGCCGTTTGGGATGCGTGCTGCGAGTCGCGGCACCTACTAGAGGCGGGGCGGGCTAGGGCGGCCAACAACGACAAGAGCGATGGCCGCATCATGACGGTGCGGAATAAGCTGCCAGACGAGGATCTGCCCTGGAAAAAGGGTCTAAGCGGCTGGCAGACGCCGGGACAGACGTGCCATTGTGCATATGGATTGCACCAGCCATCAGAAATCGACAATGACGGCGACGACAATGGCAGCAGCAGTACACATCGAAATCTTCTCATCAACCTCGAGCAAGATGTCCTCTGCCTTACCCTGGACTTGCCAAACTTGAAGGCCTTTATGCGCGACGGCAATGAGCTGCTAGAGATCCCCGAGCTGAGGGGCTTAAAGGACGGATACCCCGTGCGCAAGATAGCGCTGCAGTACCACCCCGACTGGATCGGCGGTCGTGACGGTATTGAACCGCAACAGGTGAGAAGATAACAACGGCTACTCTCTTGGCCAGGAGGGGAAAAAATTGGATTTGGCTAACTTGTTCATTTTTCAGGAGGACGGTTTACGTGATGTCCTGGATGTACTTTCACAGTACCCATACTTTCCGCTCCTGGAGTGTCTCTACCTTATTGACTACAGAATCACCCCGCGTGATGGGACCCGTGCGCTGAGCAGCAGCACTGTAGAATCCCAGCCAGAGACCAAGGTTTTCGAGGCTCGGGGCATGAGCTTTCACGAGGTTGCAAAGGACGACCAAGACTGGTGTTTGCCGGATGACCGCCCTTTTACGCTCCTTGCAGCCATGGCGGAGACAAACGCCATGGGCCGGGGTATCTGGACCGAGCCCGTGGAAGAAGCGCAAGGCGAGGAGGAAAGCCAAGAGTTCCGCAAGATCCGGGATTGGGCTGGAAAATGGGGTTTGAAGTGGGAACAAAAGTGCCAGTTCAAGGTTCTGGCTTGCTTGCCTGCCTAGGCACACGAGACTTCTTATTTTCCTTCAATGGATCTGGAAATAACCAGCAACAAGAAGCGAAACGGCGAATTCTAGCAACACATGCGAGCAAAAGACGTTTCAACAGTACAGAATCAAAAGATCTGTCGGTTATGGTACATAGCGAAAAGTACTGTACAAGGCATTGGATCGGAGAAGGTGCAGAGGTTTTGACATTTGGCTTTGGTTTGGCGTTGGGGTCAAGGCAACAGGCAGCATATTCTGGCTTTTTCGTGTGACGAGTTCGGACCAGACACTTCTGAATGATAGATGGAGACCACAAATACAAGGCAAAAGAAACAGGAAAAAGAATAACGACAAACGTTCAACGCTCCAAGGTGCTCTCTGTGATTTGTGCAATCTCAAGAAGCATGAAGATCAGGTCGCTAGACATTTGCGCATTGTGCATATGCAGGAGGCCGACCAGCAATACATCAACGATGTAAACGGTGGGTTGGATGTTGATGGCGAATTCGACTTTTCTCTTTTGAAAATCATCCATTACTTTCCATGGTGTCTTTCTTTTACACTTGTCTTTCTTTTACACCTTTTCTTCCCCCTCTTCTTCCTAAACAACTCCAAAAACAAAACAAAAAGAAATCATTAGAAAACATCCCGTGCATAAGAAGCCTTGACAACTTGTCTTGTTTCAAAGCAAGCAGTTGGCTATTTATTGCAGCTTTTGAGCATATGTTTGCATCAGGGCGTGCTTCTCAAGGAGCAACTTCGTCGCCAGCTTCAAGTGCTACACAAGACTGCAACACCATGTCGGAAGAGCCGATTGAAAGGTTTGGCTTTTGATTGCTGTTCGCATTCCATGGGGACTTTGGTTAATGCTGTGCTATAGCTTTGCTACTTCCAAGCCGTTCCGGTTCATGGTTGGGCCAAACGAGAAAGAATTCATGATACACTCAAGCCTTTTGGCTAGTCTGTCCAAACCTCTGGATTCTCTCATCAACGGACCTCTCAAGGCTCACAATGGTGTCACGTAAGTTTTTGATTTTTTTTGGTCGTGCCTCCATGTTTGCATGTAGTTCCATCCGAGTCCTGATATTGCCCGCTTCGTGGGTATGAACGAGGATGATGTGTCTGATTTCCCATATAAAATCCCACAGACAGACTGACTTTATACCTCACAGTCACCTGCCAGAGACTGATGAGGCAACATTCGACCGATTTTGTCAGTTCGCTTACAGAGGTGACTACGAAGTCGCCGAGCTCAACTTTACAATCCCTGTGACCTGCAGAGATCCTGAACATAAGGTCTGCAACAGCTGCAAAAAGAATACGAAACGGAGTAACAAAGGAAGCAGACAATCTTATGGCAGCGACGGGTATTGCAATGTCTGCGACTGTCACCGGGTTATTTGCGTTTGTAGAAAAGGCGCGCTCCTGAATCATGGTACCGATGAGCCCAAAGTACAAGCGCTATGGGACGCATTTATCCAAGAATCTGGAATCTCGGTACCCATGCTACAGTCACTCGAGATCGGAGAGCTAGCGGGGCGATGCTGGTCCGACGTATTACTCGCCCATGCCCGAGTCTACGTCTTGGCAGACTACAACATGATCGACGCACTTGCCGAGCTCGCAAAGAAGAAGCTCCACCAGGCTCTCATTCTATTTGAGCTCAAGGAGGATAATGTCGACGATATTACCAGCTTGGTCGATTACGTTTGTGAGAATACGGTGGACAAGGCGGAAGGTCCTGACCGGCTTCGCGCTCTCCTCTACCGCTACTGTGCGTTCAATATTCAACAGCTTTCACCAAATGAGAAGTTCCGGGCATTGCTTGACCAGAGGGGTGACTTGGGAAGCGCAATCATTCAGCAGCTATTGGAGAGAATCTCCTGAGTCTGATCATTCAACCTGCGAGACTGGTGATCGCCAGGACAGTGGTCCATCCGGGAGTCCCAGTCAGCTCACATCGCCCTACTTTGCTCGCGTGCCTGATTTCGATAACCTTGGGGTTCGATGCAAATGGCTGCCTTGGGAGGATTACATGGTGGTCTCAGGTATCGGTCGGTCATGGGCAGACACGGTTACAAGCACTTTATGTGGGCTCTGGTACAAAACCCATCTATCATGCCACATTGTTAGGTTCTAGTTACGATGAGCACCGTAGGAGATGGGGGAGAAAAGAGACAATTTGAATTTGTCAAAGGAACTATAGACGTTGTTGAGACTACTTGCTTACCCTTTCGTCTACGATGATTCATTCCGGATGCATAATTTGGTCGACGAAGAAGACTAAACTGGGACCCGTCCTAGGCTTTATGGGGTTTAAAGACAACCCAAAGACTCAATATAATGAAACTGTGCGAGTCATCTTCCGAGATCCCAGCCTCGCTAGGGGCCTCTCGGATTGAATCCTGCACCCATGAAAAGGCGCGCATGGGAGACTGTGGATAATCTCACCGCAAGTTCTTTTAGACCAGAGTTTCATTCCTTCTTGACAGGTTAGCTACATACTATGGGATACGAAGCTGGAGACCTCGGATTTCGGTGCTCTGATACTCACATGGCATAACGCGTCTCTGAATGAACCCGCTTCAAACATAGAACAAAATCTTTTGTTTCTAATTACAAGCCGGTATACGAAAATGTATAGCCAGTGTGTCTAGCCTTGGTAAGATGTTGTCCCACGGAGCACCCCAAATAGGGTCAGAGCACGTATTAATCCGTGCACGAGCAAGACACTTTTCTCTTTGCAATCTCACAGATGATGCCAGCTGAGAAGTCGCCCCTTTCTTGCAGTAGTCGCAGGAAGCGCTCCTTCTCCGACAAGAAGCGGATGTTCATGGCGCAATAATTGTAGAGAAGAGCTCGGAGAAGATCGGGTGATCCTTTTTTGTCCACTGTGTTTCTGCATACGTAATCAACCAGGTTGCAGACAGCATTAACGCAAGTAGATTCGCCAGACCAGAAATCGTCCTGGAGCCCGAGTAGTGCGAGAGTCTGGTGAATCTTGTTTTTCGAAAGCGTGGCGAGCGAGCGGAGGTCGTAATAGTCGGCCATGGCGTAGAGTCGAGCATGTGCAAGCAGCACTTCTGAAAACGTTTCATCCGAGTTGTTTGTGCGGAATTCAAGCATTTGATATGTGAGGAACGCTCCATCAGCGAACTTCTTCAAAGTTGTGATCTCCTGATCGCAGAGAGCATGTCCATATAGACGATCACGGAAAAGGCTCTGGGTTTCTTTGATTCCGCAATAACATAGCATACGGCAGCAGGAATTGCAGTAATCGCAATTGCATCGGATCAGATCTTGCTCACAGTCAAGGCAGGTCTCAGCGCGGTCTGAAAGTTCGAGACCAGCAACCTCATAATCGCCCTTGTAAGCATACCGCAAGAATAGTGCAAACGTTGCCTCGTCGACTTCGGGCAAATAGCTACAATACCAGGGTCAGTTACGGCCAAAAGCTCACAAAGACAACCAAAAATACGTGTTTCGAGCTACTATGCCTTGCGGGCATCTTTACAAGAGGATGTGGCGATGTTGGCCAAGGGGATAATGGAAATGGACATGTACTTACGCCTCACCCTCGCGAGCTTCCTTCATTGCGCCATTGACTAGGGCATTCAAGGGCTTGGACATATTGGCCACAAGGTCAGCGTGCATTGTGAATTCCTTCTTATCGGGTCCAACGAAGAATCGAAACGGCTTCCACGCCATGAGACTAGGATGGCACGGCGTTAGTGATACAGTGCGATTGAATTACAGGAGTCAATACCAACCTTTCAACGAACGGGTCTGCCATGATTCCGTTATGCGTCGCGCTGGATGGTTGTTCTGGTTGTGGTGTCAGTCGTGTCGAGACTGTTGTATTGGAAACAGCGTGCTGCGGTTGCTCTTTTTTTTTTTTGTCGGCGTCGTTTTCGGCGTGGTTGTCTGGGTTGAGGCGAGTGATTACTGGGCAACTACGGAGCCCGTTGTGGGTGATGAGAAAAGGTCAAACAGTCGCGAAAGCCTTCCCAGACTAATTCGTCGAACGAGCGAAACAAGCCCTCGATATGTACCACCAACTTCTCGCACGTTTGGAGCGTCTCAGGTGGGTTTTGAGATTGAGGTTGTCCTGCGCTCGTAGGAAAGACAGGTGTAGGTGTGATGGGATCGGGGGAGAATCAATTGATAGTGAATTAAATTTGTGTAGTGGCAAACGGCAACTATCTACATTTTCCCCCCATATGTGTGATAATTATCTACGCTCTTGGATATTCCAAGCACCAATTATCCGACCAATATTGATATGCGCATGGTTCCATGACTGGATGTTTGTTTGAATATTGACCATCGCATCTTGACCCTATTCTTACATTACAGTTCAACAGACACCCTGTTGGCGGGAGCGGGAGAACATGAGGAAGCGAATGGCCGCTGGCCTTCACAGCTCTTGTACTGATAGCATTTCGGGTCTTTGAACTCTCTGGTTGCTCTGACGACGGATTGGACTTGAGCCATGCATAGAAGGCAGGCAAGCACTTGATGTATAACCCTAAAACGAGGAGACGTAACCAGCAGCTTCTGTCTTTTAGTCCAACAAATCTAGTCATCATTTTCAACCCTCCACACAGATAATTGACCCCTTTTTCATGTGTCTCGTCCAAGTCTTTATCATCTCAAGCACCAGTCATATTCACCCTCCACACCTCACTCGAAATTAGAACCAGTACTCCAAGAGAAGGTACAGTCTTCGGTGGTGTGGACTTCTGTAGGCAGTAACACCTCGGAAAGAACATACACACCTTTGGTAGTACTTTCCACTACCTTCATCTCGTGACGTGCGCGGTTTTGCCGCTGTCAAAACAAGATCCAATCCTCCGCGTTCTGTACATTGCATCAAATCAACTTTTCTGAGCATGCACAAGCACAGGTCCTGACAGCGAACCGCATCAGTCCTATCCAATTTTGGATCGCCAACTTTTTTGGATCTCTCAATTACCAGACACAGCGTTTTTACTTCACAACGATTTTTGCTCTCCCACAATCCATCATTCACCTTGTTCCCATACCATCAACTCATTCTCTTGGCATCCATCCACTATTCAGCCCTCTTTCGCAGCAGAATTTCGTGATCTGCTCGCAAAACTTGGCGGCAGGGCATAAGTCAGCAGTTCCGAGCTCAACATCACTTCAAACGACACAGATTTGTCTCGCCTGCACGATATACCTAAAAATCGGGCGTTAGCGAGTTGTCCTAAGAGTACGTTTTGGGACGAGAATTCCAGGTGAGGCTTGGCCCCAAAGATAAACCCCTCGATAAAAACCCTGACAGCGGAACAGACGGAATCATTAGATTTGCTCAAGTTTGAGATCAATATCGATCCTACGCTGTTAGTCCTGTCGAAGTACACCCCAGGGCCTCGCAACAAAATGTCTTCCGGCGCTAGCTCTAGACGCAGCGAGTCGTTTCGTCCTCGTCCCAACTCTCTTTCCAAAAAGAACGAGCTGGAAAGCCATCGCGAGTTGAGTGAGACTACCAACAGGCCTCGAGTGTTTACCGCGAAGTTCAAGAAAGACAACCTGGCTTCACAGTACACCAACATGGCCGCATATCTGCCGTCCCCTTATCATCAATCAGACCAGTTCTCAAAAGATGGGCCTCGAAAAGCGCTTCTCAGCAGTGACTGGAGACAGAGACCTTCGGGAGCTCTCCATCAAGTCAACAATGTTGAAAATTATGACTTCGAACCGCAGCCCTATCAAGTGGAAAAGATCGACTCAAATATGCATGGCAAGCACTTGCAGGATCAAGACAGTACTTCGGCGAAGGAAAACTCACCCAAGTCCGCCAGCGAACTAGAGATCATCTCCCAAGGTCCAAGCAAGACATCTCACGATAACTCTAAACGTAATGACAGAGATCGTGGTGATGGCAAAGACCCTCGCAAGTCTTCTAACAAGCCTCGCGATCGCGGCAGCCCTGGTTTGGTCTTGGGTCCGAAGTATTTGACGAAACTTGAGCGTCTATACGGGCCTACATCACACGGAGACACCAATACACTCTCATCTGCGATTTCCCGCGCCCATCATACAGATGCCACAGAGTTATTCTCGGGTACACACAATAATTTTGGACTGGCCCTTGTCTCAAAGGCTGACTTTTCACACTGCCCCTACCCGCCTTCAGGCCTGACCATGAAACCCATGATCCAGTTGCAACAAGTCGCCAGTCTTAGTGGTCTCCGATCCATACCATGGAGCAATTTGGACAGGCGTAGATACAACGAGTACATGGCCAACCAAGTGCTTTTAGCTAACACGACTCGGCAACGCACTGCATCAATCGACAGCAGGCTCAAAACTGGCCAATCTAATGATCCCTGCGCTGAGTCATGGAAGGGTGAATCTGCAGAGGACAAGCGATTTAAAAACATGCTTGCCAAGCTCAAGGCGGGCAAAGCTCAGAGGATGGAAGATTCTCAAGCTAGTCATGTTACACATGGGCCTGAGCACGCGAGTTGCAGGTCAAGCTCGAGCACTGGAAAGTCCAGTAGGAAGGACTCCAGTTCTGCTTCCAACAACCTCAACCCCAGAGCCCCTTCGTTCTTTTCCATGCCACAAAATCAGAAGCCTGCAACCTATCATGGTAGAAGTCACACCACCAATCCTCGACCTGAACTCTCTGCTCTGTTCGACGGACCCTCGTCAGAAAGTACAACAGATGTGCTGTTTGCTTCTCCTCGCCGCCGTACAAGCAGCCTCCTGGGGTCCAACCATGTTTCGGATAGTCTCTTGTCTTTGGCTGAGAAGATTAAGCGTGCAGCCCAAGACTCGCAGCAAATTGAGCAATTGACTGGTGCACCTCCAACAGATGCGCAAGTTCAAGCCATCATGAGGCGACTGGGTATAAAAAGCTTGAACAGCCACATCAAACCAGATGTTCAGCTTACCAGTCCAGCGGATTTTGAATCAGGAGATCAAGCAATCCCTCTTGATCGTCAACCATCTCTCATCCAGGGCTGGAGCCAACGGGCCGGTGTGGGTTTCCATCCCTCTTCAGTTTCAAGCACAACGACCACGGGTGGCTCTCAGATGTCGTCTCTGCCAAATTTTGGATTGAGTCATAGTCAAGCAATCAATCTCTTGCCTCCATTACCAGTTGACTGTCCAGTGGTCAATGGTCGGGTAGCGGGACATATACCTGGCTCTTTGCCTCCGCAGATCATGCCGCAGAACAACGGAAGCTACCAGCAAAGCAGGCCATCCATGAAAGAGATCATGGAAGGAATCGAAACCGAGGTCCGTGCGAATCCATTTGCAGGTTGTCCTGAGGCGTCCAAACTGCTAGGTCCCTCATTCATTCACCTCCCTGGTCTGCCTCCCACTGTCATTGGTCCTAAGCCAGTGATGAAGCCAAAGGGGCCACCTCGTCCGCACGATCCACTGTAGAACAGGAAGCAGCAGGAATATGAGGCTTACCTCGAACATCAGCGAACCCTGAACCCGAACTACCACCAGGAGTGTCGAGATCGACAGGCCAAGCGAGCTGACCGTCGGAAGCAAGAAGAATGGCAACGCCAATTTGTCTTTCCTCCCAAGCAAAGCGCAGCTGTCGCCATCAAGAAGCCTTATGAAATGGAGCCCGACCACAGAGAAGCAATACAAGTTTGAAGAGTTGTTGTCAGGAGAGGAATTGGGACTTCTACCGATGCAAACCCTCCCTTCATTCGCACAGTATTTATCTATGCATGCCTCCGGTCACAGCATTCAATAGGCTCAAACTCGCCTACGAGTTCAGTGCGTTTGACAAATTATCAACAATCCGGTCTCCAAGCCAAGGCAGTGATGACCAATATCCATATATATGCAGTGGAATCAAGTTGATATCAACTTTTTTATTTCAAGCACAGCAAGAAGGAAAGCAGAATACACAGAAAAACATGCAAAAGGGGCAACGGGAGCCAGAAGGAATACAGCAGGACGTGAAACATAATCTTTCCTTGCCGATGGACATGGACGCGATGAAGTGCCAGCATCATATTTACGGACCATATCAACTAGAGCTCTATGAACTCTGGGCAATGACTATATTGCTTATGGCAGTCCGGGCACGTGGGGGTAGTGATTTTCTTTTTGCAGCATTGACTCACGGCGACGGAAGACGACGTCAATGCTACACCATTACAACATGATTTGGCCGAGTGGGAGGCATCTCAACCTTGATGGAATACGGTCATCCAGGAATTAGTTAGCTTGTGGGTGAAATTTGGGTTCGCCTCTTGTCTTGCCTTGTTTGCACATTAGTCTCAGTCTTGCGTTTTGAACCAATAATAGCTTATCGTCTAATGCTTCGTGCCTATCCTTCTTCATGGCTATCACTCGTAGAAGTGAATCACTCGATTTGCCTCAGAGGCTTGGCTTGAAATGATTCGTCTGGAGGAGCGACTAATGAGTGAATAAAAAGTCACTCCTGTCTCTTGCATCAGCTTTGTGACTAAAGATCAAGGCGACTTTTTGCACAGTTACTAGGGCAGAAAGCCACGGCGGGAAAGGTCACGCTGATCTCTTTTGCAATAAAATTCCGCAGAATTAAATGAATTTCATATCATGGGAAAGAGAGTTGTAGCCAGCGTACAGTTTGTTAATCAATTTTGATAAGCCAAACAGCATCGAGGACCGGTCCTTTGACGAAGAGGTCACTTGATAAGCACAACTTGCTCGACTTACATGGGTATGTCCAGGAGTATGTATAACGTATGGATGTAAGAAGAAAAAGTATTTCGGGCCCAGTAATTAATACTTGAGCTTTGTATGCTACGTATACTAGGCACTTATCATCCAAAGTACATATGATATGAAGCTTGGAACTTTACAGTGAAATGTAGTACCTACATTTCTTCTTATAGTTCATCTCGGTACCGGCCCCGCTGTAAAAGGTCGCCATGTGGGTTCCGCGTCCTTGCAGCGGCCCAGGCGGCCGTCGCGTCTCCTCCGTCCCTTTCCCCCCACCATAGCTCCCACCACCACACTAAGGTAAAGTTGCAGTGTTCAGGTATGTCTTTATCCATGATTTCTTATGCATCAATTTCGGGTCCCGGGAGCAGGTGGAGCAACTTGAAGGACTCAATGCTTATGTTCAGACTTTGCCAGGTCGTACGCAACTGCCAGCATCGCATTTGAGACATTCGAGTCAAAAGCGCTCGATACACAGGCGGACGGGCAGCTTCCACCGGCAGCTAGCTCTTCTTTAGGATCGCCACGATTGTCCAAAACACCACAAACAAGGACTCGAGAGCAGGAACGTGACCACTCAGGGTGGTGAACCGCAGTCATGGCCACTCCTATGCGACACGCGCCTTCTCAGCAGGGTAGAACTCCTTCGCAAATGCCAGGTGCCGCCCCGACGCCGCCTGTCTCGACGCCTTTTTCCAACTCGCTGGCCGCCTTTTCGCCCTCGCAGGGCTCCAAGACGTCTCCGCAAGCCTTCAAGAAGTCGCCCGCAACATCGCACCACCTCAAGAATGCATCAGATGGTCCGGGCGCTGTCAACTTTGACAGTCCATCGGCAACCGCTGCCCTGGGCGCCCTCGGCATTCATGACTTGGGGCTGGACAATATCAGCGTGGGAGGTATGGGCATGGGTCGATCCGACGAGGATGACCGCAAGAGAAGGATGAACACCATTGTGGCCATGGTAAAGGTAAGAACGAAATCGCACAACACCGAGGAAGCTCGTCTAGGAAGAAATAATTGCTCATGATTGTGCTAGGCTGTCGGTACGGGGAGGGTAAGCAATGAAGGCCTCGAGAGGCTAGCTCGTTCTATTGGACTCGAGTGTCTCTGGGAAGATAACATCGCCGGAGGCCCCAAGTCAAAGACCTTGTTCATCGCTGGCACAGGATTGACGTTGGAGATTGTCATTACGAATCACATTGTCGAGAATGTCCATCTGACATTCCCCGAGTGCGCGCCTGGCGTGCAGGAGCATGTGGGAAGGGCTGCCGATGTTCTCTTGAGAGATCTCAAGCTGCAACCCGGCGAATGGGCTCTTACCAAGACCCTCGAAAAGTTCTCGCCCAACCTAGAGCGCATCGCCGCTCCGGATAGGCTTAGCGTTTTGCCCACCCTGAATTGCTACGACGCCATTGACGGAATTTACCAAAGCTTGCTCAAAATCTTCAACTGGGATGTTGCCAAGCTGAAAGAAGACCCGAAGTTGCAAGGCCGATCGGATGACTACATCAAAGTGGCCGCTCTTTGCTCCAGACACGGATGTCCTCAAATGCACGTTCGAGACAGGATTGGCCTGAGCCTGGATTACTGGAAGGAGTGGAGGAGGTTTCCCACGACAACCATTGAGACCACCGAGAAAGAGGGCCCAAAGACGTGGAGCATCATGATCGAGTGTGCCCCAAAGAACAACCTGGCGTTTATGCCCATACGGGTGTCGCATCAGTGGATATCTGACAGCATCGAGAAGGACGCCACTGCCGAAGATATGGTGCTTTCGAATGGTGGTCCAATCTTGGACTGGCAGGAGCCAGAGAACATTCTCTTACCTGCCGGTGCTGGTGAGAAGCCTGAAGGATCAATTGGTCCCGAGCCTCGGCTCCCCGATGTGATTTTCATGGCAGTTTTTGACCCACCACTCATCGTGTCCTCTGGTGTCGCCGCACAGATTTACAACATAGCAGGATTACAGCAGCCAGGCGTGAGTAGTAGCACGTTTGACGCCTTGGTCTTCCCTATACCTCAAGGAGTAGCTTATGATCCGACAGAGTCCCGGATCATCACCCACACGCAACCAATTATGCTGTCTGGGACTTCCAAATCAGGTCACAAGATTCGCCTGCACCGCAATACCCTGAACACGGATCGTGCCGTGTATGGCGAGTTGCTAACCAGAGTGCCGTTTCAACATCCACGCCAGTTATTGGAGATGCTCCCTTTGTTGCGGCAGTACGCTTTCCTCTCCTCACTCCTAAACAACAGTTTCAAAACAAATGAGCACCCGGACGTTAAGCCCGAGGATATCGTGAGCAAAGAGACAACCACAGCCAACGACGAGTTTACGGCCTTCATGAAAGGATCAGATAAATCGACGGATGCGGATCCCTTCCCCATTGACATAGCACTCACCGCACATCCCGTTCCCCGACTGAGAGTCGTGTTTCCTTTCAAAGGCCGAACAGCCAATATCACACTCGAGATTCAGCTCGGCGGAAAAGTACACGTCATCTCGGACAATATTTTCAGCTCCGATGTGGATGGCATTCAAAAAGGAGACGATCCCTCATCCTGGAACGGCCCTGGAAATCGATTGAGTGCCGAGCAGTACGGCGAGATGCTCGAGATGACTGATCACATTGGCAAGTGGGTCGAGAGGATCAAGTACAAGTTCAATGATCAATGAGATGGCAGAACCTTGCAACTATTCGTTTTGAATTCTTGTGTTCTGCTCATACCACGCATCGCAGGTGCAAAGAAGACATGTTTTGTGGTTGGATTTGGGTTGGTCATTTATCATTCGTCATTGTATATAGTAGTAACTACGACATCGATACCCCCCATTACTTTACGAAAATCGGCGTTTGAGGTAGCCGGATACCATGAATCAAGAGGCAAAATCATTCAATTTCAGATTTTCAGACACGGATTTCTTGAATCAATTATTGAAAGCGACTTGCTTAATGGGTCATAATATAGTTATCCGAAAATCGTTACATTCATTCCAATAATTCAGCTGGGTAAAAATATACATGCAACCAGCGCGCTTGCTTTCCCAGAATCTCATTGCAATAGCTGCAAGTCCAGACCCAAGTCAATGCACTTATCAACCCGTGTTTTTGAGGTTGCTTTCACCAAATTCTGAAGGTACTTTATCTTTTCTTTTTTTAAGTTTTGATCTCTGGTTGCACCAAATATTGATCGAGCGGCAATATAAACATTTGATTCATCAACGTGTTTATGGTGGCGCAGCATTGCCCGTCATATAAGCACTGAAGGCTCTCTGTTTACATTGTCAATAAAGGTTCGTCTCATATGGGAGAAGTTCCACTTACAGGATTCCGCGTCTGTAGGAATACGGTGCCAGGTCCTGTAAACTTGCACACCAGACCCTCGCCGGACGCAAAGCCAGCCATGATACCGCCACTGGCTACGCGCTCCATAATGTACTTGACGTTCCAGGCAACCAAATGGCCATTGTCGACAATGTACTTTTCGCCATCGGCAAGATCCTTGCGGATAATGGCACCGAAGCTGGTAATCCACATGAGACCGACGCCGGCAATCTTGTGAACCCAGAGGCCCTCGCCCGAGAACATGGCCTTGCCGAGGCCCTGGCGCTTGTAGTCGCGGGTGACGCCCTGGGTGGAGCAGACGTAGGCGTCCTTGCTGACGGACCAGGACTCGGAGCCGGTGAGGCGGATGGTGGTGATGTCGCCGAGCATGGAGGGCGCCAGCAGCAGCTCGCCGGGGCCGATGAAAGTCGAATGGCCGACCTCGCCACCCGCGACCAGCTTCTTCATGCTAAACTTGTACTCGCCCTTGAGCGTGATGGTCGGCGACATGGCAATCAGGACGCCCGGCTTCGCGTCCAGCGGGCAGCCCATGGCCAGCTGGATCGTAATGATGGTGTTGCAGTCCCGGTGGCTGATGCGGTAGGATCCGCCATTGAAGGTGCCGACGTCGTCCACGGTCGCGCTGTAGGCGCCCTGCATATGGCCACCGGCGGAGGGTCCTGCGACGGCGCCTAGCGACTCGCCCGGAGAAGGGTGTTGTTGTTGTTGCGCCTGCAGCTGGCTCAGCATCGACGGGTGCCGGGACAGGTCTACACTGCCCTGGCCCGAGTGGCCGCCCTTCTCTTGTGGGTAGCCCTCGGGGGCTCCAGGCGAAGCCTGATCATAGCCAGGAGGTCTGCTCGGTGGTGTAGCGGCGCCGGCATCTCGGTATGGCAAGTTGGCATGTTGGGCCGCGGAGGGAGGTTGAGGGTAGTTTACGGGCGTGCCGGTCTGGTTCGGGGGAGGACTCTGTTGGCCTGGTGGGGGAGGATAGTTTCTCTGCTGCTGCTGCTGATGCGGCGAAGGCGATTGGTACGAAGGCTGTTGCGGCGGCGTGGGATAAGACTGTCCCTGGGGAGGAGCAAAGCCGGGAGTGCCAGGCGGCGGTGGGTAGAATTTGGACTGGTTCGCGGGTGGTGAAGTTGGAGGAGGCGGGTAGGACTTTTGGCTGGCTGCAAAACGTCGTGTTAGAAACTTAGTTCTCTGTAGAGACGAAAAGAGTGTCCATATTCGTCGAATGCAAAGGCATGAGCAAAGGTTAATTTACCTGTCGAGGCCGAAGCGCCTGGCGGAGCTGCGAGGCTGTCAGTCGACTTTACGATCTTTCGTGTAAGTGGGATGAGGGGCAGAAATGGCGACGACTTACGGGGATAGTATTGGTTAGACATGGCCGCAGGATGTTGTGTACAGACGACAATATCTTGGATCAAACCTGACAATCAAGAGACGGCTACAGGTATACTAATGTACGATCTGGTTATATAGTCAGCACACAGGTAGCTCTGTAGGAGACATTATCCTCTTTGTGAGCATAGGCACATACATACCTAAATGTAGGTAATAATACTTGCGGTAGCACTCGAGCTGTGCCCCACACTCACGTCGCTTGGCTGTCTATCTGTCTGACAGTAAAGCTGCGGATCACGAAGGTTCCTCCTTACACAAGATGGATAAATGCAGACACCAAAACACGACGAGGGCAATCAAGATGAAGATGGTGTCCAGAATGGAAAGTTGTCATTATGAAAGAGATACACGACCTGCTCACCTTTTACTCCATGTAGAGAGCTTACCTCACATCTCGAACTCGCAGGGTATCAGGTAGCTAGGTAGGCCTTTGCCGCTTGCCACAAGGCAGGCAACCAGACCCCAGGCAGGTGCCAGGTACGACGGGCATAGTGGGCGCGCGTCCCGCTTCACAGGGTTCCCTTTTGAAGAGACGCCGATCGGCCAGGGAGCGCTGGAGGTGGTGCCATGGCCCGGTTCCTGTCCAATGGCTGGCTACTCGAACAAGAGGACAAAGGCCTTGCTCAAAAGAGTCAGCAGAGCGGTTGCAGTAACGCCGTCGTAAGTGGACGGAATCCAAAAAGGACAAGACGTCGAAGCGCCCTCGACCGACCTGGGCGCTTAGAATGTCCGCTGGGCAAAGGGTTTTGGCCGATGGTCATTGGTGTGAGGGGAAGGCTCCAGCGTATCGATGAGTGAGGTGGAGGCAGCGCGCCTTGGCTGCCCGCTTCAAGGAGGGGCTGTGGGATAAGAATTGGGGGTCCCTCTGAGGTCCAGCCCAGTACCCAAGTTGCCGATCAGTTGCACTCTCGAGTTCCACTCTGTTGACATCTTGATATGGCTTCAGACATGTATCTGCTGCTTGTCCTCTTTAAAATCTGGCAATAAGTCTAGTAGAATCATTCCAAGTTTACTTTGCACCATATTTTATTTCAGTCGTCAAAGAGGTATGGATCAACTCCAAAAAAATATAGCGTAAGGCGGGATACCACATTACATTAGTAGATACCTAGGTATTGGTTTTTGGTCATGGATGAATTGATCTTGTGATGTGACGGCCCATGAACTGATCCGTATCAAATAGTCTACCATAATATAGGCTTCTGATTGAAACACCTGCATTGCTAGTAGAAACATATGCTCAATTGTACGGCAGTCAAGCAGCCCTAGGACTAGATGCCGTGATAAAACATTGTTGCCAGTGACCAGGAAAGTCCATGGCGTCCCAGTGGTCTGAAAGCAAGCATATGAAGATGCCAGAAATCATGTGAGTGTGGCGCTTTGCTTTGCTCTTGGTGCAGATACCGGCATTTTTATCGAATATTTATCAAGGAGCGTACTGGTACAAGCAGGCTGATAACAGTTCAACAGGCTATATATTCAAGCGGACACCCATATCACAAGGCAACTAAATATGCATGATGTCAGAGCTGAAAACGCCGTCTGGAGAAACAAAGTAAAAAAAAGTGCCATTATATGACCGTCCTTTTTGATATAGTCAAAAATCCCCCGCTGTGATGCCCTTTGCATCTTAGCGCCCCCAAAAGATAATGTGAGCATTGTCCAATAACTCCTCGTAAATATAAGTCCTCCATTTCCAGCCCTAGTCATAAAAAATCCATGTTCCCTGGGTATCATATAGGTATATATAAAATCCAGCCAATTCCAAAATGCCCCCGATATTAGCCATGCGTGGCTTCAGGCGCACAAAAGGGTATATGAGCCTCCTGTCAGTTTCTGTTTCTTTTTTTTTTTAAAAAAAGGTGGTGGCAGCAAGACTGTCTCCAGACATAATGGATTGCGTTGACGCTTCAAAAAGGAGAGACAGTTTTGAGGTTTTTCCTCTTCGCGATTTTCGTCGTTGTTCGTTATGAGTCAACCTTGTAAGGTCGAGTCTGGCAATTGCGTCTTTCAAGGACCACAGGCTGTGCCGAATCCAGCCGTCCGTATATAACGGAATAACACATTCCTCAATGTGAGTAAATGGACAGCAGTCCACTTCACTAGTGAGGCTCAGTCATGTTTGTAAAGGTCGATGATCTGCTAAGACTCATGGAAGAAAAGCCTCGGCCACTCGAGGTAGTGTACGACGATGACGAGTCGCCGAGATACGCTGTCGATGGTCTCTCCTGCATATCAGGATTCTCGTCCGAGACACTCAGCAGGATGACTCTGCCGAGGTTGCGATAGGCCGGGAGCAGCTTGAGCAGTTTCGTCTTGAACTCGCCAAACCATGGTGGCATGTCGTCAGAGTATCTCATCTCGTCAACAACCCTCAATTTGGGGTGAATCTTGACGACGGAACGCGGATCGTCGACGGGCCAGAGTATCTTCATACCCGTGTTCTTCTGCGCCTTGGCCATTTTCATGTTGATGAGAGTGGCGCACATGGACCCGAGCACGTCAAAGGCAATCTGTCCCTGCGTGAAGTGGTCCGCAATGGTGTAAAAGATGCCCTTGGCAATCTCGGGCTTGAGGTAAAACATGTTGCTCTCGGCCACGACGAGCGTCGGGCGGTCCTTGGGAAATGCATAGATCCACGACGTGTCGTCGTCGGAGATATCCACGGCTGTCGTTCGGTAGTCGCCACTGGGGTATGAAATGACCCGCCGCCTAAACTCCATGACCTCGGGATGATCTACGTCGAACCACCGGACGCTTGCCGGAGGCTGGAGTCGCTGGTTTCTCGTGTCCAAACCACAGCTCAGGTTCACCACGGTACACACGGGGTTCTCGGTGATAAAGTTTGTAACCCACCAGTCAATCTTTTTGGCACGCAGACACCAGAACTTGACATAGCGAAGGTCATTACCCATGGTGTCGACAATGTCGAGCGGGATCTTGTTGATGAGCTGTTTGGCGTAGATGTCGCCGAGGATGGACTCGGGATCATCGGCATCCACGGCCCGAAAGTACAACAAGGTCTGTTGTGCCTCGGTGACGAATTTCGGAGGAGCATTGAGCTTCCGCTCAGCCGTCCTCATGCTCGAGGAGCCCGAGGACGATGCAATGGACCTTGCCGTCGACATTTTGTTGCTGCTGCTGTTGCTGCTACTGCGTTGCAACTGGGACGGAGCATGTATGAAGGACCGACCGGCCAAAAAAAGAAAAAGAGTGTGAAGGGAAGGGGTGGGAAGGTAAGATTGTTTATTCCCACAAGCCTCAGAATTACACACAAGTCGAAGCGTCTGAGGGGTTTAAGGCGCCTGTTGCATATATGGGATGGCAGGGGTAGCGCTGCCTCGCGTACTGGACATCCTTGGACATGGTCCCCGAGGCAGGTCTGTCTGGTCTCGACTTTTCCGGGCTCTGCGCGAGGAAACGTTAGGGAACGTTAGGGACACCCGTTTAGAGTGAGATCATCGCCGCGGACCATGGAAAAACGCTGAAAGTGGATGGAATCATTCTGTAAGGAATAATCTATTCAACCACCGGCTATCTGAGATGAGACGACTAGTACAAACTCAAATGACGGTAGTCATCTATTAGCGCTGCAATACACCAAGAAAACACAAGGAACGGAGTGGTCGGCTTGGTCGGTTTCCCATTCCCCGGACCCATTTTCCTAGATAGTGCACTGGTAGAACAAAAATAATGCTGCAAGATGAATACCGTTCATGTATGGATGTAGCAAGACGCGTCGCATGCTGTCAGACATGCTGCCGCTTTGGCTGCTGCAGTCTAGGTTACTTACTTGGAAGGATGCAATGATCCACCTATGCGCAGCCTTTCTTTCTGTTTGGCTGTCTAGAAAGGGGAATGACGGACTGAGAAAGATTGAGACGGGAATGATTGACTACCCAAAGTACGGTTGACTACTACGTTGCTTTAGTTCCTTCGTTGCCTTGGCGCTCCTTCACGTGTTTGGTTGGCTCTCTAGCTAATACTATGATGGTATGAGGGAATCGAGTCATGTCTCTAGAAGCAATTGGCCGAGTAGTAGTGGTATATAATTTCAAAGGCGTGTTCAAATTTCGAAGGAATCAAAATCTATTTTCACGATCGTCCACTTGTCCATCGCCTTGATCTTGATCCGCTCCACGGGTTCGTAGGCTTGTGCCAGCTTGCTACCCAATGGCCGATCGTTACCAAGCATTTGGGAATTTTTTGACAGGCTCAGCACGAGCAGCTACGAGGCCAATGCCCACGATAGCCCACGATAGCCGACACGTATGTGCAACATCGGCCCACAGCCATGGTGCCGAGTGCCCGCTTGGGATGATTTTCGCGTCCAGGGCCCCAGGGCCCAGGCAACCAGGGCATTGAATAACTCAAGGGAAAGGAAGCTGTCCGAGAGGTTTTTTGCACAAAAGTGCACTCACTGATCAGGGGGAGACGAGTTCAACCCATCATTTGCGGAATACTCTGGCCCACCGTTGCCAGGGCATGCCGTGGCCGGGAGCCCGGACTGAGATACCCGAATGGGGAATTCAGTCAAGGGTTTGGTGTTCGCGTTCCACGGTTCCTCGCAACGGCGGCGACGCGGCGGCGACCACTCACAATGGCCCAGCAGTTTCTGTAACATAGAAAATCTGCATGCGAAATTGAGCTGACGAACCACTGAACAAGACCCGTTTTCCGGCCTTCCGCGTTCAATGTCCTATCTGTTTGTGAATTTTATTTTTTTTTATTTTTTTTTCAGTTGGTGTGGGACGGGACATCTTGGCGGACCCTTTTTCTTCTGCCATGTGTGTTTTCTTTTCCTTCAGCTCTGAGTCCAGCAACACGTACTAAAAACGTGCACCTTGGTAGTGCATCATGCAGAGAATCAGTGTAAATGGTAAGTAATTGGTTTTCAACGAATTGAAAATGGTCGCGGAAATGCTTCCGTGTGAACAAGCTGCTATTGTGAAAAGAGACCCAAAAAGCTTTTTTTCTGCTGCTACTTTGTCGATACACTGAAGCTATCAGCGGGCGGTCAAAGAGAAAGACATTATGTATCCTGGCTGCATCTGGGCGTCTCGGCGGGCTTGATACCTCCGCTGCTGATATCGAAAGAAGTTTTGTGGTGAAATGCCTCTTGGCTATCTCAAAAGTGTGGAAACACCCAAGACTTGACAGGGAGATTGAGGAAATTCCAGACCATGATGAGAAAAGCGGCGCAGTTTTGTATCACTCCGTCATCCCGTCGTTGCTTAGTCGGCAATGTCCAATCTGTGATATCTCCTTGTTCCCATTCCCGTCCCTACCTCTTCTTTCCCCCGCCCTCGCTCTGCTTACCCTACCTACCTTTTTATTACCTGACCCTTCCCATCCCATCCACCAAAGGGAGGGGAGAGAGAGAGAGAAAGAAAAAACCACCCAGGCCCGACCCAGACAGACCCGGACCCAGATCCTCGGCCTCGGCTTCATCCATGGCTAGTTAGCGGCTCAAAGACTTACCATGACAGGTTATGAGCTAGCGTCCACTGTTACACATCCTGACATTTACACTTCCCGCTGCAGGGAAACCTGGCTCCGGCCGATGCAAGTCGGCCAGTTTTCTCTCCAAGATTTACTTAATCCGACCTAACCTCGATGCAGTATCATGATGTGGCCGCCAACAGCAATGTCCTTCTATTACAGACTTCTACCCAATTCGTAGCGCATCGCATCGCTTCACCCCACGATCGTGGACCGTTTGAGGCTCTTTTTGTCGCTCGTTTCCTCACCCGTCCGTCCGTCCCTCCCCCAAGGGCCCGTCTCTTATTATTAGCCTTTGCCGTAGGGGACCCCCCTCTTGCAGTGGACGCACCCAGACCGGCGCCTCAAGCATGAACGAAAAAAAAAATAGACGACCCTGACCCGCGTTGAAACTCGGCGGGGGAGGTGGATGTACTGTACTGCTGAGCATGTGCTATGTGCTGCTATTATTGCTCATCCCGTTGATAAGTGGGTGCGTCTAGAGTGATGGGCTCTATTGGTCGAAACCCCTGGGTGTTGCCATCTGGGGTTCGGGTCCTGAGGTATTCATGGCTGCGGCAGATGAGCATTTTCAGCATTGAGCAACAGGGCCACCGGGCTGATCGTCCGTTGTCCTTCTTCTTCTTCTTCTCGTAAAGGTGTACATCTACTGCCAGTGGCCTGCCTATAATAATATATGGTTCTTGCCCACTGCCCGTTTTTGCACCTCTTCTTCATTATCGTGCCCGACCAACTTCCGGATCCATCTTGAACTCGCCTGTTAATCAGCATCTCACTATCGTATCAAGCAACATCCAACATGGCTCAGGTCGGCGGATACATCGACCCCAAGTTCCAGGGCGTCCGTGATGCCTTTGAGAAGCACATCAAGTCTGCCGAAGAGAATGGCGCCTCTTTGTCCGTCAACCTCGACGGCCAGGACGTTGTCAGCATATATGGAGGTTACGCAGACGCCGCCCGTACTCAGCCATGGAAGGAGAACACCATTGTCAACATGTTCTCCTGCACCAAGATCGTCTCGGCTCTTGCCATGCTGAAGCTCGTGGACCAGGGCCGAGTCTCGGTCAACGACAAGGTCGCCAAGTACTGGCCCGAGTTTGCCGCCAATGGCAAGGAGAACATTGAGATTCGACACATTCTTTCACACAGCTCTGGAGTCGCCGGCTGGGAAACGCCTCTGACCATGGAGGGACTCGTCGACCTCAAGCAGAGGACGGAGGAACTGGCAAAGCAAGCACCCTTCTGGGAGCCTGGTACGATGTCGGCATACCACTGCTGGGTATACGGCCACTTGATCGGCGAGGTTGTCCGCCGTGTCACTGGCTCGAGCCTCACAGAGTTTGTAGCCAAGGAGCTGGCCGAGCCCTTTGGTGCAGACATCCAGATTGGCTGCAAGGAGGAGGACTGGGGCCGAACCGCCGAGTTGACCCCGCCGCCGGCCCTCAACGTTGGCCCCATGCCCCCGGACGCGATGCCCGTCAAGATCCTCAACCCCTACCCCGACGCCCTCTTTGCCAACTCCCCGGCCTGGAGACGTGCCGAGATTGGTGCCGCCAACGGTCACGGAAACGCCCAGGGCTGCGCCCGCTTGTTCTCCAACGTGACGCTGGCCGGAAACGGCGGCAAGCTCCTATCCAAGAGTACCGTCGACACCATCTTCCAGGAGCAGACCCGCGGCGCCGATGGCTTCAACGGCCTCAACATCCGCTGGGGTATTGGACTGGGACTGCGCGGCGACGGCGAGACATCGCTCGATGAGTTCCTGCCGCCGGGCCGCGTCTGCTTCTGGGGAGGCTGGGGTGGATCGCTCTGCGTCATGGACCTTGACCGCAAGATCACCATCTGCTACGTGATGAACAAGATGCGCCTCGAGGCTCCCGTAACGCCGCTTGTCAAGGAGTACATCAAGGCGGCCTACAAGAGCATTGGTGTCGAGTGGTAGTGCAGCGTTGCGCACACATTTATGAGAGTTAATTCTCGAGGTGCTCGAATTTCGCTGGCTTCGTTTCGTTTCGTGGCGTTGTGCTTGATGGTTATTTCAACATGATACCTACAATGGCGTTGTTCTTGCTGGTAGTGGGCAAAAGGATCCATCACCACATCATGAACGAGGGAAAAACAAATAGTAAAAAATAATAAAATTGCTTCCATGATCAATAACTTGTAAACCTGCGACTTGGTCACCCCTGTCAAGTAAGATGCTTACGGAATCATCTTTGCGTTTGAAATGGGGCCCCTGTGATGCCACTTCCATCATCTATTCCCATGATCAAAGCGTTTGGCATTCTCCCCAGATCCTGCCAGTGGGTGTCTTCTTTGACGCCAGGTATTATTTTTCTGAGAGATTCAAACCTCTACAATTGCCTCTGAGTTGAACTCGGCCAGTCGAGAGAAGTCTAGGCCTCTCTGGTTAGAATATATCCGTCTCCCTATCCAATCTCGATAATCATCATTTCGGTAGGTGTGGCCAAAAGCCCACAGTTTGATGAAACTGCTTTCGAACGACGGGTCGTCCAGCAGATTTCGCTCTCCAATCCAGGGGGGAATGTGCAGCGAGTGTCCCCTGACGGACTCTTGTGAGTCAGGATAACAATCTTTCTACCCGAGTGTTCCAGTTGCGCCAATTTCCAGCGAAGCCAACGTATATCCGCCAGATGTTATTCATTGTGTTTCGTTACGTCCCAGTCCGTGGTCATGTCGAAATCCAAGAAACAGTCGCCGTCATGTGGAGTCTTGGAGAACAACGTGCATCCAAGAACAGTCAATCTGTCCTCGCCGGCGTTCATATGAACTGCTTTTCGGTCTAGAAGAACAAATTGACCGAGTTCCTGACCACACTCTCTTTTACGCTCTACCAGCAATCTGTAAGTATCGATCGCATCCTTGACTGTGGACCACTTCGAGCCGTGCACCTCGTAGTTCCCAAGCACCAGAAAAACCGTCTTGAACTGGAGCAACTGAGTCGTCAGAAAATTGAAGTAGTAACGTGCCATTTGGACCAGGCGGCCGATATTTCCCAGAAGAGCCAGATTTGGGGCCTTGGGAGTGATTGTGAGATGCTCGAAGTCCTCGGGTCTTTCGAGATGGAGGTCTGACAGAATCTGGAACGCAAACATGGTGACTGGAGGCGAATATTGCCTTGTGCAAATCGATGAAATGGTTTAGTTGGTCAAGGTTTACGGGGGTAAAGGACCAAATAATAAGAAGACGCCCAATTTACGATATTGCGAATTTCAAAAGTCAAATTCCAAAGAAATCTTCACAAGTATGAATATTTGCATGGTTGTTTACGTGCAATATGAGCAAGGTGCGACGGAAGCCAATCAGCTTGGGTGTCATGCCTACCTAGTAACTACATATAGGTATTGGGTGGAGACTGCTACTGCCTATTCGGTCAGTGTATAACAAATCCTTCGATATCTAGGATAATGAATATCAAGACACAAATCAAGCGCCAACACCTCTGAAAGCTACATGGCTAGACTTGAATACTGGCAGGTACATTTATCCCACATAACAATCACCAATGTTCAAATCCTCCGGCAATGACACCCATTACCCACGCAGACATGGCAGGAAAACATCAAATGGAAACTCACTCTTCATTTATTAGCGCTGCTGGTGAATCCTGGAAGTCCAGCACGTCGTGCCTGTTTCGCAATTTTCATCGTCACAAAGTAATTGATTTATGGTACCATAAACCTCGAACTGGAAACAAGTTGTACGCGTATAATGTTGAAATCAAGTTTATAGTACACGATTGCACTCAAATAACCAACGAATGAATTGCCCCAAAACTCCAGACTGAACCAATGCTTGGAGATTCGTATTGCCATAAATGTCACTTGATGCTTCAAGGCGCGCCATACCTTAGTCGTCTGCTTCGCAACGCTCGAACTCGCTGCCTTTGGTAGGGTCGTTACTGGCGTGGATAGCAGATCCACAGTAAGTGAGCTCGCCGTCTTTGGCCAGGAAGTAGAGACGATACGGCCCAGCGTCGCCATTGTTGCCGTCGGTGCTCCAGACGTTGCCGCTATCCAGCAGAGGCACCTCCCACATCCAGCCTTTCAGGCAGTCGTCCGAGAACTGCATCTTCTGGGTGTTGGCCCAGAAGGCCTGGGCGTTCGCATTGCCGTTCGGGCTGCCAAGTGCGTACCGGGCGGGATACCCTCCCTGCTTCTCGCCGCCGATTCTCTGCTTATCGTTGATGATGTCCTTCCACTCATCGGCCGTCTTCTCCATCTGGTCTTGCTTAAACTCAAACTCATCGCCGGCGTCCGTCTTGGGACACTTGACCTTGTCGGGGAACTCATGGTGGTCGTTGATAAGCCGCTTGGGGAGATTGTCGCGTGGGGTGACGTTGTTGCCGATGACTGCGGAGAGCGCTGGCGTGATGGCAAAAGCCAAAGCCAAACTGTAAATGGTGTTGGCCTTCATTTTGGACTGGATAGACAAGTTTTGGGGGTGCAAATGGTTGAAATGAGGTGATGATGATGATGATGATGCTGATGCTGTGTTCTGCACTGTAAATGATTCTTAAGATGTTCTGTTCTATTCTGTTCTGTTCAGGAAATATCATCTAGTTATGACAGACATCTCGTCTTTATACCCATCTTCGCGCACGACATTGAAAGCATCGAAACCCATTTTCCTCCTATGCTTCAATAAACATTATTGTACATCATATCATGTGAAGTCATTCTCGTGGGACATGGCAGCCTCGATCGGCGTGGGATTTTGATATGATGCTATTCGTGTTATGGTTGTTGGTATTGTTGTTGCGATCGTCGACGTCTCGCCTCGACGATGGAGTTAGCGTCGCAGTGACAATAAGCTTCAAATAAGGTTCCCCAACATTCTAAATATTGATGCTCGCACAGAGAGAGTATGGCAAGGAAGATATTCTCAAATACATTGAATCATTGTTATTTACTTGGCTTGCATCAGGGACTTGGATGAGAATCCTTTCTTGGCGCATGATGATTACTAGATCCATGGAAAAATGCGTTGGGGGCTGTACCTGGCTCTCTTACGACCATTTATGATCACATCATGTTAGAGCCTCAACTCAAGTGGATATGAATGTCAAAAATAACACATCATGTCAAGAGGATTATTATAGAACAGGCGGCAGGGCATCCTCGTGCATCGCGCAATTGGATCTTGTCAATCTGCACGACCTGACGATCATCATCATGTCAGGGTCAGCCCCACCTACTGTGTTGGTTCTACTATGTACCAACGACGTTCCTGCAGGATGAGACCAACGAACCAACTTTAGTTAATCATGATATCATTCCACCTATTGGTTTCACGTTCCCAGAAGCGACAGTTCAGAAACATTTCAGGTCAGGTCATAAAAAGCAATCCATTGATTCATTCTTTCATTCATTCGCCCGCAACTTTCAAAGTCCATTCATCTGCAGTGACAATGAACACCAACGAGGCACTCTCAATATACCAACAGTTCCACAGTCAAGGGCCCGAGGGCTTCAAAACCGCAGCCCAGCTTCTCGCAGACTATATCACGACAGCTACAGATACAGGAAATGCTATATACTTCGCACAAGAAGATGTCCTAACCTTTAGCTACAAGAGCCCGGAGGCCATGGACAATGCCCTGCGTATCTACGACCAAATGGCCGACCTGCTGCCGCCCGACTTCAAGAACCATTACGGCACAGGCGCGCGGGCAGCACAGCGCGGACTGGCCATGTACTTCGAACAGCAGATCCGCTCGATAAACCCCTTCGTGAGCCCCGAGGATGTCGGCGAGGCCGTTGTCGAGCGCGACTGGGACTTTGACGGGCCCGAGTACTCCAACGTGACGTTTATACGCGCCGAGGTCACGGGACAGCTTGAAAAGGTGATTCAGAAGATAGTCAAATTGCGGGACGAGCGCAGTGAGACGGTCATCAAGTGGGCGGTTGAGGGTCGAGCGCATGCGCTCGGGGTCGCAAAGGCCGGTAGGGGCCACCAAGCACACCTGCCAATGCATTTCTCGGGATTGTTGAACCCGGCTGGGATGGGACATGGTTACATGAGCCCATGGTCCAAGGCAGATTTCATTGCCGGCTGTGTGGGATTGAGAGGTTCTGCGAAGACCTACCTAGAAGAATGCTCTGAAGAGAACCGGCAAGAGTTGCTAAAGAGTTGGATAGACGGTTTGACTGAGTTCTTGCTGGAAGGCGATCAGTCCGCCGATGATAAGCATCGAAAGTTTCGCGATGGTGACTTTCACATCAAATATCATGCAGCAGTGAGTTTTCAAGTCCTGTCAAACGTCCATGTAATCTCATTATGTACCGATGCTAATTGCATCATGCGCAGCTCCTACTTGATAATTTGACGAAGGGCCCAAGAAACGAGAATAGTGAGGAGATTTTCAGGAGGGAGAGATGGGTGCTATGAGGAAGGGAATTGGCGTCTGCACATATGAACTGAGCGACATTAGTGTTTGATGAATCAGACTGTTTTCCAGCATTATGTGGAAGGAGATCTCCTAACGCAATGTCATGGCCATGATGGAACGGCGGCATTGTAAAGACACTATATGAGTCGTTCTTGTCAATGGTTCGAATCAATCAGATAATGGCCACCCTGAACCTTGAAACAAATCTGATGCAAGGTCACGACATAGGGGATTAGTCATAGGGCAAATCAATACTCCAGATAATCGGCCTGTCTGCCTATTCACGAGGTTGCAGGCCGTGAGCATGTGCGCCAGTAACACAAGGAGAATTGGAAGGAGGCCGGTGTCAAGCAGCCCTGGAGTTGGGTTAGTCCTGTGGCTACGGCGCAGGCATGTCTGCTGGTCGTGATTGAGGCCGACAAGTTCGTGGGCTGCGACATCATTGATATCCTGGCCATGGACACGGCGCAATCTAGGGATCTAGCAACCAAATACTATTCGGATGCCAAATTCCGAGCAGGATATGAGCAACGACCGCGCGTTCTGGACGACGGAGCAGGCAGAGAGAATCCTAGGGTGGAAGCATCATGAGAAAGAGTAGGTAGAATTAACTCCAGAGTAAATTAGAGTGGTATAGCGTATCGATTGATTTACTAGCACTGGCCCTCTTGTGATGTTCACCATCAATTACTCTACATGAACGGGGATAAGACGTGGCTCGTTCCATGGCACCCTTTTGGAGAAGATTCCAAATCTCGCACGGCCGGGCAGTCCGTGACTTGAAAATCATACAAATAATAATAACAACGCTGCTTGGACGAATAACCACTGTGATATGCGGCTATGGTGACTTCTTCCCTACTTTTTCTGCCTCTTGGCGCTCTGATCACTGGCTGCACTGATTTCACTTGCGCTTCTCTTGTGCCCACCACTACTAGACGGACGATTCGTCTTGTCCTCTGTTGCCTCTTGCTTAATTTCTGCTGATTTGTCCTCATTCTCTTTGTTGGTGGTAGAGTCGACTTGGCCTTGGGCGTCCCCATTCAGAGCAGGCTGGTCGGGTTTGGCTGCTTCATCAGTAGATGACGTGGTACCGGCTGCTGCATCCCCAGTCTTTGCAGCTGCGTCAGCCTTGGGGTCCTCCTTAGCGTTACTGGCGGGCGCATTTGACGATTCTTCAGCTGCCTTGGGTTCGGCCGTCACACCATTCAATTTGTCGCGTTCTGCCTTCTTGGCCTGCTCGAGCTTGAGCTCACCATCTAGTTTATCGCTGACCTTCCTAAGATCCAAAAGCGTCTGGACATTAGCCAGTAGTCTTTCCATCTGCTCAACGACATCCTTGGTTGGCATGTTGAGCCGAGCCGGAACATCAAGCTCAGCGAGTGTGTTTGTTATACGCTGATGCTGGGCATTTGATTTCGTCGTGAGGATTTTATTGATCCGTTCATAGCGGAAAGTCGGTCCACTAGACAGGCGATCAGCCGTGGTTGTGACACCATAGATTTGTTCCTCCTGTTCAGTGAGCTTGCGGCGTTCTTGCGGTTGCGCAGCGGCACCCTTCTTGGTGGGTTTCTCTGGGCGGCCTTCTGCTGCGCTGACCGAATCGCGATGGCCACTAGTTGTCGATGCTGCGACACTCTCACGCCGGGGGTCAGCTACAGGTGTAGAACCAGGGTGTGCAGAAGGTCCTGCTGAGGCGGGAGTGGTTTGGCCGTCAGTGCCCATGAGTGACTTGCGCTTCTTTGACTTGTCAACACTCATCAGGTTTTGGAGTAGAGTTTGCAAGCCATTGCTGGTCTTGAAGGCAGAGAGATCCTGTGTAGTTTCCGTCTGCGGGTAGTCCAGCCGATTGTACAGTTCTCTGCGCTCAGAGTTGAACTTCTCCTGCCGGGCCATGATCCGCTTCACTTCGATCAAGAGCGACTCCTCCTCACGAGCCTCTTCCTTAGAGCGGCTCAGTTGATTTTCTGCAAACTTTTTACGACGGGTCTCGGCTGTAGAATCGAAGTTGGTCATAATCTTGTGAAGGGCGAACTCGTCGGCATTCATGTACTGGACTGGCTTAGTGACAGCCATCATCTTGGCTGCAACTTCGTAATAACGCGCTTTGAGCTCCTCCATGGTACGTGGTTTTCGGGCCTGGACCATAGCGGTGCTCGTACTGCTGGGCTCATCTCCATTCGTGGGTTCTGCAACCTTTGGCTCATATTCGTATCGATCCCATATCAATTCCCATCTCAAGTCAAAGTCTCGGACGGTCTCCAACAAGTAGTCCGTCTCCTCCTTCGTCCATGTTTCGCTGACTAGGCTCGAGTTGTATTGGTCATCGCTGTATTCCGGAATGTGAACTTTGACGTTGAATTTGGCAAAAGACGAGTCCTCAAATTCCTCGTCCTTCTGGTCCAGCTCCATCTTATCCTCGCCATTTTGGCCGTTTGCCTGTTCGGGCTGCGGCCTTGAAGTCTCGTCTTTGCGCCTCCAATGCCTAAGTATCAGGGTAGGGTCGTCGCGTGCCGAATTCTTGAAGGAGCGCATTTCCCATTTCACTGCCGGTTTCCTACTGCCAAACCGCCTTTTCTTGAACGATGATATTTGCGGAACTATGGCTATGGGATTGTCTCCTCCGAGGTTCTGCACTTCTCGCGCGAGACCTTTCAGATTCGGTCGCGGCGCTGTCGTCCTCTGCTTCTTGGTAGGTCGTGGCCCGGCACCGTCGGCCGGCAGATTCAAAACATCACGCACATCGTGGGATGCCATTTTTGCGGTCTTCTGTCGTCGCTGCTGCGGCCAAAGGAAGTGAGCTGGAACTTCCACTCCTGCAGGCAGTTTGGGCACAGGCCCGCGTCAATGCCTGTGCTAAAGTTCTGGACCCAGTCGCGAAAAGTCAGAGCTTGGCGCGCAGTGATGAGGTTTATTCCCAGGTTCAGGTTGGAGGAAAGTAGCAACGGAGCAATAGCTGTCGGCGGCGAAATGGATTTTGATGCGTCTCCCGGTGGTTTGACGCGTTCGAATTGATGATTCGTGGATAGATGGATTGGTTAGCGATTGATGCCTCGAAAAAAGTTCCGATCTTGGTGGTTGCTTTGCTGCCCTCTTCTTAGAAGGTCCAGTGCTGTTTTAGCGGCTTCTTTCCTCCCCCAAAGGCCACAAGATCCAATGGCAGCTCTCCGCCTAACTCCACTATTCTTGTGCTCCCGTCTCCACGCTCGAGCCAATCCGCCAGCTCAACCCCTGTCCGTTTTTCCAGTGCAAGGCACATCTGGACATTTGGCCTGTGAAGCAACGGCCGATCCTCAAGCTCCATCTCCAGCGACCAGCCAAAGCAGCACATCACCACCTCAGCACACGACACGAGCTCCCGTCGACAGTCTCCAATCTCCAAGCTCGTGCCTCCGACTGCCTCGTCGCTCGCTGCAATTACCCGTCATCCCATAGACGAACCTCCTTCCTTTGCCAAACTCGTCTCCCAACATGAGGGCGATCCTCCCTCTTCTGTCCCTGGGCACTGTCGCCCAGGCGTTGTACTTCTTCATTGATGGCACAACGCCCAAGTGCTTCTTCGAGGACCTGCCCAAGGACACTTTGGTTGTGGGACACTACGATGCCCAGGAGTTTGACGAGAACACGCAGACGTGGTCGAAACACGATGGCATCAGTATCTACATTTCTGTAGATGTAAGTTTGCCCTTGTGGCCCCCTTTTGGGGACAGCACACGACAGCAAGGCTACTGATAAGCTAATTGTGCATTTAAAAATCAACAGGAGGTCTTTGATAATGACCACCGCGTGGTCTCGCAACGTGGTTCCTCTGCAGGTCGTTTCACATTCAGCGCCGCCGACGCCGGTGAGCACCGCATCTGCTTTACGCCCTCCTCGAGCTCCGGGCGCCAGGGCTGGCTCAGCGCCCTGCACCCCAATGGTGGCATCAAGTTGTCTCTCGACCTCGCGATCGGTGAGACGAGCGAGATTGAGAGTACCGATAAGGGCAAGATGGAGGACATTTCGCAGCGCGTGCGCGATCTGAACGCAAGACTGCAGGATATCCGAAGGGAACAGGTCTTCCAGAGGGTAGGTCCCACATATACACACCCGTTGTTTCGATTCCTATGCAATCTTCAAGTCCACAGTAAACTAACACATGTGATTCAATTGCAGGAACGCGAGGCCGAATTTAGAGACCAGTCAGAAACTACCAATGCTCGTGTTGTGCGATGGATGTTGATCCAGGTTGTTGTTCTGGGCGCTACTTGTGCATGGCAACTCTCTCATCTCAGATCCTTCTTCATCAAGCAGAAGCTTACGTAAAGCACCGGAGCTTGACCATACGTGTTCCCTCATTCTTGGGTTGTGCGGTAGCAATCATAGCTACCGATTTGAGAATCTGCAGAGGAGAGCAAGGCGGCCAAGGAGCGGCCAAGAGAACAAAAATTGTCCATTACGGACGACTTGAAGGGGATAGGCTCTCTGTATTGATACGAAGTTCGGACGGCGTCTATGATATACTACATGTTGCTGGGCCTGGGCAAGGTCAAAAGGAGTTACTTCGGGTAGCAAGAAAAACGATCCTGCTTTGGCTTTGCTTTATCTGCCCTCATGACTGTTCCTCTACATTACGTGTCTGACAGGAGTACATCCATTGGAATAGATGCCCCTTCGAGCAATGCAAGCCAAGTGGGAAAACTCGCCTCCCTTTGGCTGTCACATCTGGAGATCGGAGCATAGTAGACGGCGTTGAATTCTATTGAAGGAAGACTATCTGTGACTTTTCAACACTACCAACGTGACAAGCCATTGACATGAGAGTCTCGTGACTAGCCGACCAAGAAGCAATCTCCCATGCTAGTTCCATAATGTCTTCAGGGTACTTCGACGAGAAGCTTTACCGTGCCGTTGGCCGTACCCTACCGCCTTATTGATCTCTGTATCTTGTGTTGTTTCCTGTAATCAGACTGGGTCTCGTACAAACATACCTAAAGATTGGGGTCCTTGCTGTTTCTCGTTCTCAGGCCAGCCACCTGGTGGTGGTAATGGCTCAGAACCCAGTGTCCGTCAGGCTCAGGAACAAGTATAACCCATGTCTGTGAAGATGACGTGGTGTGAAGTTTTTAAGGTGTTCAAGAAATCTGAGACTGGCATATCTGTCTAATTTTGCTGTCTCAGAAGAGAAGCCAAGCAAGGCTCTGGTCAAATGTCGCGCGCCGCACATCTTAAAAAAGTCAAAAGCTATGTCCAAAGTAGTAACGGAAATAATTATCAAGAATGCTCCTATATCCATTGTGGCCGCCAATTCTATCAACACAACAGAATCTAGAGCAGCACTCTTCTCTGTAGATGAGGCACCTACGTCAAAGGTGCTCCTCTGCTACGACACAGTTCTTCGCATAGCCTCCCCAGACCCGAACTCTATTCCTCCCCCTTGGGTCTTTTCGCGAAGAACACTTCCACCGCCTTGGAAATTATGAACATGTAAACTAGTGCAAGAAAATCCAGATGCTGTTTCCCCCCTTTGCGCCGTTGCTCTCATCGCTTTCGCTGACTATTAACAGACTTTCTCTCAATTTTCTATGGTTCGTGTAGCGAGTGTCGTGAATGAGACTTATTTTTGGTTGTTTCCGGTTCCGTGACGCCACTGATGCCCATGTCCATGCCAGATGCCGGTATGAATGTGCACGAGGGACACGTCACAAATGAAAAAGCGAGGCACGCCAGCGTACGGCCGGCGGTCCTCGTGGCAAGCTGGGCCTGCCATTGACTCCAGGATATACATCCATTGATCCAGCAGCCTGGCGAGAAGCTCAATCGGATGTTTCGTGGAGAGTATGAAATGTCGAAGAAAAGTCGCTGATGTGTATCAAAATCGTCATAGCTGGGCAGGACAGCTTCATCAGGCACAGTGTCGGGTCCAGACGCGGTCCAAGAGTATTAAAGTAAAGTCGTAAGAGAAAGCATGGAGCCAGGCGGATCCCGTTCAATGCCTTCTATGAGTCTATATGGAAACGCGTTTCGGATAATGATAAAGTGCATGCAGCCTTGTCGTCAGCCAGCGGCAGGCTCAACGAAGCTAGCCAGTGCTTCAGTGCTCGGTATAACCCTGACCACTAACCGCAGCAAAGCACCTTCATGAACTTTTGGAAGCCAGTAGGCTGAGGCTCGGTAGGTCGACTGCCACCCGCAGTTTGGGCACCCGCGTTGGATGTTTGCGTGGCCATTCTTGGCGGAAGGTTCTGGTTGCTGTTCTGGAATTGAGCTTGAGTCGAGCCCGTTGGCGTAGCCATGTCACGAAGACCCCCCACCGCGCTGCCTCGCGGCGCTTGCAGAGCGCCTGGGGCGTTTGGCCGGCGTTTGTCCATCGCTTTCGCTGGCGAGGGAGGTGGGGGCTGCGCGGCGTTTAAACGGTCGCGGGTGAGATGAGGAGTGCTGGCACCGTTGCGAGTCGTGCCGTGGAGTTCCATCTGAGAAGGACCAGGTCGGGCATTTGGGTTGTGATAGGCTCCCGACTTGTGCATCGAATCCCAGCCCTTGCTGGAGTCCTTGCTGATCTTCATCCAGTCATACTCTCCATCCTCCACCTCTCCAGTGTTCTTCAGGGACTGGGTGAAGAGCTCTCTCAGGTAATCGTAGTCGGGAGTATCTTCGAATCCAAGGTTTCGCACATAAGTCAAGTACTTGTTGAACTCCTCAGGGAAACCCTCGCAAAGGTCCTTGATCGGGGTGGTCTGCTTCTTCTCGCCAATCTTTTCGTACTTTTGCTTGTTGGTAGCAGCCTTCAGACCTTGCCACGGCAGGCCTCCGCGAAGAAAGTACATGAAGACGTGTCCGAGAGCCTCGAGATCATCACGGCGTGATTGTTCACGGCCAAGATGTGTGTTGATGCTCATGTATCGAGCAGTTCCCGACAGAGATTTCCGCTCACGGTAGGGAATGTGCTGCTTAGACTTGGGATCCCGGTATTGCTTGGCCATACCGAAATCGACAACGTGAATAACATTAGAGGCTTTGGTTCCAGGGCGGCCAATCAAGAAGTTGTCGGGCTTGATATCTCTGTAAATCAGGTTCTTCTCGTGAATGGTCTGCACTCTCGAAAGCTATTTGTGATATTGTCAATAACCGCGTTACTGTTATCATGGCAGCGACGATAGACTTACCATTTGTTTGGCAACCATGACAACTGTCTTGATTGTGAACCTGCGACCGCAGTGATCAAAGAGGTCTTCCAACGAAGGTCCTAGCAGATCTATCACCAGGATGTTGTGAAGACCTTCTTGGCCGAAGTAGTAGACATTAGGAATGCCGGCTGAAAGGGAGTCAGTACATTATGCGTAACAATGATTTTGACAAATACTCACGGCATCCTACGAGAATCTTGTAGGTGCGGTATTCATCTCGCAGCTGAGGTGCGTCGCTCTTTCGGGGTTCCTGGAAGCCGGGATCGGAAGGTCAGTCGATTGTTCCTGGTACACATGTTGAATGAAGCAACATGCACTAGACATGTACACCTGCTGATGACAGGGAAAGGCAAAAAAACGCAGCGCGACTTACAAATTTGATGGCAACCTGCTGGTTGTTCAAGAGATTGGTACCCTCGAAAATTACACCAAATGAACCCTCTCCAATCTTCTTGCCGACTCGGTAATGGACACCGACGACGTTTGAGGATGACGACGCCATTGCGAAAGATGAGTCGGTAAACTACGGCGAGACCTTGGAAAACAAAACGGGTTGAATGTGGTGGTGGAGGCGATTGGAAATCGGAGGTATGAGCTGATCGGAATTGGCAAAGGCGTCGGTTTTTTGGAGGGCCTAAGCTGGGGGTCAGGAGTATGCAAGATACTCGAGCACTCAGTTGCACCGGGGGCTCATGGTACGAATGAGCGGTGGATGGTGGAAGAGGTTGGAGAAAAGAAAATTCAGGTCCGTCGAGGAAGAATCAGGCGTCGGCCAGTTCGCGAGCGCAGGCAGACTCAACGCTGCAGTCGTCGTCGTTCGTCGCGTGGGACTGAGGGTCGACGATGTTGTTGTTGACTCGACTCTCTCTGAGGTTGACGGGAGGGATCAGAAGGGAGAAATTGAATTCGGCCCAGACCAGCAGCAGAGAAGGCAGAGAGCAGAACAGAGCAGAGAGCCAGAGCCAGGTCAATGTCGGTCACAAGCCTGTTCTGGGTCTAGCAAATGGGAGGCTAGCGCTTCCTGGCCATTCGCGGGTACTTGCGAGACTGCGGCTTGGCCGTGTTGGGGGGGTCTACTGGGGCCCAGGTACCTCCTGTCTCGCCTAGCCAAGACCAGGTTGGCGCTTGTTTTAGCAGCTCAGCAAGGCCCCAAAAAATTGCCCGTAGGTGCTGACACTGCCCCGTGCACTGGAACCAGTCAAGAGGCTCTCCACTGGAGATCCAAGCGATTTGGGGCTGCCACACACAGACAGGACAGAACCCAGGTGGCGCTAGGCGATTTGAGGAAACTTGCAGATTGAGGCGTTGGGCCGCCCAGCGAATAGGCGTCGCTGAACCCGTCCCGCTCTGGGGCCCGACCAAATTCCAGAACTCGAGCCCTTTTTTTTTTTCTCTCATTACGGGGAGCATTTTGCAAATTAACAGGCTGGTGAACCGATCCAAATTTGGGGCCGGAAAGAAAGGAGTTGGCAATGGCAAAACAAAATGACGACCGTCATGAGGTCACTCCCTCAAACAAGAGAGCAATGAAGCACCGGAAAAATAATAAAAACAAAAACCGGAAGAGCTACACTGCCTGCCTACTGGGTACATGCAATATGGTAAATCAGCACCGGTTCGTCATAACATGCCTTGCCGACTGACAACTGTACCTACATCATCTGCCAGCGTAGTACAACAGTAATCATAACAATACCTTACCTTGAACAACGCCGCTGCGGATTGCTGATGCTCTTCTGCCGCCCCGTCTGCCGCGCAAAGTGCCACCAGAACAGTGGATGAGCTTCTGCGGCGATGCACAACCCCCCCAGACCATCACCTGAACCATCGTCGGCCGTCGGCAAGTACCTTACATACAGACATGAAGTGGTTGGTACGTTGTGCACTGCAGTAGTAGCACGTATGCAGCTGGCTGGTGGCGCTCATCTGCATGCATCTATCTGCCCTCAGGCAGAGAATAGTGTGTATAGCACGGCGTCTAACCTCATCGGACTGGACCCTTTTCCCAGTTTGCCCTCAACACTATCTGATCTACCACTGCGAACACGAGTCGGTGAAGATGCTTTTTGTTCACTATTTTCTTCCCCGTGATATATGGTGCATCGATCTAGCATGGCTAGGTAAGTATGGGATTTTAGGGACGCGCATGTGAAGGAAGATTAGAGCCCGCTTGTTGAAGATCTATCTGACCTACTTTTGGATCCTTTCATTATTCATAACAATTATTGAAAGAAGCCGAGGGAGGGAGGGAAAACATCAAAACACACAGATCGAACTCATTTGGACCAAAGTAGGTTACAGTTACATTCAGGCATGCACGTGCCTAGACAGGACACCCTACCAACCCAGGTACACGATATTACCCCTTGGGATGTTGAGGCAAATCAAATACCATGGACCATCATATCACAAAAGCGATCAATTGCCTGCCTGAAAGGGCCGTCCAGCTCCAGGCCTTTGGGTCGCACCAGAAAAGCCTCGGTCATGCAAGTTTGTAGCCCCTGGGATCGGTCCTTTGTGTCTAAACTTGTCAGTCTCCATTTTGCGGCGCATGCCTGGTTCGTTCTCGACGGATATCGCTGCGTTAATCCGTACCTACAGTGCTCCGTGGTACTAGCGATTCTCATCAGATCTCAACAAAGCACTATCGTTGCAGTAGTAAGACAGCATGATAGGCCAGATATGTCTTTGGCTGTGTTCTGCTATTTTTCCAGGGGGCTGATCATAGAATTGACTGTTCTATCAGAAATTCTACATCTCTCAAGGACCTACCTTGATACATACCCGGAAACAGGGTCTTCCATCTAGCATGGGAAACACAATTGAGACACACCAGTCATCTACGAGCTACAGGTACGAAGCTCGGCCTGCATCTCCTCCCTTCCATGTCACTGCTGCTAGGCTAGCTTCTCCTTGTTGGGTCAAGAGAATGTAGGTACATTACCTTCTAGCGACATGCCAACCTCATCCACCTAGGTTACCTATCTATCTGCCTACCCATACTACATCGCCCTGGCAGTCAGTCAGTCAGCAAGCAGTAAGATGTGGCGGTCGAGTCGCCTCAATCCTATCAGACGCCTCCAGCGCACGAGAACAACTGTATTGCGTTGCTGGAGCTGCAAAGCTGCTGCGGATCAGCGAGAGCCAACGATTCAGGGCTCTGCACGTTGGCATAACACGTACACTTGCGTACTACTGCTCGGCTCTTTCGCAGATGGCTGGCCGTTGACAGTCCAACCAATCGTAGCCGGTTCCCCCCTGCATGTTACATCTCCAATTCTCCTTCCCCGTCGCCCGCCGAGATCGCGGAGAATCTGGACGGCTGACGGGCAACATGTCGGTCGATGAATGCAATCGTGCGTGGTGCCTCGCCTCGAACGAGGCAAAATTCTCCGCTGAAATTTTCTCATGGACCACTATTATTGAGCAATATTTCCAACCAATGGCTTACTATTGTCTTGCCAACTTTTGAACTTACTGCGTGACAGCTCCGTAATTCAGACTCCAGACTCTGCGATAAGGTAATGCAGACTCCATCCAGCGTGCGGTACATGGTGGGCAAGATACGCGGCCACTAGCACCAACGGCCGGCCGACCTTGTACCTTAGGTTGTTCCCGCTTATTTTCCACGCCTGGTACCATTCAAATGTTTCTCCAGGAGAGTTGCGGCTTGCCATTCATGTTATTACTATGTACTTTGACAGACGAACGGCAACCCATTGCGCCCATTTGCCTCCCGAATCGTTCGAAATTCGCAGTGAGAAGTAATGCGAGTGAGAAAGAAAAAAAAGGCATCTGTCCGTCACCGAAATGCCCACACTGCCATCCGCCGTGCAAGGTTGAAACAAACCAAACCCCGCTCTGCTTCGTACTTCGTGGCGGATCATTTGAAAAATGGCGATTCGTCTGGTAGGATACCGACTCGAGACCTGCATCAAGCGTCTGCACTACCATGACTAAATGTACATACTGCCTCGAATTATAGCATTTCCTCTCGCCACCCCGCATCTGGTTGCCTACCTGACTCACATCCTTTTCTGATCGACCGACGACGGACTGCAAAGACAGCCCAAGGCATCCGCTTGGGGCTATATTCTGTGTTCTCCATCCGAAATATATGCCCATCTTCCGGGTCGGGTGGCCTGCCAAGACCATCCTACCCTATAGCTTGAGGAGGTGTCCCTAGACTTAGGCTGACAGTCTAGGAACACCATGTTTATAAGTCAAACTCTGTTTCTTTGGAAACGACGATCGCACGTTGGATTGACCTTCCATTACCCAATTATGTTCCCAGGGTCTATCAGGGCAGACTTCACCATGGTGCCTCTGCTACGTACCACGTGAAGTATCAAAATCGTTGCCTGGCTTGCCTACTACATGTCGTGGGCTTCGTATCGAGACGTCGAACTCTCGTGATATTTGTGCTATTGAGAGGATATGGGTCTACTCAGCCCATCAAGCACATCTCTAAGCGAGACGGTATCTGTGATCCAAATCCTAGACCGTTTGCAACCATGATGTGTGATTCGTTACACTTGTGCGACAGAAGATATTATACTATGGAATTTATCAAATCCCAATTGACAACATGTCTCACCCTACCGAACAAAGCCGCGTAACCTATTTTCTACTCTGATCGAAAAAGGCAAGCAAGGGCAAGTGAGAACGGCCTGGTAATTCTGCAAATTCTGAAGTTATACATGCATTCTTCATTTTGGAAGTTTCTTTGCGGATCCGCCGTATGAAGGTAGGCAATGTGCTAGCCAAATCTGCGAATCAACGCCGTCAACGCCATAATCACAATGTACACAAGAGGCATGATTGAAGTCAATTAACTCCATGGTCCATTGTCGTCTTACCAGCACCTTGGGCAGGAAGGAAAGGTCTCCGGATATTAAGCCCCGGCCAAAACAAAAATGCAGAAGCATGACCGGACGCCGTCGAAACCTTCTTCCCTGTACCTGACTGTCGGGAACGACTAGCCTACCGCATTTCCTTTGCTTGGGAAGCCTTCTACCAGGGACGAGACGGATGATGAGCAGCAACCATGGTGTATATCTCGACGCTCATAAGAGACATACAGAAACTTTCGTGAGATCAAGACTAGTCTCAAAGAAACATGTTGAGCTCAGAGAGGTATTGACTGATGATTCCAATACTGCTCGCATCGTGTGGTTCATGATACTCCCGCCGGTGAAGGTTTTCTAGATGTATGCGCTTACGTAAAAATCTAATCCATGTCATCACTGATGACGATGAAGATTTGGGATTCCAAGTCCTCCTTACAGCTTTCGCTGTTGACTGCTTGTCTCCGCATGGTGAAAAAAGCTTTGCATGGAATGAAAGGCTTGCTTTTTACGACACATGCTCCTAGTCCTTCCAACATTCTCATCATGACGGTCCTGGGTATTATACCTTCAATAAAAAAAAAAAACGCGTACGCCTCAAGGTGACTCGTCTAAGCGATGCCACCCAACCATATGACGTGATGTCCTCGTGGCAACGCAAACACGCAACGGGCGGCGCCGTAAGAATGTACGGAGCCGTACGAACTTTCAAGAATACGGCGGTCGTTGAGCTCCTCTTCGCTGAAGAGAGACGGCGACGGTCTGCGCGTGAGCTCTACCTTTATGGACCGTCAGTGGGGGAGAGGCGTAAGTTGACACTGTCCTGCTATGTGAACAATACGCCACGGCAACGGAATCGCTGCGCATTTTGACCAGAAATCCGGTGATGAGGCTCCTAAATTTTAATCAGCCGCGTCATATACCTACGCAAAGGGGGATCGATTTCAATATGCAGGCGCACAGACGACTGCAGGAACCCATCCTGCACATGTGCTGTGAGGAAAAGAATAACTTGGGGAAAAGACGGAGAGGTTGGGTTGCAACAAACCACCGCTTGTGGACTCCTGTATATGCGACGGGCCGCTGTTGCTTGACACCTTGGCGATGCGACCGAAAGAAGAATATCTCGACCGACCGGACGTCCGTCCCTTGCAGATTTTCTATCTTCTTTAACGCATAAGAGTTCGCGATATCCATAAAATCGATTTTCCTCACCCTACCCTGCTCATTTCCAAGGGTTCCCCGCAAACGCCAACGCCCAGGACGGTAAGCTTTTTCTCGCTTTACCACTTCTCATTGCTGCGAAATTCGATAATTCATGTTCTCGCCCTGGACCATGATGGCATAAGAAAACAAGGCTTTTGCGCGCACGCCATTCCGAGTTTTTCTCCCTTCGGGTCTTGCGCCCGATCGCGCGATTGGGAAGGTCGACGCCAGACCCTCTTGGGTGGCTCTGCCCCGGGGAGATTCGCACGTGGAGTCGTCGTCGTTGAATTGGTGCCCCGCTTGTCTTGCCGAAAAGGGTCAACACTTCGGGGGGAAAAGAGGCGTTCTGTAATTGAGAAACGCTTCAGGATATTGGATATAGTAGTTCCATGCTCGACGATCTTAGCTTGGGGGAACTATGTATAGTATATATAAAGGACGGACAATGGCCTGGCCTACCCGAATTGGCTGGACTTGAGTTCTCTCATCTGTCTCCTTCATAGCGCAATCTGAACCATCCAGCCACGTCCGACAGGCAACGACAAAGTATATCCAAGACAACGCTATAACTCCCCGAGTCTAGCAGTCCACCATGCAGTCCTTCTTTGTCCTCAGTCTCCTGCCTCTCCTGGCACTGGCAGCGCCCAGCCCAGCTGAACTTGGCCTCGAGAAGCGATCCATCACCTGCCTCAAAGTCGGCGCCACCGCGACGGCGACCTGGACAAACAGCGCTGGAAAGACGTGCAAATGGACGGGTGTCGTGGGCAGCAACTTTGGTACCAACAGCGTCAACAGTGGAGAGTGAGTTGGGACTCCAAGCACTTTGATTGGTGCTATATTGTGGTTCTGGGAAAAGGCTGACCATGGCAAACTTGCAGTTACTCTTGCAACGGTCGCTGCGGTGCCGGATGCACCGGTGCTGCTCTGGGCAATGCCTACACGCAGGATTGCTTCTCGCACGATATCTGCTCGTGGTTCAACAATGCTAGCGGTGGTTCAAGGTATGTCTTGATCAAACGCCTTGGGAAATCCGCGTTGTTGTAGACTAACAAGAGAAAACTCAGCGACGCCAACTGTGGTGCTGCTTACGATGCCGCTGTCGATGACACCGTTGGTGGAGTCTTGGCTGGATGCGGACAGACGAACCCGTCGAACTCGGCTGCGGCGCCAACTACTTCTCCTAGTTGCTCATAAGACGGTGGTTATTTGCTCATCGTGGTCATGTTTGTTTTGGCTTTGCGAGGCGTTAGGGTCGAGGTTAGCAGCAAGCAAATCAAAAGAGATCAGTCAATACATGTGTTTTACCGGACATGTGACAATATTGGTTTACTCCTTTTCACGAACGATTGATAATGATTACCCGATTGTCAAATATCGCTTGTAAGCGATGGCCAAGGGTTTCTCTCAGTCATGTATAGGAGATGTTTTAATTTTGAATCCGGCGATGAAGTTGAAGTGTCTTTCCTGGCATAGCGAGAGTGCTTGCCATGGCCTCACTAATTTGAAACAGTCGACTCATCTTGGATAATGCCAACTCCTGGACTTTTCGAACACGCTTTTGGACGCCTTGCAAAAAGATATTTTACAGTTCTCCAACAGTCTCATCCTCGAGCTCCAAATGGTCGTCCAGGTCTGCGAATAGCTGAACTCCCCAGTTCTTACTTGGGTTGCTCATTCTGATCTTCCTATCATGCTTTGCAATATCGGCCATCTCGTCCTTGCTGAAGCGAATCCCGGCTGCGTCGCGGTTCTCATCAATGTACTTTTCATGGGAGCTCTTGGGGATGACCACGGTGCCGCGCTGGAAGCCCCAAGCAATGGCGGCCTGAGCAACGGTGGCGTTCTTGCGCGCGGCCAGCTCCTTCCAGTACGGGTCCTCGAGCAGCGGCGGCGCGTCCCGGCGGTAGATGGGGTTGGTATTGGCGAGCGGCGAGTATGCAATCACCTTGACACCAACCTCGGCGTGCCAGTCGATAAAGTCTTGCTGCTGCAGGTATGGGTGCGTCTCAAACTCGTGCGCGTAGGGACAAATCTCGCAGACCGCCAAGACCTCCTCGACGTCACTCTTGGCAAAGTTGGAAATGCCAATGTGTCGCGTCAGGTTTGCCCGGACCAGATCCTCAAGTGCCCGCCATGTGTCGATGATGCTTGTCTTCTTGTCCAGTTTGGTGCCCTCATCTGGGACGAACGCTACTGGCCAGTGAATGAGATATAGGTCCAGATAGTCAACGCCAAGCCTAGAGATGGACGTCTTAATGGCCGCTTCCACCTCTGAGGGACGGTGGAACGAATTCCAAAGCTTGCTAGTTATCCAGATGTCCTTGCGGGAGAGCTCGGAGGCAGCAATGCCCCTGCCCGTCTGATCCTCATTTCCTGCATTTCCGTATTAATCATTCCCGTCACACCGGCACTGTGAGATTGAATATGGTCAAGAAGATGGTGGTGTTCTTACTATAAATCCAGGCTGCGTCAATGTGATTATAACCATTGTCGAGGGCATACTCTACGGCATGATCGACCTGATTTGTATCAGTAAGTGCTTGTAATCTTCTCGTGCTTTGCCGACTCTCACCTTGTCCCTATCAGACAACCAAGTTCCCAGACCCAGTGCGGGAATCTCCTTGAGACCGTTGGTGGGGATCTCGGCGGCTAGCGAGGACGTAGCAGCCAGTGCGACAGCAAGAGCCGAGATGAATCGTGACATCGCCATCATAGCCAGATTCTCCTGAGATTATGGATGAACAACAACACTCCTAATTGATTTCTCAAGTCTTGACGAGAAATCGTTTGCCACTGGGGAAATATTCTCCAAAGGTGAAGAAGACTAACCCCGCGCGCAAGCGACTGGGGAGTGTTGCAATCTACTGTGTGGATTACATCATGCGGCTAGAAGATCCGCATATCTCGGTTGTGCTCCGTGAACCATAATCTTATCCCGATACAATCCCGATGGGTATTGGAGTCAAGATAGCTATTTTGCACAATCCTTCATTATAAACATATATCGTAAATTGCTTTGTATATCCTATCCTTCTTCGATTCTCCCTCATTACCTTGCATTTTCTAATCCTACCGTTTAGGGTATTTCCTTGAAAATACATGAAAGTAAACCTTTTACACTATGCATCGTCGATAGACTTGTATTTTCACTCAAAGTCTTACAATGAATGTGATTCCCAAGGTCTGATTATCTCGCAAAGTGGACGGAGGACTTGCTGAAACATCTCTTGCCTCCAATGAGGGCCGTTCAGAGTTGTGTGTTTTGATAGACACCAGGCAATTGCGTTCTTGTAATCAGGACCGACTTCATCTGTAACGTCCTCAAGCCAAAAACTTGCAGCGTGAGCGTCAAAAGCAGCTTTCATGCTGGCGTCTTCTACTCCTGGGGGAAGCTTGGGGCGTTTTGGGTGATTCTCAATCACTTTACCGAAGCACAATTCCAGCAGAGCCACAGCGAGACTGCTGAAATTCTGCATTGGATGATGGGGCTCCAGATCGACCGAAGACGCTGATTGGAGTCTATGGGCCAGAAACGGTTCGTTGATGTCAGATGTGTTGGAATGTATCTTGTGCTCCGGAAAGAAGATGCATGATTTTTCCCAGGACGAAGTAATCCATGAAGTTTTCCGCAATTGAATGAATGAAGACATCAGGGTAAAAGATATTGTGTATCTCTGCCGCCGATTGATCTTCACCCCAGAGCCACAAAGTATATCCTCCAAGCTGAGTTGTGAAAGAAAAAAAAAAAAAAAAAAAAAGAAAGAAGAAACCTCGATATGCCATGTCTACCTGCATATTCGCAGATCTGACGTGATTAGTATCCAACACACCCTTCCCTTTGTTTAGTAGAAGATGGCTCCTCACTACCTCTCATAATCACTTTGATAGCCTGACACGTGAACTCTTCCAATTATCCATTTCGCTGCTCAAGCCAATAGCTGGCTCATTTGACTGATACCCCCATGTCTCAACAAACGATTTTCGCGCAATGTCAATCAATAGATTGTTTGTTCACGCTGGTCTTAGACACTGATGTGAAGATAGATACTCCTCGAGTAGCCACAGATGCTTCGGATAGGGTTAAACTGTGGAAAGCAAATTCTTGTTTAGAATATACTTTGTTTAATTTATCACTGGAAGCTCACCTTAGAGGTGCTCTCTACCTGATAGAGAACATCTCTAATCTACTTAAAAGCCTCGAAGAGGCACTGCAAGATGGTTAGTAACCTCGACTCTTTCTTTTATCTGTTACTGCATGTTAACAAATATTGGTAGTATCCAGGATCATCGCTACTTCTGAGATACACGAGAAATATGATCAAAGGCTTGAGAATCTGGAAGTCGGCAATATGATGGCCGCCGATGCCACATCGACAACTGAGGTGGAAGACCTCCTGGGAAAAGCGTCTGACACAATTGGAAGTTTGTTGAAGCTGGTTTCCTTAATACGCCAGATAACAACACAAGACCGATTCGCCCACGCTCCTGAACATGAGTTTGAGCATTTGCTGGACTCTTCTGATATCAACCATGTCAAAGAGCGTTTTCCCAAGCTTGATAAACCAGAAAGTCAATGGCTGCTTCGAAAACTTGGTCGAGCTATTGCAGCTCGCCGCCAGATACTGCAACACTATCAGGAGCACAAGCAACAGACAGGAGTTGTGCATCCCAAGACAACGCATGGACCATCAGAGATGGTCGCGCCAGAGGTCGCAATCGAGGATGTTGTGGCTGCTTCAGGAAAATTGCTCTACACCCCGATAATGACCTCATCTTTGAATGATGCGTTTTCTCTTCCTCTTTTGAAGGATATCAAGCAAATACATCAAGATGAGGACGCTTTGAGTGCCCCCTTTGTGCTACTATCGTCTCGATCAAGTCCGAATGGGCCTGGAACCGCCATGCCTACGATGATCTAAAATCATACATTTGTTGCGTCGGAGAGGAGGGGCACTGCGATTTCCAAATGTTCGGGAATCAAACAGCGTGGTTTGAACACGAACTGAAAAATCATAGGCGTCGGTGGATATGTGTCATCTGCAAACTAGACCCGTTCAATGAGCCAGAAGGTTTCTCAGATCATTTAGAGAAGGGACACCCAGAGCTCAGATCGTCGGATGGAGCAACAAAAGCTCTCCAGAATACCAGTCAATGTCCTATCAAAACTATTCCAACAAAGGATTGTCCCTTCTGTGATGATTGGGATCCCAGCCCGAGATTATCAAAATCAAGAGAAAACGATGAAAATTCAGACGCTGGCATGATTCAAGAGGGCAACGCTTCTGTGCCTACAATCACCTTCGCTCGTCATCTTGCTGTACATTTGGAGCAACTAGCAATATTTTCAATACCTCCGGAGATTACTAGCCACATAGAGATTCGGAAGGGGGTTCAGGGGGGATCTATTTCTCTTCCACCCATCAAAAGCGTCTCTTCGATCACGGGCAAACGGAAGCTCTCACAGCGTAATGCTGCCTCTGGAGCGGAAGATCTTGCCTCACGGAAGGTCTCTCAATCAAAAGAACAGCTTTCGTCAAGTGCCACTGAGAAAGAACAAATATCACCAATGAAAAATACACAAAGCTCACCGGCGATCCAGGGATCTTCCAGCAAGAGATCGGGTAGCACAAAATTGAATATCGGAAACAGCAGAAAAGTGGAAATGTGGTATTGTGTGAGTCTACTCTGTATCGGCCTAGGTCAGTGATATTATTACTTCATTTAGTGCCAATGTTCGCAGGAGAATAGTGCCTTAGCTAATCCGACGTGCTTCACTTGTTCATACCAACGATGTGGGTTCTGTACCTGGCAAATGGTCAAAGTACGAAGAGGTGCCTGACCGATTGCCTCTGGGCATATGTAAGTTGAGTCGTAGCCGGACACTCTGACGGCGGGTTAAATAGTAAAAGAGCCATTTCAAATTACCTGGAAAAATACTCATACTAGTATTTAGTGATATAGTCATTGTACCAAGTTAGATTTCTTCTGTGAATGTCCCGACTACAGTTGATTGTTGATGATATAACTGCGAATGGGAAGAACAGGTTCGAAGGAGCAAGGTAATGTCTGGAAATGCGATGACAAGCGTAGCTCTCTTCCACCACTTCTCAACACATTGACCATGAGAACTGAGTGATATTTAGTTGCTTTGCGAAATTTCGACTCTAGGAGGTACCGGTGAATGGTGACATCGCCCCACGACAATGAACAATGTTTTCTCTTAGATAAGAAGAGACGCTCGAATCATAAATGACCTCCCCCGCTTGATAACGTGACCTTGCACATGCTCGTTGAAGAACGTGGTAGGACTCAAATTTGGAGTATAAAGGTCATGGGGGCTCCTCGAATATCATAAGCCCCCGGGACCTTATTTTCATCTTTCAAATCATATAGCTCCTTGGGACCTGTTACCTTCAATCCATTCTCGCTGCTGGCGCATTCTTGCTCATTGACCTCACCCGACACCCTTACAACTGAAAAAGCACCGCCCAATATTTCTTGTGCCGAGACATCATTTTCCAATAGCCCAACAATAAAACTTGCAAATTACACAAGGAATATCAAGCAACCGCGCGCAACCTCTCAGCGTCCACTACCATGCCTAGCGAGGAAGGAAAGAGCAAAAGCAAAAAAGTTCAAACGTGGTATTGTGTATATAAGTCTAGCTCTGAATCGACCTGCTTCGGTTGTATTAATTCTTCATTTAGTCCGAATGCGGGGTCGGAAATTCGGTGCAAACGGATGTAGCATGTTGGAGTTGTGGTCACCGTCAATGTGAAAACTGCACCATACAAATATCCAAAGTGAGGAAGACATAACAATGCATTTCTGGACAAATATATGGTCACTTGTGTCGGGAAATCCTGGCGTATGAGAAATCATGAAAGATATAGCCTCGAATACTACCTGGACAGTATCTTGGAGCCAGTCACTCGTAGCCATGAGCAGATGATTGTCACAATACAAGTCAACTTCTGTCCGTGAATGTCAATATTACGTGTGATTGATTGTGCAATAGAACCGTAAAATGCGAACGATGCCGATGGGCACTAATCAAAGTGAATTCGGGAATGTCTTGGGCTCTCTAGCAACTCAGCAGATAGAAGGTTCTGATCCTAAGATGGCGGGGCTCCTTTGCGTAGTGCATGACTTAGACATTTGCAATCACGAAATCAAGCAGGTATTATTATGCTAGACTGAGATTTTGGATATGTGAAATACCGACCGCTAGGGTCGACCGAGGCGGGGTGTCAGCAATTCAAACTCTAATAGAAATGTTATGCGGAACACGGTCTTGGTAGTTGGGCAACTTGCCAAATTCAACGATTCTATACTTGGCATTGCAAAGACAACATAACGGTGGTCAAAAATTACAAGTCGAAAACCGCAAGGCCACACCAGCATCATGCCGAAGTCCCAAGCCCCGATCCCCGTTGTAGACTTTGGCGCCTTCTCCACCAGCGATCCCGCGGCCCGCTCCCGCATCGCGGCGGAGCTGACGTCGGCGTGCCGGCATGTGGGCTTTGTATACGTCCGGAACCACGGGATACCGGCCGCACTGCTCGAGGAGGCATTTTCCTGGTCGCAACGACTCTTTGATCTGCCTCGGGAGCAGAAAATGCTCGCGCCACACCCGCCAGGCCCAGACGTCCATCGCGGCTACTCGTGGCCTGGCTTGGAAAAGGTTTCACAGTATATCCATGCTGCTGGCGACGGAAATGACGCCGAGGCCCAGAGAGTGGGGAAGGAATTGAGAAAAGTCGAGGACTGCAAAGTGAGCCTTCGGTCTTGATGGGTGTATAAGAACAATACCTCATGTGTACAAACAGGAAAGCTACGAAATCGGTAGCGAAACCTTTGCGCGCCAGCCCAATGTTTGGCTACCTGAGAACGTCTTGCCTGGCTTCCGTACCTTCATGACGTCCTTTTATTGGCGCTGCTTCGAGACGGGCCAACAGCTTCTGCGGGCGCTGGCCATTGGGCTTGGTATTGACGACGAGGACTTCTTCCTCAAGTTCCACAGTGGCGAAAATGCGCAATTGCGTTTGCTTCATTACCCGCCCATTGAGACGGAGAGGCTGGAGAGCAATGCTGTAGCGCGCAGTACGTATCTCACACCCGCTCTTGATACCCTAGACACTTGAATTTTTGAAAACCCAAACTTCCACATCACAAGTCACTAACTCACGAAATTGGTGTAAAGTGCCCGCACATTCAGATTGGGGTACCATCACCATGCTCTTCCAAGACGAGTGTGGCGGTCTCCAAGTTGAAGACCCCAATCATCCAGGTCACTTTGTCGACGTCATCCCACTCGAGGGCACGCTCGTCATGAACGTGGGTGATCTCCTTATGAGATGGAGCAACGGTGAGCGCCTCGCATTTCCGAACTTACCCGTGAGGCTCACAAGTCATCTCCTTTCTTGGATAGATTACCTCAGATCGACACTCCACCGCGTAACAGTCCCGCGCAAGACGGCTTCAGGTATCGAGGACGGCAAATCGCATGCCATGATGAGGGCCCGATACTCGATACCATACTTTGTGTCCCCCGACTCGGCGGCCGTCATCGAGTGTCTTCCGCAGTGCGCCGGTGAGCCTCATCCTCCTAGATACGAGCCGATTGTGCAAGACGACTATCAACGGATGCGTGCAAAAACACAATACGCATCATAGAAATGCATTACCAAGACCCGCAACGGGCGTGGCATAATTATCGGTGATTTAGTAGAGGATTTGCGAATTAGGTAGCTATGTTTTTTCTTTTCATCGAGTTGCATGCCACATTCCTTTTATACCATCTAAATCCTTGTGCAATGCCAAGGACTGATGCATCATCCCTCTTATTCACCGATCTGCAAAGACCTTGCGCGATACGAACCAATCCATCCCGACTATGTAAGCTGCCAGAGCCAAACATGCCCTGGGCTGTACTTAATACAGTATATGCAAGCTTTTGAATATCCATCCGTTAGCTCCCACAAAACGCTAGCAAAGTGACTCGAAATTTGATAACTCTGAATAAGCCGACATGAAGATCCCATGGACGAGGCCACTGCCACATCCTCAATCGTCGACAAATAAAACAGCTTCGGGTATCATGAACAACAGCAAAAATCGAACAAGGACTATGAGAATGCTCTCATATATCAAGATCAAGTGAGTTATAGTGTGCCACTAGTAACTCCTCTTTTGGTCTTGTTAGGATTTCCCGAGGAAATCACAAAGTTTGGAACATCCTATATCTCATGTTAGCACAGCGATGACAGTGGCTGGCACAATCGACGTACCTGGGTGACGACGGAGCCGGCCGCCACGGTGGAACCTTTTCCAATCCGCCGACCGGGGAGGATGATGACACCACCACCGATCCAGGCATCATCCTCAATGACTATGGGCTTGCCATATTGCAGACTCTTACTGCCCTCCCGCTGGCCAGGATCGGTGCTAAGTGTAGCCGTAAAGAGACTGACATTAGGTCCAATGTAGACGTTCTTGCCAATCGTGACCGAGCGAGCATCCAGCACTGTACAATTACGCCCAATGAAGACGTTATCGCCAATGCTGATATTGTATCCATAGTCACATGTGAAGGGGGCTTCCACGACACACTCGGCTCCAACACGGCCATGATTCGTAACAGGAGATGTCTGTGCTGGGGAAATGTGGACAGGATCTTTGGGCATGAGTATTTCGCGGAACAGTCGTGCCCGTTCCGTTGCCGACACGCCGTTGTTTGGGTTGGTAGAGTTGTTAAACCTCCAGCAAGCAGCGCTGCACCTTTCCCTTTCCAACACGAGTTCTTTATCAAATGGCTTGTACGATTCGCCCCGTAGCATTAGCTCCTTTTGTGTGGGTGGTCGGTTTGCAGCGACGAAATGATTATGTGACAGTGCCAACTGGGCTGTGGCCTGAACACTACTCGTCGCTGGTAGTGGCTGTCTCGCCGGACTACTGGTGCGGGCAGGATGTAGCATATTGATTTGTGGCAATGTGTTGCTCGTGTGAGGGGTTTCGGGTTCTGTTCGGCTCGTGTCGTGTAATGGAGGTATTCTCTGATATTCCTTCTGCATGCCTCGACTTTCTCCAAAACCAGTGGCGGAGCTGATTGCGCTGATAGGAGTCGGAAATGCGTTCGCCGCTGGGGCCGTGTAGCTTGACACGGCCGAGAGTTTATTGTCCGGGCTGAAGACGGATGCGGTGGGGATCGTGGAAGCCGTCTGCTCGTCTTCCGAGTGTAGCACTCGGCCCTGCGGCGGGTCGATGCGCAACGATGGGCCTCGGAATGGGGGTGGCGCATCACGCTTAGCTGGAGGCTGTAATTGGTTGACATAAGTTGACTGTGACTGTGGCATGCCATAAGCGCCCGGAGGAACGTAGCTCGGGTCCTTGGATTCCAGCGGCACAGCCGTGGACTTGGTTTCCATCTTTTGGTAGCCACGCTGGTTTGGATACCCTTGACAGATGAAGCCGCCTCGAATGCAGTTGTTGCCTATAAGTGTTTAGCCAAGCAATGACGGGATTCTCGGGATATGCAAGACTTACACTCGGGCTTGAGCTCGTCACACTTCTTCTTCCTCTTGCGGCACGTCAAGCAGCCCGTCTTAGTCCTGTTGCTGAAGTTTCGCTTTCGCTTTTTGGGATCAGACTGGACAGCACCAGCTCTGCGATGATCGGCATCGTATGGGCCACCATAGTAAGCTGAATCGTCTCCATCATCAGGGCTGGTAGGCGAATAGTCCTGAGGTTCGGCACCTCCAGATCCCCTGTATCCTTCCCCAGATTGGTCCTCGGCTTGCGTAGAGATGGAAACAGCTTGAGATTGAGACTCATATGCACTTCGGCCGTCCCTTTGCGATTGTGACTGAGAATACCATGATGATGACTCATCTCTGCTGTCTTTACCATACGCTCGGTGATCCCGGTCTCGCAGGTGCGCTCCGAAAGCCTCGCGAGAGTCAGGATGATGGCTGCTGGGATGTCGCTCATCTGGCGAACCTGGCCCTTCTCTCCGTGGTTCCGTAGATAGTGACCTTTTGCGCTTGTGGTTGCCTTCGTACAGTGCATAATCATTTGCTTGGTAAGTAGTTCTCTCAGTACCAGACCCTGTCCAATGCTGTCGCGGATTAGATGTAGCTTCGGCTGATGTCCTTCGCTCCGGGTTCGTCGCAGTGGCACCTCGCTCCTCCGATTCTGCCGGCCGTGATACTGGGCTGCCGCTCCGTTTATCTATCGTCTGGGAATCATTCCCATTGAGTGCAGTGAAAGTGGACATTGTGTTGATCACGCCCGATCCGTGATATTAAGTGTTAATGGTCCGTACCGAAACGAGAGGAGCCTGCTTTCAAGGCAGAGTAGAGTAAGAACGGAATTATCTCGCAGTCTGCCTTGAGGTAGTAAAAAGATATGCCTGGAAGCAAATCCGTACCAGCCGGTCCTACCCTCCTTTCCGATTCGGCGGGCTGACGCACAAGCAAATCTCGGGCTGGCGTTGCAAGCCTATCAGCTTCTGTAAAATTGCTACGCGGCGCCTGCACCTCAATTCTGACAACGAATATTCCAGATAGTGCAGTCAATCGGTGCCAATTGTACTTCCTCACGGGATTGCTGGCTGCCCTTCATAAAAGCTTGGGGCTTGAAGTGGCCGATTATCTAACTCGGAATGGGCGACGAGAAGAATAACGGGTTCTCTGCATTTCCCGACAAGACGGAGCAAAATTGTGTGTTGATGCGCTGTTGTGCAGTAGATGAGATACTCAGGGTTATGTTGCCTGTTTTATCTGAGAGAGGTGCCGACGAAGCCGTGGTGTGACTTTTTGCGAGAACCTTGGAAGTAGCTCAATCAACCCAATGGGAAAGTCGCGAGATCCAGCCCGCGATATCCCCTGCCTCTCTGCCTTCTCACGCTGTGAACTAACTCGCGCACTGCCCTTTTCTTCCAGTTTCACAAAATGGACCCTCTCTGCCTGCGGACTTGGTGAACGTCCGAGTTGTCGTCGCTGCGGCTCAATTGAAAGGCGTCCCACACTGAGTGTCTGTTTGCGACAGACCCGGCGCTTGGGAAACTACCGCGCGATTATCTTTTGCGCCAGCCGAGTGTAATAATGAGTATTTCCGAGTTGCTGCTCTGTTCCTGGAGATGAGTAATTGCGTGGGGCCGGCAATGAAAGCCGCGTCCAAAAATCAACAATAAGAATAAAATCCTGTTGTCGCCGAGATATTATCTTTTCATTTCTCAATGGTTGCAATCTATCGTTTTCTTATTTCTTGTCGCCGCTGGCTTTTCGTTTTGAGCGGGAAAAGGAGTGTGGAAGAGCAAAAAGCTGCTGGTGTACGGTGAGACCGGAAGTTCAGGTCAGAGTGGTTGATTAGTTGATGTAAGGGTAAGCACAGGGCGTTAGCCAAGTCGGTCGGCAAGTGCAAGCAGCAGCAGCAGCAGCGAAATGTATCAGCATTGAACCTCAACCACAGAAACTGACGAGACCCAGACCCATCGAGCGGCAAACAAGATCAAGGTACAGTGGTGGTGGTAGTAATAATACGCAGCAGCCTCCAAGACGGCTAGACAGGCCAAGCGAGTTAAAGCAATAAACTGCGATTGATGATTCCAAGAAGAAGAAAAACAAAACCAATTGGGAGCCTTGACGGCTTGCTTGGGTGCCTCCGCGGATGCCCAGATACTTTTGTACATACCCAGATAGATCATCCGCTAAAACAATCCCTGGATTTTCTTGGCTCTTGTCCCCAGTTCGTAGTATCGGCGGCATGGCGCTTCGCTCGTACAAGTTGTACTTTCCGCCGATGTACCTTTTTTCTTCTCCCTCTCTCTCTCTCTCTCGCTCTCTGTGTCTCTGTCCCTTAATAAGTCTGGCTGGCCCCTCCACTATGTCCCTCCCCTCTGTTTTCCACGCGACGGCCTGCGACCAGGATTAGATATGATAGCGGTCCATGGCGAGCAGGGGTTCTTTCATTGATTAACGAGTGCCTGCCATCCACTCGTTCCGGTACAAGCTCAGTTGGCCAGCGGCACTGCTGGTTTAAGGTTCCATCTCCCCCCCTCTATTTTATTCTATCTTCCTCAAATCGCCATTGTCACAGAATTCGGACAAATCAATTTTGGGAACAAAACGATTGTGAATAATACATAATAGACTATTAGATGTTTTTCTTGTGATTGTTTGGCCAATTGACCTTTTTATTGCGGACGTTCTCAAGTGCTTATAAACCGAGAGTAGCTATCAAGTGAAGCCAAGCAAGCGTCATAGGGGGACACGATTCCTCCGTACTACCTTATAGACAAGATGTATACCCAGGTACATTAGCATATTCTGGACAATGACAGCGCTTGTTGCGCTACCTGACATATCCATCTTTACCTGCGGATCTCTATGCGATGGGCAAAATGGCTTCACCCAGCCCGCCAGCACGAATTCTGCGCTGTAGCCATCAGGTGCATACATAATCTTTGGGTGGCCCTGGGAAAAATTGATTGTACAATTGACGATCTCTGGGGAGATGGGGGCCAGATCTGATATCAGGCGCAAGGCAAGCTACGCAGGTTGGCTGGCAAACAAGCAAGCAAGCAAGCAAGCAAGCAAGCAAGCAACCTGGCACAATGAATCATATCTAGTACCTACTGCAGCCTGCTTATTGTCTGTCTGCTGCAACCCTGCTTCCATGGGATCAAATGAGGTAATGAGCACAGGAAGATCACTGCCCTTTCGCGTGATGCAGGATGTTCAATACAGGTGAGGCTCCCAGCCACGCCTATTGGACGAGCAAACCCGTGCGCCCGCGTCTAAGTGCCGAGATGAAAGTCTCTTGACCCTCTACTTGAAAGCCTTTCGCTGCTTGCAACTGATACTCCTCCTACTGATCAGGCTGCTCAGAGGCCGTCAATGTTCATGTCCATCACCGCTACAAGTCCGCTCTCGGTCGTGATGAAAGTTCGTCCGAACTAGTGTAGCCACTAGATTTCTGCAATGCGACAGTGCCTGGGTGACTTGACATATAGTCGCAGTGTGATGAAGATGATCTCGACATCTCATACGCTCAAGGAAGAAAGCCATTATCACTGGTCGGTCTGTTCACTGTCGTGACCGCTGGTTCCTCTCCCTATCGGGAAGAGTTGTACAGGATGATATCCTTGTCCAAGTAACAGCCTGGCGGCATGTGACTGGCAGCACTGATCGATTCGACGTAAGAAAGGTCCGCGGAACCCCTGGACCACCTTGACGCGGCGCTTCGGCGCAGCAGTCGCCAAACCGCTTTCAACCAAGCACTACCGACATCCGAACAATCAGGATTCGCTCTCGACAAGGGCAAACCATGAACTCTGCATATCCACCATTCCCCCGACCACACAAGCGCAAGGATATACTACTTCAACATCTTGCCATCTTTGCTATACAATGGCGGTGTCAGACGGCAGGCAAATAGTAGGTAGTATCTCGTGAATGGTAGGGGGTTAATGCCAACTGGATGCTGGGTCAGCAGCAGTAGTGTAGTAAGTTGATGCCAAGAGCTCGAAAACGCAAGATGGCAAAATGGTTAGTCTTGCACTTTGGCGACCAATGAGCGGAAGAGGCAGGGATCTGATGCAGTGCAATTTGACGCGAATGTGTGATGTTGAAATGGCCGCCAGGGCGTTGAGGCACATGGGTCGCCCGCGTCTAATGGAGCATTGGAGCAACTTGTCGAAAGCGTTCTAGCGCGCCTCCACGCTGAAGGTCGCGAAGGAGAGTCTGTTTCTCTCGTATTGCCGCAACCCCCGGACGGCCTCAGACCTTTAGACTGGCTGGCTCTCAGGTTCATTCAATTAGGCAGGATTCAGCGCTCGAGGAGCACAGCGCAGCCGCTGCGGGAGCTTGCACCAGCGGGGCAACTTCGCTTCAAAAAGCGGCCTCATCATCGGCGGCGACGCGGCAAAGCCCATCCTGCCAGCAATGAAGCAAAGATGGGGAGGTAGGCAACTGTACTAGGATATTCCTGCTCCGCGGCTGCGCGCCGCCGGGTGAGTGCATCTCAGCCAGTCAATCACGACCACGATGGTATGTAGAGACATCGTGGAGCCGAGAGAGATCTGGACATACCCGAGGGGCCCTCTTTGTAGCAGATGATAGAGTCGTCACTAGGATTTCTGTTGCCTTTCTTTTCTTTTCTTCTTTCTATAGTCCGTACACATGCTCAAGTTTGCGAGCCGCCAGCCAACATCCATTCTGGCCCGGCTGCCGCGCAGGGTGGCAGAACAGCTGCTGGTGGTGTATGTGGTGTATGTGGTGTGTGTATGTGTGTGTGTGTGTGTGTGTGTGCTTTGGCTCTCCTCAAGGACCCTAGACGGACCCCCAGCTCTTCCCAAGTATTGCCCAAAAGAGTATACGATCCCGGGCGTCAGCGGTTGTGGTCCCTTTCTTCGAGTGCATTGCATGTCAGAAGATGGTGAAATCGGCATCTGCTTGTACAACAATGCGGTGGCCTTTTCCCGACCCTGAATTATGCGTAGTAGATGATAATTGCTTTTACAAAAGTATGTGAGCCTGATTTCGTCTCAAGTGATCCTATCAATAAAGGGTTCAATTTTGACAGCATAACCCAACTACAGAGCCATGTTGAGGAGCGTGAAGCAAGCAAACGGTTCATTGAGCATATGCCAACCGACTGCTTACCAAATCCAGGAGCCAATATTCGTGATTGCAACGTGCGAAGAATGAAACTCCCAAGAAGATGAAGGAATAGGATGGTATGACCTTGTGCGGTTAAAACCCCGTCAACGGGCGCACTCTTGGTCTCGCCATTTCGGGAGCGCGCGTAATCAAGCCTTATTAGCTTGGTGGAGCCATACTGTAAGGTCGGTACTATGCTCCGTACCATCCATGTAGGTAGGCAAACACTGAACCGCCTGGACGGTTTCGTCCCGCAGACGTCAATTATAGAAACGGGCCATCCTACCTGGCAAGCCGTCATCGTCTTGTGCCGACAACTTTGCTCTGCTGCCCATGGATATCCTTAGAAGTATTCGAATGCATGCATCCTTAAAGTTTCTGCTCGTGTTCCCAAAGTCTTGAAATGGAATTTTCTGGGGCGGCAATAGAAGGCCCCCGATCGCGGAATGCTGCGTACCCAGGTATCCATGGATGTAAGTAGGAAGGTACATATCTGCTCCGTAGGTCTGGGTATGATGGTCAACTGGTAGCGCTTGTCGCCCGCTCGCACGGTTACCTCCCTGCTCCATACCTGTACTTTAGCGCCATAGACCTACACTATAGTTGCTAAGCGGGCCGCTGCCGCTGGTTGGGCTCTATCGAAGCAGGTAGCCAAGGTAGCCAGCCTACAGTGAACACCAGCTGATTGGGCTTTAATGTATGTTCCTCGCAAAGCATTTGGTGTTCAAAGGCGCAAAGTCTTAAGGTGGAACGGAGATTGTGTTTGTTTGTTGAATGCTCTTGTACAATACACAATCCTCCCTGGACATTACGGGTCATGATGAAGCGGCATCCATATGTTGAAGGAGAGACAACGCATTGGCGGCGACGACGACGACATACCAATTGAGGCCAGTCAGACAGTCCAAAAACTACACGTTGTAGGCTTGGATGTGCGGATGCACATTACCGACGCGGGTTGGTGCGCCCACCTCGGGAGGGTCAGTCAGCCTACTATCATTGTCAGCGGAAGGCAGGCGAAAGTGACCCTTGGGTTCGAATTGCAACCCTACGAGTTATATCTCCTTGCACATAGTACAGGGATTCGAGAGAGAAATGCAGCAGAGTCGTAGCGGGAAGCTGGATTGGGGACGGTCCAGCTCGGCACTCTGTCGATTTTACCTTCTCGCCTGGATCGACTAGGTATAGCTTGGTCGCGCTTTGAAATGTCACGAGCGAGACGGGCGGATGAGTGACATTGCTGGAAACCAAAATGTACAGAGTAGGTAGAGCAGAAAATTCCAACACAAGGCTGTCTGGTTCATGATCCTCATTGCTTCTTTCTCCTTGTGGGACCGAGCCGCGTGCCTTGTTCGTAAAAGTGCTTACTGCATGCGCAACCTACCCAGGTTGACCAGGTACCAAGTATGTAGATTGGTACTTGAGCCGTGCGGTGACATGCATTGGGCCTGGACTCCGTGGAGCAACTGCATGTTTCGCTTGGATCGCAGGTATGTAGGAACACGAATTGTGGTAAGTGGTTAATCTGTAGCATAACTGCTGCTTGCATCACGGCGAGCCGCGAGAAGGAAAAGAAGCAAAGATCATACCAACCGAGCAGTGTCAAAACGGAAGGAACTCCGAACAGCCCGCCGGCCGTCGCTCAGGTGTGGTGTACTGTCCCAAAGTACCAAAATGTGCAACGATGGCGGAATATGGACTCAACAACTTTTTCCACAGGCAGTCAGCATTTTTCATCCCATCTTACATTGCATCACATTAATTAGTGCTGCTCTTTCTATCGCTCGCTGCTCTCAGAATCGCGTCTAAACGAAGAACAGGGGTGATCTGGTCCATGATCGCTGCCAAACAACGGCGCAACTCAAAAAGCCGAAAAACTGTCTGTATGGCATTGCGCGGGCCCTGATGACACCCTGCCCTGTGCCATTACCATGCAGCCAACTGAACCAAACAAGGAACCAACACAAGATTATCATCATATCTGTGTCGAAACCATTGTGAAGCCTAACCCAGATGCACGTATGCGTAAGTGCAGACATGCCTATATTAAACCACTCGTGTATCTGATTATTTTTGAACATTCCATGTCACATTATCAATAGCGTAACTGAGACTTCAACACTGAAGGCAACCTTGAGGCCAGTGCCTTCAATCTCTTAGAAACCAGTTCAACCTAGATACATCTTGTCCCGGCCGTGGGTAGATGCTGTGCCGCAATTCCTGAGTTTCTAATTCGATCCTTTACGAGGGTATGTCCCAACAGCTCGGGACCGACTAAGCTCAATTTCACCTTTGTGTACCCATAGACCCGCGCCGTTGATGGCCAAGGTCAAGTGAGGAGGTTTGACCGGAGAAAAGCCTGCACGCCTCTCCAGCACCTGGGGTGTCCAGCAACATGACTTGTTCTATGAGATCGCATCATCAAGGGAATTTGTTTCATCAAGGTTGAGGTCCGAGGACCGGTTTCCCGCTCAAGAAGAGTGCGCAAGTGAATACATTTGCTAGCCCTGTATAAACGCCGCGTGCAGATGTGCAACAGCACGTAGATGATGCCGAGCTACGTATTCGGATGACAAAAACAGCGGTATGGCAGCTCAAAGACAATTGCAAATGACTTCAATGTGTACAAAGGTTGCTATGTAGTGTGAGTAAAGTGTTCTCTCAACTTCGCAACACAACCCTTGTAGTGGCTTGGCCACGCGAGAATCATGCCAGATAAACGTTGAAAAGAGCTGCATGACACGAATTCAGAAAACAGCGCTTAGCTACCTTTATAAGATTCATTGAGAAATCATCTACCCAATGAGTGAGATTCTATTCTAAGAATACAATTGCCTAGACGTGCATTCTATAATGCTTCCCTGGTCGCTGTTCTCGTTGGAACCAATGAATGGCCGCCTCTCCCAAATAACCGCCCACTTATAGTCATAAGCGCGCCCCAACCCCAGAAGACGATACATCTTACGTCGTTCTAGAAGGCTTCCACCTCGAATCAAAATTCTCGCACCAAACAGGCTTTTTGGTGTTGTGGGAATGCACCCAGAGCGTTAAATTTTGCTCTGCCACGATTTGACGATTCTGTTCTCGAAGGATGCAACGTGGTCGATGGTGGGCGCTAAGTGCACATATGATTATGAGACATGGATGACTCTGCAAGCTGGTCAAGCATTGGAATACGTAGAAGCGGTTAAGCAAGCGACGTGAGAGCTTCCGGTAGCGCCCTCCTCGTATCGCCGAAGACATCATTGGTGCTGGTCAACCACCATGAGCTCGGTACACACTTCAAGCATGTTCCTTATCGAGACTCTCCAGAACGCAACCATTCTCCATGCTTACCCAACGATCTACGATGAAGTGCCGGCGTCAAAACCCTTGGACGATAGAAATGATATGCAGGTAGGCCTTGTCGTCACCTCGCCCTCATTGGTGTGCCTGAAGACCTGACACATAAAGAGCCGCCTGGGTCGAGGAACGACATGCAAGAGAGGCGTACAAGTGATCTTCGGGGTCCCTACGCGCGTTCATTGTTGGATGTCCTTCATGTATGTCAGATATCATCATCATTCTGTGCATATCGTCCAAGGGTCTGCGATCCTCTGTGGGGGAATGAAGACTTGTCTGGTTTATTTTTGGGATCAAGTCTTAATTTATCAAAGAGCCGCAATATGCCGCCGGGGTATGTTGTTTATTGAAACGTCAGCCCGTGAAACTCAAGCACTGAACCCGGTGATCTCCCGCGGCTATAGCCTGACTCCCTGCCTGGTGAAAGTAATGATGGTCCATTGGATTTCTGACCAACGAGCTTCTGGTTGTGGGATTGTTTGCGTTATTGTTGCCGTTCTACAAATGGGTTTCATCAAAATATGCGGGTGATATACTCCTCATAGTATCACACGAAGCTCGCTTTATGACTGTCGCCACAGACGTCCTCGTTCTGTTCACTGACACAACATCCACACTCACGATCACTCCAAAAGATTGATACGATACTTTTCAACTATTGTATATACGCTTATATGCCATATTTCGAATCTAAAAGACTTGTCCTTTTGCAGTATTAGTAGTAGTGATGCTTGATGTCTAACGTAATTTATACGCCAAATGCTACTTTATCCTTATGCAAAAGGCAATAAATAAATGAAAGAGCAAAATGGAAAAGAAAATAAGAAAGGAAATAAGAAAGAGAATAATCCGCTTAGCTCGATGTGAGAGAACATCAGCGATACGCCTTAACTCTCCTAATTGAGATCTATAAAGCAGACTTGGTTTCCATCTAAGCCGACTAGATATAATGCTTATGGGCATATGATCATCCACTTAAGCTTTTCGGTCCTTAATTGGGATAATTCCTGTGCTTCAGAGGTATTGCAGGCTTTGTTGGGTTTTTGAAAACGCAACAACTACCTTGATCGTTCTTCAATTCTGGGACTACCATGAACGCCTTTACAAGACTTTTCTTGTCTGATTGAAAAAGCAGGGTCCTTGTTAGTAATCTTAAGGCGAAGACTTATTGTAAGCCTTTATCAAGGCGGTCTTTTCTGTATATAGGCGCCTGATTGCTAGCTATTTTTGGTGGAAATAAGTCAATCGCCATTCGTGTCTAAGAACTCTGGCCAGAGAATGAAGATTAAACAACACAGAAAGATAAATATCATTTCAAAGTGCTAGCGAAGCTGATAACCTCTCAATCTCAATTTTTATGGTTAAAGTCGTCCAGCTATGTGTGTGACATCTGATCCATCTTCTAACCTAGAGGGTCAACTCACGGTGTAAAAACAACGGATTGGCCCCATGAAGTAGCCTTACCGGCTGCCTCAAAGGCATTCTTCCAGTCCTCTAGGCTAAATTTGCCAGCAACTTCGTGGCCAGCCGTTTTCCCAAGCTTGAGCACACCGGTCTCGACCATTTTCACCACCTCCCGGATCTCCTTGCGACTGTACATCCATCGCCCCTTGATCTCGATACTGTTCAACATAATAAACCAGTAGGGGAGCGAGATGGTCGATACACCACCCATGAGAACCATTCTGCCTCGCCTCCGGAGCGCTTTGATGCCTGCTCCGATATGTGGCGCATCTTGGGCCTGAAATGGAGTGAAGTCTATGTACGCGTCTGCCGGCCCGAAGGCTGAGAAAGCTGCCGTATCCTTGTCCAGGTCTCCGGTCAGCACGACAGTTTCGACGCGTGCAACGAGTGACTTGATCTTGGCCAAGGCGTCCTTGTTTCGACCAAAGGCAATCACTCTGGCGCCTCTAGCGGCAGCGACCTCAACTGCGGCACCACCAAAACCGCCTGTTGCTGGTCCTACGATGACGGTCTCACCCGCTTTGATGTCGAGGGCTGAGACGCCTCCGTACGCGACGGCGAACCTGGCCAGGTAGTTGAGCTCGTCAAGCTCGTAGCCATGCTGCTTGACGAGGGTCTCCTCGTCCAGGGGTGTGGCGTTCTCGAGGGGTACGACAGCGTGGGTCGTCCAGCAGCCGTCACGCCAGGCGTCGTTGGCCAACTTTTTGGACTTTTCGGTACCACCATCCATGAGGCCTATAAGCATTTCCACATTGGGGTCATCGCGGGATGTGACATGACTGTCCACGAGAACCAATTGGCCCTCCTTGAGAGATGTCGAGTCTACACCGACTGAAACAATGCGGCCTATACAGCTGTGACCATATATTCCGGGAACTGGGAATTGAAAGTTTGGCATGGGATGTGCCAATGCGAAGCCCGTCTGAGGTCCAATAACGGCATTAAGAACTTGCACAACGGCAGTGCCAGGTTTTGCTTTTGGTACATCCCTGTTCTCGATCTTGAGGTCAAGAGGTGAACTGATAGAGTTGACAATCAATGACCTGGATGAAGCCATAGTGAATGAAAACAAGCTCCAGACTTATTTTCGTGGTCTCTCAGAAATAGAATTTAATCAAGTCGTCTTCCTGGAAATTACTTCCCAAGGATTTCGTGTTCCGATCATGAATGTATAATCCATCACCAGTAAGATGTGAAAAGCCATAATATTCTATAAATACTCGCTGTCTTTTGCTGAATTCGTTGTCACGGCCGTCACGGCCGTCACGGCCTTCTCGGCCGACAAAGAAAACATGACGAAAGCGCGAGTCTTGCTCGGAGTTTCCAAGATGGTACCGGAGATAGTGGTTACCATTTTTGGAATTGACAATTTTCATACGGAATTCGACAAAATCACGATCACGATGCATACCTCCCAAGTTACACGATCCAAAGCACTTTCAAGGAGTTTGAAGATATGGAAGAACGATATAAGATCCAGATATCTGCAAGGACAACTTCGAGTCCCTGTCGAGGAGTAAATACCAGGTTGCTGATTGGCTTGCGGGGTCATATATGTGTCTCGGCTCGGAGGTCCAGCACTTGTATTTTTCTCTCTCTTTCTCTTGGAACATGCAATTCATTGGCGACACACCGTTTCGAGCTTACAGAGTACACACAGCAACGCCAAGAATAACATTTTCTATCTTCGGGGATGGAACAAACTGTCCCCTACAACCTAATCTTGCGCGATTCCCGTCGTATCGGACTTTCCAAGGTTTACAAATGTCTTGGTCCGAAAAGCCAATCTTTCGTTTTGTACATACTCCGTAGCATAGCCCAGAAGCGTGAGACCGGACCCAGTGCCTTGGGGCTTACATAATGTAACGTCATGCTCGTTGGCCAGACTTTCATTCGAGCGGTAGTCGAGTTCCCGTTCGTCAGAATTACTGGAAACGGAAACCTTTTGTTTTCTCCCCCTAGCTCCCCCCTCCAACTCCCTTGGAGAATCAGGTGTGCTTGTTGCCCAAACGCCGGAATTAGTGTGGCGGTCTTATCTCCAGTAACATCCGACTGATCCGATTTCTGCCCTCCAGCCCGGCAAAGACGGCGCGCACGTCTTCCTTAGCGTGCTCCAGTCATTAGAATTGTGGATCGGATTTGTATCTCAAGTACAGTATCGACTCCGTCCACGAGCCAGGGGTCTGTCTCGTTAGAGCAAGTGGCCGGCTAAGACGGTACGTTTATTCTTCGACTAATTATTTCTAATGTGTCCTACGCCATTCATTCGAGTCTGCAGAGCTCCGGCTGCTACCACCAGCTCGCGTAACAGGAATCGTCGAGGGAAGGGGGAAAGGGGTTGGTCGATTGGTGGTCCAATTACCACTTCTTGCGTGATGGTCTAAGTACCTTCTGTCCAAGTGTCATCATCATCATCCTCAACAATAAGCATTGGTTAAAGTACGGATACAAACAGAAGAGTCGATGTCAAAGTTGTCCCTCTACATCCTCTTTTGGGTGGGTGGCCGGGCTTCCCCCCCTTCTGCTTACATGTGTACAAACTGGCAGATATACTTTCTGGCTTCTGGAAGTATGGCAGAGAATACCCAGAGCCGAGGGGGCAAGAATAGTGAGCAAACAAATCCAAAATACCTAATTACATGTTACCAAAATAGATGTTGGGCGGAATTAAGGTGAGAAGGAACGGTTTTTGCCGCCCGTTTGGCTGTCCACCCCCCACATTCAAATGCCTTTGAAAAAAAAAAAAAAAGGAAGAACCGAAGAACCCAAGCACCTTTCCTTGGGAGACATGGATGGGCCCGAAGAATGGAAAACATGACAGAAAGAAGAAGAAGGGGGAGAAAAGAAAAAAACTAGACCTAGACTTGCGCCAAGTTTGGTTCCCAACACTGCCTGCTGCTGCCACGCAACGCAACTTCTCGTTTGTCGGTTTCCCCCCAAATTCCAGTGCGGAGTGGTGAGGCTACGCTACTTGCAGTCATATGGGGCCATCTCAGAAGCCGACAGTACCGACCGATTGATTGAGACAAGCCGCCATGATAGATCAGCAGCACATTCACACACATTTGATTAAACCATAACCCCGAGATCTCGGCCCTTGACAAGTTTGACTTCTTTTTTCTGTTTCGAGCTTGGCCCGCTTCACTCGTGAATTTTCTTGTATTTTCTATTCCTGCCAATTATCCCCGCCGGCGTCAGTGAGTGGTTTTCCAGTGAAATAGAGACCAACACCTGCGCCCGCCGCTCTGGCTTAGCACCGCAGCATACCTACCTACTGGTCCAACGTTATCCCCGAGCTGGGTCCGACCGCAAATGGACGGCCAGCAATACCACCAGAGTGTCTTTCGCGCCCAGCCCACCGATGGCACGCAGCGCAAGATCCAGAAGCGCAACAGACCGCCCGTCTCGTGTCTGTTGTGCAGAACTCGCAAGGTCAGTCAAGTCATTATCATTTCTTCTTTATTTTGATTTTGCATTTCATGTATTTGGTCCATCACCATAATTGTCATGTCCGGGTCGTTGCGCGCCCGTGGAACTTCTCCGCCAGCATTGTGTGTAATTGTTTGGCTCACCCGACCTGTAGGTAAAATGTGACCGCCAACAACCGTGTGAGAGATGTGTAAAGAGCGGCGAGGCCGCCTTTTGCGAGTATGCTCCGCGAGCCGCTCGCAAGCCTAGGTCCGAAGGCCGCCCGTCATCTGACAATCGCCCCAAGCATGAGGCCATGTCCCGGCCGGCACTTCAAGTCCGGCTACAAAAGCTCGAGGAGATGGTCAGCGGGATGGTGGCGCACAACACTCAGTTGCGCGAGAATCCTCTCGACACGCCATCGAGCACGGATCAGCGGACAGATGCCGAGTCGCGTTCCGACCTCAGCACGCCGCCCAGTATTATTGGTGCCAATCATACTGGTATTCTCACCACTCAATCTGAACATACCTTTGTCGGCCCAACGCACTGGTCCTCCATTCTTGAGAGTATAAGTGATATCCGTAGTCTCATAGAGGCCGAAACCGACGAGACGCTTAGTCCATCGCCGCCTGCCTCGCATTCACATGAAATCGACGTCATGTTCGGCCCTCAGCCAGGCATAACAATAGAGCAAGCCGTCGCCCGATTACCGCCCAAGAATAAGATGGACCAGCTTGTCTTGATGTATTTTCGACATCGCTTCACTGCGGCGCCGTACATACACACCTCCAAGTTCCAAAGAGAGTATGATGGCTTCTGGACGGACCCGTCGTCTGTTAGTCTTCTATGGATCAGCGTATTATCCTCGATCCTATGGTCAGCAGCTTCACTATCAAGGATGAAGGGCGAAGATTTGAGCAAAGATTGTGAAGCTGTTCATGAAGACAACCTTGCCAAGCTTGCCGTGGAATGCTTGGTAGCGGGTGATTACCTGGCCGCCAAACCATACTCAATCGAGGCGCTGCTTCTTCACGCATTTACGGACCTTCAGAAGAACAGGGAATGCCCATCACAATTGTGGGCCAAGTTTGGGCTGCTTGTTCGTCTGGCACAGCGAATGGGCTACCACCGGGACCCGAAATACCTCCCCAATATCTCACCGTTTGAGGGAGAACTGCGCCGCAGAGCGTGGTTCTTTATCGAAGTCTTCGACTGCATCTTTTCGTTCCAACTAGGGATGCCACCTAGTATCAGAGAAGATGAATGCGATACCGAGTCACCCGGCAATCTCTACGATCTTGACTTTGATGAGAATTGTATAATGCTGCCGCCCCCTCGACCACCAACGGAGCCGACCTCGACCCTGTACCTCTGCATCAAATCGAAATTGTGTCGAAAACTGCGCCGTGTGATCAAGATTTCCATGTCGATCACACCAACTCCTCATGACGAAGTTATGAGACTACACGATGAAATTGAGCGGTACCACGACTACATCCCGCAACCGCTCAAAATTCGGCCGATTCGATCCTACAGCTTTACCGACCATACGCATGATATTGTTCATCGGCTCACTCTAGAGATGATGTATCTGAAAAGCTTGTGCGTCTTACATCGCAAGTATCTCAACAGCGAGAAAGACGACCACAGGTACGATATATCAAGACGGACATCCGTAAATGCTGCCATTCGCATCTTGGACCTGCACGCGGAATATGAAGAAGAGTGCCGACCAGGTGGCCGACTATACGAGGATCGGTACATGCTGGCCAGCCTTAGCCTGCATGATTTCCTCATCGCTTCCATGATTATCTGCCTTGATCTCTCAGAAAATGCCCCTTCCAGGTAAGCAAGGGAAACCCTTCTATGAGAAAGCCATGCTAACACTGAAGTAGTCAGGAAGACCGGGCCAGGAAACTGAGAGCCCTGGGCACCTCGTACAAGATTTGGTCGGAGAATAAGACCGTATCCAGAGAGGCAGCTCACGCCACCAGGGTTGTCGGTGCCATACTGCGCAAGGTTTCGATGCAGGAACCCCCCAGAACGCCTTTACCACCTCCCCAACCGGAGGTCAGGGGCGGCTCCCTGCATGTGTCTAGTCTGTTGAACAACGATAACCAATTGCCACCATTGTCTGCCCTGGCGCCGACAGATCAGTCCCAATTGGCAAACGTGATGGACCTTTCCCTTGACTTTTTGGATGCAGTACCACTGGACAATGTGCTCAGTGACATTGGCCAGTATGATTGGGTAAGCAAGATTGGACCAATTTGAATATGATGAGTGCTAACTCTTGAACAGACCATGATCGATCAATATCTGCTTGACAAACAAGAATGATGGTTATTTAAGGCGTTTTGGAATATCCCTGGAGCGTGTATGAGGTAGGGAAGGCATTGAAGATATCCATTTCGAAAGCGGTCTTTGGAGTTGGGCGGCCAAACATACATATCACAGCAACAATTTGCTCTCGGAGGGCTACATTCTTGGTCTATTGATCTTACCTCTTCTTTTGGTGCCGTGCAAATAAGAATATTGCTTTACCACGTCCGATGACATGAGCTGGTATAAATATGATCAACTTGTAGGTGGCATTTGAAAAATATATATGTCACTTGGAAGGTTACTGGATGCAATGCAAAGCGAGAACCCTGCCCGACTGGATAGGTACCTAGATGATTGGTCTCGTCAAAGTGTTTGACTGAATGTTGCAATTTTTGAGATTTCTTGATTTTTTTTTTTGTTTCCGGGTTTATAATGTACAAATTAATTTGCGAGTAGAGCCCTTTCGCCCCCTGCTCTTTGAATGCTTTTTCTCGTCTTGTTCTGTGGTTCAACCAGTCAATCGTTTCTGAGAGCTTCCTGCGCGAGTTTCTCCTTGACTAAAAAGCTCACTCGCGTACTTCAGAGTGCATTGCCAACCCGTTGAGCCGTGAATTATCGTAGTACCAATTTCGCAAGGCGAGACCAGAGGGCCACAAGCCGTGTAGTAGCGATGTGATCGAATCGGATGAGCGGCCAAGACCGCGAATATATCAGCTCCAGCTATCAGCTACCAGGCAGTGGAGTATTGCGTCAAGCCCATTTGGACAAGTTACCCAAGGCTCATTCGTCGTAGACTGAGGGTGCACCGTAAGGTTCTGTTGATGCATCCAGAGGCCCTGGAAACTCATCTTTGTGCAGTGTTTGAACATCTGGCGATGTAGGCGACGCATCCTCCCTCACTCTAGACCTTGGGGCCTGTTGCACTCTTCGTTTTGAGAGCGACAGAGCATCCTTTACAATAGGATCGGAGTAGTTCGCGCTCGTGTGACCAGAAGAAGACGCAAGCAGTTGTACAAGGTCATCATCTGGAGAAACGAGCTCATCTCTCGGGGCATCCATAAGTTTTAATGCCTGCTTCCTGGCTCGCGAACTCATTGATCCAATTGCGTTAATTGTATCCTGGTCAGGTTTCAGACCGGAATATTCCAAATATCGAATGGTGCGTACCGCGCCATCGGCGTCGTTTAAGCGGGCAAAAGCGCTGATGAGAGTGTTCCACGTTACTATATTTGGCCTCACTTCACCTTGCTTGAGCATCACTCGTACCATGGATGCTGCAATGCCTGGTTGGCGGTGGTTCTTAAAGCCATTTATAAGTACAGTCCATGTGTGTACCGATGGACGTGGATGACGCCGGTTTTTGCCATAACGGGTTTGCTCGATGGCAGATCTTTCCATCATCGTCTGTACAAGTTGCACAGCAGGGTGCAAACACTGCTGAAATTGAAGTATAGCTCGAAGAAAGGCATCATATATCCATGTGCCTTGCTCTTGGAGTATAGCCAGTGCGGTTGAATCCTTGCACTCAACCAGCTTATTGAAGTGGTTCATTTGCTCCTTCAATGATGCAACGCCGTTCCGTAATTTGGGAGGATAAAACCTTGGGCACCCTCGTAGAGCAGCAGCAAGCATTAATGATAGAGTGAGACAGTCTGGCTCCAACAGCGAACCCTCGGGTAGTGGCAGCAAAGCCGAGGCAATGTCTCTGATTGGCGTCGATTTGCCTGGGGCGGGACCTTCCCACACAAGATAATCCTCGAGTGGAAAGCTGCATAGTTTTTGAAGTGGTTCTAATTGAAAGAACTTGGCATAAACCTGCAGCATAGGCCGAAAGGAGCTCATGTCCTTCTTCTGCCTACGCCTCCTCTCGGGTATCGATTCGCCATCCCTCAAGAGGATGTCAAGAAAGTCGTTCAGCATCGTGGCATTCCACACGTTGTGCGAATGAATGGATGCCATGATGCGTCGGATCAAGTCAATGTTCAGATCCTGCTTAGCACCGTGGAGCAAAGTAGCATAAACATGTTGATCTGGCTCGATCCCATATTCGAGAAGAAGGTTGAACACCGTCCAGGCTGTGTCGGGATGGCCACGAACACAAAAGTTTCTCATCAGAGCAGTAATATTGAGAAGGTTGGGGTCAAGACCTGTCTCGAGAAGTGATCGGAACAGTTCGTCTGGCGCAGCGGCTTCTTGTGGTATCTCGGAATCCTTTTCCAAGTGAAGCAAGGATGTACATACGCTGGACCCAGCTGCCGAATTGATATCGAGGCTGCCGCTTTTCGTTATGGAGCACAGTATATCTGCCGCGAGTCCTTTGTGCTGATTACTCTTTGAAAACTTGCTTGCGAAATGAAGCGAGGTCGGGGCACTCAGATCCTTGCCATGACTCCTCATGTAGTGATATAGTTCTTCAACCTTGTCCACTTGATGAGTACGCGCAACGATCGAGCCTATTGCTTGCTGGTTAATCTCAATGAAGCCAGTGGGATCGCTTTTCATGAGAAACAGCGCCAAGTCGACCAGCCCATCATGATGGGTATCCGCAATCTTCGGACGCAGAACGAGTAGTCTAATAGAGTCTTCAACCACATAAAACGGAGACCAAGCCGGATCGTAGGTGGCCTGCAAGAAGGTCGATAGCAAATTGGAATCCGTGTCCATCAGAGATTGTATCATCTTCGGCCAAAGATCCTGTCGCCTTTCCGGATCCAGTCCGGCCCACGACGCCTTCATCGTGGCAACTGATGGGGTGGATCCGTCGGCTAGTACGGCCCAGATGGCAAGGTGTGATGTTGCTGTATCATTGCTGGTGACGGCTGATTTTCTCAACATTTTGCTAAACTCCAGTTTCCAGGCTTGGTATTCGGCATACAATCTCTCCGGGTTTTCATGAGGGCGGGCTAACAGCAACCTCCGCAATTGACTGGCAGATTCTCGCGCGGCGGGTGCTGGGAGACCGAAGACTGCGCTCAAATACCGTTGTGACGCCTTGTGATCATAATCTGTCTTCAGCAGTCGGGTCCGCAGAACGGTCGGAGAGTTCAACACCCGCTCGTCTGTTTTCCTCAGCAGCTTGTCCTTGTTATGCGCAGCCTCTTGGTTCGACTCGATTTGCCTGCCGTCGGCGGTTGAAGATCCATCATTGTCAAGCCGCTTTGGGAAGATGACATCGGGATCGCGCACTATAGCTGTATGAAGTGCGGCTTGCGATCGGGTGTTCTGCAAGGTGAAAAGCCGAAATCGGGCCAAGCAAGGTCGACATGTATAGGGAAGCCGCATACCTTCCGACAAAGAAAATGGCAGGCGGAACTCAGGGTGGGTAATGGTACAATTGTAAAAACCTCATGTCATATACATGGTAACATCATTTGGAGGTTTGAGACATGTGCGACCGCAAGCGACAGCGTTAAATGTGTGATGCACTTGTTTAGAAGGAACTGAGCGCTCCGCAGAGATGAGGTATGTGGTAGTATGTACATGCCAGGAGACGGAGCCGCCCTCCAGCATCAGCTCGCGAAGCCTTAGGTTAATATGGAGTGTAAATTTCATGCTGGGGCTGCGCTAAAAGGTCCTTATCAGGCTTATCGTGTCGCGCGGCTCGTGATCCCCTGCAGTGTCGGATGTGAAAAATAGTGCTTAAAGGGTATACCGTACCACTGATCGGTAAAAGCATAATTCTCCGGCTGATCCGGTACTGTAAACTATGTATATAAGCCGCAGAGGGGGTACCCCCCTCTCTCCTATATCTAATGCTACCTAAGTCCCCATTAATTTCCTATATAGTAGCACCACCACTATTACGATCTGGAGAAAGTCCGTATTTTATTCAGTTTAAGTCAAGTCAAGTCAAGCTGGCTAGGTCAGCCACTGCCATCGGGGGGCTTTACCAGACTAAAGGGTGCTCGCCAGCGAGCCTAGCGCTAAGAAAAGCATTGTGAGCGTAGCTAACGCGTTACGTATGCAATAGTTCGCGTCGGCGACGAAAGGTTAGCCAGAGGACGCAAAGAAGAACTAAAGCTTATTGCCATCCGGTGGCAGCGTTGAACGGCAATAGCAACGGCTGCATATGCTAATAGAGGGCGCTTAACGCCAGCACTAACGAAAGTCGCAGTGCTCCCAAAGGAGCAGCGCTGGTAGTGTGATCTGCTAATAATAGAGGGCGCGGTGCTCCTAGAGCAGCGCCGGCAGTATGATCTGCCAATAAAGGGCGCGGTGCTCCCAGAGCAGCGCCGGCAGTGTAATCTGCCAATAACAGAGGGCGCGGTGCTCCTAGAGCAGCGCCGGCAGTGGTTTGCCAATAGAGGGCGCAGTGCTCCTAGAGCAGCGCCGGCAATATAATCTGCTAATAACCGATAGCGCGGTGTTTACGAAGCAGCACCGGCCAGGCAATGCTAAGGGCAGCAGTGGGCTGCGTGTATAATGTATAGCATCGCGAACCAGGAGTTTAATGCTAAAGGGCGCACGTTAAGCTGCCATTTTGGGGATCAAGCCTGCACGTAACGACGATATAGATCTAGTCGTACGGTATAGAGGGCGTGTCGGATATGAAAAAATAGTGCTTAAAGGGTATACCGTACTACTGATCGGTAAAAGCATAATTCTCCGGCTGATCCGGTACTGTAAACTATATATATAAGCCGCAGAGGGGGTACCCCCCTCTCTCCCATATCTAATGCTACCTAAGTCCCCATCAATTTCCCACATGCAGCAACAGGGAAGCTCCAAGTGGGCTGGCGGCTCAACTCTGATTTCGGAGCAGTTCCTAATCACGTACGTACTTTGTTACATTTTCAATTCCTTGCCAATTGCAACACCAGCCGCCAATCTCAGAATCATACACCTGACTGCTGGGCCAGCCGAACGATAAGAGTACCTATTCACCAGATTCGCTTACTGGATATCATTCGCCCAGAAAACATGTCTTCAACCAACGCATCTCTGGGCGCAGCGGCCGACGATCGCAAAGCCCGTCTTGCCAAGCTCAAAAATCTCAAGCGCAAGCAGCCAGGCGACGAGGTCGCCCCTCCCGAATCGACTCGCTCGCCATCACCGCCAGCAGAAGCAGCATCAGCACTGGTAGAAGCAACAACACCGTCTGAGCTAGATGTCACAAGACTACATCTTTCCGGGCGCAACTACGATGCCGAGACAAGGGGACCCAAGCTTGGGTTCGAGCAAGCGCCGACGTTGAATATGGAGGGACAAACTTTGGAGAAACAGGCTGCTGAAGTGGAGGCTGAAGTCAAGAGGAAAGCCGTGGAGGAAGCTGCCGAGGCTGACAAGGGCATCGATCTATTCAAGTTGCAACCGAAGAAGCCGAACTGGGATTTAAAGCGTGATTTGGACAAGAAGCTAGAGGTTCTCAACGTGAGGACAGACAACGCTATTGCGAGGCTGGTGAGAGAACGTATTGCGAACTCGAGAAAGGCGGAAAAGGAGAAGGCTGTCACAAACTCCAACGGCGAAGGTGAAGCTGTGGGACTGGATGGTGTCGCCCTTGTGGAAGCGATGAGAGTGCGAGAGCGTGAGGATGAAGAAGAGGAGAGGAGAGAGAAGGAGGCTGAAGAGCTGGCTTAGACGCTGATGCCTCCCATGCGTAGAGAGATATTGGCCTTTTAGTATTTGCATTTGCATTGCCCGGCGTTTTGGATAGGATGGCTCAGCCGCTTTTCGGTCTGCCCAGGCATCGACCTTTAGCTGGCCAAGAGAAAGAAAACATGTTGGTTTGTAAGAAAATAAATGTGATACCCGTCTATTATTCTCAGCAATTGTCTTTGTACAACTCTTTCATGTATACCTGGGTATTTCCCTTAAGGTTGACGTGAAGTTTCAGTGCCTAGCTACCTGGTCAGGACACTATAGGAAAACATCACGGCTATCAGTCTACATTGAACAACTGGCAGTTATAGTAAGTAGGACGAAACGACGAAACCGACATAGAGTGGGCTGAAAGGCGTCGAGGACCAGAAATGCCAGTAAGATGCCAGGAATAGACACTTGCACTTAGGACATACAAAAAGTACTTACACACCTAGGTTAGGTAGGTGAATGTTGACCCTGATGTCTTGCAATTTTATGGTCTGTGCAGTGTAACACAAATACACACCTCCAGGGTTATTCTTGTTACGGACCCCACCAAGGGATCTCACTCAGCGGCAGACACGAGCGCAGGATTGGTCTGTAAGCGTCCAGAGACATATGCTAGATACAAGGTAATCAAGGCAACCATGGATAAAAATGCATGGCTACATTACTTTTGGTGTGTTGAGTGGTTATGGTACCTACCTGATAAGCTTGTGCCAGGAACCAACTACTACTAGCAGCGTGCCAAAGGTATGAGGCTCATGCCCCCAGACTGCAGCGCCGAGTCTACATAAGGTAGCGCTAGATCAATTCTCTTCTAGTGTGGCCGCTGAGCCAGCAATGCGGCACGGTCGAAGAAATCTGCCGTACCGTTCCGTCGTGTGCGTTTTACGTGGGTAGGGGGACTGTACGTAAGGTGAAAAGGCTGGATTCGGATATGAATTTGGTCAGTCAGTGACTTTTCCAGACTTCACTTGTGAAGCATTCCCCCTCCCAGCTGCTTGTCTCGCCGTCGTTTGTTGTAGTTCCTGCCTGCCTGCGACTCGGTAGGACTGAAATCTTTCTCCGAATCCCCAGTGTCGGCCCCTCATTCCGTTCTGTCACTGGCCGGTCACTGAACAGGGACAAATTCCATTTCTGGCGTTTGCTGGGTGGATTGGGTACATACCTACCTTCAGGTTCCTCTTATGCAGTGCACTGCACTACCTACCAAGGTAACCTGTACTATCAATTCAACTGGGCAATTTTCCGACCCCGTCCATCCCAACATCAACTCGAACCAATTCCTCCACCAACATTTTCTCCCGGCCTCAATCTGATCATCAACGCCCGCGCCCTTGACGTCGCAAAGCTCCCAGGCACAGCCCTCATCGTGCTGCCTGCAGTTTTCTGCAACACACGAATACCTACTCATTTCCCCTCCTCATTGAGCGCTGAGCCGAGCCGACCAGGCGTCGCGAAACACAATCGGCGCATCTTACACAAGCTACCAGCATCTAGGTACCAAACTTGTGCCCGCAAGTGACGGACCTGGTACCGTACGACCGACCTTCTTCACCTTTGTCGGCGACCTTTCCGCGAAGCTCTCTCAGCTGTTCCTGCTGACTGCAGCCCTGTTTGCCCATTTTGGCACCATCGCCCGCTTGGTATCACCGTCAGACTCTTTCGGCCCTGTTAGATTGCCAGCGCCCAAGAACCACAAATTCCCCCACATCAACGCTCGGCATCAATTACCACAGCCAATTCTCCTACGACAGAAACGCATCACCGCTCACGAGACCTACGATATATCTTTTACGACCGACAATGATCAACAGTCAACTTCTTCAGAGCGCTGCGATGGTTGATCCCCTCTTCTAATCTTTATTCACGTCCCCTCGGTGTCGTCGCAACATTACTTTTCACCCTGCCCGATACAAGCTTGGAAAAAAAAAAAGTTGGCAGTTTGAATCGCGGATCCGATCAGTCTAGATTTACACATCTGTTGCTAACGAAATTTGGATCCCTGAGTGATACCCAGTGTCGCCGTCCGTCAACCCGCTCGGAGCGGAAGATTCACATCATGGCGACAACTCCTGCAGCGTCATCAGCTGCCCCTGCCAAATTGTCTTTCGCCAAGGTATGCGGACGAAAAGCCTATCTCAAGACAAATTTCAAAAAATCTGGGACTATGTGAAAGCTGACATTCTAACCAGGTCGCTGCATCTGGCGCCAAAGACAACCGGGCTGCCCGCGTCGCAGTCCCTGTAATGGAGCATCGTCGAGCTCCTTCGACAAACGCTTCCACTGCCGGAAAAAATGGAGGATCTACGTCCGCCAAAGTCGCCAGTCCGGCTGCGACTGCAAAGTCACCTACTACGATTCCAGAGAACAACTCCAAGTCTACACAGACACAAGATGCAGTGACTTCTCAACTGAAGGACCTCAGTCTCTCCTCTTCTGGCCCATCAACTCCGAGTCTTGTAGTCAATGGCTCTTCATCATCGGTAGGAGCATCCCAGCACAAGAATGATTCGGCAACCCACCTGTCGGACGACGCCTCCCACAAAGCAGACTCTATTTCTGAAACGGGCGCCAAAGCTCCGAGTCTCGACGGAAAAAGCATCGCCTCTGGCACTACCTTTGCTTTAGACGAAAAGGAATCGCTCCGACCAGATGACAGTGCTAGTGTCAAGGCCGCAGCTGAAGACGATGAGTCCTTCTCTTTTCGGGGCTCTCAGATGGCCAATTCCAGAATGGGCTCAGACGTTGCACGTATCCATCGCCTGCGCATTGGCGACATGCCAGAACGAAGAATCATTCAATTACTTCCAGAGTCGCAAGAAATGGGAATTGCCACCCCGCAGAGTGTAGACTCTGGCATGCCGCCGCCGACGGACAGCTCTCAGGCTCTTGGAACCGTCGCAAGCACTCCCGACGCTTTTAGCACCATGTATTCTCAGAACCCAGATGACAAACTGCTAGAGGCTATGTCATCACCCAAAGACCGCATCTTCTTGCTTAGGCTTGAACAGGATCTGATCAATTTTGTCCAGTCATCTGAGTAAGATTCAATGACCACAACCATGGTATTCTCATTACTGACTCCAACGCCAGGAAACCCTTTATGGATTTGCCTCCTAGCAACTCATTCTGTAGAATGTTAACACACAAACTCGCGGACTATTACCACATGACGCATTCCTTTGAGGCTGTGCAAGGCGCCGTGCGTATCTACAGAACGCCCTTTTGCAGAGTTCCACCCTCACTAGCTAGTATTTCTGGCAGCAAGGAGACCGAGAATAATACCAGCAGTGCTGCCCCTCCCGTCCTCCTGCCGAAGAAGATCATGCGACGAGGCGAAGAAGGCGGATCGGGACCAGCGAGCACAAGCGCCTCCAAGGCAACGTCTGAGGTTGGCAGTGACGGCAAGGAGAAGGACAAGTCCAATACAAAGGAGAAGTATGGTTGATCACGCGCCCTCGATCTCTATGATGGTCATTTCTGACATTGACTAGGTTGCGAACCCGTGAGCAGCGCGAGGAAGCCTATAACAAGGCAAGACAGCGAATCTTTGGAACATCTGAGAAGACTGGAGAGACCACCCCTGGTAGGGATGCCCGTAACATTATTTACACAGAATACCAGCGCTGACGCTCGACAGAAACAGATGATGCAAATGGTACATCCCGTGCCAGCTCCGTGTCTGGAAAAGACAAGTCAAACCTCGGTAAAAGGGGTAAGACCGGCAAGCAGCGTCGTGATGACTCCGACAGCTTTGATTCTCGATCACAGTACACTCCGTATTATAACACGCATCATTACATCGGCCCTCAAGGAGCTGGTAGTTGGCAAGGGCCGTATGGTCCAACTGCCAACGGCCCATACGGAGGACCAGTCCAACTGCCTTATCATGGTGCCATGCAACAGCAGTTTCCCCAGGGAGGACAAGGCTATCCGCAAATGATGCAGCCGGCTCAGGGCAATGGATACGCGCAATACGGTCCAATGACAACAGTCAGTACTCCGAGTGATCCATTGTGTGCAAAGCTGACCGCATCATCCCAGTACCCTCCTCAGCCTCATCAACCTGTGCAGCCGCGCTACTCTCACGCTGGAGGCCCAATGCAGCCCTACGGATCTCCTGTCCAGAACGCGCAACCACAACAGCCCTGGACGCAGCCGGCCTACAATCCAGCTCCTCAGCCGCCTCCTGGACAGTCTCCATACCAACCGCAGCCGAGCCGACCGGTCCAAACCCCTTCGCAGCAAGGCATCCCGTATGCTTTTGGACAGCTGCCAGTCAATGTCAATCCGAATGATCCTAAGAGTCAACACCCGATTCCAGGCAGCTATAACCGCCATGCATTCAACCCCAAGACTCAGTCGTTCGTCCCTGCAACTGGGATGGGACCCGGACATTCATCTGGACCAATGCCTCACATGATGGGCCCTCATGGCAGCCCTCAGATTGGCACGCAGCATCCTTCATATCCTGCATACACACCAAATGGACCACCCCAACCGTATATGGGAGCGCCTGTTGGATATGGCATGAGTCGACAGAGCTCCACCAACTCGCTGTATCACCCTCAGGGTACTCCGCCTCAGCATCACCTTGCGCAGAACCCCGGTGCCCATTTGTCGCAGATGCCGCACCAAATGACCCATCCGCTGCCAAACAAGGGACCCCAGCCGATGAGCAACAATCATCCTCACTTTACGTCTCTGCCAAATTATGGCAATCCGGCCACGCTGCCACAGAAGCCCCCCACGGGCATCTAAGACTGCATTCCAACACGTAACCGCATGAACTGAATGAGAGCATTTAGATGGGTGTTTGGGAATCGACCAGCTTTGGGAAGCCTGCGGAAATGAAAAGTGCTTACAAGAAGAATGATAGCATGTGATCGATGGTGTACGGGGGACTGTCATTGGCAGAAATTCATGAGACTGGCGCACATTAGGAAACCCATCCCACTTCATTGGCATCCATACGGTGTCGGGCGTTCAAGGCGATATAGAGGAGTTTCTTTTCCCCATGGTAGATTCGGTAGTGCCGACGCATTGTAATAGGCCGAGGATTGCATCCATGTATAATTGGCCATTTCAGATAGCGTGACAGATAGCAACGCTCCTCTAACTTTGCTGGATTGCTCAAAATGAGCACCCATGCTGGTATGAGTCGAGCAAGCCATAGTTTTGTGTCCCAGAGTTGTGGGCTTGAATTTGTGTTTTGAGGTATCATTACCGCTCTTCTTCATGGTTTGTTTGATAATACCACCATGAGTTACAGCCCACCGGTTGTTGTGCAGCCATGAACTTGTTTGCGCTGTGATCTCCAAGATCTGAAATAGCTTTGATCAATGTTTCCACAGGCTGTACATAAAGTTCGTCTGTACCGCTCACTGATCTACTTCCATAAGGCATGAAGGCTCGCTCTACTCATGGTTTGCATTCATATGGCATTTGCGCTTGAGACGGCTTCTGCACAGGAAAAGGACAACGCAGGTCGAGCTACCGTCCATTGTTTATGCGCACATGCCAGTGCGATGATTTCACACGACCTGCATGACATGAATTGGCAATGCTTGTGAGCATCACATGGCCAAAGGAATGAAGTTTTCTTGCCAATAACGACTGCGTCGCGTAATAGCCAAGTTTGAAGAATCACTCACAATATTCGGCTGCTGGTGGCCTGTGTCTATGAGCGCTCTTTCTCAATGGTGCAGGCTAATCATCTAATCACGGCAAAGTTTGCATCAATATGCTGTCATGGCCCATCAGCATGAAACTTGTTGATGTGGTCTTTTAGCGTCTCTTCCAACCGTTCTTGAGTGTGGAGTTCGGAAGTGCGGCACTGGGAGAGATCATAGTTGGGACCAGTAGGATTAGGTGAACAGCCCTGCAGCGCCCGGCATATCTTAGCCGGTTCACTAGAGTGTGCTTGTTTAGCAAAGGACCAGTAGAATAGGCTCGAAAGCTCGATATGCTTAACAAAAAACAGGGCAGAATATTCTGGTGCTGTTTCCAGACGCGAGCACCGCCTCGACCTTTGACGTAGACCATCCACTATAATCGTGGAGAAGTGGAGGCGGCCCTGCCAAGCTTGCCAAGTTTCGGCACCCGGACGGGCGCTATGCAGCCTGGACCCGGCGATCATCTCGGTGACGACACCGGGGGCATCTTATAATGACATATATGCGGGTCCTGAGGCATGAAGTGTATAGAGTGACGGTAATTTCGTGCTGAAATTAGACCTTGGATTCGAATATATATATATCGGCCTTGAGCATTCCATAAACCATCTTCTCTTTACCATCAATCATTCATCATAAGCCTTTAGCGACACTATTGCACCAAGGAGTTACTCTTATATCAAATATTCAACCTTCATCACCATCCAAAACAATTCATCATGTCTGGACTCATGGGCGACATTAAGAACGCTGCCAGCGACAAGCTCGGCAAGGACTCTCAGCCAGGCAACAGCGTCGAGCGTACTGCCGACCAGGACGTCAACCAGGGTATGTTGGAAAGAATCACTCTTCGTTAGATGTCTTGCGTGCACTAGATTAACACTTTGCCAAAGAGGTCAACCAGTTTGCCAGCGACCACGGTGTGCCTCAGAGCGCCGACAACACCATTGACCAGGCCGTCGACAAGAAGGTCAACGAGGAGATCCCTGGAGGAAACTAGATATGTACCATATAAGAGCTACGATGTCACGACAAAGCTATAACGCCGCGGTTGTCCTGAGTTCGGACCCGCTTAATTAATGAAAACTATTTCTCACACATGAACAAGTGGAATATGCCACAGAACCGTTACGGTTCTTGTGTTATCTGCATCTTACACTTTATTATACACTTGACAAATCCCGTTGCTGTGTACGTAAATGTATACAAAAGTTTGGTGGGCTTCTTGGGCTCTGCTCCGCAGACCTATAGCGTCCCCGGATGTCCCGTCTGGGAAGGTGTATCACCGTGGACGTCGTGCTTACACTAGACCCCAGACGCCGTGTCCAGGCAACAGCATTTTGACAGAAGCTATAATTGGAGTGCTCTTGTTGCATATTGTGTCAACTTGACTCCAGAAAATATAGCATTGGGATTTCAAACTTGATGATTGTTTGTCTTGCTTCCGAGTCTAGAGATTGCCAAGATGACCCGCTATGCATTAGAGCGTTGCACCGTCGCGGACAGCGATGCAATCAGCCGCAACAACATGTCGGCTTTTTGGCAAGACGTAAACTGGGTGCTGTCGTGGCGCCACACCACTCTTGAAAAACACATCATCGAGTCGGCCAAGCGGTATCCGCGCAACTTGTTAAAGGACCGCGACAACACGCGCCACCAAAAGGCCATCGACCCCGAGACTGGCCGCCTCGTAGGTTATGCGCGCTGGCTAATTCCCGCCGCGCACGCCGTCACAGATATAGGCACGCCGGTGTGGCCCGAGGCCGTGGTGCCGGCAGTGTCGCCGGATGAGGAAGCCGAGTTTGAACGCATTGCAGAGTCCGCCGACTGGAAGCCGGATGTTACGTCGGATCCACTGGACCACGAAATGGTAGAAATTAGAAAGGAGCTCATGACGGGGAGGGATTACATGTGTACGTCGATTCCAGGAAGTTGTGAGACTGCCCCATTCAAAATCTAGTTTTCTAATCAAGTTGTAGTACTCGACTACCTGGCTGTTCATCCAGAAAACCAACGTAAAGGAATTGCTTCATTGTTGGTAGAGAGTGGCATTCGACAGGCAAAGAAGCTGGGCTTGGATATATTCCTTGTCGCTCGGCCCGCTGGCATGCCAGTTTACCAACGTGCTGGCTTCCAGATAATTCGAGAGCTAGTGCAGGATGATTCCATATATGGGGGTCAAGGGGAATGGCGAACCTATTATATGATATACGAGACTCGACCCCGGTCCGAAACTCGTGCTGGTGTGTAGACAATGGGAATTAAGTGATTGATATTGCGTATGAACCGTAACATGATTCTTGGTTAGAGTTATAATTTATGTTTCGCTTTCTCTCAATCTCTTATTTTTGAAGAGTTTATGTGACCTTCACGGCCGGAGCTAGGATGACCAACGGCAACGTGCACATTTGGTTATGTGTTTTACGATTGAACTGAATGTCAACTGAAGTGGATGCAGATTTTGTGTTCAGCTCGTCAATTGATGACTATTGATTTTCTGGTCCCGACTTGGAGCGTACTATTGTTGAATACCGATGGGAACCGAAATCAATTCTACAGTAGTGAATCGTGATTCTGTTCACCGAGAGATTGAGGGGAGCAAAGGCATTGCTGCCTCGGGGCTTGGAAACCTGGATGGGTCATGTACATCAAAGACTCACGGGAACGCGTCGTGTACCCAAGTCCTTCGTGCCTCAGGGAGGGCGAGAAGTAAGAAAGCCAGCTCAAGACTTAAAACCATTTGGGGAAGAGGCCAAAATCATGTCAGCTTTGTGATGGCCCTGGCATAAAGCTTCGGCCATTCAGGTGACAAGAGTGACTTTGATATACTCGTAAGTCGTGAAAGAAGTCGTGGGTTCCTCACCAATCCTACTCCTTGCTCTACATTCTTCGCTCTGGGAAGGGAAGCTGCACGTCAACAAAGTCCTCCACTGGCTATGGCGCAGATCTTCCGAGTAGGAGCCTTCACCGTAGATGCTGGTGTCAGCTACAATTCTCATTCTCCTCTCTGGTCTCATTCATCTGATGAAAACCTCCCGTGGCTTATGAAGTAATCTGCGACTGCAACCTCTATCCACGTGCCTTGAGTACTTGATCAGCCATCATCCAACTCACGAACCGCAAGAAGATTCGACCTCAAGTGGCAAGATCTGAAGTGACCTGTAGCACTAGTCACCCATTTTTGTCTTGGATCGAAGTTGAATCATTATTTGATGACAAGAACATCAGTTCTGGAGCTGACAGCACAAAATCCCACAATGGCAGGTAAAACGTCGATCGCAATGCAAGATGGTAAGCAGCTGACAACGCCCGGGGCTTTCTATGGCTGGGAGTTTCGGCTAAAGGAACGGGCAACCCTTTTCAGACATCAGGTCAAGCTCTATAGAGTATCTGCAGTAGAATGGGCTTAACCGTCTTCCATGCCAGACCGCCAAGTGATTTGGGTGGGTGGGCTTGAAGCGCAAGTTCCTTCATGAATTTTCCCACAAGCCAACAACCCCCTCTTCCCCAAATGATCATGAGGCATCCAGCAGGGCCGCACTTGTATATGAGTTGAGCTGCGAGGTTCCTTTATCAGTGCAGTCGGAGTTGCCACCAGTAAGACTGCTCACCAACGCCGTAGCATAGCAGGCTCAATAATTGCGAATTACTAGGATTTCTGTCAGGTGGTTAGATGAATAAACGGTTGGGTGATTTGACACTTTACAGGCAGCCTCTACATGATTGGTCGTGGGTTTGATGGAAGTTGCAGGTTACTCGGCAAAATAGGGCAGAATACAACGCCGATTGAGTATTGAGACCGAACGGTCGCGTGGTCTAGATACGAAAATCTGCTACAAGGCACACTACGAGGCTTATAAATCACGAGGCGGCTTAGTTATAGCAGAAATAGGAGAAGAAAATAAGGAGCCTCGCTAAGATCTGCCTTCCACACCTCGTCGATTCCATGTCATTTATGTTACTTTTTAGTCTATGATTGGATTCATGTATACTCAGGTAATGTTTCAGGCATCGTGAGCCTTATCTTTGAAAACCATTCCTAATTCAATCTTCACTCAAATTGTCCAAAAGCAAGTAATGAATGGAAACATGCTACTAAACTCATGGACGACAATAATCCAACGCCTGCATATCATCAGCATAGGTCGAGCTCAAAGTAGCACGGCTAACGACGTCATCTCCTTGTCGGTCCTGCTCTTCTCAGCTTCTTAGCGCTCTGTTGAGAATCCTCAAGGCAGGTTTAGGTGGCTACGAATGAAGAGACGAGGTGTGGACGCCTCATTCGGTGATGGCTGACAGGATGCATTACCCCGGACAGTTTCGACCTCCTCGATGATGATATTTCTCAATCATTTAGCGATGATGGGTGCAAGTCGGTCGAGTACAACTGTGAGCATGCATGAGTGAGAGCTTTCCATATGACAAGCCAGCTCAAGGTCGCGATCGACTGGCGGGGAAAAGAAGAGGAGAACTTGTGGATGCATCGTGAGCTTACTAGAGGCTTGAGAATTCAGTCATGACATGAAAGTTCTAGGACTCTACCTTTGATTGCCGTGGTGGAGGAATGATACGAGTATATAAGACTCTGCTGCTCCTGGTCTGTTGGAACTCTCAACATCACAACAACACATCAATTACATCTGAACGACAGCATTCAAACCACCGACTTATCATCTTCAACATGCGTTTCTCTCTTCCCCTCCTGGCACTTGTCGCCTCTAGCGGCATGGCGTCCCCGAACTCGATCATCAGCCGCGATGTAACCACCACCGAGGCAGTCACTGATGCCATCACCTTTGCTGCAGCTGAGGACGACTGTGACCTGCTGAAGTGTGCGGCCGTCATTGCCTCTGCTGCATGCATCGGTGCCAGCATCGCGCTGGGTCCCGGTGGAATTCCCAGCCTGCTGGGTTGCACCGCTGGCGGAGCCAGTGCGGTATGTATCTTCGCATCTACGAGATCCCTTGAATCGGTGATAGTGAGCAATGATCTGATATATCGGTAGATCTGCCCTTGTGCCAACTGCGTCGACGCCCTCGGCGACTTCTTGAAGAACAACAGTATCTGCCCTTCTTAGAAGGATCATGGATACGAAGCGTCTGTCGGCTGTCAGTCTCGATAACTGACTGGCTGGGAAGGAAAACACCATCTTGTGCGGGGGAATAGTTGATACGTCTCCTTTGTCAAGCAGCCCGACAACGAGGCTTCTACATAGTAGTCTCTGTGTCAGTATGCAAGAAAACAGCTCCATCTGTATATCCTGGGCTTCTCGACAAGAACCTTTCATACCGGGAGGAAGCTAGCCAATCAATAGTTACTATACGGGTGAAACTAAGAATAAAATGCTTTTTATGGCAGTCGCACTTCCTGAAACTTGTTATAAGTTGCACTGTTGCGACTGGTGAAGCAGCAGTCGAAATGCAAAATCCTTGGCGCTTATATTGATCGAAACACCACAAATGCACGGGGATAGTGTTATCATTGATGCTGGAGGAGAGCCTCTTAGGTCTTTGTACTGACAATACCGTACAAGGGTATCCCCAACGCGAATCGACTTCTCCAAAGGCCGTTGCCATGCCAGTGATCTGCTAAGTATAAAAGCCATTGTCAGTACTTGTTTGATTCGCCAAGATTAGCTGGACGTCCAAGCCGCCGAGGCACAGATGTCGTGACTGATTTTCTGTATCGATGTATGTCAATCGTCTCCTTAGGTATAACGGGATATGGCCATGTGTCACTTACAATCACCGCCGCAAATGGTCCACACTTTGATCCGGCCATGACTGCGCTGGCGTATTACATAGTACAAGCCCCTGGAGGTGCTGCTGCTGCTGCTGCTGATTGCAATCTCCGCCATCGAATCCGACCCCTAATATCTGTTTCAGATCGAACCCGTGGGCCATGTCAGATCATGATAGACATACACAACACCCAGCAACCAGTCCCAAGTTTCCGTCACGGGCGTCGTTGTGGTTGGCTGTCATGTAGTTCTGGATGAGCAGAAATTTATTAGCGACTTGGTGATTCATGAATATAGAACCATTGGAGTTGAATCTAATTAATAACGAAAGTAAAGCCCGTCGTGGGATCACAGTTTAATCGCGACTCGGTGAAGTGGATATCCGGGCCCGTGGTATAGGTGAAATCCGGTTATCCGAGTTCGGCGGGCCGGAGGAAGACCATGCCCTGGTCCCGGTTCTCGCGCACCACGCTCCAGGGTCCGCACCCAACGCGCGTTGACCGGGGAGACTGAGGACTGCAATGCGCAGGAGAAGACGTCTGGGCAAGCCGATATCTCCAGCGGCTGAAGCCTCCATATGATGCGATTACCTATTCAAGATGCCAAGAAAGTTCCACAACGGCCAGTGTCTTTGGCTAGATGGCGTAAAGAAGCGGGACTTACTCATCTGCCAACCAATTAGAACCTATATTAATCAGCTTTTCAAACGTCTTGGGATAAAATTCTCCGAATCCCCAGCTTTAGATTAATGATGAATACGAAGCCAAGGTGCCAGGTCCTGGCGGTTGGGCGGCTGCTTGAGCATATATAGCCGCTATGCCCCTCCGACACCGTGGGACAATCCTTTATATGAAACTTCAAAGTGGCTCCCCTTCAAGCCATACATGGATTAAGTCCCCTGTAGCTCCATAACTGGTAAAACTCGTAAAAGTTCGTATCACTCGTATAACTCGTGTAGCTCGACATCATCGGCAGTTCAATTCAATTCTCCTGTAGTAATTAGATTTTTTAAACTTTGCTTCCTCCTGTGATCTTAGCCTAGTATGAACTGTTGCAAATGCCTGATGCTTGCGAAATTTCACGGAGTCAAGTCAACTCAGAATACTGCGGGAACATTCTAGAGCAGAGTTTATCTCAAACATCGCCAAGTAGACTTTTGATATCATGATGACCTCTGGCAATGATGGCCACTGGCTACAAATATCTATTTCAGCTTCGATATTCAACAACATGATATCCAATTCGGGCACAGAACATTCATCGTCTCTCTTTCAATTCCCATTGCTTCAAACCTACCTGGTGTAGCTAACTTGTCTATTCTTATCATTCGTTTCTTCACAGACTCTCGTTTCACTCCGCCATCATGAAGCACTCCGCCAATTTCGTTGCCATGGCTGCTGCGCTGGCACGCGTCGCTGATGCGCACTACATCTTCAGCAAGCTTGTTCTGAACGGTGTTGCTTCCGATGACTGGCAGTACATTCGCCAGACGACCAGAACCGAGAACTACATGCCGACCAAGTTCACCAACACCTATGACAACCTCACTCCCAGTGACAGCGATTTCCGCTGCAACCTGGGATCTTTCAGCAATGCTGCCAACACTGAGGTTGCCGATGTTGCGGCGGGTGACACCATTGCCATGAAGCTCTTCTACGATGGTAGCATTGCGCACCCTGGACCCGGTCAAGTTTGTACGTTTATATACTATGAAACGAGAAATTATGAGACATAAGTGAATAATTGCTGACTGGTCTCTTCTCTATAGACATGTCCAAGGCGCCAACTGGAAATGTCCAGGAATACGAGGGTGATGGTGACTGGTTCAAGATCTACGAGGTGACTCTCTGTGACGAAAGTGGTGACCTGACCAAAGACGCTTGGTGCGCATATGGCATGTCCCAATTTGAGTTCCAGATTCCTGCAGACACCCCTGCCGGCGAGTACCTCGTTCGCGCCGAGCATGTTGGTCTTCATGGTGCTCAGAACGATGAGGCCGAGTTCTTCTACAGGTGAGTTTCTCAGGATATCTGCTCCGAATATGAAAGCTCATCTGACACAAATCATCTTAGCTGCGCCCAAGTCAAGGTCTCTGGCTCCGGCTCCGGCACTCCTTCCACGACTTACCAGATTCCTGGTCTCTACACTGAGTCTATGGAGCTCTTCAACGGCCTCAACCTTTGGGTCGACGACGCCAGCCAGATCGAGGCTGACATTGCTCTTACCCCCATCGGAGATGATGTATTTGGTAGCTCATCCTCTACCTCGTCGACCTCTGCAGTTGCAGCTTCCTCTGACACGACCAGCTCGGTCGCAGTTAGCTCATCTGCTGTCGCGAGCTCTGGATGCAAGTCTTCGAAGCACTAGACATGCCCAAAATGTTTGCTGAGCTTGGTCGCGAAGCTTGACCTGGGTATTCTGGGGCTTCTTGGCTACGACGGGAGCTAAGGAAATTTTTTATGACAAATGGGTATGCTATGTCAAGGCACTTTGCAAGCTTGCAAGTTTAGTCGAATGCTTAGGGCTACTTGTCGCGGCGGCTGTGTACGATCCACATCACAAGGACCTCTCGACAGGCGCTGTCGCTTAGAGTCAATTCTTGTATATATTCTTCTTCTCATCACCACTATTTAAATAACACTTTTTTGTGCCTACCCCACCAAAACAGATTTGCTGTGAATCTGGAATATTTTGGGCGATATGGCGGTTGGTGATCAAAGTCTATGAACCAAGGATAGTAGTCAATACATCGCTTGGATGATGATGGTTCCTAAGATCCGAGCTTCAAAAGCTGCTAGGTATATTTTTGCTCACTATTTCTCCTAAGACGATGACCAAATTTCATCAGAAATATAGGCACTGGAATGGTCGCCAGAGCAATGAACCCTAGCACGGAGTTTCCCCAGCCCAGCCCGAGGCGTCTGTATAAAGGTGGTCCTGAGAGTGGAATCAAGGTGCCACAGAGGTTTCGAAAGGCAGCTGAACCAGCAATTGCACTGGCAGAATGTAGCCCGAAAGCGTCGACCAAGTAACTCCGGACAGGAATCGTGGTGGACACGAGACCGACGCCGATCATGCCTGTTGCCATAATGGGCGCCATGTAGTGAACGTGAAACTCGGTTGTCCAACCATAGAAGAACAGGGCCATTGGTAAGATGAGGCCGCCAACTATGAGGGGTGGTAGACGTTGCTCAGGCTGTACCTGGCCTGATTTTGATTGCCGACGCACCCAAATGTCAAGAGTGGCGCTGCACAGGAAAACGCCAACCACACAGCCAATTCCTAAATAGTTTATGGATGAGTATTGTTATTAGACAAAAGAAGCGCATCGTGACTCACCTAGCCCTAAGAAGCTGAGCCCAGCCTGGCTTGATGAAAAGTCATAGACGCTTTCAAACACGCTGGTGAGGGTGGTCGCCACCAGGTAGATGTAACCATAGACAATTCCAAGGTATAATGATATCAGGAACAAGGCGGGAGAGGTAAAAAGTAGAACTAGAGGTCTAAGACAAGACTCTCTGACAACCTTGAGCGCGCTGTAGTTGGTTTCGTACCTGGACCTCCAATTCGGGTTGTGCGTTGCCTTTCTGAGGCGTATGGCTTTGCTCTTCAAAATTTGAACAACATACGTCTCGCGCAGAGACAGCAGAAAGCATAGTTCAATGAGGCCGCATAGAATTGTCATGACCCAGAAGCACCACCTCCACCCCAACGCTTGACCTACGTATCCCCCCAGAATTGGACCAACGACGGGCCCTAGCATGGGTGCCAATCCCACTATTGCCATGGCTTTGCCGCGCTGCTCAACTGGAAACAAGTCGCCGACGGTGCTCGGATTCAGAGCGGTCGATACCACTGCCATGCCGTTTAAGAATCGAAATGCTACCAACATGTGGATGTTTGTACTTAGAGCGCAAGCTGCCGAAAACAAGATGAAAAGAATGGTGCCGGCATGGTATATGTAGAACCGCCCGTAGAGTTCGGATAGCGGCGCTACAATCAGCGGTCCGAGAATCTCACCCAGTTCCCATATTGTGATAATTAGTGTCAAGTACGAGGTCCCCTCTTCCTTGAACTCGGCGAGGATCTGGGGCCCAAGTGGTGCACTGATGATTACACCTAGGTTACTGTGTTCATGGGGTTAGAGAGATTAACTCCTTCTTACCCAAGTGAGAACTTACACTGCAAAATCCAATAAAGAAACAATTATAACAAGAGTCCATTTTCGTTTGCGCGACCAATTCTTTGGGTTGGACGAGTCGTCTTCACCATCAAAGTCTACGAGTGTCTCCTGCTCCGGTGCTCCATGCTCGACGACGTGACTCTCTCGAGGGTGATGCTTTTCTGGTGCAATTGCTATAGGTTCCGAAACATGAGATAAGACGTTTTGAGAAGACATCGTGGTGTTGCTCCCGTACTCCTTCGCGGTGGTTTGAAGGCTGTGCGAGTGGTTCAGATAGGAGTCAGCGACCTTATTTCATGCATACCGCTATTTACTTTGTCTGCGGGGTTTCTATCCAACCTTGGCCGCCACAGCGTTATGGCATGATCCATGCACTTACGGAAAACTCTAACAAGCATCTTGGCAAGGGATCTGCGATTCGTGATATGTGAGTGAGCATAATGGTGTTCAAGTCGAGGTCATACGAACGTTATCATTCACTAAATTTGATATTGTAGTACAATAAAAACTGACCAAACCCCAACACCTGGTCACTTGAAATAAAGGTATTGGTTATGAGCGACATGGCTAGGGATAGTCGGAAACCTGACCCCTGACTCATGAAGTTGGGTTCGACACCTCGGCCACCACCTCAGCATACTGCTGATCCATTTGTGCAAACATCTCAAGGCGCTCTAGAAGATCCTTGTCGTAGCCAGTCTTGTTCCATGTGGTCTCAGCGAAACGAGGTAAATCTCCCAAATCCATGTGACCATGCGAATGACCGTCTCCACACTCGGTCATCTTGACAAAGTAGTACAGGTGAGATATCACGCCCGGCCAGTAGCCGCTACCGCTGCAATCCATATTGACGTAGCCGGTACACTCAATAACCTCCTCGGGCGTGTAGATGAGCCGATTAGCGGGGCCGTCCCGGAGCCAGTACTCGGGTGTGCTATGGGCGTAGCCCAGGTATGACGCCGGCGGGAGGCGCGGGACTTGGTCGTCAAAATGCGTGATGCGGTATTCCTTGCCGGGCTGATTGCGCAAGTAGTTCATAAAGACAACATTTCCGACGCGCGGCGCACCATACGTGTAAATGTCAACATTGACGGACTCAAACTCCTCACGAATGTACGATCCCAGGAGCAACGCGACGGCACCGCCCAGCGAGTGGCCTGTCACCGTGACATTGTAGTCTGGGTAGTTGTGGATGGATTCACGGAGGGCTTCGTAGAAGCTGTCGTCGGTAATGTCTTGAAAGGCCTGCCAGAAACCGCGATGCACGCGACACATGGCTCCATATGGACAACTGGCCTGGAGGAAGCGAAGGTCGGCGAGCCAGTTGCGGATGTTGTAGCTTCCCCTCACTCCAACTACGAGTTCCTTTCTGTACGAGTTGACAGAAAGATAAGCAGCAATGTCGGTGGTGGCGCCTCTGGAGTTTCTGTGTCAATAATCAACGTACGGCTTTCGAATGCGTCTACTCACGTGAATCTGGCGAGAGTTGTAGTATTGTCCAGACAAAGGTTTCCCTTGCAAAACGTTGGAGCGCCCAGGTTCCCAATATTGCAGTAACTAGCTCCAGCATATTTGGCGTATAGCTTGAAGTTGTCCAAGTCTGATTGGTCTGCCACTGCGGCTGTGTTCTAATGTTAGAATGCCGTGATACTATGTACGTATGATTGCCAGCTTACGAGTAGTGAGGTGTCTGCTTGCAGCAGCTAGTGCGAGGTTCGTCTCAAGCACAGGCGAGGCAATGCTGACCGAAGCCAGAAGTGGGAAGCAAAAGTTAAGCAGCCTCATGGTGATGTGTTGATGGCCAATAATTGTATGGATAAGAATTGCTCGAAATTTTCCTACAAAAGAGTGAAAGTGCCTTTAGGTACAAAGATCAAGATGAGGAAAGAATGGGTTGGCCTTGAACAATCTGAATGATTTCTCTCTTAGCAAAGTCAGAGCAATAGTATATTATATACTTGACTCATTTTCTCAACATATAACAATCCTGTACTATGTCACTGTAGTTAGTTATGGAAGATCACAGAAAGGTGTAATACTGTACTACCGGCTGTGTATCATCCGAAGACATATTTTCCGAAATAACAGCGATGCGAAAGGGAGGCCCAGAATGATTGTGAAGCTTCGGGGGGATAGGTCATTGGATCACCGAAATTCAGATTTCTCGACACTTGTTCTTGCATCCCGCGAGCCCGATTCAAATGAGCTCATTACGGCTCATCATATAAATGTACGACCATGCTTCGGCTGGTAGGTCTGAGTTTGCGGCTGTTGTCGAATGTTGGTGAGCACACGTCGTACACGATCCTGTCAAACAATACTGATCGAAATGCAATTCGCCTTGAGCGAGATTTCGAGCTCTTCCAACGTATGACGACCGAAGAAAGACCGTAGAAGTGCCCGTTCTAATTGAATGTTCCACGCAGCTGTAACGGCAGTCTGCTTCTTCTGAGTAATGCACGTCAGGAGATTCGAGATATGTCATCAATAGACCCTTGTAAGTGGCAGAATGATACTGGTACGTATTGATCAACAAATGTGGGAAAGAAAATTATAAACTCAATGATTTCATCACTTACCGTGGCGCGATATAAATAGCCATCCTGTAATGCGCATGTGTGAGCGATGTCTGGATGCGAAACTCTTGTTGATTGACAATTAGGTCCCCCCTTTCCTCTTGGTTTTCCCTTTTACTCCCCGAACTCTGTCAGTATTGCAAGAGCCTTTCTCAGCTTTATTGAACAGCAGGAGGCCAGTTTCTTCAAATACGTACTACGTGCTATAGTCTGATCAAGCGCGGTGCCAATTCCGCTCAACTATGTAGGTTATGTAGGTTTTTATGACTCGTTAGCGACGCCCGTGGAAATCGTCTGGAACATAGCAAGAGCTTAAATCATCAGGATAAAGGGAGACTCACAAAGATGAGATTGTCAAATTGCTCAACACGGGAACCCTCGTGCCGATGATCTATGACCAACCGTGCTGGGGTGGGTTCATGAACTTCAATGCCAAGGATTCGAAGCTCTAAATCAAACACGACAATCTTTACACGCACGAGCGCCCTTGAATCCGGTAGTGATTGATCGATGTAGTGGTATGCGTAGAGCTCAGCATTAGCATCAGGCTCATCTACCACTGGGAAATAACCCCTGTATACTGTTAGCCAGGAGTGAGTTGTGAGCTTTATGGGTGTACCATGGCTATGTCCCACGTCTCCTATCCCGGATCACACGGGAGGACGGCGAGCCCCCGAGACTCTGATCAGCAAGCTTGACCTCCAAGGAAGTAAAGTTTGCATAATTGGGCATTCGACTAGGTACGTTATAGCTAGCACGCGCACTCTACCAGCTAGGAATGCTACATGATGTGCCTTTCAATAATGTGAAACTTTTAGAATCAGCGAATAGCTTTGGTGGATGGCTTACGATGCTTGTCCTCAGATTGAGGACCGACATGTTTCAAAACAAAGTACGACTGCAATCAATATCTGCAAATTGTGTATGCAATGACACAAAGGATTGCATATTGCCACTGCCGAGCTAGGAAGATAGAAATTCGAAAATGGCACGACTGGCGAAATGAATAAAATAAAGTAAATCCCAGAAAGATCACAGGCGCCAACATGGTTCCCCACTGTCTCTATAGAGTAATGGTTGCTTGCTCGTTAGCTAAGGCGAGTCATTGTGGGCACTTTAGCGGGTATGGTCCTATAATTACCCACTGCAACAGCGGCCCCAGACTTTGAATCGCAGTGCATTGGCTTTCCGGAAAGTTCATGGATGTGAATGGCACCAAGCACAGGGGCGGCGGAATACCTACTATCAGTGCTGGGAATAAGTGTTGATCAAGGTGGTGGTGCGCTGGGAATTCAAGCTCATAGGTTGTACTAACAAACACGATCATAAACGCCACCAGAAGAGATCATGGACGGCACAAGCCTTGGAAGCCAAGTATATATCTTCCCGCCTTGCGGAGGAGAAGTATTTGTCAAAGCTCAATACCCAGATCCAAGCAATCAAAATCGTGAGAGATCTTGATAACATGCAGTCGCGTGTGTCGCATGGGAAGAATACAGTAAAGGCACTAGTAGATCGATTTCGAGAGATAGCGGACAGCTCAAGGGACACTGCCAAAACCGCGATGGTGCTTGGACACCACTGCTGATGGAGAGGCTAGGCTTTTCAATGGCAAATGTTGTTTCTAAGAACCCACTGCAAAAGGGGACAGACAGTAGCCTGCGTCTTATTGAGCAGTTTTAGCGCTAGCAAGCCTAGAGAATGCCAACCGCATGAGCCAGTGCAAGATACAATGTGAGAGCTGAGGTAACAGGCGAGCAAGGCGGCGCAGGCGCAGCACAAGAAAGAATTTAGGCAATCAAAGAAAATGTGAGACCATTGCCGATCTGAACGTATACCTTGGAGCAGATACCACGTTTCCAGAAGGGATGTCATATATAAAGGTTGGCGATGCCCTTCACCCTTGTTTGGATTACGGGGTTTGCAATATTTGTGGGTGAGGCGGTCCGCAGGTACGGTTTGATCCAACTCCACAAGGGTATGCGTCCCTTACATATACTGTATTCATGGTTATCTGTATACCACCCGTCCGCTTTGATGATATCTTTAACGCGTCGAGGCATAGAATCCGAAAGGTTCCGGAGTGTCTATTGTGGTATCGTATGCCACGCTTCTTTCGCTGTCTCTATTAGTGCTCGAGAGGTTTCTTCCGTATCTAGTGCGTGTTCGAGCCAAGGATGGAGTTTATATATCTCCTTTTTCATAATAGCCCATTGATGTTTGATTGTAAGAAAAGGGGGGATTCCTACCTAATAAGATATAGCGCCTTAGCGGTATATAACAGGGATGCAAAAGTTTAGACACCTACTATAATACGCCAGCCTAACTCCACCTTGCCGGCATTAACTATATGCACAACCCCTACCGAAAACGAAAAGGTCATTGCAGCGGACGTGCGTCAAGCTGAGATCTTGGCGAATGAGTTTCGATTCCAGCGCACCACATCGTATAGGCAGAGATACAGACGTTCAAAGCCAAGCCGAGGCACTCAATACGTGCTTGCCAGCACGTCTTATCAGTATCGGGAACAATACTACACCATTTCCGTAATCACAATCAAACTCGCCTCTATGAGACTCAGGGTTCACTCCTTTTGATGGAGGTCAAGTCCGATTATAATGAGCTAGGCCTCGTAGGATGTACAAAAAAGGATGAAATAACAAGCACGGAAGGAAGAATGAAATAAATTTATCCAATGCTAAGCACCATATCATATTCGAGGTTAGCGAAGAAACATCTGTTTTGGAAGCTAGATACGATTCCAGGAAACATATGGCACAGGCAGCGAGCGACTCTTGGTGCAAATCCGCCATGACTCCACCATGGCGGGCGTGCAAGATCAGTGGGCGTGCTGGTTCAACTGGTGATCACGAATGCCATCAATAGGTTCATTGAAGAGGGCCTCGCAGCTCTTCTCCATGACTAGGAACTTCCCCACCTCTGACAATGACTACCTCCTCAGCGATTTGATTATCGAGACCTAACAAGCAATGGGTCTTGATAACACCCTTGTCAATATCAAGATCGTTCGAAGAGTCGGTTCCTAGACAACTTTTTTTTTGACATTGGAGAGCGCCCAGGTTTCTTATTCGAATGGAGGGCTCCAAGACACACTGCAAGTCTTACACTGACCTGCACTGGCAGAACGAGGTTTTACAGTGTCACTACAAATGGGAAACCTCAAATCGATACACCATGCAGGAGCAATCGCGAAACAACCTACGAGTGAGAAACACATACCATTGGACACGATGACAGAGGCGACAAGGGTCTTGTCGCCCGGCCGGGCTGGTCAGCCTGCGGGCAAATGGTAGGACTGCAGTAGCCAGATGTATTCTGTCCCCTACTGAAAAAAGGCAACCCTGTACCGACCTTGCAGTGAGCGTTGCTTCGTACTGAACCTCCCTGTGCCTTGCATTTACCCTACTCGATCTCTGCCATGCCGATAGCCGTCCTTTACTTCAGAAACTCCGGCCAATGACTAATCTATAGAAGAATTCGTGGACAAATCCTTGATGAATTCTCTTTTTTTGTTAATCCAAGCAGGCATGGGTATCTCATTTCAGAAACGTGGCATATAAGATAACACCCGCATTACACGCAATAAGATTGGTCCTTGTCGGCGCGTAGGTGTATGCATTATCAACCATGCAATGGGACATCCAGCAGGGACGAAATCACTTCACCTCGTTACTTTTTTTTGACTGTTGGTTTAAAGCCTTCTTGAATATTTATATGCCCAGTAAATGATATATTTTCTATAATTATTGCCTAATCAGTCTGCCAATATATTCGAAATGTGTAGTGGCCTCCCTGGCGACACTGTCATTACTGCTTTAATTGTGTTTATCATGGCCATGTCACCTAACCCTGTGACATTCGGCTTCGCCCAAGATGATAAACCGCTGTAAACATAATCCACATGCTCCAAGCAGTTCTGAATGATAAGATTGGAGTCCATGCTACTGTGGCCATATGGGTAATGTAAGTTTCAGCCTTGCATGAAGTCGACTTCGCTTCAAGGGTGCGAATTGGCAACGGTTTTGGCACTGCTAAGCTGTTGAACCGACCCGCGCCCCAGTCCCCCTCCCCTCCTGCGTCGGTTCGTGGTAGGGTCTAAAATATGCGCCGCAAACCACAGTACATGCATCATTAGGTACTTGCCCCTTGTGTCGGAAAACATTCATCCCCTCCAATCCATTGGAATACGGAGCACCACCTCATCAACCTTACTTATCGTCTTGCCGGCGCATGAACAGGGCCAGAGGATGATCCAATAACAGCTTGATAAAATGTCAACATCGCAGCGTACCTAAGGCCACCTTCCAATTGGATGGTGAGGGTGGACAGACGGCACGCTCCCTGAAGGTAGTAGCCATTCTGGAGGATAAGAGTGAGGCTAGCGCTAAGTTGCCCTTCATCTCGGATCAACCCTAGGTGTCAATCGATATTTCATGTGCAGCAAACGGTCCAACTAATCGCGCCGAAGGTGTCACTTGGCCTTGCAGCACGGCCGAAAATGTCTTGGCATTCCATAATGCATGATATGCATTCATCTTTGTACCACATTATGGTCGCTCTCCTATTGGCAACCTGATACGTTGCATCCAGGGAAATTAGACGCTGCGCTTGCACATTTAGTATGTTGGTAGGTTGAGTTGAGTATTGTTGTTTCGTCTTATGCAAACTATAGGAGGGGAAAAGTAGTAGATTGCGGTAAGATATATCCTGGGCATTTCAGAAGTGAATAAACAATGATCATAATAGCTGGGCGTAATCAATAATATTATAATAGTTAGACCACAATTTCTCTCACTAAGGTTGATATTTTCAAGGAATACGCTTCTTTCCCCAGATCTTACCGATTATATCATTTCAGCGCAAAAGACTGAATTAAAACAGAACTACGCAGGTCGTTTATAATGGCACTATTGCTTAAGCGTTTTATATACGCTCTTCGTCTTACGTTAGTTAGTATTTGACCCCTCACTCATTCACTTATACTTCGAGGCCGATCTAACATTAAGTTATCTTTTTGTTTCGCAGCTATGTTCCTGCGCGGCCAAGGTGGTCTTGATGATAGTCATCATGACGAAGGAAGATGCCCGGGGCATACCAACAAAGGTACTCGGATATTTTGATTCAGTCTATGGATTTGGAATTTCTTTTTACGGTCTACAACGCCTTTGGACCAATTATGAACAAACGCTCTCGGAACGATTCATGCCAATTTTCTTGGAATTTTGTTCAATTGCTATATTTATAGCGTCAGGCTCAGTAAGTACGCGCCCTCTCTATAAAATCTTCGGGGTCACTCCATGAACTTTGAACTACCCATCATTATCGCATTTGGAAGCTTATAAAAACAGTTTGGTTTCACAGATACATGTTCGGGCACTGAGATGTGTCTACCAGCCAATATTATATCCGTGGCTAATGCTATGATTGGCTCTGTTTGTCTTGCCATGCAGTCATTTATTTTGGAGAAACATAAAGATCCATTGGAAAAGACCGCCACCGCGAAGGATAATATTGAAGCTACAGACATTTCATCTCAGATTTGCTCCTCGCCGGTTGCTTATGCAGAGCCGCTCCAATAAGTGGCCACGGCCTGCCACCGTGACTGCTCATTTGTTCTCTCCTGGGTTTCTCGTCCTTTAGGAGCACCCATGACTTTTTGTCTCTTCTGAGTCCCCTTGTGGGGCGACACATGGCAGTTTCCAAATTGGCAATGAGGGTGTTATGCAGTTCCCCAGGGCGGATGAAGGGCTGGTCCCCTGTATGTATTATGTATAATTAGTTCTGGAAACCATTTTGTTACGAATAAGTATCCTTTTATATAGGTGTATATATATAAGTTCAATGTCCCGTCATGTGAGACGTACCGGCCGTGGTACCGCCATTGTCTATGCTAGTCGATTCTGCGATATAGAGGTCTACATTCACCCAATGTTCCTGTTCAGTGAAATGAGCAGAAATCAGCGACGACTTAATCTCCTCCACCCATTGGGAAATACTACCTAGGTAGTCATTCGTTCGTAGCAAAGCACAACCCTGGAGGTTTGAATACACTGCGAGCAGTCTATCTTAAAGTTCTTACTTCATTCTTATCTAATCTGAAATTTATTTATCTGCCGTTCTGTCTGTCGTTGCATAATACATGGCGCCGACTATGGTACTTGGTTCCATGGGCATATATGGGAAATCGACGTAAAAGGATCCCAGAATAGCGCAAATCATCCCAGCCAATACAGCAACAGCGAACCAAAGACATACCGCACGCGCTAAATAGGTCGTGATTATCCGATAACGGACATTAACCAGAGCTGCGGGTAGCGCATGTGCTAATATCGCCAGAAGGGACACGATACCGAGATATGGGTCTGGATGACTGCCTGAGATAACACGGTATAGACCAATAAATGGGTTCGTCGGCGAACTCAGCTCCAGGGCCTTGTCCGGGTGGAAGTTGCCCTTCCAGGCTACTTTGAAAGGGCTGACCCAAGCGACACCCTTTTTGAGAGTAAAAAGTTAGCAATACCATTCTATACCTTGGTATCTTGAAAGGGAATTTTTGGATGACTTACACTGGAAGACTGACGCCCATAAAAGTGTCAATATCACACCGATGCATGAAAACAGAAGCCGGACGCCAAGGCTCTCGCTATCCATAAAGTACTCGAAGCCATTTTCGGCTCTATTCCGATAATAGGCCACGACCAGGGCCAGGACTCCGGAGAGAAAGCAGAGTACAAGTATCTTGCCGTATATTGTCAAGATAAACGAATGTGAGGGTTCGAAGAGTTGGCTCATACTTTTGGCTGTACGTTCACGAGCCACATGCGCCGGTGCCTGATCGCCGTTTGTTGATTTTGCTGTCGACTTAGCGGTAGACAGTATCGATGTCGTTCTTGCAGTTGGCAAGGGACCATCGTTGTTTATATCTGAGGTAAGCTGCGTGGTAGGTGCCACATTGTTCGTTGTGCCAACAGGCGGCATTATCGTGATTGTGTTGGAGCCTATGTTGACGTATTGTGGATCATCAGCCTCTCACTCAGCACAATGTGGCGTCACCCAAGATAGAGTGACCTCCACGTACTCATAGATGCTGCTGGTTAAGGGGCTTGGGGTGGTTATGGGATGTGCGTTAGCAGAATCACCGCCGATATAGTAAGTGGCAGTGCATTCCACATCTCGCTGCGGGAGATCGCCACCATTGGTCTGGTGAAAAGTGATGTATCTAGTTTCACCAGCAGGTAATAATTCAGCGGCGTTTGGCGTATTCCGGATTCTAGCTTTGTTGTTGGTAAAAGATGGGCTTGCATTATCGGTGCCATTCAGGGCATCGGAGCTGGTTCCAGGATCCTCGCCTTGGTTATTGTACTGGATGTACCTAATGGCTCTAGAGTCAACCTGAATGAATGGGGCAAATGTGTTTTTCTCATCAGGCAAGACCCCGACAGCTACAGCAATGAGGCAAAGAAAAATAGTGATGACAACAAGAATAGACGCATTGTACCAATAATGCAAGGGGGCTGGCCTGTAATCCGGGATCCGATCTATGCAAGGCCCGTCATAGCAATCTGTTGATCCACTGGTGCCACACAGCAGACTTTCAGATGGTGTCCCTCAATAGTGACATGGGTAACACTGCGCTGAGCCAATAATTTCATGCACCCCGCCCGTAGGCGCCCTGTCTCTATAGGTCAACCATGCCTGTCATTGCCTGTATGTGCCTCGCAAGGGTTCCACTTGGGCCAATGTCGAATAAACCTCACTGCAACGGCGTTACATCCAAAGACGGGAGACAGGTTCAGCCTCACCAAAAACGCCCCAGATCCCCCGCGATGGATGCCACACATCAGCTCCTGGGGAAGATGGGTGTAAGAATGAATATCGGGCACTTACGCCGTAGCTGAAGTGTGATCACACGGGACAAGACCGACAATGGCATTGATTATATAGACATGCCTGAGTAGGTTGGGTAGATTTCCAAAGTAATACTCACGCGTGACCTGAATATCTTAGTATTAGTCTACTGTTCAATCAAGATGTCGGACCTTGCTGCCCTGGCAGCAGCTCTACCGAAATGCGCCGTATGTGGTCAATCACTCACTTGATTCCAATGGCGCTCTAACATTTTCTGCAGACAGCTTGCCTTGTTACGGCAATATACGAATCTACCTGTGCCATTACGAACTCGACATGTGTATGCCATGATGAAGAGCTCAACAATAAAGCAACCGCTTGCATCACCGAGAGCTGTACTGTTCGAGAAGGCCTTTTTACCAAAAACCTGACAAGTACATCATGTGGTATCGCTCCGCACGTGGATCACTCCTATATCACTCCGGGCATCGTCTTCATCACTCTCTCGGCAATTTCCCTCGGCTTGCGCATAGCAGCAAGAATTCAAGCCAAGCTTCCCGTGTGGTGGGACGATTTCATAATTACACTGTCTTTTGTTCGTTGACCTTTTCCTACCAGCTTCTTTAATGAAATGGGCACCTAGCTGACTATCCCCGTAGATGGGCTGCATTGCGTTCTCTGCACTGGGCTGGTCTTGTACAGAACCTTTTTTTTTCTTCTTCTTTTTCTTTCAATATCGCATATTTCCATTCACTAATACAGATTCGCTAACATCAGACTCAGTAAAGTCACATGGCTTAGGCACCGACATCTGGGCTGTAAATTTCCATGACATAACATACAACCTCAAGGCAATGTACGCACTTTTCGTGCTCTACATCACGAGCCGCGACCTCGTCCGATTATCGATCTTACTGTTCTACCAGCGCATCTTTGGCCGCGACCCTTTGGCCAAGCGTTTGATCCGCTATACCTTCATCACGATAATTGCTTGTTGTATCGCCTTTGATCTAGCCATCCTCTTTGGATGTACCCCGATCAGTTACTTTTGGACTTCGTGGGATGGTGAGCACGAAGGGCACTGCATCAGTACCAATGGAATATTCTGGGCCGGTGCCTTGGTCGTTATCGCCATTGACATATGGGTCATGCTGATCCCACTGCCATTTATCATGAAACTCAAGTTTTCATTGCGAAAAAAGCTCCTCTCGGGTGTCATGTTCACCTTTGGAATTTTGTGAGTATACTTTTGCAAGTCTAGTGGGAGCCATGGAAAACGAAGCTAATTTGAATGGGGCGAATCTAGTGTCGTTATAGTCAGCCTCTATAGATTGAAGACTATTACCCGTTTCACTTTGTCACGGAACCCGACAGGTGCGTACATTTTGTTCCCCATGATCAACATGGCCTATACTGTGTCATGATACACCAATTTACGCCCCTTCCCACTTCCATAATTCACTAACCCGTCCATTCCTTTCCAGCGGACTTTGTGGATGTCGGCATCTGGTCGGGACTAGAGCTCTACGTCGGCATTATTTGTGCATGTCTCCCAAACTTCCATAGCTTGCTGAAGCCTGTATATGCTCGGATTGGCTCTTTTTTCGCCTCTAAGACGAAAGGACCCCAATCCGCATCCAGTGGTTCTCGCAATAGCCACGAACGCAAGTACGTGTTGCCCATTGCCGAGACCGGCCCCAAGTCGACAACAGTAGAGATTGCGACGTTTGAAGGAAAGACCTAAAGTGCTGTTGGAACACAAGAAATAAGGGGGGGGGGGAAAAAAAGGAGGAATGCCACACACCGAGACTAGTAGGCTGCACAGGCTTAGCCAAAACCAATTGATGTTTGCCACCTGAGCATTTCCATCGTCATCATGTCTCGTAGTAATCAAACGCAACAACTCTAACCTAGTCTCATGTTTGCAATGTAGAGAAACATAATTATTGGCTCTTTTTTTGTGTTATCTATCGATGTTACCCTCGAGTCATGGAAAGCTAGGGCCATATTATTCAGAACATATAATCTCTGCAATTAGCTAGATCTCGGCACATAATGCTTAGATCAGGATCACCGCTAAGCTGACTGCATAGCCGCCACACCTTCGACCCAAGCACTCGGATTCAATGAATATCCCCGGGAAAAGAGGTGCATACACTTGACGGTCTTACATAATGATGGTTGTCCCGGCCTATTTGCTTTGTGTTTCTTTCTTTCCATAATCGGTACTTCCATGATACTGCTGGAGATGAGGTAGGTGAGGGTTGCTGTCGAGTTCGATATCGTCATCGTAACTGTGACTACCGCTGCTCGATTCCGGAAGATTCCTGTCGCCATTCGTTAGTGCATGATGCTGGCTGAGGCACGGAAACATTCTCACCCCTTCATGGCTGAGGGCATATCGACGTTCCAGTAAGACTGGTCAAATCCGATGTCTTTGTGGGTTATCGACACCCGATGATGCGTAGAAGATTCATGGGAGTGTCCCGAATTCCTTTCGATACTTTCATAGCCTCTGGAGCAGTCGGGTTCGCCATACTCACTCTGAGGTGCAGAAGCAGGGAAGACTGATTTGGTCGAATTGGCGCCCGAGCTTCCGGTAGGAGATTGGTATCGGAAGGGTCTCGGTACCTCGCTGGTTGTAGAGCTTGATGCAATGCTTGTAGGCGATGCTTTGGATGCACTTGAGCTCCCCTGATTGGATTTGCGCTTGATCAAGATGCTCGTTCCCCCTTTGCGTTGGTCTACGTGCCATCAATTAGGGATGTGGACTTCATGTCTTGCGGACGTTTCTCTTTGTGTACTGCTCTTCTTACCGCAATTAGAAGACGACATGATTTCGAGTCTGTTCTGACTTCCTGTATTTTTTTATGGTGCTCAGCATTCAAATTCAGGGTGTAGTAAAACTAGGTACCAAGTCCGTCGCCGCTTATGATGAACCAAATTGAAATGAACGGTGGTTCGATGCCAAAGTCTGGCATCACTTTCACGTTTTTAACAACTGTCCAAAACAGCACCAAGGAAGATTACTGAAGCTGTCAACTGCCTTCATTGTTGCACGCACTCGGCCCCGAACCCCGCTTACCTACATAAAATCGCATCCACCTCCGTTTGGCTTCAGTTACTCCATGTTTTTCGTCAGGAACTGGAATCTGGGCCGAGAGCGGAGAACTGAGCTTTCTGAAAGGCGCTTGTTGACTCGGAACACATCATGGTGGAAAGGTATAGGTTTGCTCGCCCTCTGCGAAATTTATTTCCTTCACGCAATAGTCGCAGTTAGATGGATATGGATAGTCCTTCTAGTGCATATGAAGTATCCATTTTTAGCGTAGATTTATAGTGCTTCAAGCTAAATAAGATGATCATGCTATATGTAGCAGCACTACGGGAGGTTAGGTAGGTAGTTAATCAGAGCGCTGAAGCACCATACAATATGCTTCAACTCCAGCAATGTTGAAATCTTAAAGAGAAGGTTTCGATATAACTTGAAGCTTGACTTCAAAGATATTTCGCTACGATGCAAGAATTAAACCTGCTAGAAGCCTGCATGCCGTTATCTAGGCGAAACAAGAAGAAATGAAAAGAAGGGAAAAAAGAGGATGAAGATGAAGAAAGCTGACATTAACAAACTACATACTGGGCACACGATTCGTCATGAATTGCACTTGTATATGGACAAGCCAATTGTCAGCAGAAGTCCTTGGTCAACAGAAGCGTGCCTTGCCAGATGGCGGAAATATCACCCGTGTGATTATATAATGTAAGCTACCTAAGGACTCTCATGGATTATCATAGCCCATCAGGTCCACTTGGACAGGGCAGTCAAATCATAACATGGATCTTCATCAAGAACCAGGAATATCCGTAAGGGTCTCCGCATTGAAATGAAAACCCCTGCGAGCTGCGAAATCCTGCCATACATTTCATGTTAGCATCAACTTGGTGATGCTATGCGATTTATAAGCTATTTTTTCTTTCTTTCATACAGTAATTAAATCCTACACATGTTGTTTGTAAGGAGTCGCGAATGCCATGCAATTGTGCACTTTGAGGAGAGAACAGAACTATTGGTAACCTCAATGAACCGCTCTATCGTCGAACATGAGAATTTAATCAGAGCGCTACATACGTATCAAGAGATGCTGTCCTTCTGGAAGATTTGCTACCAGCAACAAGAACCAGCCAGGTTGGTTTGACATTGGGGATTCCGTACTAGGAAAGATATGAAATATCGTAAATTTGAAGATCGATGCCTTGCGCGAGCCGATCCATTCGGCGAAAGAGGAGCGGCACGACATGGCATTTTTTGCTTATGTGAGAAGAATCAGACTAACATGCTGAAAGCCCGCCCATGCACCATAGACTGCCATTGGTATAATTTAGGCATGGCTTGGGCGATGCAAGGACACAAGAAGTACTCTATGCAATTTTCAACGCTTGTTATAATCCCTGCTCCTGGATTGATCCATTCTTACCAACGTATACTCGGCCGCTGACACTTTGTCAGGGACTTTGCGACGCATCTCATAATCAACAGCTGCACTGATGCTCAAGATATAGCTATTACGAAGCATATAAATCATGGCCAATTCCCCTCGAACGCTGTATCCAAAAGCCTCACATCATTCAACCATACTCAATTCTCAGACTTCACTACGCAGATTCGACTTTCATCTGAATACCCACCACGAAATCATAAATCCCAGTCACCATGTCTCTGCTCCCGTCTTACAACCTGACTGCTCCCCGCAGAATCACTGCCTCCAACTTGGATATTCCATCCCAGCACGCTGGAGATGATACTGTCGAACCCGGCGTCGAAGTCAGGGTCGATAGTCTTGCACCCCAGCCCTTATTTGATGGCTTTTTCGTTCGCGCCGTCGTGGGTACTGAGAAACAGGTTCCGACCAGCAACGATGGGCAGTAAGTTGTTAAAGAAATCACATATCTTGTCCTATAGGTGTTAATATCATCATCAGTGGCGAGATTCCCCTGGATGAAGTTCCCGGCATTGGTATCGTCCTTCCTGGTGGTGTGCACATGTACTACCTTGATATTGCCCCTAACTACGAGGGTGCTCTGGTATGTTCTCATCTTGCACCAAGATCAGGCTTCATGCTCACTGAGCCGAGCCAGGCGAAAAGAAAACAAACTGACATGTATGAAACAGCATCGCACCACATCGACAGATTACCTCGTTGTCATCTCGGGCAAGCTAAGCCTCATGACTCCTGAGTCCAAATCGTATCAGATCAAGGACGGGAAAGCCACCTGCGGATCTCCCGTCGAGACCGTAGCAAACCCCGGCGACATCATCTATCAGCGTGGCCCTGTTCACGCGTAAGTTTCTTGCTTCTAACTTGCCATGAATGGTATATCAAACGCTTCGATCATGACTAACATACAATTTCAGTCTGTCCAACCACACCAACGAGTGGGTCAGAGTTCTCGCCGTTGTCCTGGGTTCTGAGCCGAACAAGGCTCTCGTTGAAGGCACCGGCCACCACAGGGAGCTTCATGATCAGTGGCTCGCATAATTTTCATCATGGGAATGTGTTTCTGAGATTTAGGATTTGGTAGATTTGGTGCAGACCTTGGCAGAGAATTAATATACTTCGACACAACTTTGTTCCCTCAAGCCTGTAGTCTCTTACGAAGCCCGTGATCTATTTGCAAGAGCTTTGCATGTGATGTGTTTAGGGGGGGTATAGTGAATGATTCTAGTTCCAAGCATCCCTACGTTCTGTGGCATGTAAAACCACACTATTGATGAGATTGTGCTTTTCAGAGCTCATATCATAAGTCTCTTTCTCACCCGGCCATATTGTCAAATTTTTGTTCCACTTCATTCCAGTTGGGCATTGCGTATTTATGATCGCATCATGAAGAAATGTGGTAAAATCGTAACAAGAACTTATGTATAATGGATTGTGAGTCTTGGCAACAGGGCTACTATTTATTTTGAAGGATCCAGCCTACCAACATTGCAGGCGCACTCAACTCTGTACCGCTTCCCTTCCATTGAATCACATTCATATAGTTACGAGATGTCGAGTCAAACAGGAGAGATGTGAGTTTCCAGGATCTGGATTGACGACTTGGGCTCGCAAAATACAACACTTCATCTCGGTTACACTGAATGTACACGCATATCTGCGCCTTGTCCGATTCCGACTTTTGCATCATCTCTGAGCACAATACAAGGTGGACTGAGCCTATCCAATGTCACAAGAAAGATGCTGGATGCTTTTAACCTTCTAAATTCAGTTATCTCTAGTGCCAGAGCCTTTCTGGCAAAAACGCCTAGTATATTCCACGTGTCAATATCGCATGGTTTTTTGGTACCCTAGCTCCTCGCCATGCAAAATTGATCGTGACGTAGCTGGATGCAATCGGGTAAATGATTGCGTCTGAGTCGTGATGTTCAAATGAAGCATTTATCGTAAGCTTCGAGGATGTTCGCCTGTCCAGGCCGTAGCGCAGACAGGTGGCACTTGTTGGGATGCGTTGAAAGTAAAGCCGCTATTGCCCAACTCATTCAGCGGGCTCTCGTGGCTCCCTGGGCTCGCGTTGTTCCCTGCCACCGCGGCCACCGCCACGGCCACCACGGCCACCACGGCTTCTCTTGTCACCGCGCTCGCCCTTCTCCTTTCCATCCTCCTTGTCGACCTTCTCATCGCTGATGATGGCGGTTGCAAGTCGCTGGCTCAGGTCGATCTGAGTGCGGATGCTGTTTGCCAAGTATGATACCATGAGGACATCCTGAATGTGGTTGTTAAAGTCGTGCTCGATGCTGGCGGCATCAACCTTGGGAGCAAGCGACAACGCCGACATTAGGTACTGGCCCAGCGCATTGTTCGGCTCGCGTTCCTCGTCGAGAATCTCACTAATCCAGCCCGAAACGCGCTCAAGAAGGTCGACGCTTGATTCGAGAGAGCGGGCGAGGCCCTCAACATCGGAGGGAAGAGAAGCAGTTCGGGACTCGTTGTCCTTGGCGGACGAGATGAGCTCAAGAGCTGATCGCTCGGCATCGTTGTAGGTGACCTTGTGGGGAACTTGGATGAAGAAGCAGCTCTCAGCAGCGCGCTCGGCGTTCACAGCAACGGGCGCAGAAATGTATGACTTAAGCTGGACGTCGGCGCCAGGGTCTGTCGAGACAGTCAGGTGAACAGCGGGGTGGGGGTAGGTGCCGGTCTCGGGGCTGGCGAAAAAGTTCTGGATCAAAGCACTGAAGCTGTTAAGTTCGTGCGATGTGGTGTACCATCCGAGCAGCGACTCGCGCGGCGATGCCTTTAGGTGCAGGTTGAGCATGTTCTTCTGGTACTCGACGTCCACCTCGACCTGGTCCTCATTCTCGGTATGGGGGATGGCAAAGGTCGACGAAACCGAGACCTCGCTGCCGTCTTCGTTGCGCGAACCTATCAAGGCTCCAATGACGCGGGACGACGTGGTAGGAGTAGCTGGGGGGTCGCGACGGACGGCATGGTCAAGAATGGAGAGAATAGCCTAACGGTAGTGTTAGCATGGACGCAAGAACGGTCGAATGGCGAGTTTGCAGCTAGTCAAGTTTGCTGAGGCCTTTTTATCTTGCTCCAAGGACATGTAGGAAACAGAAATCGAGTTCCAGAGCTGACTTGAGAAAGGGTTGCCTTGGACGTACCTGAGGCTGGATGTTGACGGAGAGCGGGGCAATGCTGCTCTGGAGGTTGACAGTCGGCGCCAGAGGCCGCGACAGATGCAAAAAGGTCTCTGTATCCACAGCCATGTTGGGTGATGTATGACGCCAGAGATATTGACAAATTCTGGGCGTCTCGGATGGGCCGTGGTGTTTTGGCTGGCAGGAGTGGTGGGCGATCGATGGTCGGTCTCTTTGCTTGCAATAGTTAACCCGCTTCGCCCGCTTTGCTGGACTGGACCCGTTTTTTCCCACTCGCTGGCGACTGCTTGTGAAATCAGTTGAGTCCCTCGAAATTTCCGGCTGAATTTTCAACTCAGCTGTTGCGCTTTCCGCAGAGACGAACGAGGGGTTGTGCGCGCTAAGATAAGATAGCGTACCAGCAAGAGAAAATTAAACGGATTTCTCTTGTCTTTTCTCCAAAGTGGGGCCCTATAGTGCAAGGCTGCATTGCGATTTTCTGCAAGGCTGATTTCATAACTTTTTTTTTCCTCCTTGGTTCTTTTCATTTGGCCATACTCATAGGCAAACAAATCGAAAATGGCTCCCAAGGGAAAGTCTTTTGGTGGTGTGAAACGAAGAGCACCTGGAGGGAAAGGTGGTAAACCAGTCAAGAAGAGAACCTATGGTCCCAAGTTTCACGATGCCAGACTTGCAGAAATTGAGTGAGTGGCAATATTTTGCATACTTTTCCTTCCACACAAGACATTAACTTTGAATTAGTGAGTCGGAAAGTGAGGTTTCTGAAGATGCTCCCCTTTCTGACGAGGACTCCGAGTTGGAGGATGATGAGGATGAGTCCGAGGATGAGGACAAGGGCGCATCAAGTAAACCATACTTGACTCTGATGCAAAGTTTGGCCAAGGAGCGAGGACCTCAGACCAAGAGAAGAAAACTCGACTCATCGTCAAAAATGGAACCAGCAGACCAGCAAGACTCGGATGATGAAGTCGATGCAACAGCGGCGGAAGATTTGGACTTGGTGGAGGAACCAGAAGAAGACCCAGCAGACGAATTGCCAGATGACGATGCAGATTCTGATAATGAGGTGCCGGACGATAACGATCCATTTGAGTCACACTTTGCCCATCCAGACGACGCTGAGGTGTCGAAGAAGCTCAAGTCGATACAAGCAAAGGAATTATCAACAAGCCAGGTCGAGCTGAACAAGCTGAGACTAACGAGGGTCTTGCCTGGTAAAGATGCTGGAAAGACAACTCGTCCGCTTTCTACACTCTCGACGACTACAGATCTGAAGCTAAAACAGAGAGTGGGAGAAGCCGCTTCCAAACGCCCAACCTTGGACAAGCTCGAGCAAGTATTATACCCAATCACATTCGGATACAGCGACCTGCTGTTTTGTGGAAGGACGCCAAAAAACGCCGAGAGTATACGCCAAATGGCTAGCTTGCACGCGATCAATCATGTTTACAAAACTAGAGATCGCGTTATCAAAAACAATGCTAAGCTGGCCAAGGAGGGCGAAGATACTGAATTCGAACCCAGGGATCAGGGATTCACGCGCCCCAAGGTCTTGATGCTGCTCCCAACCCGACAATCTGCCGTAAAGATGGTCAACACCATCTGCCGCATCTGCGAACCAGACCAACAAGAACACCGCAAGCGTTTCGACGAATCTTACCAAGACAATGATGGCAAATTTACTTCCGATCGCCCAGAGGATTTCCGTGACCTTTTTGAGGGCAACGATGATGATATGTTTCGACTTGGTATCAAGTTCACACGCAAGACGATCAAGTACTTTTCGCAATTCTATAACTCTGATATCCTGCTTGCCAGTCCGCTGGGCCTGCGTATGGCCATTGGCTCTGATGAGAACAAGGACAAGAAGAAGAAGCTCGACTACGACTACCTTTCCTCCATTGAAGTTGTGATCGTTGATCAGGCCGACGCACTGTTGATGCAAAATTGGGAACACATTGAATTCATTTTCGAGCATCTCAATCTTCAGCCCAAGGAGGCCCATGGCTGCGATTTCAGCAGGGTACGAGAGTGGTACCTTGAAAAACAGGCTGCAAACTATCGCCAAACTCTCATCTTCTCGGCCTTTAATACTCCAGAATTGTCAGAATTACATAGGTCATGTGAGAATTGGGCTGGTCGTGTAAGGGTCCAGCCTGAATATCAGGGCACCATTCAGGAATTGGGCGTCAAGGCGAAGCAGACCTTTTCCCGCTTCGAAACTTCATCCATTGCCAATGAACCTGATGCGCGGTTTGAGTACTTCACATCCGCCATCGTGCCCAACTTGGTCAAGCGAATCAAGGACAGCCATGGCACTCTCATCTTTGTCCCGTCGTATCTCGACTTTGTGAGAGTTCGAAACTACTTTGCCACGAACGATGCCGTCGCAAACCTCACTTTTGGCACCATCTCCGAGTATGCAGACATCCCTGAAGCCTCACGGGCGCGCTCGCATTTCTTGAACGGACGGCACAAGGTCCTGCTTTACACAGAGCGTGCACACCATTTCAGACGTTACATGCTCAACGGCGTGCGGCGCGTCATCTTTTACGGACTCCCGGATAACCCAATCTTTTATAGAGAGATTGCTGGTGGATATCTCGCCAAGAGCGAGCAAGACGCAAAGCTCGAGCCTGGAGCTGGCACCATCCGAGTCGTCTTTAGCAAGTATGACTTGCTCAAGCTCGAAAGAGTTGTGGGAAGCAAGAGAGTTGGCAAGATGATCCGGGACCGTGGTGACACGTTTGACTTTGTTTAGATTGGTAGATTGTACATATTCTCCGGGTGCTTCAATACACGCAAGACTGGTGCTTCAATGCCAGAATGTACAGCTCGTCCTCAAGTCCCCCAGAAATCCTAGGACATCCAAGTTTCATATAATACAGTTGCATCCAGACCGCATCTGAAATACTTGTCATTTACCTTAATACATTGACATTCTTCTTCTCGCCCTTTCCTTGGACCGTAACTTCCTCAGCCGAGGGCGTCTCTGTCTCAACTTGTGGCCTGCTCTTTGCAGCCTTGGCGTTCTTTGCGTTCTCCTTTATCGACTCCATACGTGCCTCATGTCGAGAGCGCTTCTCCTCAGCAGTCTGACCGAAGCCGAGACCTTTCATCTGGGCGACCATCTTATCAAAATCCTCTTTGCCGTCCTTGCGGAACTGCGTCGCCTTCTTGCGGTTGAGCGTGGTGATCTTGTTAAACTTGAGTCCCAGAACCTGATTCCTGGCGTAGGTGGCAGCCGTCATGTGAAATCGCATGTCCTTGGGACCATCGACAAACTCGAGAATCGCCGTGGGAGCCTGGTCGTATGTCGACTTGGGCTCGGTGCGTAGGACGCGAGTGTAGCCGCCAGGGCGCTCAGCATATCGTTCACGTAGGGTTCGGAACAATTTGGGCATGAGCTCATCAGGTGTCTAGGACTCAAAATATGTCAGTGTCAAAGTTTCCTTAGGTGAAAATATGGGATTCAGGCAAAGAAGCGCATCGCTATTGCATGCGCAAGGATTGGTGCTCCTCTTGAAAATTGGGAGGCACGTACAAAGAGGATACCGTGAGCTTTCCTCCTTGCTGTCTCGTTGTTTCTCTTTGCCAGTGTGATCAGCTTGTCCGCCAGCCGCTGCGTCTCCTTTGCCTTTGCCCATGTCGTCCTTATGCTCTCGTGCTTGACCAGTGATGTGACCAAGTTGCGTAGCAGTGCTTGGCGATGAGCCGAGTTGCGGCTCAGGTGCCGGTATTTGACGAGACCTCCGGCCATCCTGTATGTGGTTGAAAGGTTCACAAAATGTCAACTTGACAAGCTGTGGTTGCGGATATATCGTCGACGAGGAATTGTAGGCACAATTCGCTGAAGCGGTCGTTCGTCGTCCAACTAGAGCTCTTCTTGGGCGGCGCGACGGGAACTGTACCCATATGTCTGGAAATGGCCCGAGCTGGGAAATTTTTGGGAGCTGGCCGCTGATCGGGGCAAGGGGCAGTCAAGCTCCGGGCCTTGGCGGGTCCTCCGCCGGGGGGTGGATTTTTGGTGGCAGACTCAAGGCTCAAGCGCGACTTTCGTCATTTCTAGGACCTTGAGCTTTAAACTTCCACCGATCATTCACGAAGACAAAGGAAGCTATTCACAGACGAGCAATTGATTTTGCAATCGTCCCTCGAGCTGCGGCTTGTAGCAATTCAGTACTCGTCCCCCGATTGAGTCTTTCCCGTTGGTCTGCGCCATTGTGCGCTGTCTAGCTCACCATGGGCTTCACTACTGGCTTTGTACGTCAAATTGCAGGATCGCTGTCAACCTGGCCCTCTTACCAATGGCAAATTGTTGCACATTAGAGAACAAGTACTGACTGGAACCCCCGTCAATGTAGACTGGAGGTGTTACTCTGACCCTATCTCTGGCCTACCTCACTATCCTCGCCCACCAGCGCAATCGCGAGCGCCAATCCGCCATCCTCCGCGCCAACAACTATGTGGTCTCTGGCATCACGGACCCGCTCCCGCCAGTGTATCCTCCCACACGCACCGAGCTTGCTGCACTGGACAGGGCAAACTTTGTGGACACTGCCAAAGACAAGTGGAATGCTGAGGTCGAGCGGGAGGTGCGTTGGATCCAGAACACCGACTGGAATGAGGTTCGCGAGGGTGTTGAGACAGCTGTCGGTCGCCTCTGGAGCAGAGCCCTTGGTAATGCCATTGAGGAGACGGAAAAGGGCGAGCGCAAGGCTGCTGAGCTCAAGGATGACGCATCGAGAGAAGCCAGAGCGGCGGCAGACCGGTCGAAAGCCGCAGCCAGTGACAAGGCTGGCAGTGTAGCGGATGCTGCAAAGAATGCTTACGCCGACGCAAAGGCGCGAGGACTCGAGGCTGCGGACAAGGCGCAGAAGGAGGCAGAGCAAGCCAAGGGTTCCATCTTCAACGCCGTAGGCCGCGGTATTGAAAAGGGCAAGGAGGCGCTTGGCCTCGCCAACCAGAAGATCATTGGTGCCGAGCAGGCCATTGGGGGCAAGATTGACGAAAAGTTGTCGCCGGTTGAACGAACCCTGCAGCAGAGATATCAAAAACCTAGCGGTCTGGATCAGACTGTGGAAGAGGCATTGGCAGAGCGTTATGTGCCAATTGACCAGAAGGCGACCGCCGAACTCAGGGGTATCTAGAACTCATGACTTGTGAATAAGAAAGTCAAATGGGACTGCCCCGGGTGAAGAAGGAGAAGATCTGAAGAAGAAGATGAGCAGATAGACAGACGTGTGTACTATACAATCACCACCGATAGAAACGGCATAGCCAACAGCGTGTTCACCATGCTGGGCTCTTATTGAAGCAATGATTCAAATCGACCCCGTCTCCTTGACTTGCGACGAATGGAGAATATAAATAGTGTTTTAGACTCAACTCTTCCAAAATGGTTTTACCAACAACACACGATCCCGGCTGAACTTTTACAGAATCGAGCAGCGAATCAATAATATTATTGAGCTGTCAATAACTATTTCAGCCATACGATGCCTTCCTTCATGCAAAGGATACTTGGTTTAGGCCGTAAAGACCATACGCCTGCCCAATCACATTCTCGAGGACGTCAACATCGGCGTCATTACCACCATGGGCAGCATCATCGGTCAAAGAGTCTCCCAGACCTGACTGAGTCTCGTTCGCCTTCTCCGGGTCATTCCTCCAAGTCTATCACATCTCATAAAAAAAGGAGCGCCACTACTTCATCGCACAGTAGCTCATCTCCCGACTCTTGTTCAACCTCCATATCTGGAGACATGAGTGGCCGTCGAAGCCAGCGAGAGCATGTTCGAGTACGGCGACGTGCTAGGCCGCGGCGTATAAAGGGTTATATGGTCAGCGTTACCCCTCGAGGAGTACAAAGGAGAAGAGTGAAGCCCACAGATATCTCTGGGGTCCGTACGAGGAGTAGGAGGCATTCACGAGCAAGACTGCCGAAGTTAAATGTTCCGGCCAAAGTCCAGACGCATCGAGGAACGAGAGCATCTGGTGACAGTCACAGCCATCATGGCGCGATTGTCTCCAACAAGAGCGCCCAAGCGATCGCAGGCACAAGTTCTTGCGGCTCAAACACTCTCATGCCCGTCTCTCCAGACATTGCGCCAGCCAAGACAAATGATACAAGGTCTGGACATAAGAACAGACGTTCGGTATCGCCAGGACCCAGCAAGGACAGCAAGGACAGCAAGGACAGCAAGGACAGCAAGGACAGCAAGGACAGCAAGGACAGCAAGGACAGCAATGGTGGGAAAACAAAACACGTATCCCTGAAGAATTCAGTTGATGACGAGGCGCAAGGTAAGACTTTACAATCTCATAAATCCTCAGACCCTTCGATTTCAAAAACAAAACAAAACAATTCTATACCTTTGGTCAACTGTCCTAGCAGAAATATTTCTATTGGGAAATCATTGGCATCTAGCAGTAGGCACACAGTCAAGTACGCTGATACATCCCGATCTTCAACTCTGCACAATTCCAAAGCATTAGGGTCTCCCTGTTCAGCCATGCCACAATATGCCTGGGGTGACACTACGCGCACCATTGTGCCTTGCGCGACTGTTTCGTCAACTCATGGAGCATCACGTCCAACTGCCTCCCATCGCCCATCAACAGCTGCTGAATCGTCTCAGAGTCTAAGCTTCAACTGGGGTGACAATACACGGAGCATAATACCAGTCAAAGATCAAACACCCTGGTCGAATTTTCAAGCATGATCGTCCTCTAATTGCCCGAAAGAGGGCTGTACTTGACTATGAGGATATGTTTATATACTTTATAGTCACATGAAATCAGACTCTCAACTTCACCATCATGAGCTTCCCTCGCGGCCGCTACCAATACTTGTCATGACTGCAGTGTCCCTGACCTAAGCTATCTTTACTAACTTTCATCAGTTGATGATCGGAGGAAACAATTGAGGAGGGACAAAAAGACAAAACGTAGGCTCTTGAGAAATCTATGTTATCTTGTAGCGCGCGATGTTTTCGACAAAATTCTACCTCCACCAACATATCCACGAGCACTTACTAGCATATCTCAAAGCCGAGTTCAAGGAGTCCTCCTACCTCCTAATCCCAGGATAAGGATACCAATTGATTGGAGCGGCGGTCAGTCTATGTCATTCCAGAGTAACGTGCGCTCGGATTCGGTACCAGCACCGCCTCCCCCGATGTCACCAACAGGTAGCGAGATTGACTATTTCAGCGACAGTGAGTCGGAGCCACAGTGGACTGAGAGTCAAAGTGAGACGGAGGACGAGGAACCAAGCTTAAGGAGCCACGGCCCCGGTTCTGTGGACTATTACGGAGCCTCCGACGATGCCCCAGTTACTGGTTCACTGCCAGCAAAAGATGCGAAACGCGGGCAGAGTACGAAAGATCAAAAAACGTTGTCTAGGAAAACACAGCGACATAGTAGCTGGCGTAAAGTCGATGCTTCCCACCGTCGAATGAAAGGAACACGACAAAGAAGGCCAAAATATGGTTGGGGGTGGGATATTGTAGGTCGTTTTCTACTGGGACATAGGTCTAAATCTAAATATCACCCGAAAACTAAGCCCTCAACCCGGTCGAAACATTACGGCAAAGCGAACGATACACAGAAGGCCCATGTAAAGAAAAGAGTAAAAGTGGTCGATACGCATATCAACGGGCCAGGAACACCTAAAAGGCCATCCGTGTCATCATCCTCATCTTCTGTGCCATCCTTAGCCCTTGCAGTAACGGCATCTCCTGTACCATCTTCGACAGTATCGTCATCTTCTGTGCAACCGCCTCCTCAACCGTCGTCTTCTACTCAGCCATCGTCCTCTTCTCAACCATCATCTTCTTCTGAACCATCATCTTCTTCTGAACCATCGTCTTCTTCTGAACCATCATCCTCTCCTCGACCACCATCTTCTCCTCAACCATTATCTACACCGTCACCACCACTTGCGCACTCATCATCTCCGCAGCCACTGGCTCTAATATCATTGGCCCCTTTACCCTCGTCGACGACATCATCATCTTCCATGCCATTAATTCCTGTGCAGCCATCATCTCCTGTACATCCATCATCTCCTGTACATCCATCATCTCCTGTACAGCCATCATCTCCTGTACAGCCATCATCTCCTGTACAGCCATCATCTCCTGTACAGCCATCATCTCCTGTACAGCCATCATCTCCACAAAAGCCTACTACTCTGCGACCCGCACGACCACCACCTAACTTACCACTATCTGCGACATCATCTTCTGCCCGTTCAAATCCTGTACACTCTTCAACTACCCGGACGTCAATTTCGCGACCGCTGCCTTCACCATCACAGATATCTATTGCATCGCTATTTTATTCATCTTCTAACGTGAACCCATCTTCTGACGTTTTACCATCTCCTGTGCTACCACTATTATCTCCTGCCTTGCCGTCGTCTGTGAATCCGATATCATCTCCTGCCTTATCTTCATCTACTGAATCATCATCATCCTCTGAAGAATCTTCATCTTCCGAAGAGGAGTCGTCGTCGTCGGAAGAATCATCGTCTTCTGAGGATTCTTCATCGTCGGAAGAATCATCATCTTCTGAGGAGTCTTCATCTGATGAGTCATCGGCAACAGTGGCATCAATGGTGGCATTTGTGCGAGCGAGAAAGCGCCGACAAGAAGACAATGAGGAACACGCTCATCCCAAGCGGGCTCGAAGTGAAGCATCAAGAAAGCGCAGGCCGGACCCAGATGACTTTGAGCTTTGGCAGCCACGGCGCAAGCGAAGTCGACGAGATAGCCGCAAGAGAAAGAGAGGAAGCGACTCAGATGAGCCAGAGACAGACCGACAGAAGCGGGCTCACCGCGCTGATTCGCGAAAGAGAAAGTTGGATACTGACCAAGATGAGTCAGAGACGGACGGACGAAAGCGTTTTCGCCGTGACGATAGTCGGAAGAGAAAGCGTGCGACTGACTCAGATGAAATAGACACTGATCGACAGAAACGCACTCGTAGTGATTCTCAAAAGAGAAAACGTCCAAGTGACCGAGACGAATCAGAGTCAGATCGCTCTCGGAACAAGCGTACTCGACGCCCAAGACTCGTGTAAGCGTAGAACAGATGAGGTTGATTTAATGTCAAGTTATGCTTGAATTTGCCTGGCCGAGGTATGGCTGGGAAAATTATATATCTGCCTCCGGCATCATATCGGCACAATGTAATACAGTTCACGCTCGTGCATGATACTAAAATGTAGTATTGTCAAATGGTCGTCAATTCATATCTGACTATGTATTTGCTCGGCTCACTCTCCTTTCAAGTGACCTCGCAATGCAATGCCATATCTTGTTATATGGTGCAAAATTCCCATCCGCACACCCTTGATTCATCAAACAGAAAAACGCCAGTTCCATCGCTCTAGTAATTGCTCAAATTGCAAAGCCAGGAATGATTGTTGTGAAATCTTTATGCGGCAGCATCCTTGGGAGGACCCGACAGGTTGTCCTTGCCTTGGCGGCCGACCTTGCTTAGGTCAACGTCACCGGAGCTGGCGGGCTCACGCAGGCCGGAAATTGAGCCGGCACCGGTCGAGATGTCGGTCTCAGTGCGGCCGGAGCCAACATTGACAGTGGAGGGATCAGCCGAGTTCCAGTCAGACTTGACAGGGGGGTCTTCGGGCTTAGGCAGGTTGGCCTGAACCTCGGCGATCTTGTCGGCCTTGGACTGAGTCATTGTGATGGATGCTGGGAATCAGGTTAGTAAAGAGTATGTTGAGATAAGGGGCAACTCGGATGGCATGGCAGGCACTTCTTGCTAGACCCTTTGACATGCCAATGGCTTTTGCCAATAGATTGATGACATGTGATAGAACAAGGATCTAGTTGAGATATTCAAACCTGGCCATTCCATTTCTATGCCATAGGGAGAGAAGGCGAACGAAGCAGGCTGAGACTTACTGGTTGAGGTATAGGTTTGTTATGTAGATTTGTGGTGTTAGACCGTAGTCTTTTTTTCGTGGATGGATGGAGTGATGTGTGTATTTGATTGAATTGGTGATGGAATGAATGAAGAGAACAAAAGATTGTTTGCTCTTGAACATTTCGAAGCTTTAATACACAAGAGCTGTTGAGGCTCTGGGCGGGTATCTGCCTTAGGAACTAAAGCTCCGGATCATGGTGACATCACGTTAGAGGGGCAGTAGTACTGACGTCAATTATGGTGGGGCTCACGCGACAATTCCAGGTACCATATCTAGCATATACCAAAGTGCAACAATATGTGGCTCCAACTGCAAAGAGGGGACTTGACAGTGGTTTATTGCAATAGAATCACAAAGAAACGGTGGCATTTCGGAGTCGATCGAGTCGATTCATCGAAAGGATCGACCGAAACCGACGTAATTGGTGGAGGACATCATATTGCATCCCTGTAATTCGTATGTAATACGGCTGCATTTATGATATCGGCTGTCTAATGGCGTACTATGTAGCAGCTTGGCGGCGGTAGCAGAGCAACAGCAGCCCCCCAATTGTTTGACACATTTGACTATGCATTATCCTAGCATGAGGATCTTGGTTTGTCACAGTCAGTAGTCTTGCATGTCTGCCCAACTGCCATCGTTGAAAGAAGGATTACAGCCTTTGTAAATAATAAATTCATTAGTTGTCCTTGACACCCCAACGCCCAGCCTGCGGCCGCGTTGCATGATTCGTGAAGTCCGTTTTATTCCGTCCTGTTGTGGTGCATGGAACCAACCTACAACCTACAACCCGCAATCTGCAAACTGCATCATCTCGAGACCTAGTCTCAGCCTAGCCGTTTGTCCGACTCAGCCGAGGTGGCTGGTTCGTCCGGGTTTAGGTAATTGGCATCCTCGGCTGCTTCATACTCGGAAATCAAGTCCGTTACAACCTGTCTGGCTTCATCGAATTCAGCCAAACTTTCAGAGAATGGTGCCGTCTTCTTGTAGCCCTCCATGAATGCATTTCGCTTGCGCATTCCATCGTATTGACGGACAATGCGTTTGAAAAGCTGTGAAGAGTGTCAATTACACGAAGCAAATCAGGCGTGATGCTGCAAAATGCACTTACTGTGGCAATACTGGTGTGGTTTGCCAGCATGAGACCACTGACACGGTGGCTCATGGGCACGTAGGGACTTCTTTTTGTCAATGCCACCTGGATGCTAGCTGGACCCCAGGGGATAAAGGTTGCCAATCTTCGCTCCCTGATGCGCAAAAGACTCTTGTGTACATCTGTTGGGTCAACCTCGCCTTGAATGACGTTCAGAATTGAAATGTAGCAGCTCTTCTTCCCGGGCACCGTTGACACCATGCGGTTCTTTGGCTGGAGTAGTCTTCTCATGACATCCAAGACTGTGGTCTTTCGTACCGTCTTGGCTTGTTCGACTTGATCTCCGGTAAATGGCGTGTAGGCCGTCATGAGGAAGTGGCACCTTGGTGTTGGGATCAAAGACGCCAATATGCTGACCAAGTCATTGTGCATGTAGCCCGGATATCGCAGTGTGGTTGTGCTTGCTGACATGACAGTCGAAACTAATTGGTTCGTTTGTTGGAAGGAGGGTTCTTGTACATGTAGTCGGTCTGCTGCAATGGATGATAGAGCCCCATTATCTAGTACTACCACCGAGTCGGCATTCTGGGTAAGCCTTCGCATAGACAAAAGACTGTTATACGGGTGTACAACAACGTCGCCGGAGTTTGTAGTGTCGGGAAAGACCGAATAGGTCTGTATGATTTTCTTCGGGAATCTGTCGTTCATTCTTTCGAGCAAGAAAGAGCCGAGACCTGATCCAGTACCACCAGCTATCGAGTGAAGCAGCATGAAGCCCTGGAAATTGTCAGATCGGTTCAAACAACCCCATTCAGAAATCAAAGCATACCTCTAGCGAGTCACTTCCGTCTGCCTCTCTGTCAATCATCTCCATAATCTCTTCGTGCACCGACTCGCCCGTTTGATAACCATCACCCCAATTGTTGCCGGCTCCTATGCCGCTCTTTCCAATGAAGAAGTTCTCTGGATTATAAATGTTCTTATATGGGCCGGTCTGGATGCTATTGAGGACTCTTGGCTCGAGATCGATCAGGACTGCTCTGGGGATGTATCTCGTGTCGTCGCTCTGGTAGTAGAAGACATCTTTGCGGTCACCGCCTTCTGTCGCAAAGTCTTCTAGGTTGCCATCTTGGTTAATGCCGTGTTCCTGGCATAGTTGCTGCCAGAATTGGCTGCCAACTATATGGTCGAAACGGTCAGTTTCCTCCCAAAAGTGCCTTGGACTTTGATGACGATGAGGTAGGTTTTTACTGACTGCTGTTACCGCACTGGCCGGCCTGGATTGTGATGATTTCCCTACATTCGTGGATTAGTCGATGCAACAAGAGATGAGCCGAGAAGCGATGAATGGGCCGTACCTGGGCATCACTACTGCTTTGAGGCGGACTGGAGTGGGAATCTATTTGGGTGTTTGCTCATGGAGTAGCAGCTCCCCATGCGTTATCAGAGCTATCAACCAGAACGCGCCCACCAAGCAAGCAACCATTGATCTTGTCGCGGGGCTGACTGCACGCGAAGCGCGTTCCCCAATGACGCTAGGGGAGGCAGGGTAGCGTTTAGCGGGGCAGCAGTGTCAATACAATTTGGCTTAGCGACAATCTCGAAATCCAGGGTTCACCAAGCCCGTTTAGTCCAACTCAGCTTTAACGACTTGACGTGACTTGAATTTCATGCTGTGCCGGTTCAAGCATTATACGTAAGGTAGTGCCGAATGTCATTATTGTTATATTCTTGTTATGGTAATGCCAGCGGTGTATAGGTGGTCGTTAGGTACGTGTATGATATACTGAGTAGTAAACTTTTGCTTTTCATGCTACATGTTTATGTGTAACTCTTCCAGATTCTCGGTGTCATTCTCCAACTTTTTTGATACAACAGCGGTTTTTGCAATACGTGCATTGAACGATGAACTGGTCTGTTTCCGAAAAACACTTATTACTAGTCGATGAGGCACCACAAAGTCGCTTCACTCTTTACACAATTTTCTCAAGAATGAAGCTTTGCAGAGAATCAATGGCAAGTTGATTCCACCTCACAGCCACGAATTTGACGCTATGCCACCTTGATGATGGTGACTCGATTTTGAATATCAATGGAAGTTTCTTTTTCCCGGCATTTGAAAGTATTCGTTTAAATCACTGCTTGAGAGGACTGGCCGATGAATTCCACCAAGGTCCAGGCGTGGCGTGTGTTCAGATCGAGGACGGTGGCTTGATCTCCGGCCCGTCCAAACGCCAATTGCCAGACCCCCGGAGGATGGTCTCAGCTTGGATGTCGAATAATAATCAAGACCACTCCCCTCAATGGATACATCGCGATGACCGAGGCTACGTGCAGCGTGGTTGATTGGCCGTTTCATCAATTGTGTAGTCTCCAAGACGACTTGCCCGCTCCCGCACATCCCCGGTGCATTTTCAGGGTCTTGTTGGGTGCTAATCTGGTAAGCTTTTAGTACAATTGCTTTTTGGTCTTGCTTGGTCCGGACCTGGACCCTTTGGTTATTAGCCGCTATGCAGCCCGCCTCGCTTCCACACAGAGAGCATTCGCATATATTATTCGCTACAGTCACTGCAGCCTCAGTCCGTCATGGTATATATTCTGTTAATCCCGTTGAGATACTGAAACAAATGTCCCTTTCGTCTATCCCTCACACTGATTTTGCCGCAATTATATATGATCACTTGCCCATATTGACGGCACCCCACATCCAATCAAACGTCGGCCTGCAAGAGACCAGGAACGGCGCTAATCGAAGATCGGGCCCCTGTATTGTGAGAGAGATAACAGCCGAAGGGCAGCGCAACTTTAAAATGGAGAGTGCCGCTCCCTACTTCACCAACAACATCTTTTACAACGGGTTTTCGTCCAGCAGGGAGACGGGGAAACGCTCGAGACCCGGCACCAGCAACGGCAACAGCGAGCGTCTCAACACCTCGACAACTCCCGCGCCCAAAGAACGCAAATCCTCGTTCGGCAGGCGGCGATCGTCGTCCCTAACCTCTCCTTCCAAGGGCAAACGCCGCCCGAGTTCTTCAGCAGCAGCAAATGGAGGCCAGTTTGTGAGCGACGACACAAAACCACCACCAATACCGATTCCCACGCTCTCGGCGTATACAAAGCTCGTAAAGGAGAACGAGGTTGCTGCATTGTCGCCCACGTCGCCAGACTCATTCTCGAGGATGCTCAGCCGGAATACACCTAGTTCCCAGAGTGGTTTTGGCAACATGGCTGGTGTCGCACCCCCGTCCTTTCCGCCACACCAAGGAAGCGTATCCGGACCGTCACTCCCTCAAGAGTCGAACATCATATACAGCCATTTGCAAGAGATTGCAAACAAGAGAATATCCACACTGGACTATCTACGAAAAGCGTATGTAACCAACGCTAAACAATATGTTGCACTGCTTGCCCTAGTGAGCTAGTCAATACTGTTTTGTTACCCCTTCTAACGTATGCATCTAGCCATGATGGACGAGTATATTGGTTCAATACCATGCTTTTTGACAAGCCCGATCTCGCGAGGATGCCATATTTCGATCCGCGAAGATTGGCGCGGCGGGCTGCGAATTACCTTTTGCTTGGGCTTTCCCTCCCGACAGTCATTGATCTGAATTCTTCGACGCCGCTTGAGTTTCTACGTTCCCTCCACATACTTCTTACTGAATTCGAGTCCTTTCAACAAATACATTCCGAAACTGGGACGAACGCATCATCCCTTTCAAGAGCAAGGCTACCACAAATGTTCCGCCGCGGTCCGGCAGGAAAAGGTCGTAGGACGAGCGCCGCCGGAGACATGAGCTTTTATAGCGAAATCAATGGCAGTGGCCACAGTGGTGGTGCCACACAGACGCCGAACTCGGTGATATCCTTTGGGCTTGGGAGCGAGGGGAACGATTTATTACCCGGCGAGGAGTACACTCATTTGCTCACGCCCTCACTCCCTTTTGACCCCGACTTTTTCGAGACCTTCGCAACCTTGTGTGACATGCTCATTGACTGCTACTCAAAGCTCATGTCTCTGCTACCCAGTCCCCGCGAATGCACGCCCACGATCGCCGAGTTATTCACTAAGGTTGATGGCAAGGTGCGGAAGATCATTATCCAGGGCGTGGTCAAAGAATTCGAAGATACCAGCAGGGCCACTCTCAAACAAGAAGTGAGCAACGTGGGGAAGGTTGTCTTAGGTGGCCTAATGTAATGCGGCTAAGGTGAAAACGTCGCCGGATATTCGCGTCAGAAGTGGCACGCCATTAATACAGTAGGAAGGCAACGGCGAGAGCTGTGATGAGCATTTCGGGAGGTTGTCTTTGATGTCTCTGGTTTGGCGGCGTTACGGAGTTGAGAGCACTTGAAGGGATGATACCATGAAATTTTTATGTCCTCTAATGAAAACAAAAAAAAACACCAGTTCATCATTCCATCGAACCGGATAGTATGGCAAGACAACGGCATCCTAATTTTTAATCTAGAATCAGAACTTGATTACTATTTGTCACGGCAAGAAATACTAAAAGCAGTGTGAAATGATGGAGCTCAAGAGTCAGCACTTGCTGGACAAATGATCAAAAGTCTACTGTATAATGTTCATCAGATACCATAACGCATTTTAGGTCGCTCAAGGGCTCGCCCGTAGGTCCGCCTCAGTGCTTGACTCTAATATCGTATATCATCACCTGAACAGTGTTGGGATTGTCAGAATTTGGAAAAGGACGCCTAGACGACAGGCCCGACATCATGAGACTTCCCACGAAGCCCAGAGTGTAAAGTGAAAGAAAACGATGTCTGCCTGGCGACTAGATGTCCAGAAATCCAAGAAGACGGTGACAACAGCTCCCCTCGCACCAAGAGTGAGCCCCATCGAGTAACCTTTGCTCCGGAAGGAGCTCTGGCAATCGCATAACTATCAATCTCGACGAAAAGTGCCGCAACCCGTCCCTAGGGCACACATTTCAGCCCACGACCAAGAAATCATCACACACACCTCCCCAGGCTCTAGTCTCAACCGGCCGCACCAAAACTGCGGACTCATATCTTCATCTCGTAGCAGCTGAGGACGACTGAAGAGAAAAGAAATAGGGTGAATGTGCAGATGTAGCGATAACCTGGGGCGAGCTAAAGCGGTGGAAGGGCAGTAGGGAGGGCATGAGCCGCTGTGCTTTTATGGCGGCGCGTTTCCGCTATTCTCTGGAAAAGATTCCAGAGATGTCCGGGGACTTTCTCCCAAAGCTGAAGTGGACGAGAGAGATCACCGCAATGGCAATCTCTCTGTTGTAGCTTCGATGGCGATTTTTCGGGCGAGGGGAAACTGTTGTGAGGAAGAAAGGAAAAAGATAGTTAGACGAGCGAGGTCAGATTTTTTTTTATTTCATGTTGCCAGTGGATGGAGCTTTGGGTGTGGGGCTATTGGCAAAGCTTCGGGGTGGGACACGCCGGGTCGCAAGTGCTGCTTGCTCTGTCATGGTAGGCGACAGGCGCTGAAAGCACGGGGTGGATTTAGCAGCACCTTTTGGTCGCCGGGAAAAATCCGACTACCTAGAGCTCAATTACATTTGGAGCTACAGTCGAAAGCGCGACGGGCGACGGCATTCAGACTCTTTGGCCCAACAACAATCATTGCAATCATTCATACAGATCAGCGTTTGCATCGCGGCAGAGTTCGTTAAGTTGCCAAGGTCTAAACCATCAACCACTCAGAAGATAAATTTTTTTTGGACTACGAGCATCTTCACCGACCGCGAACGAACTCTCAACATGTCGGGCCTTTTTGGCAGCAGCGCCACGCCGGCAGCAACAACATCCAACACTCAAGGAGATCTCTCCAAGGATGTCGAGGTTTCTCAACCCCCAGAGGATACCGTCACCGATCTTGCCTTCTCTAGCGCCGCAGACTTGCTTGCTGTCCCCAGCTGGGACAAGAAGGTGCGCATATACGAGATCAATGCTCAAGGCCAGAGCCAAGGCAAGCACATGTACGAGCATGAGGGTCCTGTGTTCAGTGTGGATTGGTCAAAGGTAGGATGCGCAATACACTATCAAGCTCTGGAAACCAGCACTAATCCAACATGCCATGATAGGATGGAACCAAGCTTGTTTCAGCAGGCGCGGACAAGAAGGCCATGCTCTGCGATGTAGCCACGGCCCAGCAAACCCAGATCGCTGCTCATGACCAACCCATCAAGTGCGCCCGCTTCTTCGAATCGCCGCAGTCCAATAGCTCCATGGTTGTAACAGGTTCTTGGGACAAGACCATCAAGTACTGGGACTTGCGAAGCGCCACGCCAGTTGGTACTGTCACCGCACAGGAGCGGGTGTATACCATGGACGTTCGCAACAACCTGCTTGTCGTGGGCACTGCCGACCGATACATCAATGTTATCAACCTATCGGATCCCCTCAAATTCTACAAGACCCTGCAGAGCCCACTTAAGTGGCAGACACGCGTAGTCAGTTGCTTTACTGACGCCTCTGGCTTTGCCATTGGCTCCATCGAAGGGCGTTGTGCGATTCAGTACGTTGAAGAAAAGGATGCCACTAGCAATTTCTCCTTCAAGTGTCATCGCGACCCGCCACAGGGCAATGTCACCAACGTCTACTCTGTCAACGACATCTCCTTCCACCCCCAACATGGCACATTTAGCACTGCTGGTAGTGACGGCACCTTCCACTTCTGGGACAAGGATGCCAAACATCGGCTCAAAGGATACCCGTCTGTTGGAGGAAGCATCGTTGCCACTACCTTTAACGCAAACGGCAACATTTTTGCCTATGCCGTCGGCTATGACTGGAGCAAGGGACACCAAGGCAATCAACAAAACTATCCGAACAAGATCATGCTCCATCCTATTCAAGGCGAGGAGTGTAAACCGCGACCCAATCCTAAGAAGCGTTAGGAACAACCACGAACGGGACTCGTATCAAAACAGCAGCAACCTCAAAAAGTGGGGGACAAGAAAAAAGAAGGACCTTAGAAACCCCGGAATGAAGAAGCGAGAAAGATCTGTTGTTTTCTGTTTTGGAGGCATCCAAAGGTACAACAGTAGCTGGTCCTCGTCATCTAGCAACTCTTGAGCGGAAGGAAGGGCCCCCAATACCGGATGATTGCACAAATCAAATGCCAGTGACTGGATCAAGTAACGCTACACGGTAAAAGGTAATGGTGAAATCCGAGGGTAATTCTAATGTGGTGTTTCATGGATGGCAGATATCAAGTGACCCGGTGCCAATCTGTGCGTTTCGCTTGGCAGCTATAAGATGGCACGACAACTTTGTAGGCAGTTTTTTTCAGCGAAGTCTTGAACCGTCAATCAAGCAAATGTCGGCGAGGAGACTGAGAGGCAAAATATGCTTCATTGCGTTTATTCATTACCGGTATGGCGTTCGGACAATACACTGCTGGTAGATCATAGGTAGCATTAAAAACGGATTTTTTTCTCATGGTTATCTTTTCCATATTCTCATGACTGACAATCTTGACGTTCAAAAGTACCACTAATCAAACCGATACATTAAAGGTTCGTTCTCCAAGAAATATGACCATTACCAAATGCAACGCGGCTCTTTGGCATGTTGAGGCCCTGGTTATTCCTATTGAATCTAGGTTTGAGTGAATGTCTGCGTGCCTTGGTCAGTAATCCTAGGCATTTACGCTTGTTCGTGGTATAAGTGATGCTCGACTAAGCAATGACAAGAACACTTGTACAAGCGATTATTTTGTGTATTGACTCATTATTAATGCTTCATCGCCACTAACATTATAATCTTCATGGGCGATAGAATATTTTGAAAGCCATCGGTCCAAGCTGGCGTATTCTCTGCTCGCAGTGGTCATGAGGATACCTGATCATTGTAAATGGTTCATATTTTTCAAGAAATCTACCGCAGTATAAAGGAAACAAAACACGCTGGTTCAGACGTTCTACGCTAATTCGCAATCCTTGCAAGCAAATCTTTCTTGGCCGTCGCCACAAACTCGGCGACATCTACATTGCCAATCTTGGAGACTCTCTCGTTGATCTCGTGCTCAATCTTCTTGAAGTCGCGACCGACACCCTCGGCCCGCCACTCGTAGCAATCGCCGATGAAGCGGCTGCTTTGTACCAGCCAGTGCGAGCGTTCCCGGCGCACTTCGTCAAAGGCCGCAAAGACGGCCTCGAGCTGGCTACGATCCTGCACACTGTGGTCTGCAAGTAGCTCGGCCATGACCAAGCTGTCCTCTACGCAGAAGCCGGCGCCGGCGCCGTGGTGCGGCGATGTGGCGTGGGCTGCGTCGCCAGTAACACAGATGCGGCCCTTGTAGAAGTGAGGCACCGGGTTGGCACCAGTGTCAAAAATTGCCCACTAAATTCCGTGTCAGCCTCGTTACTTTGGGCGCATTAATCGCCGTTCGTATCAGAATAGACATACCACGTCGAGTTCCTTGTTGGTGAGCTTGAGAAGGCTCGTAACATTGTGCCCATAGCCCTTGAAGTCGCGCAAGGCATCTTCCTGTTTGGCCCGCCTTGTCAATCTCTCAAAGTCGGGCCATTCATCCTCCGTGGTCCGGAATGCCACAATGTTGAGCTGCTTGCCGCCAGCCACGGGGAAGGTCAGTACATGGCCGTTGGGGCCCATCTATTGAAGCGTCAGTTGCCATGATCAGAGACGTACGCAAACTAAATTCGACACCACGTACAAACATGTAAGAGTTCTGTGCCCGCTCTTCACCAATAGCCTCGATTGCCTTCTCCATCGGCACGAGGCCACGATATGCGTACTTGTGCGTATAAGACGGGTGCGCCGAGGGGTGATCTTCGCCAACAATAATCTGCCGCACGCGGGACTTGATGCCGTCACATCCAATGACGGCATCTGCGGTGGCCTTGGAACCATCCTTGAACGACATGACCAACTTTCCGTCTTCGCCTTCCTCAATCTGCTGCAGTCGTTTGCCAAAGTGGGCCTTGTCCGCCGGCAGCAGCTTGACCAGTTCATCAAGATAGTGGGCGCGGTGGACGCCATTCTGACCGAGGCTGGTGCGGATGGTAAAAGCGACCTCGCCGTCGTGGCCCTCGGTGCCATCTATGTAGTCGAACCAAACGTCCCGCTTGGATTCCCAACCGTTACCCGTGCACACGCGCTGAAAGGCCTCGTAGACACCCGGATGGATGGACTTCATGGCCTGCACGGCATTGGGGCTAAAGGAGACGCCTGCGCCAATCTCGCCAAAGTGTGCTGCGCTTTCATACAGCGTAAATGGGATCTCGCGGCGGTGCAGCGCAATCGCCAACGTCAGACCGGCGATGCCGCCACCAATGATGGCCAATTCAAAGTCTTTGGACGGTGACATGGCTTTTTTTGGAATGATGCTGGTACAATTTCACAAAACAATGGATAAGTAGGTATATGTTCTAATGATTGATTTACAATGTCTCTTGTCTTGGCTGTTTTGGAGAAGGGATGCGGGCCTGCCTCCTATATATGGGTAATTCGTGGGTATACATCTCCTCAGGATTTGTCCGTGTACTACTATTACCGACTATTTTCACCCCGGTACTCGGCTCGGCTCCGGTGGGCAAGGAACCAGGGGGTTTTGACCATCGACAAAATGTATCTCGCCCTACGAGGCCGTTACTCGCATCACTACTTTGAAGAGCAACTCGAGGTGTCCAATTACATACATGACGTAAGTAAAAGGCGGATACTACAATTGCGCCGGAGCGTCTTACAGCGTGAGTTGCTTAGGGCCGGATTTCCCTATAGTGGAGATATCTTGGTATGGGATGGCTAGAGAACTCGGCAGTTGGTCACCGCGTGACCCAATTTCCATTCATGCGGAGTCTCGAAGCGTATGGCCAAGGACAAGAGTAAATTCATCACGCCTCCCGGGAGACACTTTTGCAGAAGACGTTCCGGTCCGAAGTGACGTTTTCGCGATTTTCTAATTGTCCGCCTTTACGCGTGGTAAGCGACTCGCTGGACGCGCTGTAAGCAACTTGCTGTCTGCTCGCCATGCTCAAGGAACATTGCGACTCTGGGTGCATTCCGGCCTGCTCGGGTAATCCGCGCCTCAGTCATGGCGCACTGCGCAGAGCCCAAAGCCCCAGGGCATGGTGCTTGGATATGGTCTACCGAAGATGCGAAAGCGCCGAATTAGCCACCGCCCTTCTATGATGGGCCAATCCGGCTGGGGTAAATACTAATAATGGGCTTTGTCAATACTAAATCCGGCGTATGATGGGTGGTGTGGATCCCCGGCCGTTGGAGGTTTGCGCCTTACTCCGCGTTTTATAAATCCGATCCGATGGCTCAAAGGAGTAAGGACACCCGATCTGAAGGCCAGAGACACGGAACAAGGAGTCGAAACAAGCTTTTTTCCTGTGCTGCAAATTTAATCATCGGAACATATTGGCTGTACAAAACTGTTTGTATTTGGATCCAGACACAGAAATCATTACCTGGTCGTGGCTTACATAATGTATAAGAAATGGCAATGACAGACCAGTGGTAATATGTATCTCGACGTCCTCGGCAGCAGTGTGGAAAATCAAACCGAGTCAATCAGACCAACTACCGGATTGAAGCAGCTCTCTACTGATAGCCAAGTCCATTATACCTAAATAAGCACAGCCAAGATCAATGGCATGTTCACGCGACAGACACTACAAAAGTAGTGCCCATCGGCGTGATCGACTTCTCACGCGGGGAATGGGTGGATTGTAGATCTTTTCTCCGCGTACCACGAATATATAGTAGCTGATTGTCCCGGTGTCCTTGGCGCGTACTTGTCACATACACTGCATCTGTCAAGATTTGATTGGCTTTGGCAACCAGGCACAGGTGAACAGCTGGACACAGCAGCCATGCCGACCTAGTTTCGGTGAGAACCAATCGGCCGTTAATAAACATGAGTTCGAGCTTGAAAAGTGAGCCCATCTTATATCGCGTCCTAACATTTGTCCATTATCCTTGGAAATGCATCGCTCTTCGCTAATCATTACACGTCTGACATCTACAGTTCAGCCTCTGCCAAGTTAGACTCAAAGTTGGCATCGATAAAGGGCACATTGGCATCTTTGTAAAAATCAGTATAACATCAATATTTCATGGGATCATGGACACTTACCACCCCAATCCTTGTCAGCCAAAGCCTCCTGGGCAACCGTGGGAAGCGAGTCCCAGGCGATGAGCGGCTGCGTGCCACCAACCGTGTCGGTGAAGCCCAGAGAGTGGTCGAGAATGGCGTACGCGGTGTAGTACTTGATCAAAGGAGAGTCGCCGCTCAGGTCCGGGTCCGTCGACGTGACGTAGTCACCGTGGTAAGACGCGGCAACGCCCAACAGAGTGGCATCAGATGTGTCATCAGATAGCCAGACCACAATGTCCTCCCAATCATAGCGGTGGCCAACTCCCACGAGTGATTCGAGCCATGATGGCTCATCCTTGGGCCAGTACCAACTGTACATGATGGCAAAGGCGTCATTGTAAGACTCGGCACGAGCGTAAATCTGGCCAGTGCTGGAGTCGCAGTCGCCACTGGGATCACCCGACGGGGCCAAGCCAGCACTTTGGTCATCATGATTAACAAGAGTCCCAGAATCGTGACCATTTTGGTGCGACATACCTGGTGTTGCCATCCTCGTCAACGGCCGGGAATGGCACGCAGCCGTCAACGACGTAAAGCGTGGGCTTCCACTTCAACATGAGCTCGCCGATGGTGGTGTCTGGGACGGTCTCGTCAAAGCCGACGACGGCATCATGATCGATATCAGCACGCTTGACGCTCTGAGGGGCGGCCAGAGCTGCACTAACAAGTGCCAGCAAAGAGACCTTGGCAAGCATGTTGAACTTGTGCGTGCGACGTCCTTGGCTTGGGAGGAGAGTCCTGTGTCTGAGTCGCGTGTGCAACTTGCAGTAATGGGAGGAGAGTACGGGGTATGCCTGTCTCCTGATTATATATACTTGTCAAGCTTACTGCTGTTACAACGGCTTGGAGACGGCGTGGTGAGAGCTCGATATGGCATTGGTTCGTCGCTGTTCAAAATTCCGCATTAATAGTGACCCATGTAGTTGTACATCCACGTGGGCACCACTACTCGCCAATCTCTTGTCCATCAGCCATTGCTCCAGGGGGGCAGCGGTGCACCCAGCGGTAGAGCGCGCTGGAATTGGCACAGCGCCGATCGGAATGTGCAGAATCTGGGAATCCTAGTACGCAAGTGGGTTGCGTATGCCCTCCCCGGCCGGCAGCGCATGTTTGTCACGCAGAATCACGGGCCAAGATCGTCACTGTCGATGGTCGCTTAACAGTTTTCCAGCTTCCCAGTACAGAGGGAACTGGGGGAACCAGGGGGGGATCGAGCCGCACTTCTTGGCACTCTGGAAATTAGGGAAGCCCCTTCGGGCGAATGAGACGGACACTACCGAGGGGCCCTAGCGACCTTTTCGAATCCGTCTCCGCGATCTGGTCGTCATCAGCAGCCAGGATTGTCATGGAAGATTCATGCGAAGTGCTGACTGTTCCAAGAAACAAACCCGATCTATCAGATGGCATATGCCATCAAAATCGATTCTCACTGGTGGTTTAAATTGAAACTGGATTATAGCCCCGGATAACAGCTCGCTAACCCACACCAAATTCTCCGTACCTCCATGGAACGGTAATCAATTAAATATAGTCCTTGCACTACGCTAACAATACCGGAAACGTTTGAACCGTCAAAATTTATGCTCAAGGTTTGTTTGTGGATCATAACTTTTTTTTTCTTCCTCACTTTTCAATGCCCAAGTGTCAATATCTATTATTTATTTGTCAAACTATTGCTTCACATCCTTTCTCCAGAAATCGCATTGACATTTTGTGGTTCTATGGTTCAGTAATCTGTAGGCCACAGAGCTTTGTGGTTGAAGCCGTTTGTATCTGAGATTTATTTGACTCGTGGAAGTTCCTCGTAACGCTGCAAGGTACCTAGGTATGTAAAATTTATCGACTACATCTTATTAGCTCGAAAACACACTCTAAACCTATGTCATTGGGGGCGCGTCCGTATATACCTACCACTCTGTGTAGCAAGATTTACACTCTCAACCCACTCATCGCCATCAAACAATCCTCACGATGCGTCCCCGGATTTAGCCGCCTTTGCACGACTCCTTCCGAATGGTAGCCTGTGCAGCTGGTACCTCAGTATCCACCATTCAGATGGTCTAGTTTGCTGTGGATTTGGGGGGAATTGCTTAAATTGCTTTCGGAATTCTTGCCACGACAAGTCTTTATCGTTCTCCATCTGCTGTAGAAGCCGCATTCTGTAGCCGGAATATACCTTGCCCAACGCCTCTTTGATATTTCCAAGATTGAAGACAATTGCGTATGTGACGAAGCCCACGAGAGAAGCAGTAATCACAAAGGGAACTTTTGTGGCGCTTTCTGAAATATTGGGAATTGCCCAGAGTGCGGTACAGAAACCTAACGGCAGGTAGAATATGCTTACGTAGGTCAAAAGTTGCACATTTTGGCCAAGTCTTGTGGAAGACCGACTCTCCATGAGAGCGCTGGCATTGAAAAGGCCTTCACGCAAGCCTTGGACAGTGAGTATTTTGGACTGGAATTGTGTCCTCAAATCCCCTAAACTCTGCTCGAGTTCATCGACCTTCTTGTCTAATTCTTGAAGCCTCATGGCGTCTTGAGTCGGCGAGCTTGACAACGCCTGGAGTACAGGCTGAATCCGGCCTTTTCGAAACAGCCTTGATTGCTGGATATTGTCTTCAATAGTGGTTTGAAACTCGTTGAGACAGCCAAGAATCCAGAAATACAGTCGGGATCGGCTGAATGTCTCATCGTCGAAAAGTAATTTGGTATAAGCCTCTGGGTCCATGAAATCTTCGACAAGGAGGCTTGCAATATGGTCATTCAGCTTCCTCCAGCGCCGTTCAATCTCGTTGAGCGCATACACGATGAAAGATAACTCGGCAGTCTGCCGGCTCATGTGTGCTACTTCTCTCTCCGAACCTATCCCCAGGACCGCTTCATAGGAAGGGGGCAAAAAGTCAGAAGGACTCAAGACCAACATCGTCCAGTGAAGGTTGCGTTTCTGGTGCAAAGGGGTATCATGATCGGATTCCTGTTGAATGCGTTCGGCAGTCGCAACGATTGTGAATGAACTCTTCCGAAAAGCGTGCCCATCGTGGTCACTTTCGCCGCTGTTGTCATCTCGTGGTGGCTTGCTATGAAGATAACCGATTCTTAACTTCTTCTCCTTACTTGCTTTCAATATCCTCTTGATGTTATACTCGGGTAAGTTCTCGAAGAAAGTCGTGTGAAAGGGGGCATTTGGATCAGCATAGGGATTTGTAGTTTTGCTACCACCTATTCGTCCGTTTGATAGGTGCAGGTTGGTCGCTCTGCGTACCGGATCGTTGTAGGCCTCGCGATCGAACACAAGAAAGGGGAAGTGTCGATCCTCTCCTGTTTCCTGGGAAGCAAAGGGCAAGCCCTGGCAGAGGATAATTCTTTGCCAGGGTGCACCACCTTGTCTTGGTTTGGTTTGGCACAACAATGCAAACCTGGTGATTAGGGGCTCAACTTTAGCTCGCCAATCTAAAGAACTACCCTTGGAATTGCGGAAAACTTCATAGCCCTGGTCATCACCAACTCCAGAACCCAGGCCCCCTATGTCGTACTCCAGGTGGAGAGCTGGTGTCGAGGGATTGATGTCCCAGACAATCATTCGACAAAATATTCGGAAATCTTCCCCAAAAAATGCATTCAAAGACTGGACCTTAGATTGCGCCATGTGTCGAAGAGTTTGCAAATCGCTGCCAATCTCAGCTCTACATTCGAACTGATCTTTCTGGATCTGCCAGTGGAAATCAAACGGAAGTTGAATCCTGCCGTCCGGCGGAATGAAACGAGCTACTTCCAGAGGACCAGCAGCAGCGACAGTAATTTCCGCATCATAGCTTGGTGGGAGATCAGGTTGTCTGTAAGGGTAGTACAGTATCCCATGGTCGGGCCATTGGTGTAGAGACTGTGAAATCGAGTGGTAGATATATCTCTCTGCTTCTTGAAGTTGGAAATGCCGGAATCCCAGCTTTCGTTCGTCTGGAAGTAAAAGTTCCCATTGTTTTCGCATATGCTTTTCTCGTGTAGCTTGGTGAGCTCCATGGGAGGCTTCTCCTTGATTGTGACTTTGTGCCATCCTCATTCGATGCCGTCAGATGCTCATTAAATCTTGCTGTGGTCGCGATTTGGATCCATTGCTGCCAACGTGTACGTATCAATTGTGAAGGATTTGACGCGTCGGTCAGACGGGCTGTGTGATGCATTTATCAGGTGTACCCATGTAGTCTCGCTGCCTGTCTACCAGGTCCCTTTCGAGTAATGTAATCTTTCTGGGCTCTATGTTGGCTTTGCATATTGGCTGTTGTTGGCGGGGTAAATCTGCTTGATCAATATCAGGGTTACAAGGTAGCTCCCAGAAAGACGCTATACCAAATTTGCAGCACAACTTGCAGGAACTCATTCAATTCAAGAATCAGACTTATTTATGGCAGCAACTCGGTCTATCTATATTCACTGGTCGGTCTGAGTGGCAGGTTTGCGGTCGTATAGGCCATGTCGACCATGCGAAGTGTATCCGTGCTCTCCTCACCGTTGACCCAATGGCTTGGTTGGCGGCCGCGAGTCTTGTTCACAAACTGCTCCAACTGATAGCGATAGGTGGACCAATATACTTCGCCGTCCTGATCGATTCCACCTTCGCGGAAGTTGTAGAACTTCAGCGTTCTGGTCTTCTTCCATGACCTGACAACACTATTGACGTCGCCAGTCTTGCGGATGGCAAACTCGTCGTCCACTTGAATGAAATGATACAGATGTGGCGCGACGAAGTTGATAAACTTCACCCTACGCGTCCGTGCCACCTCATGTCCCTCTGATACATCAACTCCAGCGTCTGCGGCAGGAATAAGAACGGGTCGGTGCTGCACTTCAACAGACGGCCAGAATTTCCCAAGCAGCGGTGCCTGTAAGTCACCGTTCATATCACCTACTGCCTCTCCAGGAAAGTGATACTTGACGCGAAAGCCCCGATCGCACCGCGAATCATATGGGCTTCGATCGACAATGGCCTCCTCACAGGACTCGGCTAAACCGCCAAAAATCCGAACGAGCGCACTCGAGGTATAACACCCCAAATCCATCAGAGCTCCGCCGGCCAACTCATACCGGAAACGAATGTTATCATTCTTGAACATTCCCCTTGGCGCCCCGAGATATGCTTCCGCTTTAACCACATCCTGCGGTGAGACGAAGTCCATGAACTTAGTCCAGGCTGGGTGAAAAAGATAGTGAACAGCCTCCAACAGCACTGGCGCAGCGGGCCCTTGACTGGGTGAGATGGCATCATGATGATAGATGGATTCGCATTCTGTCGTGTTGTTGAAGCATGGCTTTTCGACAAGCACATGCTTGCCCGCCTTTAAGGCCTTCAATGACCACTCGTAATGAAGACCACAAGGGAGTGGTATATATACGCAGTCAATGTTTGGGTCGTCAAGGATGTCTGCAAATAACGAAGCTCAGTCAATTCGCCATGGCTCTCTTGGGGAGTATTGTAGCACACACCTTGGTAAGATGTCTTTACCTCAGGGATGCCATATTTCTTGGCATACGCCGTCGCCCTCTCGCGATCTCGCGCAGCCACAGCCTGAATGATCACGTCGGGGTGCGTTTTCGCCGGGATAATGATGGCCAACGGACTGAAAATAAGTCAATGCGGTGTTCAGAAGCAGTAAGTAGTCACAAAGCAAGGTGAAAGTATTACGCAATGTCGGCAGCCCCTAGGATTCCAAATCTGAGCGGATTGTCATTCTTCCTGACTATTGGAGGGTTTGCGAGTTGCCAATTTCGGTGGAGCAATCCAACAAGAGACGCCATTGTTGTGAAGTCGTTCGTGCGGCAAATTCAAGTCGTCTTAGGCTCTCCAAGAAGTCTGTTTCTTTGTAGGAGTAACTGGAGGTTGGAAACGATAAGCTGCATTTTGGTGACTTAGCAAGTGGCGGCGAAGGTGGGAGGGTGGGAGCATAACGCAACAGATCTCCTGCATGTTGCTTACCGAAAGTGGCAAAAAAGCGCATCACTCCAGCAACTATCCTACATAGGATATTGACTGAGAACGACTAAAAATTGTCGACTCAACCAATGATCTGTTCATTCATAAGTGCCAGTACTCAAAGGTTTGTTGCACGATTATGGTAGAGGTTATTGACAGCCGCGCAGGTAATGATTTTATCTCGGCACCTATGTGTACATATTCCTTTCGGCCTGCAAGTAGTTGTAATCAAATCGGTTTGTGACGAGACGGCTTAGATTGAGATGCAGCAATTGTGGGATTTGGGACGCATCACTGTTTACTACTAAAATGGGGCTTGGCATTATACCTAGGCATTCATTTCAGCTCGATAAAGTGCCAACAGTTACATTCCTGGATACAGAGTCCGTTTTAAACTGTCGCAATAAAACTAGGCGAATCATATGAGTTGAGTCTTTTTCTTCTCAAGTGCTCATGACACTTTCCTTTGCGAACAATTTCGGGTTTGCCGTGTAATGAAATTTTTATTCAGAGTAGATACAATCCTTTCGTGATTATAGCGGTCGCTTGTTAACTGGGCACTCTAGATAGCTCCGCCCAGATAGTTCGACTAGTGGTTTAGTTTGATCCACTTGTGAAATGCTATAGAGTATCCTGCACGATTATAACGTTGATATAGGGTTTAATTTACATGTTCTCTGTGAACGAGAATTGTAACATTATTTTATATTCCAAGGTGAATGAATTACTTGCACTGGTTGGACACGCGTTCTGATTCGCAGATTTCTGTTAGCACTTGTGCCACAAATGCTCCCATCGATCCGAGACTGAAAGAAATTCTGCGCCTGTATTGGCACTGCCTACTTTCATGGTTATCCTTGATAGACGAGCCTGGTCTTCCAGATAATACGTGCCTCTTGATCTCGGAAGGTAGTTGCAAAATGCGTCAAAGTACTATCACAGGCTTCCTGTTGCACATATTATCCGCCAGGCGTGATTGATGACATTGAGTTCCATGTTGCTGCTTTTGATCAGGCATAGATGAATGCGTTCAATCAGGGCTAATAGGAACTCCGAGTGGTGACCCCATTAAAGTGTCACGAATGAGATAAGTTGTGTTTGATGTTCTTTATCACACTGTTACCGTGACTATCTCGCAATTCTTGGATCCCTGTCACAGCCACGCTGTGGGAGTGGCATCACAAAGATCTCCAATTCCAGATTCTAAGCTGCAAGGGGAATTCATCTTCACAGGTTTTAATTTGCAGCTGAGACCGATGCTGAGAAGTATTATGTAAAATCTTGTTGCCGAGCCAATCATCGTGTAAGAATCCCTGCCAAAAAGCAACACTGCATTGCACAGGGTCACGTTGTCGTACGACTTGTTGGAGAAATAAACGATGAGATTAGAAAGGTACTCCAAATTCTCCTCTTTGTCTTGTGGCATTTTGTTCTTTCCTTCTCATTCTTCTCATTGCTTCGCTCTGCACAATGATAAGTCAACGAGCTGCTGCCCACGAACTGCAGCAACGAGTACTAAACTTCGGATCTCACGCCCTTTCCATGGTTATAGAGATCATGCGTATGATTCGAAGAGATACCATTGGTATGATTAACATATTCTGACAGTGTCGGATTCAAATCCGGAGGTTGACGAGGCAAAGTGAGGACACAGCAAGAAGAAGGCTTGCTCTGTGTTATGGAATATCGTGTACATGAGCAAGGAACCCTGATCATTGATTTGATTGAATTGAGGCAAGTGCCTTTGAGTATCTCTTCAATATTTTGCAGACAATCAACAGCTATAGATTTCCAGTCGTCGAGCGTTCATAACCCTGTGTCCCTTGCAATGGACACCGGAGTGTATAGCTCTGACGTAGATTGAGCACCAATTGTGAGCTGGAGAATGGCACTCTGACTGCCCTGGTGTCAAGAGTTGCTGAAAGATGCTTGGACATGTCGTTAACAGTACGCGTGAATAGTAATTGAGCACTTTGATTAAACCTCTGAGTGTGTTGGACAAACTTGTCTTAATTCCTCGTGTCTTGGTCCGTGGATTACCTGTTGATCTTGCTTATTCCTTATGTCGGTACTGATCATGCATTTATCTTTAGAGAAACATGGTGACTCGTTAATCAAAGCACTCTCGATGGCTCCGAATGACCGGTTATATTCACAAAGCCATGATAAATGTGGGCAGATGGAACTATTTTCGTATAGTCAGTCTACCAAACGGGGCTGTCGATTTCACAATGTAAACCTAGTAGTGGCTACTGGTATGTAGGTAGGTACTGGGTACTAATGTAGTTGCCCATTAGCGCAGACATGTAAATTCCTATAGCTCTCTACAGATTGTGTATCTTGCCAGTATGGTGAAAACGTTCTGATTAGATTACTACCTACCTAGGTAGGCACTTACTTACTAAGTCAGAACTTCATGCTATACAGAGAAAGTACCAATATCGTGGCTTTGTTTGATCTCTTGAATAGAGGCATTTACCTCAACTGCTTTAATGTGCATGGCTACAATTTACCCCGCGCCACGGCATGTTCCTCCGCGCCCTGCACTTGACATACCCACTGCTGGGGCCATAAAAAAAGTTTTGGTGGGGGTGATATGCGCTCATCGCAGCCACGAAACCTCCATAGACAATTCGAGCGCAAACACACTCGAATCACGTCAAGATGGCCGCCAAAGTTCCCACAGAAGAGCTCAACAAGCTCAGCGGTAAGTGATCGTGGGAAATTCTCAGCTGTTGATACTTGAGTCAAATCCTGGACTGACAGACTCCCCCAGTGGCTGACGCCGACGGCGCCGCGAATGGCAAGCCGGATGCAAAGGCTGCTGCCAATGGCAACCTAGCTGAAAACTCGGATGCAGAATCTGACGACGACGCCGAGGATAATGCCCCTGCCGCCGACGGAGAGGGAGCCGCCAAGAAGAAGAAGAAGAAGAGAAAGCCTAAGAAGAAGAAGAAGGCTCCCACCTCTCAAACCGACCCGCCCAGCGTGCTCATGTCGCAGCTCTTCCCCAACAACACCTATCCCAAAGGTGAAGAGGTCGAGTACGTCAACGAGAACCGATACAGAACCACCAACGAGGAGAAGCGCCACCTCGACAACTTGAACTCGGACTTTCTCGCCGACTACCGACACGCCGCCGAGACCCACCGACAGGTCCGTCAGTGGGCACAGAAGAACATCAAGCCCGGCCAGACCCTGACCGAGATCGCCAACGGCATCGAGGACAGCGTCCGTCGCCTGGTCGGACACGATGGTCTCACCGAGGGTGATGCCATTGTCGCCGGTATGGGTTTCCCAACCGGCCTGAACTTGGACCACATTGCCGCGCACTACAGTCCTAACTTTGGAAACAAGACTGTTCTGCAACAGAGCAACGTGATGAAGGTCGACATTGGTGTCCACGTCAATGGAAAGATTGTTGACAGCGCCTTTACCATTGCATTCGACCCCATGTACGACAACCTGTTGGCCGCCGTAAAGGATGCCACCAACACCGGTGTCAAGGAAGCTGGTATCGATGTCCGCCTCGGAGAGCTTGGTGGATACATCCAGGAGACCATGGAGAGCTACGAGTGCGAAATCAATGGCACTACGTACCCTATCAAGTCCATCAGGAACCTGAGCGGACACACCATTCTGCCCTACAGCATCCACGGCACCAAGAGCGTGCCGATTGTCAAGTCAAACGACACGACCAAGATGGAGGAGGGCGATGTGTTTGCCATTGAGACCTTCGGAAGTACCGGAACTGGAAAGGTTTGGGATGAGGGAGAAGTCTCTCACTATGCCTTGAATCCAGATGCCTCCACTGCCGGCCTGCGCGTTGCTTCTGCTAAGCCGCTCCTCAATGTCATCAAGAAGAACTTTGGTACTCTACCCTGGTGCCGAAGATACTTGGACAGAATCGGACAGGAGAAATACCTGCTCGGCGTAAGTGTATTGCTCTCTCGTGTACGCCCGATAGTGACTGACAGCATACAGCTGAGCCACCTCGTCAAGACCGGCGTTGTCGAGGACTACCCGCCTCTTGTCGATAAGAAGGGCTCTTACACTGCCCAATTTGAGCACGTAAGTTGAACGACAAATCAAGCATTGTACTGAAAATTACTGACACTGGCTAGACTATCTTGCTCCGACCGAACGTCAAGGAAGTCATCAGCCGAGGCGATGACTACTAGAATGTATCGTGCAAAATTACGGCATCTGATGCATGGATGAAAATTCCTAGCATTAGGCTGACCATCAGAAAACTCAATAAATCTCAATTATGCTCCGATGCATACCAGCAACGTGCATGGAAAAGAAAATCATGCACGAAACCATGTGGATGAGCCCAAGCTACGGTAACAATGAGGCATATTAATATGCCGAGAAACCATCTCTTCCTTTGACTCTCCGTAGAAAGCGAACTCCAGATTTGAAACCAGCCGACGTCAATTCTTTTTGTATGAGTCAATTCGTTCAACATGTACCTCTGCTCGCTTTGCCTCATCACGCTGGTGCAACTCGTCTAGTGAATTCTTGAAGTCATGGGACAGCTCCATGACTGGTCGGAAATGATCATTTAAAGTACCTCATCTTTTCTGTAAGACCTACCCCAGCGTCGCCTTGCGAAGACAAAAGCTTCGATGCAATGTGGCAAAAGTAGACATGCTTTGAGATATGTCATCGCCAGACCTTGCACCTACCTAGGCGAGATTTCGCCTGGTTGAAGGATCGCGCGCGTCATGGGATTCTTCTATCGGACTCTCTCAAGACCTTGCGGAGCTGATGGCAAGTGGGATGATTTTGGAAATTGATGGAACTCGCTGGATAGGCGATTCCAGTCCGAATATCTTAATTCCAGATCTTCTTCAGGTCTTACCGTACGACAAGCTCGAGGTTCTCTTTACCACAACTGGACGATCGCCAAGCCTCAGAGAGCATCTCGATACTTCGGAGGAAACCACTGAGACAAGAAGGGTGCCGGCAGGTCTGAACATGCCCTTGTCTAGGGGATGGTAGCCCAGATGGACATAGATTGATAAAGATATTGAACAACAAGCTTCAGAAATTTTGAAGGTATCCTGCACTAAAAATAAAGAAGAAGAAGAAAAGAATAAGAAAAAGAAGCAGAAGGGGAAATTTAGAACCACAATGCAGCATTACCCATTTCATTCTTCTTTCTTATGATGAGCGAGGGTTGAACCAGAGGCTGGGCGGCCACGGGCTGCGTGTTTGTTGGGCTCTGTCTTTCTTTCCTCAACACGGCCAAGGACCCTTCTGCGATACCGACGCCATTTTTTACTCTATTCATGCGCGGAATTGGCAGAGCTGATGTGGCTCGTGTCCGCAAGGAGTACTGTCCGTACCTAGGCACTACAAAGCGGGACATACGCAAGCTATATAGACAACTTATGTTGAGACTTACTACAGGAAAGGATGCCTATGAAGCCAACTATTGACGCTGATTGGGGCAGAAGAATCCGATTATTCCCCGTTTCCACGCGTCAAGTTTGTTTAAGTTTCTCTTTTCCTTTCGGGTGTATAGTCCCTTGTTGTCCCACCGTATGATCGTGCAATCCAGTGAAAATCGGAAGAGGAAGGATAAAATGATTTATGCAACCCTCCTTTGAGTTGCGCATCTGTAATGATCTACACATGACGCGGATTCCGATTCAAATATGATGACCCCTTTAACTTACGCTACTTCAAAGACATAATCGAAGTGATGGAATGCCACTTGTGTGCCAAGATGCCACATGTAGTTTCAGGAACTGCCTGCTGTCGCCTAACGCGACACCGACCAACCAGTACTCTGGTTACGAGGTCCGTTTCCTGGATTTCATACATTCTTGGGTAACATGCCGCGCGGGACAACACTCATACCGGTAGGGCTGATGAGCACGGTGATGATTTAATCTCGCCAGTTGTTGACATATATAATCGCATCGTCGGGCCGCAAGCCGAAAGCTGTGGCGTGCGGATTCTTACTCAGACCGAAAAGCTCATGCCCCTTTCCCAGACTGTCCGAGAACCGAGCCGATGAGGCTTCGACTGGGTATGAGGCCGGGTTCTTGTCTTCACACCTCACATCATCTTTGGGCGATTACTCAATACACCATAGCACCTGCATTGAAGAGTGTTTTCGTGGGCTTCATGCAAACTGCGCAGTCCAATCATACTTGGTGTCTTGGTATTTCACTTCCGATGGGCTGGAAATCTCTTCACTGACCGGGTTAAACACACTACGCCAAGCACTCGCTTATTCCACGACTTTCCACCTCCAGGGTTCGGGATCTGTACTGGACATTGGGTAACATGCATTGTTGCAAATAATCTTGGCTCGTCATGACTCCTGGGAATGTGACTTCAACCAAGCACTCAATATACAACAACAATGACAAGAAGATTCAAACTTCACTTGCACTATACAGATAACTGGCGCAAGAAATATCAGTGTAGGTGAGAGGGATATGCCTCCATCAACACGCCGGGCCAAGAGGAGGTGCAACATTGACAGCACAATTGAAAGCACATTGGTATCACGAAGCGGAATCGGACACGAGATATATGCAACTGAATCCTCGTTGATGGTTATCTTCGGTGGCACAAGCTTGAAAAGGATCACCAAAGTCAAAGCCGTTGGTCTTACGACAGCAAAGTGGCTGACAGGATATGACGCCTCTCAGCCTCTGTTTCTTGATGAGATCCCTGGGATGTGGACAATGTCCTGCTTGCCTGACTGCGGTCGAGCTGAACGACGAGCGCGACTCCGGGCGAGATCAAGTATAAAAGGATGGTCAATCTCAGCGAAATCCAGTTGTCTGTTCACAGATCTCCCATCAGTGTCCAAGCATCATCACGATTTTATTGACCCCAGATCCCAACATTGAAAACATTCTCCTTGACCGCAAGCTTTCCTTCTCCAGCCAAAATGCAGTTCACTAGAAGCCTTCTCTCTCTCCTCGCCGCCGGTGCCAGCGTGCGGGCTCTCCCCAACGACAAACGTCAGGAGACTCCTCGCATCTATGCTAAGTTTTTTGATGACAACGCCTGCCAGGGTACCTGGGTTGAAGATACAGTCGTAAGTCGATTAGATTAGGTTCTCACCAGGATCGTCTGATGCACTGGCGCTTTTGGGGCATCATCACGACATAAAGCCTATGCGAGAAGTTCCAAAGAACTTTTCGCTCGTACTGAGTACATTCTGAGAACAGACGACTGATTCTTTATTCCATAGTGGCTTCAAGAGCCAGCTGGCACTTGTATCGAGGTCAACATCCCCTTCGCCTTTAACAGCACCTTGATCGCTGACAACTTGGCCACTCGCACTCGTAAGTATACTTGAACCAGGGATTGTCGTTGCGATGGCACGTTTGCATTCAGCCTGTCCCAGCACGAGAAGTGTGTGTGCTAATTAGGCTTGATGCCCGTCTAGTCCGTGTCTACAGCGCCAGCGGCTGCGATGAGAATGCTAGCAACTACTACGATGTAGCCCCTACGATCGAGCAGTGCTATGCCCAAGCTGTCAAGAGTGTCAAGTTTCTCTGAAACTGTTGACTGCTACCACTCTCTGTCCGGTTTGAAAAAGCGTCTTAACTCTTGTTGTAAGGGCGCATGTCGATGAAGGTGATGAGATTTGAATAGCTGAAGAGGTTGTCTTGGAACACACGTATGAACCGATCTTTTGTTAGATACTCAATGAGCCTCAGGGCTGTCCAGCGTTCCGCCCTTTGTCATAGACAGACAATTGAAGAGTACATCCTGGCAAACGTCGGGTTTGATTGTGATAACACGTATTGTTGAGATGGAGTGGTGATTGACGTGCCCGAAAGTCCAATTTCGGAACGCGTGAAACATAAATATTCCCAAAATGAGAATATGTGCACGGGGCGTAAGAGACTTCTCAAAATATTGAGTCTCTGACGGCATACTCGCTATCCCTCCACTCGGGCTCCTTGCAGGTATGATCTCTCCGGAACGCCTCGATTTTGTCGGTCTTCCACCCTGAAATCCATCGTCGTCCTGCGGTAGGAGGTTTCTTGGCACCAAGCCTGAAGCCTTTTATGGTAATATGACATTCGCCATCAGAGTACCGGTACTGCCAACAGCTGTCTCTGTAGTTGCATGCAGCCAGGCACGATTGGAGCGTGTGAGGCTGGCCGCCAGGGTTCTCAATCAGCGCTCCAGAAAGATTATCCCAGTCTTCTCTTTGAGCTACCAAATTTCCAGGGGGAAAGGCGAGCTCTGAAATTTCTTGGAAGAGGAGCGGCGCCTACGATGCTTCTGATTAGTGATCGTTCGCAGATGGAAAGCAGCATGGCCGTGTCACTTACTTCACTATTGTTTCGTTGCTGCTCAAAATTCCATATCAAGGATCGCTGGCGAGGCTGGACATGATGGAAAGTGATGACGGGCTTGCACCATCGGTCTGGCCCATACGGAATGGACCAAGGTGTCTCGCCGTTGATCCACGGCCAATTGTTCTGTACTTGAACACCAGTATACTTTTCTATAGCTCGACCTAGGATGAGATCGCCGCAGCATGCGTCCGGTAGTAGCTTATCATTGCGAGTGGCCATTCCCGCATCGTCGCCGGCAAAGTGCTTCATCAATGATCCAGAGAGGACGAAGCCGCTTCCTCCATGGGCGAACCATTGAGTGCCAATCTGAGCCTCGGAGCCCAGATAAAGCCTGTCGGCCGGGTTGAGCTGACGAAGCCAGAGATTCAAATTGCCCCAGAAAACGTAGGTGTCTGACTCGATAAACAGGTACCAATCCAGTTTGGGGTGCATGTTCCAAGTGTCTTGTACCATGTGCATAAATTTATACTTGTCGAGGTTCCACACAATCTTGTGCTTCTTTCCAAGCTCTTCGACATCCTGACCAGATAATTGGTACTCTTGCTGTGTGCGGTAGATTTCAAAGTCTGGATGGTTTTGCTTCATCTCAGCATCAAAGTTCTTCAAAGCATCGTGGAGATGGTAAGGCCCAATCTGCTCCTCGAGATCTGAGAATATTTCAACGCGCCGTGAGCACCCGAGTGTGGTCATCAGCTGAGGCAGGAGCTTCTCATAAGCTTCCGTAGCGCCAGTCTTGATGACGATCTGAATGTTTCCAGGGTCCGGAAAGGCCTGGCACCTCGCATCCTCAGCTCCATTACTTATGACGGCTGCCTTGGGAGGCTGCTCGGATAGCCTTTGGCTGGATTGCAAACTCCGCTGGGATGCATCCGTGTCTTGGTAGTTGTAGAACAAGAAGAGCACAATGAGTATCACGGGCAGAGTAAGAAGAACCGGCAGACGAAGGCCAAGAAGCCGTAGCGGACCGCCGGGCATCTTCAGTGTTTAAGAAAATTGAGGTTGTGACGAAGAAGGTCTGCCATCCATGCAGATCACGAGAAGTAGGAGTGCCACTGTTGATCAACACGGAGAGGATCCTGACTCCTTTCAAAGGAGATAGAAAAATGAAAAGATGCGATGATTAAATCTTCAGCCAGTATCGAGACCACCATTGACAGGAAGCACTTTTCCTCTTCAAGGAGCCGCTCCCCAAATCCAGGGGTCATGGCATGTCGGTTTAGCTCTAGTGGCACAGTGTATATTTGCATAAATGGGATCAGTTTACCCAATCAGCAATTGTAAAAGCTCCAGTAGCTAGCCATAAGGAAAGCTTGGCATTTGTTAGCACGGTACGCATACAGTCGTGTATTCATATAATTCCTATTTCGACAGTACTTCTTATGCTGCATACTTATTCACACGAGTTTTACACGCGACTTGCAGTCCTCGATCTGAACAATTTTTGGAAACACCGTATGAAGTGAGTTTGGGTAGGTGTTGCGTAATGGAATATGGGTCCATGTCATGGCTTTACTGGAGGTCATGGCCCGCACCGTTCTGCTGTCTTACGCGGCAGTCAAGCTGGTGGCTACTGACTTGCAATCTTAGGAAAGCTCCAATGTTAGCAATACGATGCTACTGGATTTGTTTACATATAAGAGGAATTTAGCCATGGACGTTCTGCCACATCGATGGCTGCTCGGCGAACAGATGCAACCAACATATGATAGCTCATAACACACAAGGTACCTACACTTCTGAATGGGTAGGCTATGCGATACAGCCAGAGTGTGTCACTCATAAGATATTGGGATAAACCATGATTACCAATTGTCAAGAGCTGCCAATACACCAAAAGAATTTTCACAAGGCAACCTGCCTACACTAGAAGAAAGCGAGAAAATTTCCAACTGTCACAGTTGAAACGGTTGGGTTCAATCGCGGCAAGCCCTCAAGCTTGAAAGACCACCATCACAGCGCACCAAAGATGCACCTGCAAGTAAACGCTAATGCAGGCCGGGAGCTATAATGTGCCCCCTATGCAAGCACAAGTTTGGACTGACACGGGCGTTCCGCTGGTAATGCATCAGCAAACACTAGAGAATGAATTTGCATACCAGATCGAGAGGCTAGACTTTTTGACGGAATCAGGCACGTGATGTAAAGAGTGTCATTGCGGCAGAGGCACACGAGCACGCAGGCATGGTGGAGGAGAGAAACCCATCACCTAGGGAACAAGGTTTGGATGACACTCAAACGGATTGGTATTGGGCCAACTTGAACCATATGGAAATGATGGTTGATTGATTGCATTAAAGATCTCCTTTGTCAAGGGTCCTGACAGCAAGGCATGAGCTCGTCAGTCAGTGCAGCCTCAATCGAACAGCTCTTGATCAGGGGTTGCCAGCTGAAATTCGATATGAAGTCATAGCATTGTTGATTGGACAATGGGTAGTCGCAGTGAGGTTTGTTTGTACGAATAATCGGGCGCCGATGTCAGTGTGACAGGTGCTCTGCATCGATGATTTCACAAGAGTCACATCAGTTGCCAAATGTGATTTGCATGCTCCAGTGATTTGCCGCTTTGTTGCTCCAGAACTAGACCCCTTCTCCAGATTTTCCCACAGTCGCGACCGCGGTCCTGGCGAATCTGGTCTGGGTCGCTGCGAATAGCGGACAAAAATCGGGTTTTGTTCTCCTAAAGACCAATCACAAGCTAGTTAAAGCCAGATCGCCCAAGTGTGTTTCCGTCAAATTCTCTGTGCTGCTTGTGCTAATCCAGATCGAGAAAGGCGCAAGTGAATTGTGGCAACCCGATAATCGCCGGACGGTTGGCCTCTGCGCTGCAGGCCCCCTGCAGAAGAATTTTGACACTCGTCACCAAAACGGGTGGTTTTCGATACCACAAGACAAAGGTGAACCGACCGAAAAATTGAGCTGTAACAAGGGGAATTAATCTCCAAGAGCAGGGAAATATTACATTTCTTGAATTGTATTTTTTACAATTCTTTTGGTAGATATTTGGCCGTCTGAAGTTGGGATACTACTGTGTAGTGGGCGCGAGTATCAAAATTCTTATGCGGGCCTCCTGGCTGCCGGCCGAAATCGATAAGGGAAACAGGGTACTTCTTGGGAAAATTTCAAGCGTCTCGCACCGACGGCGGAAAGGAGAGCAAAAGTCACAAGCAGCTTTAAAGCGCGCATCCCCGTCGCTTCGCCTCTACTTTTGCCTCCGGACCACATTTTCCATCAACGCAAATAATACACATTCATTATCAAACAAGCAGACAGATCAGTCTGCTTCTTTTCTGCGTTATTCATCTTCCGTTGATTGTTTAAACATAATCACGCAGACATTTCTCTCTCTCTCTCTCAGCAACGCCTGTCTAGTAAGCCGCCGACGACAACTTTTGCTCATCGGCCTCTCGGGTTCTCCCCAAGTCTTTTTCTCCGAGTAATCAGCAGCAACTTGCACACCTTCTGATTCTGGCAACAACACCCCAAAAGTCTCCGGACTACAACAAACCTCAGACTTTGTCTTTGGTCATACGAAACGATCGTTTCCACCTCAACAGTTTGCTTCGCTACAGCTTTCCCATATCCGAATAAAGATGAAGGTCTTTTCCAACTCGGTAACCTTCAACTACTCGTGGGAAGAGGTATCCACCGCCAACTGGCAGAAGTATGGTCCATGGAACGATAAGTCGGCACATGTCATCGCTGTCGATACCATCAGCCGCAATGTCGACGCCACAACTGGTATCCTGCGCACCGAGCGTTTGATTACCTGCAAGCAATCCGCTCCCGAGTGGATCAAGTCCATCCTCGGAGGTATGGATACGAGCCAGGTCTTTGAGATCAGCTACGTCAACCCGGCCGAGAAGACCGTCACCATGGTATCGCAGAACATTACCATGTCCAACCTCGTCAATGTCCAAGAAACCGTCGTCTACAAGCCTCTCAACGCCCACCAGACTCAGTTCGTCCAAGATGCGAGGATAACTGCGCTCTGCGGCGGCTGGCAGAGAATCAAGAACAGCATCGAGGATACACTGGTCACGCGGTTCAGGGAAAATGCCGTCAAGGGCAAGGAGGGTTTCGAGTGCGTCCTAGCCATGAGCCGGTTAGCATTCGCCGAGGAGCGCGCCAAGCAGGCGCTATAGGCGTCACGCATTATATCACGACGATAAACGATTTCCCGCACACTTGACCTCTGGCAGTCCATTACTGGGACTCGCGTGTGTCTTACGCATCAAGATCTTTTCTGCATAAAAACGACTGGGCATTTTGCGACGGCGTTCTAGATGTTATCAGCCTATTTTTGATTTAGGGATTAGAAAAGTTTGGAGTTCCGGTATACCCCACCAAAAGTCGATAGATTTGGTGGTTTTATTTTCCCGGCATCTGCTGATGCCCCTGCTTGGCCGCCTTTTATTTGGACGACATCATAGAGAACTAGACATAGAGTAGAGATCTTCACACACATAATGTCACAACTCTTCTCCGACTGCCAAAACTAGATCAGGATGTATATTATCATCATAAATTGGGTATCACGTGTTCGATGTATTTGACTTTATCCGCTTGCTGAAGCTCTCTGCTCACATTTGCTCTGGTAATATCTGAGCAGTTTGACGGTGTCTGCCTCTAGCCCACCACTTGAACCCTCTTCGCCGTCGAGCAATCTCCTCACGAACACAACCCCCTCATCGTACCTCTTGAAGAAGTAGAGCTCCTCAACAGCGTGCAACAATGCCTGTACCTCGGGCTTTGTGACTTTGTCGCCCAAGGGTAAAGTGATATCCTTCCACAGCTACATAAACAGCACCAATCCCTGTTAGTGAGTCATTCGGGAGATTTATTATGCAAACGAGATTGATTTGTCCACGACAACAGCGGCACCAACAACAACCGTTGCGCGTAAAAAGTTGCAACAAGACAGAAATGACAGAGTGACATGTGATCAACTCACCTCTCCGTTTTCCACCTTCACGCGATACCCTTGCTTGACGGCCTGGAATTCGTCCTCCGACTGTGCGATCCGCGCTGAGCCAGGGACCTTTGCGGTGGATTTTGAGGGCTCGGCGGCTTCGGGGGCGCTATCATCCCCGTCCGATATGGAAATGGAGAACAGACCTGCCTCGAAGTCTGCCATGCTGGTATTCTCGGGACTGTCTCAGCGGATGATACCCCAATATTGTTTCCGCTATGTTGCTGGTCGAGTTGGTCACTGGACTTGTATCATTTCTATCCAATCTATTGCTCCCAGTGAATACGCCGCAAAATAATGCGTATTGGATCGGCAGCACAAGGAGTAAAATTCAATGGCCACTGAGAAAAGACGGCCCCGTAGGAAACGACCGGACACAAATTTCGGTGCCCCATTTCAGTTGTCGGCCTTGACATCAGCGGGCGGGTTCGTGCTTTCCAATAGTGGGGTTGCGTTGGCCTGAGGGGCATTCATTACATACATATTTCCCCAGAGCTCAGCATGGATGAAAGCGCCTGCCGCCCTGGATCTCATCGACCAAATAACCGTGAACTTGTAACTTGTGAACATCGCTCAATCGTTTTCGAAAGTTTCAGAGCTTCTAGATAGAATTCAGTCCTGAATCTCAGTTGATACGAAAAATGGAAGAACAAGTGTCCAGGTTGGTCGACAAGGTCTGGCAGGGCTACCAGAATATGCCCAAGAACCAACGCTTTAGTAAGTTTTCTTTTTTCTTTTTTTGATACAAGTAAAAGTGAGGTCGATTCGGCCATGTATCATCAACCAGTCACTCCTCTTCTACTACAATATTTGCTAACGTAATACAGTGGTCGCGATTGGCGGGATTCCAGGATCAGGTTTGTCCAACTCTTGCGTCACATCCTAATGTCGTCAGTAGATGCAGCCGAAGACTAAAACCTTTGGGTAGGAAAGACAAATTTGTCCCAGAGGGTGACAGAACGTCTCAATGAAAGGCAACAGCAGGAACATCCCGGGTCTACGCCTGTGGCCGCCTTTTGCCCAATGGATGGATACCACTGGCCACGGTCAGTACTCGACACTTTTGACCCAGCCATGAACGCCCACGCCCGTCGAGGCGCCGAATTCACCTTTGACGGGCAGTCCTTCCTCAGCCTGGTCAAGCTCCTACGGGCGCCACTGGATAGCGAGGAGGGCAGAAAACCCATCTTTGCCCCCTCATTCGACCACGCCGCCAAGGACCCCGTCGATGACGACATTGAGATCCGGCCACACCACCGCATCGTTGTCTTTGAAGGCAACTATGTCTGTCTGGACCGGGAGCCGTGGCGGGCAGCGGCTAATCTGATGGACCTCCGCTGGTTTGTGCAGGTTGAGCGCGACGTGGCGAAGAAGAGGTTGGCAGCTCGCCATCTGGCTTCGACTATAGTAGACTCGCTGGAGGCCGGCGTCGCGAGGGCTGAGGAGAACGACCTTCCCAACGGAGATGAAATTAATGCCAACAAAGTTCCAAATATTGATGAGACCATTGTAAGTAAGGAGGACCAAGGCTGGGCGCCAGTGAATTAGGACTTGAAAATGGCAAGGCCGAGATAGAAGCAATAATAAAACAAATACAGATATGTGAAATAATTGAATATTTGTAGGCTGTATCAGACTGTGCCCTAGCCCCTGCGATCACCTTTCATGTCATATTTCACTATTAACCGGAAAATCAAGCAGAGCATCAAAATTAACATGATTCTGGTCACAATAGCAAAGCCAACTAAAAGCGAAAAGTCCTCACCAAAGTCGCCCATCATTCATTCCATGAAAGATCCTCAATCATTGGCCACAGAAGAAGACCAGTCATGAATAAGAACTTCCTATACCAATAGACATGCTTCTTGGGATGAACAGCAGTAAATGTGAGCCATTTGGAGTTGTGTTTCAGTTTGACTTCAGTTAGTTTCTTTACAAACAGGTGACCCTTGACGGAAGGATGAGAAGATGAGAATTACGGCGCGAAAAGTTATAAAGCAATGGCCCAAGGTCAGAGAGTGTCGTGTTCGTATTTAACGAGCTCATTGCAGGAAGGAAAGGCAAAATGATGCAAGCCAGGAACTTCAACATGCAAATATTTTTGCTTTCTCGCAAATTTCTGGATGTGTTGATTAGATCAACGTCCTGTACTAGCCGACATGCCAGTTGAGAAAAGGAGCTGGCAATACTATTCCGGAAAGACTCCATCCGAGCAGGAATTCCAGCTCTGGCTTCATTTCTTTAGTATGTGTCTCTTATCACGCCAGTTGGTCATTCCATAACTGCCATGATTGAAAATGCGGTTGCCGCGTCGAGGTAATGGTCGAAATGGTAAGCATTCTCGACAACATCTTCTAGAACGGAGGCCAGACAAGAGAATCGAGGGTCCTTCTCTCTCCTTGACCAGTCGTACAAACAGAATTTCGATAAGAACTTTTCGTGTATCCTGATGGCTGTACGGTAGAAATGAAGAAGACATTATCTGGATCAGAACGCCTGGGATTGCCTCGAATGTTGAAAATAGTGGTGCTCTGTGTGCTTTTCTTCAAATATGGAGCCGTAGTGGCTGAATATAAGCGCCCACCATTCAGGCTCGCGTATAGCTTTTACATCAACCTTTACATTGATCATGACCGTCCCAGAGAATATAGGCACATTAAGCCATAATTTGTAGAATCAGTGTCCTACAAGAGCATTGTTCTTCGTTCGATAACACCCAGTTGTAGAAATAACACGTACAACGCCAAACTCGAGCAGGTTCCAAGCATCTATTGGAGTAGTTGACGTGTCGGCCGTATAATAGTTGACTAGTTTCAGTACATTGAACGCAAACAGATGTACACCATAAAGGAGTGGCTTCCTCGTCATAGGCCATTGCGTGGCTAAAGAGTGAGTTCCCGTTTCACCATTTATTTTATCACGCAACTGATGCCTGATAATGCTAACCTGTACGAGATGTTCGTCAAGAATGTTCAGTAGTCACTTGGACATGTAGCAAGTTGTCGTCAAACACAAACAACGACAAGATTCTCCCTGGTTGTATAGATTATTCCCAACGCCTTACAAATACTCGGAATCACACGAACTCTCCATTGCTTTCAATCAAGTTCACTTTGCCCATGATTTTGATGAATGTGCAATAGTTACCTGAGCAGCCACTGTAGGCGATGTGTGGTCTGTGGATCAAGGCAAGACCATTGGGAAAATCAATTAAAAAAGCAGTACAGAGTATGGTGCTTTCAATTACATGCATAAAAGCTGAAAAGGCGGAACAAAACAAGCAAAAGCTGTCTTGAGACGCCGTCACGTTTTGTGTAATGCATAACTACTGAGTTACTGCCCCGCGGTGCGATGCATAAAGTGGATAAATCTATATCTTATCGGACCCTGCAGGCCCAGAAAAAAATTCCCCCAGCGCGCGCAAGGATGGATGCATTCGCATTCGCCAGTCCAATTCTGGGTATTTTCTAGGCATTGTTACTCCTTCTCCTAGAGTTTCAACCACCACAGCAACATGTCGTCCTCGGATTCGGAGAGATCACAGTCGCCTGATCCGGCTACTACAAAGCCGGCCGACTCCAAAAAGCGCAAGACTCAGGTCGAAGAAATCGAAGTAGACCTGTCGCTCCCCGAGCCGCCTTCCAAGAAGGCCAAGCGTCTCCTCAAGAAGGGCAAGCCCCTTCCTGTAAAGCCCAACAGCGACGACGAAGGCGACAATGGCGATGGGCTTGACCTACCCTCTGCAAAGACCAAGGATGGAAAGGACAAGAAGTCAAAGCGTTCCGAGTACGGTGTCTGGATTGGCAACCTGCCCTTCCACTTGACCAGAGCCGATCTTTTCAAGTGGTTGGTGGATTCATCGGGCGGCGTCATCCAGGAGGAGAACATTACACGAGTCAACCTACCGACAAGCAAGAATGCACGTGCAAGGGAGGGCGAGCAGAGCAAACCGCAGAACAGAGGTTTTGCGTACGTCGACTTCGATAACGAGGCACCCGCCATTGCAGCCATGTCACTCACTGAAACGCAACTGGAAGGCCGTAACGTCCTGATCAAAAACTCGACCAACTTTGACGGTAGACCACAAAAGGAGGCAGCAGAGGCCGCAGCAGCATCGACACAAGCGGCCAAGAAGACTGAAGGCAGCAGAAAGATTTATGTTGGCAATTTGCCGTTCCAAGCGACGGAAGACGACATTTGGGCACACTTTGAAAAGTGCGGCACTATAGACTGGGTCAAGGTGGCTACCTTTGAGGATTCAGGGAAGTGCAAAGGCTACGGTTGGGTCAAGTTCAAGGAAATCGAGTCTGCTGAATCTGCTGTCAAGGGCTTTGTCAGGATAAAAGAGGAGATTGAGACGGAAGAGGACTTCCGGGAAGGCAAAGAGGGAGGCGAGGAGGGGGAACCGGCTGAGGAGAAGAAGTTCAAGATGAGGAAATGGTGGGTGAACAGGATCCGCGGCCGAGATCTGAAGATTGAGTTTGCCGAGGACGACCAAGTCCGGTACAAGAAGCGTTTTGGAAAGGACAAACCAGCCAGACAACAGAATGGCGATGACAATGCCCAGGAAAGGGCTCCTTCGTCAAAGCCAGCAGTGGCACCGAAGAAGACAACATTTGACGATTAAGCGTCTTCACATCGGCATCGAGCGAGACCGTCTTTACGCAAGAAGAAACGATCAACTCCAAGTTGCAATGTTTGTTATAAATCGGTCAGCTTGCCAATATTACTATCCAAAAAGGGAACGATTCCTGTCGGATTGCACCGATTGAGCGTCCACCCCTTTCTCCCCTCGTCTTTGTGCGAGTGTTTGGGCGATCCGTGTTGAGATCGACTGGTGGTACAATAACAATCATGGCTGCCTCCCATTTTCTTCTTCTCACTCAACCCCTGTATGTTTGCTGTTGTGATGTTGTATCGCATTGTTGGCCAACATGAGTGTGTGTGTGGTGCAGAGTCCACACGCGCGGAGCTTGTTGTGCTTACTTGCAGGGAGCTAAGTCGTCCCCAGTGAGACTGAGACCCGCGCCGTGCCTTGCTTGAAAGAACACACTCTTGTTTGCAACACTGCCCAGTCAGCGCTTAAATACCTAAGTCAAGTTTGACAAAGTCTCCATAAACTCATATGCTTTGATGCCATTCTTCCCTCTTGACATTAACTGATCATCACTTGTTCCTGTCGTCACTTTTGTCAAGCTCGGGAATACTGTCCACAGCATGGCAACGCTATCTGACGCCTTCACGGCATTGAATGCCGCGATTGATAACACCCCACTCATTGATAACCACTGCCATAACCTTCTGAGGCCGAATCACATCAGCAAGGTGCCATTGCTGTCGATTGCCTCAGAAGCACAAGGAAACGAGGCATTGGAAGCTTCCAAAACGAGTCTAGCTCACATACGAGCAACCAAACATCTAGCTCAGGTCCTCAGCTGTGAGCAGAATTGGGATGCTGTCGAGGCGGCTGTTCGCGTCCAGCACTCTCAGGATCCAGCTGCCTGGCACAGACGCTGCTATCAAGGCTTTGAGACTCTTCTTCTGGATGACGGATTTGGAGGTGATGAATTGATTCACCCGTATTCGTGGCATGATACTTTTGTCACAAGCAAGTGCAAGCGTATCGTTAGAATCGAAACGTTGGCCAGCAGCTTGTTCACGCAAGCCTTGTCATCGAGAGGTGCCAAGTCGGCTGCTCTCATTCTCGAAGAAGTCGTCAAGGCGTTTGCGGACGAGATTTCTCGCTGCATTGCCGATCCAGATGTCGTTGGGTTTAAATCCATTATTTGCTATCGCGGTGGGCTTGACATTCCTCGCGACGCTACGGGTGTTCAAGAGAAGAGCACACTGGCTTTTCAATCCATGGTTGAGCTATTTGACAAGAGCATCGACCCGTTCAAACGTCCGGAACAGCTTCCCTTCAACCAAAGTCTAGTCCACCTTACGGCTAGGCTCATAAGCCAGAGCGAAAGCAAGCACAAGAAGGCCATCCAGTTCCACACAGGCTTAGGCGACAATGACATTATCCTAACAAAATCATCCCCGGCTCACCTGCAGCCTTTCATCAGCCAGTACCCTACAGTACCTGTTGTTCTCCTCCACTCGAGTTATCCATGGACGCGAGAAGCTGGCTATCTGGCGACCATGTATCCAAACGTATACGCTGATATCGGAGAGGTGTTCCCTTTCTTGAATAAAGATGGGCAAGAAGGCATTCTCAGACAGATTTTGGAATTGACTCCATGGTCCAAGGTTCTCATGAGTACCGATGGCCATTCGCACCCCGAAATGTATCTCATCACGCTCAGGGAAATCAAATCTGTCATGAAAACTGTACGCTTGCTTGGTATAACCGATAATTGGGAGACTAGCTGACAAGGACACAGGTGATTGGTGGACAACTTGCCAAGGGCCAATTGAACACGAATCAAGCCGTCCAGCTCGTACAAGATGTTCTTTACAACAACTCTAACAAGCTCTACGACCTCGGCCTGTCCCCTAAAGCAGTTCCCACAACGTTGCCAACTACAATGAGTCAAGATGAAGATGATGTTGCCGCCGCCCGAGTCCAACGGGAAGCTGATATTAGACATCTCAGTTCACTGAATTGCAGATGGCTCCGGGTCTGCTGGCACGACTACACGTCCAGCTCCAAAATGCGCCTTGTGCCTATGAGACGAGTCCTTGATAATCTGCGTCGAGGTGAGGATGTTCATTTCACACTGACGTCAGCTACATTCGGCATTCTACAGACGGACGTGTTGATCCCATCGGTGAGCTCGTCTGGAGTGTATGCCGTCCGCGTGGACTATACAAAAGCCGTTTTGGGTCCAGCACCTGGTCACGCTTCGGTGTTCTGTGAATTCATGAACGAGGATGGGTCGGATCTCAACCTCTGTCCAAAAGCCCTGCTCAGGAAGACGATCGAAAATGCCAGGGGCCATGGTCTCGAGTTCAAGATGGGATTCGAGCTTGAGTTTGTCATCATGGAGCGGAACCCCGACTCGAATAGTCAAGAGAAATATCTCACGCTGCGAAATGATGGACATTCTTGGTCCATGGCCCGCGCTATTGCCGACGCCGGTCGTCCTGGAAGCTTTAACAGCGCCCTCGATGAGATACTCGATAACCTCACCGATGCAGGCATTGATATTGAACAAATTCATCCGGAGAATGCCCCTGGCCAGTACGAAATTATACTTCCACCTAAACCACCGATGGAAGCGTGCGAGGTCCTTCTAACAACCCGACTGATCGTTGAGGCAGCTGCAGCACGACATGGCTTTAGAATGACGCTACATCCCAAGCCGTTTCCCTTCAATTGTGGCACAGCAAGTCACAGTAAGTACACTCCAGTTGTGTGATTCTCGTTCCCGCTCGTGAAAAATACTTCCTCTAAGCTGAGGTTCCAATGAAATGTGCTACCTGTGAAAAACTACTGACTTAAGTTCAGTGCACATGTCCATCACCTCTTTGGGAGGCGATTCCAAGGAGGTGTACGAGCCTTTCTATGCTGGTATAATCAAGCACTTCACTGCTCTGATCGCGCTTATGTACAGCAACATTGCGAGTTACGAGCGTATGGTTGACTCAGCTTGGGCAGGCGGTCGCTGGGTTACTTGGGGCACAGAAAACAAAGAAGCCCCTTTGCGAAAGTGCAAGGACAGCCATTGGGAGATCAAGACGATTGATGGCATCACAAATCCATATATAGCAATGGCCGGCATACTCGCAGCTGGTACACATGGCGTTGTGACCAAAGAGAAACTGGTTGCAAAGGACTTTCTCGGCGACCCCGCCAAGCTCAGTGACGAGGAAAGGAGGGAATTAGGCATCACAAAGTCGTTCCCCAAGGACCTGAGGGCCGCCCTCAAGGTGCTCGAAACGGATACGGAGCTGACGGACCTCTTGAACAAGGACTTTGTGAAGAGGTACATTGATATGAAGACGGCTGAACTGGAGATGTTAGAGCCAATGGAAGCAACAGAACGCCGGCAATGGTTGATTGCACGTTACTAGTCGCAACTGTTGTCCGTTAGGGTTCTACAATAATTGAGAATGCCTACATGTTCCAGTAAATAAAATTTACCATGGACACGCTGTACATGGAAACGAAACAACCCCCACGCTGTAGCAATGATACGCCCGTACTGAACACACTGAGAATGATGTTAAAGATGATTCTGCTAAGTCACGGAAATGAATGCGCGCAATGGGAGTAAATTTCCCGCACAAACAACAACCTCATAGAGCCTGTACACGGATAGCCACATATAATCGCTTCTTTTCGCATATCAAATAACTATTTCAATCATTACTCAGAGTCACTTGGTATGTACTCTGCATCCTCTTCCTCTTGCTGCTCGCTATCCCAGCGAGCCTTCTTGACGTGATGGATTGCCTCCAATGCATCTGCAATTCGGCGGCCTATTTCAAGGAATTCCGAGGCATAGTCAGGTGAAGACATAGCCGAGGGGATGAGCTTGGCCAAGGGAACAGTTTCGGCTACAGGCGCGGTTGTGGCTGCGGGAGCTGTTGAGGCCTCTTTCATAGTCACAGCCTCTGCCTTGAGTTTCCTGCGACAATTTGTAATAGCAGTGGTGAAAACATGAACGGACTGCTCGTCCTTGTCATCGACTGCATCGGCTGTGGCGAGAGCAGCAATGAGAGATTGCACCGCAACTTGTGGAAGCTAGACTGGATTAGCATGATGCACATAACGAGTCTTCAAGACAGTGCGATGCATACCGGTTTGCAAGTAGCTTTAATATCCTTGCAATCAACACACACCTTGATACCGATGCCTACAGGACAATCAGAACACAATTGGAAGAGACTAAAGGATAGTGTTTACCAGTTTGGCTCGAGCACCGATGATGCCGGTTGGATGCTAGGCGCGAAACGCAGTTACGACACCACTTCTCTGCCGGCCGAACCAGGCCTCGGGCACTCTTCACCTTCGTCTTTTTGGCTACCGACTCAGAGGTACTCGAAGGCTCGGCGGGGCGTTTGAACCCATTTGTAAAGGACAACATCTGTAGACGAAATATAAGCATCTACCTCGTCACAAGAATTGACAAGAGCTTACCGTTCTGCGATTTATACCTATGCTTGAGTAGTTTGAGAGTGCTGTTTGATTATGACTCTACTCCAGGCCAAGAGGAATCAAAAACTCTTTTATCCAACGCTCAGAACTAGCAAGCATCTTAGCAATGTTGATGCCGAAATTTAAGGCGGTATTTGATTTGCTTCAAAAAAGTTAAATAGACGCGATGTAAAATACCAGGTGGCTTCCTTTATTGGGCACAGGGAAGTAAAAAAAAAAAGAAAAAAGAAAAAAAAGCAAGAAGGTGGTACAGTAAAGTAGATTTGATAAGTCGCCAATTTCTTGTTCACGAAATCCCTGCCTTTCAGACCTTGCCACCCCATACTGGACTCAATGTTGTTTCCCACGCGGTTATAGCCATTGCCGGCAGCAAAGATCCCACGAATAGCCTCATCATCCGTACCTTCGCACGCCATCCATACAGTCGACATCTTCCTGCCGGCACAGCCCAACACAAGGAGGGGGATGTAGGTATTGTAATTACCCCGGAATCTTTTCTTGTGGAAAGATATTCATGCATCATACTCATTTTTCATGGTTCATTTACGAATTCCATCGAGAAAATGACCCAATGTTCACTTGGTTCTTCAACACACCGATATCAACGCAAAAAGCAATAAGGCCGGCTTCTATTTGGTGTCACTCCTTTGGTTAAAACGTTGTTGTGACGGCGTCGGATAGACAACTCTTGATCGAGTAACGCTACAAGAGAAAAAGACAGACATCTTCCAGAATCGTGTCTAGGTCCACGTTCTTTTTTTGCGAATAATGGCTGAAACGCTGGTACACTACATCTTCACTTTCCTTCGCGGCACCGACTTACAAGTAGACTGAGAACAGTCTCGAGACTCGGCACAAGAGGCGTTCGAGCCGTACGTAGAGAATTGTCAAGCTTCCTGATCCTGGCAGGAGACTATCAATGCTGCCTATTTCGCATATCCTTCACATCCATGCTCCCCCCTCCCTCTTTGGCGCAAGAAAGAAGTCGACTGGGTCGCTCGATCAACGTGTATCGTCTCATGCCCGTTTTATGTACGTGCTACTGTGATGCAGGTTGGTACTTTGACAGATGCATCAAGACACGTGGAATTGTTTGTAACAAAGTTCAAGGCCTATGTGGTACCTACTATACCTACTGCCACGCACACAATAACAGTCAATCCAAAAGGCACTCTCAGACAAGTTAATGTAACGACCACCTCATAAGGTCTCCTGGAATTCATGGGCAACGGCAAGGGGATGGTAGGAGTCTTGTGCTCATGGGATTGACATGGTGGCTTGATTGTGTGAAGTTTTGGGGATTTTATGACTGATCCTTCTGCTCATGTTGCGTAGACCTACCGTTGATGATCCTACCTCTGTGCGAAGTATATTCTGTACTTCATATGCACGCTGGAAAATTCATCGCGTGTTGAGACGGGAAAAGCAACAATCTGTCGGTGTGATTCTCCTGCGCCGCATGCAGTGTACTATGGCACATGGGTGACTGATTTTGTAGGCAGTCTCGAGGTACAAGAGGCACAGCGATTTTAGATGTCGAAGCTGTCGTGCTAGACCAAACGACACGCAAGCGAGCGCTTAAGCATCAGCGACATACCCGACAAGCTTGTTTGCTGACCATGGTTGGGATTTGGCAGAAAAACAAACCTTGTATCCCATACGCTCCTCGCGGCTTTTCCTTCCTGCTTTACAAGCCGGACTTGTCGACTTTGTTGCTAGACGGACGCCACATTTGTGAAGGATGAAGTACAATGTAGATCATGACGGTTTAAGCCATGGCGTCGATGGAACTCGCTCCGGAAGATCAAAGGTTTGGCTAAAGAGATGTTTGCTGAATCAACTCCGAATTCCGACGGCTACGTATTAGAGGCTGTGTGCTAGGGGGCCCAGTCAATAGGCAAAAACAGGCGCACTTTGCCGCCTGTCCGGGACTGGGTCTTGCTGATGCATACCTACTGTGAGGTCAATGTTACCTTCTGTTCCCATAGAAGCACCTGAATTCGCCTGGCGTGACCATATCTGCTGAGCGACCACCGCAGTGGGTTGCCACCATCTCCTATATGCCCGCTTGAAGTTGAGGCCAAAATGCGATACTATTGGGCAAAACTGTGAATCTGCCTAGATTTGTGAGTGGGGGCAGAGACGGCATCTTTATTTCTTCCCAAAGCCACGAGCCACGTTTAGATGGTTCGTGTCAAGATGGCTGCCGTGTCTACACTTGCGTGGGATGCACCATCACTACCAGGGGCCTCTCCCACACCCTGGGACGGGGCGTCCAATCCCCATGGTGGACTCTGACCAGGGCAGGTTTTTAGTGTATTGCTGAACCCCCTTCAGGCTCGAAGGACGAAAGCAGTCTTCTAGGTTGTCGGTGGACCGTCGGTCGTCCGTCATATCATGACGGCCAGCCTTCCAATCTGAGGAAGCTTGGTGGCTTCTTTTTGCTAGGATGAATGCAAATTGGGATGAATTGGGCTCCCACGTGTAGCATCTACTCGAGCTACTGTGTACATCACTCTACTACATAGTACGCACCAAGATAATCTTACCCTGGGCTCGGATTTCCGTCAAGACATGTAAAAGTCGACAAACAACTACTATGAAAAAGCGTAGGTATCCAAGCCAGAGCGAGAGGGAGATCAGTGCTGAACCAACGGCGCCATGCTTGTGCTCCACCGAACCGTGTGGCCGGATTTGTTACCGAATGACGGCACCTACTGTACGTGAGATACTACACAGTACATCGTACCTGCTGTACAGTCATCAGCGTCGGGCTATATCATAGTATGTAGTAAAATCCTGCTATTAATACTACTTTGTACGCCACCTTTAATCTCGAAGAAGCCGTCTAGCAAGAACTGATCTGACTTTACATCTGTGTCTTAAACTTGCATATGGGGCTTTTGAGCGCATGATGAATTCAATACCCATCTGTGCTGAAGATGGTGCAGGGCAATCGAGGTTTGTGACATCGCTGGTGTAGTAGGCAAAGACAAAGGCACACCCGACTCGACACATGGGGAGGGTGCAAGCGCGCCGGGCGTGTTCCGCAATGAGCATGTCACTGTGCAATCTTGCTATTCCCGGGGTCTCATTGCCACTGCCCTGTTCCCTGTCTCAGTGGCTGCCAAGCTGCGGGTTCCAAGGATTTGGGGTAGTCTTGAATCATTCACTGCAACTCGTACATCCTGCACTGTTTTCGATGTCGAGGAAACAGACGGCCATTACCTTTGGAGCCTGCCCCCGCTGGATAGATTTGCAAAAAGGTTACTACTGCATAGTGCACTACATAATTTTGATGCTCTTGATGAGCACATAGTGTGAGAGTTGGCTGCTCCATCTAACCTACATGTGGGATTCCTGTCCTGTTACTACTATTGGAGACGGTTCATAAGGTAGTATAGCAGGATTTAGTTCCTGGTCGTCATTCAACTCGCTCGGAAGCAGTGACCACACATCATGACCAAAGTACGAAAGACGTTCGTACAAACTAGCCTACCTCCATACATACCTAGTAGTTATGTACTGCTTGTCTGCTCGCTGCCATACGAGGTGGTTATAATCTGTAGTAGTATGTAGACAGGACCGAAAACCTGGTTACCTGCCTGGCTGCTTTCTTTCGGCCCCCCTTGTACATAGTAAGAGTCTTCGGGGCTAAGACGGGGGCCGTCTCACTCGCTGATGGGCGTCTGTCTCTGCCGGCGCATCTGCCCATTTGGGGGATGGTTGACCTACGTTCCACCGGTGCAGGGCGACACGGCGACGGCATTGCTGGAATCACTTCTGGGCCTCTGCATTAGCGCATCCGCCCACCTCCCAAAGCGACGGTTGATGGTCGCTTGCTGGTGCCACCTCTAAATAATCCCCGGGTCCCCCTTCCCCATTTTCCATTTGATCAAAAAGCCCCCCAAATCTTACCCACTTCCATCCTCTTGCCACTACTACGAGTTACATACTACTATCTACATGATGACATATCTCATGGTCGACGTCTCGTAAAAACGTCCACCGGGAAAAAAACAAAAGAAAGAAGAAGAAGAAACCATTTCAAAGTATAGAGGGATTTCTATTGGATTCGTTCTTCATGTTGCTCCAAAGCTACGATGTTCGACAACTTCACCTTCCACCAGGTGGAGGAGGTGCATCGGACGCGCCATCATGTTGATGACGCCAACAAATCCGAGCCGCACTTGTCGCCAAACAACGACTATGATCCGGTAGATTGGTTCTCGCCACAAGCCACTCCCGCAACGACCAAATATCGGCCCACGGAGGAGGATAGCTCGAGCCAGCACGGCTCATCGAATTCGGACTCGGGCTCGGGTTCGACTGGTATTGATCACATTGTCCGACAGATGAGCAGGCAAACCCTATTACCTTATGTGCGAAGCAATGGGCAAGTCAGGGCCGTGTCGCACATGGAAGATGTGTCTACCGAGTGGCCATCGCTGGATGATGATCCAATATCCAGCTTTGCCATGCCCTTCAGGCGGACCCAGCTCCAAGTTCCCCGTGCTGCCCTCCGAAATATGTATAGGGCCACGCCGCAGACACCCGATGCGCCGGCACAGGAAACAACCTCCCCTGCCGAGCACGCCGCTGCAGAAGTCGCATCAGATGCGTCAAGGTCTCCCGCCCACCACCAATTTCTGCCACAACCAGAAACTCCTGCAGAGCCTACATCATCTAATCCTCGTGCTATACGTGAAGCACTGGTAGAGTCCATGATAGCGCATGGCGTGCAATGCAATGTTCAATCAAACCCCCTACCAGCAGCTTCCACGGATCCGGGGGTTCTTGTGGGTGGCAAGGTCCAGGCGAAGGCTGATCAACCAATGTTGGATGCTGGCGCGGTGCAAGGCTTGTCCGACTCGCTGGAAGTGGGCGATCCACTCGCCGACAACGAGGAGCTGGCGTTCATGTGCAAGCTGGCCAGTCTACGCCAAGCAGGGAAACCATCTGGCATCCGCCGAGCGAATGGCCTGAATTATCGATCATCTGCAGAAGCTGCCGCGCATCTCAGCAAGAGAGGTCTGGTGCGGAACAAGCTCAAGATGAGGAGGAGAGACAAGTCAAAGCCAACGGATCCAATTGATCCAAAACAAATGCTCACTCCGCCTCCAGAAGAGGACACGGCCATGCCAATAGTTGGATAGCATTTTGTTTCCTTCCCCATTTGTTTTCTCCATTTTGTCATTTCTCTTTTGAGTTTGCTTGAATTGTCACTGTACAAATTTCTGGATTAAACAAAGCATATACCCCGGGAGCAGGCGTTTGATTGTTTAGAATCTGGGGCACAGATACCAGCTCGATATGGGCATTCCCAGAAGTGCCAGCATCGACGGCATATATGTACAGCATGTATTGGGCGTTCCAACTTGTTCAGCGGTGGCTTGCAAGGGCGGATTAGAAAAGGGAATATCGTGTGGAAATGAGTCCCGCCATGGATTCCTTTCGACTTGGGATAAAATCGTGGATTTATGGATTCTGAGCGGGAGCGACATGGAGCCGCCGAATAAGATCCGGTAGAGTCGATCGGAGAAACAGAGACCCTAATCGGATCTGGAGCTATGCATGATCTTAGTTATCGAGGGCGCGATTGCGCAAACGCGCCTGCAAGAAAATGAACAAGAGATGTTGAGCCAAATCCTGGAGAAAGGGGCATCTCATGTCGTATGGCTTGCCTCTTTCAGACCCAACCCCTTGTTGCTTCTTTATTCTCGTGATACCTGCTTTTAAATCCCGACCACTAGGTGGGTTCGCGGGTTGCTATTCATGGACTGCTAAAGATTGAGAAATCTCCCTTGCCTCCGTGGCAAGCGCATTCAACATGTTTGTACAGGACCCAACGCAACATGATCACGTTGTCAACCAATCATGGCTCTCTCGTGACTAGGGTGATTATTGTAGTCGGTTCATAGCCTCGGTATCAGCAACAGATCGGCCCGTGCAGAGGTGCTGTTGTTGTTCATAGGCCTTGATCAAACATTCCAATCCAGCCCTGCTTTGTTTCAAGACACCTACCCTCGCTGCTCGATTCTCCACTCGTCGACTAGCTGAATATCATGACCTTATCAAATGCCACCACCTTTTCGCAAATTGTCGGGAATGATTTTGTTCAAAGGAGTTCGTTCTTTGTGACCTCCCAGGGGCATTTCGCCCAGAGGTCTCCCGACGCGCGTGCTCGCCGCGACGGCTATAGTGTGTCCGCCTTCCGGCTGCTAGGGATTGAGGGTAGAGAGGGACTCAACCTTTCCCGGACCCTAGGAATGGGTTTCCTTGAGGTTCTCGACTTGCCTGAGCTTCCTGTTAACATTCCTTTGGACCCTTCTACCAACTACTTCTTGATAGTTGCTACAACTTGCTTTCAGAGACATAACATGAGCTAACTGGTCGATCTGCTTCCTAGTGGAGAATATCTTTCTCATGCCTGCCGTTGCCGTGACAGTACCTACATTTCATTGATCAATATGACCACAACTTAGGTACATGCGGAAATCGTCAAACTTTGATTTTGTGGTTCGTGGATAGTCTTGATACACATGACAGACAGTCAGAAGCATATCAACGTCCCCGCAAAGATTAATCCTTGCTTTCGCTACATATTACCGTATACATAACCATACGCTGCGTCATGGCGTCAACGACGGTGCGCTATCAGATGGACAAAGAGCAACGACAACAACTCCCATGCTGGCCAGATAACGGAGGTCTCGGTGATGCGACAACGACAGAGAACTCCTTTGATGAGTATGTAACCTTTGATCCCAACGACTTCCTCGGAGATCCTCAGAGTCCTTCAGCCATCCTCGAGGCGCCCGATGATGGCGTTCCCAATTCCTCGCCCAATGACCAGGACATATTCCCCGTACTGTCGTCATCGTCCTTTGCCGAGGACGCTGCGTGCTTTGACTTTCCCAGCTCGATACCGGAACAGAGTCTATTACTTCCAGCATTTCTTACTGGCGCCGAACCGGTTTTGGGAGGAGCAGAATCCATATCAGACTCGGAGCTCTTGAGACTGGAGGGCATTTCCATCAAGTCGCCCAGAGAGGAGATAGCCGAACCCGTGAGCCCGTCTCTGCTATTGCAACCAAGTCCAAACAAGAAAAGTCGCTTTGTGGAATCAGTTTATGCCACTTTTCGCAGGGCAACGGGTAGTTCAGGACCATCAAGAACGCATACAGCGGCTTTGGACATGTTCAATGCGGACACAATACCCCAGCCACATTTGCCACATGGAAGCTATGAATATACGACAGACCCGCTGGATTTAAAATCCGAGCCCATTGACAATAGTGGCCTGCCCCTGTCACCACCGCTGACGGGTAAGATTCCCTATTCAGGATCGTCATTTGCGGCAAATGGCGCCTTTGTGACGGGCAATATAGAGGATCCATTCTGCGATAAGATCATGGCTCCTCACATGGGCAATGATGTCAGCACTCCCCTGAGCACTCCGGCTCTCAAGGACGACTTCTTCTTCCCGACCACGGTATCGAATCTCGACCCTCGTAGCACCAAAGTCTGCAGACTGAAGCAAAGAAATGCGAGCTCGGCTGAGTGGCCCTTGGATGGCATCATTAGCGACGATAGCCCACGCCAGTGGTCCGCCACGGCATCATCTTCCTATATTCCAGACAACAATGCATTGCATAGCCCGAGCTGGTGGGATATCAATGAGCCGTCTACACCAAGCTCACAAGCGCCGATGCCGCTTCTCAACAATAGCGGTTTTCACGATGGCACAGCTAGTTTCGAGCACAATCAGTCAATGCACCATCAGTCTGAACTGCCCTACGAGTACACTCCAGAGCTCTCAGGACTCATGATTCACATGCCACAGCCCCGGCTGCCTCAAGCCGCCGTCCTGTCTGCCAACATTCCGGAGCAGCTCATGACGCCTACCCACCACGCATCCGCCGTGCAGAATTCTTCTCATGGTCATCACTCTCAACATCGCGGCCGCTACGCTGACCACAGACATCATCTTCACCGCCGCCCCCAGCCCCGAGCTCCGTCATCGGGGGCCCGCCACCTCCACCACGGCGCATCCATGACGTCGCCGCGTAAGCCTAGCCTGCACCGATCCGGGTCGAGGGCTATGCTCGTGCACCGCGAAGAGTCAGTCTCACCGTCACCAGGATCGTCGGGACAACAGCACCACCGGCCGCGGCGGGTGGCGAGCTCATCCAGTCTCTCAGTACGTAAACAGCGATCATGGTCTCGGGCACCACGGACACCGAACCCGTCAGGGAGGTCTCACTCGTCATCCTTTGGAGGCAACAGCGGCTCGCCTGGAGGTGGAGCGGGAGGGGGTGGTGGTGGTGTGGATTTTGTTAATTTTACGCCGAGTGACAAAAACCTGCTCATGACGGGCGTGGCGCCGAGCGGGAGCAGTAAGACCAAGGCCCGCCGTGAAAAGGAGGCCGCGGACCGCCGGAGGCGTATTAGCGAGGCGGCGGTCAAGGCGGTTCAGGCCGCTGGCGGTGACGTGGATACGCTGGTTATGGACGATTTTGTCTTTTGAGTAACTGCTAGCGGTGGAAAAGGCTGGAAGACGATATCTGATTTATTGCAGCTGCAACGGATGATGAGCACTACTCCTGCTTTTCTGAGCTACCTACATAGACACCAGGTCCGAAAAGAGGAGTTTCGTGGAAACGTTGGTAGGCACAAGGCTTGTGCGATACCCAATTCATGAAAACATGGTACAGAGTTTTGTAGCTGGTTTTTCTTTTTTAATTATTTTCTTTCGTCTCAGTAGGTAGCCATTCTCATAAGTTTAAGACCATGGTGGTATGGTTTTCCCTTCTCGCGCCAGTTTCTTTTGTTAATTAGGAGCATATTGGTACGGCATGGCCGGTTGTCGTTGTGGAGGGATTACTTTTGATCGTAAGTCACACGCAACGATCTAGGTCAAAATAACTCAATTTCTTCAAGCTCGTGTAATAAGATAGGCAGGCTTTGGTGTGATGCATAGCAGCTCTATTACCTAGCCATCCAGTTGTGTTCCAACAAGCTCACGGATGAATGAGCACTCGAGCTAGTCGATGCACTACTATATTGTAATATATGATGCATCCGGATATAGAGGCAAACCCTGCCTCTATTTATACTCTAAGCTCATATGCAAAACAAATCATATCGTAGCTCTAGCCATTATGAGACAAATACAAAGTATACATCATTACTCTGAATGATGTTTGATTTTGGAATTTATCAATTGCTCTGAACAAGACATCAGTTGGAACAAAAACGCCGGAAATGATGCCATCCTATATCTGCGCCTCAAGTAAGTATGAGCAGCTGAGGTTTCTATATGATGGACGAAACGGCCAAGAATTATTTGCTGCGTGGAAGCTATCCACAAATCATGAATACGAGCTCAGAGGTCCGAGGCTCCGGTATTTGCCGGTATTTGAATCCTTCTACTCCTTTGGGTATAGGAAGCTCCAACATGGAAGCATCATACTCCTGTACTATTGGTGCTCGACTATCAGGCATCTACATTATGCCAGGCAACCATATAACAATAAGTTTTGTGTGGGTCTTCAATTTAGCGAATGAAGTATCACGAAATACTATTGGTGCTCGATATATTAATAATTCTTCACAATGATTTATATGGATCATCTGTTCCAAGTGGACACATAGGCATGGTCCCAGAATACCATTCCATATTCCGTACATGGGTAACAATAAGAGCTTCGTAGAGATGCTTGTTCCTGATCGGTGATACAACTACATACCGCATTGGAAGATAACAGTGCTCGACATGAAGCTGTTGATAATATGACATGTTTCGAGGGCAGCGGCGTGAAACATATCCCTCAAACAGGATGCGCCGTTCTCTTTGTGAACAAGTTCTGAACAACCTAGGATTTGTATCCGCACCCTTGGCTGGGTGATGAGATGCAGTCCCACTCTTTTTATGTTTCTAGTTCCACCCTATCTTATGTCACCCCCGATTAACATACTACGTACTGACACTAGCCTCGCAATTCTCTGATGTAGGTGTCTCTAACCCTGAGTCCTGATTTCCGCAGTGTTTGTCATGAATCTCGTCTCAGTTGAATCTCACAAAAGGCTCTGCGAGACAGATTCTATATCAACGTGTCGAGGACCAGCCTTTCAAAACAAATCATTCGAACTTGGAAAGCTACATTTCATGAAGAACCTGACGTTTTTCTTTTTTGAGTAAGAATATTGCCCACAGATGAGTGGCTGCACTAATCACTCAGCCCAGACAGACAGGCTGCTCCTGCTCGTAAAAGGAGTCAGCCATAATGATCCTCAAGATTTTCCGAAGGCATACAAGCCCCTCCTTTATCATCACGGCTATTGTTCTATTGTGTCTCTTTCTGACATTCTTCCATCGCCACGGTCCTGAGCGAGCATATACAGGCCTCAATGAGCATCCTGTGGAAATTCAGCATGATACCATCCTGGAAGGCGCCTTGCCGTCTGCGGTGCCCAAACATGGAGATGTAGAAATCTCACCCACTTTGGCAGAGTCTGAAAATAGCGAAGCAAAAATACCGTCCATTTCAGTGGATATCATCTCAGAAGAGGCCAAGGCACTGCCCGCTGGTGATTCAAGTTCTGCCCAAATTAAGAGGACTACGACGTTGGTTACAGGGCACACTAAAGATGAGGATGTTAGCTGGCTGCGCGAATCCTTTCGGGGCCCAGAGTACCTCCTCAAAATCTACTCGGTCGATGGTTCAAATTCGAAAGACTTGCATACTCCGATGAACAAAGGCCGTGAGACGATGCCTTTTCTCACCTACATCATTGACAATTATAACAGTCTTTCTGACATCAACATCTTTCTTCACCCGCACCGGTACGCCTGGCACTCCCGGGACACCCTAATTCCTGATACAGTTGAGTTGATTCATCGACTCAACACCGACCGCGTGGCACGCCTAGGATACATTAACCTCCGGTGTCGGTGGAGTCCGGGATGTCCGGTACACATGGACACGGGGAGTCTGGTAATGGGAAACGACATACCAGAGCAAACCATCTTTGGGCCAACTTTCCGAGATATCTTTGGTGCCGATGCCGAGATGCCGGCGCTGATGGGTGGAACCTGCTGTTCGCAGTTCGCCGTGATGCGCGAGACCGTCCAGAGCGTGCCCCTTGAGCGTTGGCGCTATATGCGCGAGTGGATCCGCACGACAGATCTTGACGATGGCATGGTGGGCCGTGTGTTTGAGAGCCTCTGGCAGTACATCTTCCTCGGCGAGGCTATCTTGTGCCCACGCGAACACCTGTGCTACTGCGACACATACGGGCTGTGCTTTGGCGGCGCGACCGGGTTTGATCAGAACGAATGGCTCCTCGGTCGTCGGAAGGAGATGCAGGGCAAGGTGAAATGGCTAGATGAGGCCATCAAGGAGGCCGAGAAAATGTCTGGAAAGCCATCCGAAGGGGGTGCAGCTGAGACTAAGAGCGAGAGGAAGGAGAGGATCACTATGATGCAGGAGGAGAAGAGTAAAGCCCTTTTGGAGGTTGAAAGACTCAGTGCCATTTGTGAAGCTAATGTCCAAAGAGCGTTTGAGAATGGAAACGATCCCATAAAGCGGGCGAAAGAGATGAGGTCCGAATAAACAATTTTGATTTTATTTTACATTTCAAGCATGCAATTCATGTATACATGCACAAAGGGGTATTCAGAAAGAGAAAGATTTGTCCTTGTGGCATGACCCTTGCAAAAGAGTTGAATCAAGAATTGCCGTGCAAGATATTTTAAAGTCGGACAAGAAAATTGATTCAAATATAATTCTGATTCCACCTTGTTTGAATTAAACAAACAAGTTAGCATTGCACCTTAGACTCACCATGAAGACGCAGTGCTTTACATTGCGATCATTGGTTTGAGAGCTCGCAATCGTGAATCTGTGTGTGATGCGGTCATACCCAGCGGAATGCCAAATGGCAACAGATACCACGACAACAGGCTATTCATCATCACAAAACGTTCTTGCGTAAGGGATGGCTGGGTGAACAGACTGTGTTGATACTTTGAACTAGATGCGAGCACGACAGGCGAGTTTGAATAGAGTTAACTTTTCCCCTTGCACAGGTTGAAAAGGAGTACAGCAAGGTACTCCGTACATTAAGTGCCTTGGTAGCCGATGGACGGTGCAATTCGCTTAGCCGACACTCAAAGCACAGGTGCATGTCCTAGCGTCAGCTGGTTGGCCGCTGGCGCGAACCCCTAAAAGCTGGAGAACCAGACGAGATGATAATCCCTGTCATCAAACACACCACGTCTAATAATTTGCATCTGCGTTACCCGTGTGAGGATTTCCGTCAGCACGAAGCAGGGCAAGCTCAATTCCTAGGTTGCAGAGTAGCTCCCTTCTCCATTCAGAGCACATTGGCCATCCCAACTTCGCCATCCTCTTCAATATCGCATCCTTCACGAACCTCTGAAAATGGACGCCCTCAAGTCGGCCATCGCGCCGCTCAAGCCCATTACCAACGCCCTCCCGCAACCTATCCACGATCTCGGTACCTCGATCATCGGCTCGACCTGCTATAAGACTTTGATTCTGGACCTCGACCCTACCGACAGCGAGTGCGTCAAGCTTGCCATATCCAAGGGCCTAGGTATCGGCATCATCGCCGCTTCGTCCATCGTCAAGGTGCCCCAGATCATCAAGCTCGTCAACTCCCGCTCCGCCTCTGGTATCTCCTTCCTGTCCTACCTGTTGGAGACGTCGTCCTACCTCATCAGCCTGGCCTATAACGTTCGCAATGGATTTCCGTTCTCGACTTTTGGCGAGACAGCCCTGATTATGGGACAGAACGTGGTCATCACTATTCTGGTGCTCAACTACAGCGGCAAGCAGAGCACGGCGGCACTGTTCGTTGCCGCGCTTGCCGCTGCTGCTTTCAGCTTGTTTGCTGAGAACCTGATTGACATGAAGACGCTTGGACTGTTGCAAGCTGGCGCTGGTGTGCTCGGTGTTGGCAGCAAGGTCCCACAGATCCTGGCAATCTGGCAACAGGGCGGTACTGGTCAGCTCAGTGCCTTTACTGTAAGTTATTTCAACATAGATAAGCCGAATTCACATCTGACATTCTTCTTAGGTCTTCAACTACCTCGCCGGATCGCTCTCTCGTATCTTTACCACTCTCCAAGAGGTCGATGACAAGCTCATTCTGTACGGTTTCATTGCCGGCTTTGCGTTGAACTTGGTTCTGGCTCTGCAGATGGTGTATTACTGGAACGCACCGTCCGCCAAGGCTCGCGGCAAGATGAAGGAAGCCCCTATTGCTGCGGCTCCCACATCATCTGGCACATCCACAGCGACACCGAAGAAGGGCCCGACTACTCGTCGTCGGGGTTGATAGCTATTGCCCCCCATAATAGATAACTAGGTTAGGCAGGAGGGTTTAATTTAAACAGGTCAGATCCGCAGACTTTATGAGTGCTACTACTTTTGTGGCAGTTGTTAACAATTACCCTTGACGTGATTCACCATGATCGCATTGAGTTACTTCCGTTACTGACAGGAAGCGTCTTGGTATGATGTGGCTGGCAAATTTCTTGTGCAGGGGGGATTTTTCGGCCGCTTCGTGCCACTATGAGCTCTGTATCTAAAGTGACAGAATGGCAACTTCCCTTGGGATGCAAATCTGTCGATCTGGTTGTCAATCAAACTAATTGAGGCTAGTTTTTAAACAAACAAATGCATCGAGTACACATGAGAGCTATCGATGGTGTGTAGTCAAGTAACATGTGAGTGTGTGTGTGTGTCTGTTGAATGCAACCGTAGGTACGTATCAATCATGACTACTGTACGAAGTACTTTGTATAGAGCGCGGTAGCTATGTATCTACATTTAGGTACACTATAATTGCGTGTCTGTAAGTTGAAAGCTTCAACTCAGAGCCGCGGTAACTGTCCAGCTGTTCAATGTTAATGTAGTCCCTTGATTTGGACAAGGTATCCAACGTCCATAGGTAGTAGCTTAGCAATTGCAGCCACGCTTGCCACGCCGCCGCCAATGGCTTTATGAGATTTGTATACTGATCAAAGGTGTGAGGCTACATTACTTTACTAGATGCATCCTTTCAGGTCTTCCGGCGATCCCGCACAGAGATAATGAGGTTGCGTTTTGCGAAGGTGCCTGCTGCATTCCGTCGACTTTCACGAATCAATCTCACCTGCCCAGTCGTCAACAAGCTCAGCTCACCTTGGATCGGTTTCTCGGGTAGTGGTCGGGCTTTTTGTGTTTAAAAAGATGCCCTAAGAATTGCGACATTGACCAGCTCTCTCGCGTGATCGGGGGTAAAACTGGGGTGGAAGCGCCCTAGCCGTCATCGAAACAGGGCTTCCCCAGATTATAGCCACCCTATCAGGTTCAGCCATGCAGGTAGAATGAACCCGTCTTGTCCACCTTTTCAATGTTATTGAGAAGAATGGATGGAGTATGGCGTCAAACTGAATGTACGTATTTGTGCATAAGCTTCCGCTATCGTGGTTTTACACGGGTTTACGAATGCATATACAGATACACAACGGCGGACGTCATCGGAGGTTGGATACAACGATGCACCTGATTCTTCTTTCAGCCGATTGCTGTCCATTTCCGAGCTTCGTGCAACGTCGCTTGTCGAGGCGAAGAACCACCGCAAGGGATTCTCTTGTTTCTTTCCAAAAACACTCGGTTTCCCGATCCGAACACAGGGTTACGTTCAGCCGGACGTACCCCTGGGCGATCATTTCTCGTTGCCCTGCCGTGGCAGGCACACGGCTCAGCTCTTATTGGACAGGCTTGGCCTTCTAGATTCGTTCCAAAAGCTATCCTAGACCCAAGGGTCCGACGTCGCCCCTAGTCGCATCGAGTAAAGTGTCGAGCTTTATCTGTCTCTGGCGCTGTTTTCTTTAATAAACAGGCGGTGTCGATGGAATGGCTAACGTGATATTTCGCCATTTCACTCCTCTCTCGCGACAGACGGATCCTCCAGAGATCGACCCATTGGTACCGGCACATCGCTGCGAATCACGGTCCAAGCCGCTAGACGTTTGTCACAAGCTCTGCTGTTTGTAAGCCGCTAGAGTGCCGTTTTATCTGTCCTGTGCGATCGTCGTCTCCCCAGGTAGTAGATTGAAGATTACGCACCGCTCTTATCTCTTCCAAAGGTCTAAAACCCTCGATCTTTTTCCCTTCTTCATCTTCTTCTCCTTCTCCAATCTCATCTTCTCCGTCTACCAGCACCGCACTTCTCCCTCTGACTTGCATCTCTCCTTTGCTGGTCCTTCTCACCTCTCTGCACAATGGCCCCCGATCTCAACTCCATGCCCTCCTCCCCCCATATTCCCGTCAACAGCACCCGCGGCCAGGCAGCCCCGGCTCCTGTAGCGGTGGGAGACTCTGACCAGCCTAATGTCCTCTTCATCATGGCAGACCAATTGGCTGCACCTTTGTTGAAGATGTACAACCCAGATTCTCAAATCAAAACTCCTAACCTTGACGCACTTGCGGCAAAGTCTGTCCAGTTTGATTCTGCCTACTGTCCCTCGCCTCTGTGTGCCCCTTCGCGTATGAGTTTGATCACTGGTCTCTTGCCCATGAAGATTGGCGCATACGATAACGCGGCTCAGATCTCAAGTGATTGGCCAACCTACGCGCATTACCTGAGGGTCAAGGGTTACCATACGGCACTTGCCGGAAAAATGCACTTTATCGGTGACCAACTCCACGGCTACGAGACTCGTCTGACTGCCGACATCTACCCGGGAGACTATGGCTGGGCCGTGAACTGGGACGATTCGGAAAGACGGCTAGAATGGTACCACAATGCCAGCTCCATTCTCCAGGCTGGCACCTGCGTGAGGAGCAACCAGCTCGACTACGACGAGGAGGTCATGTACAAGTCAACCCAATTTCTGTACGATCAAGTTCGTGAGGGTCCCAACAAGAGACCATTCTGCCTGACTGTCTCGCTCACACACCCACACGACCCCTACACGATCGAAGAAAAGTACTGGGATCTGTACGAGGGTGTCGACATTGACCTGCCCAAGGTGTCCATTCCCCGGGAAGAGCAAGATGCACACAGCAAACGATTATTGAAAGTCTGCGACTTGTGGGATGAGAACTTTTCCGACGAGCAGGTTAAGCGGGCCAGGCGAGCATATTATGGTGCTGTGAGCTATGTCGATGACTGCATCGGGCGTCTCTTGGCGACGTTGAAGCAGTGCCGCCTTGATAAGAATACCATCATTGTCTTTAGTGGTGACCATGGAGACATGTTGGGTGAGCGAGGACTGTGGTACAAGATGAACTATTTCGAGGGGTCGGCCCGAGTTCCACTCTTGATTTCGGACCCTTCGCGTTTTGAACCTCGACGTGTCAAGCAGAATGTTTCAACTCTCGACATCCCAGCAACGCTGTGTGACTTGGTTGGGACGAAGCCATTCCCGGGTCTGCCAATGGATGGCCAATCCATGCTACCACATCTTGAAGGCCGCGAGGGTCACGACACGGTCATTGCCGAGTATACGGGTGAGGGCACAATCAGTCCTCTCATGATGATCAGACGTGGGCCCTGGAAGTATATCACTTGCCCCACGGATGCACCCCAGCTTTACAATCTGGAACAAGACCCTCTTGAACTAGTCAACCTGGCCAAATTGGCGGATAGGGAGAATCTGACAGCCGAGGAAGAAGAAGCCAAGGCTAAATTTCTCAAATTCGAAGCAGAAGCCAAGGCACGGTGGAACTTTGAACAGATTACCGAGGAGGTACTTCTTTCTCAGAGAAAGCGCAGATACGTCTGGGATGCTCTCAAGATCGGTCGATTCGACTCCTGGGACTTTGACCCAGCCAAGCACGAGGATGGTACAGCCAAGTAAGTTCAAGCCTTTTTCGAATACAACTTTGATACGATACTGACGGGTAATGCTTCATAGGTACATACGATCTTTCCTACCCCTCGATGACCTCGAACGCAAGGCCAGATATCCGGTAGTGGACAAGTACGGTCGCGAAACGGGAAACATATTGCTTGCGGACCAGGCTGGTTCGCATGGCCAATAACGAACTGATGAACAAGTAAATATTGTATATGGAGCATTTTCATAGAGTTATGAATGTTGCTTCACGGGCTTGTTGAGGCCGACACATGATCGGATTCGCGATTGTATTTTTTGATTACCATTATTATTTCGCTGTATTAGTCACAAGCACAAAGCATTAGCCAAGATACCTTTTAATTCGTTGATCGAAATCAATTCAAATGGAAATTATGCAAAATAATGATAGAGAAACAATTCCGCACCAACGTATTGTCATGACCCAATGCAGATGACCATCCATTTATTGAGAATACAGAGGTACTACTAGCACTTCAGGGAATCCAGTTTAACTGCTTATAGGTAAATAGTCAACGGTGCTTATCAGCTACATAACGTAGCCTGGTAGCTGGACCCTGAAATCTGGAGAGTTTGGATACCCAGCAGCCAGGTACCTACCTTCCTAACCTTGATCCTTGTTACCCCTCGCTGTACCTTGTGCAAGCTGGAGCTGGACATTCTGGAAGCTGGGGCTCCGGTCGCATGCACGTTGTATTAGGTAAGCGACCCGTCAAGGTCCCCCACGGTGCTACCCATTCCCAAAACGCGGTCCTCTCTCTCTCTGAAGCTCTGCAACCAACCCGCTTTCATTCGTCACTTTCAGTTCTACATTTTACATGAAACACACTCCTCTTGTTTCTCCATTAATCCATTCACTTTCCGCCCGCGACAGTGGAACTCAACTGGCATATTTATTTCGACCAAGTCTTGCGCTCAAGATCGAGTCCTCTCGTGCCGTATGTTTTAGTTGCAGTTGCGATCGACATCCAAAAGCATAGCACGATGGCGTCACTCAACATATCACAAGAAGAACTTAAGGCGCTGGAACAGACGCGCCAGCGCCTGCAGCAGGTGTCAGATAGCATCGGAACACTCAAGAATGATGTCTTCAGCAGCAACCCACTCCCAAACCTGTACGTGCGGCCCCATTGCAAATGTGTATTTACTGGTGAGAAACCTTGGTTCCGATGCTAAACCATGCCCGCGCAAACCAGAGCATCCCTACAAAACTCTGCCGACATTCTTCAAGCCACCATGCGCTCGCTCCTTACCAACATGTCGAACAATGACGAGCTCTTCAGCCGTCTTGCTGTGCATCCCTCCACAAACTTTCCTGGTCGGACCCAGGAGAACATTCTTTTACAGCTGCTGCGCAAGAAACCAGAGCCCGACGTCGCGGCATCGCTAGATGAGGGCCGGAAGGCCTATTCCGAGCTTGATGAATCGCTCAAAGGAGAGATCAAGCTTGAACATCGCAACAATGATGAGGATGATGACGACGAGGACATGTCACCCATGAACCAGCGATGGGCGTCGCTCGATGCATGGGTTCGCAAGAGAGCAGAAAAATTCATCGTGGACGAATTCCCTGAAGACTTTACGGCGGAAGAGCTTGACCTGGGCATTGAGAATGTCAGGACTGGACTGAGGAGGAAATTTGAATACGAGGAGGACGACGATGACGAGGATGAGGATGACGAGGAGACCAAGGCTGTCGCACCACCGAAGCTGCACGCCGAAGACGACGATGTGGTCATGCTTGACGATCTACCACCACCGCCACCTCCTACCGTTCCTTCACTGCAATCTCAGGCCAGTCAGTCCGGCGTTGCAACTGAGCATGTCGACGGGTTGAAGTTAGAAAACATGCTCAAGGTTGCGACGCTGGGTCAACTTTCCAGATGAACGAACGACAACAAGTCAAACGCCCAAAGTACCAAGACAACAACACGAAACCCATCAGTTTTTGTGGACATCAGCTGCCACATGGCGATGGAGTTGGGCAAAAGTACACACCTAGTATGTTTGTATCCCAAACATGGTGAACTGCATTCACCAATATACACGTAGAAGTACGTGTCAGAGAGAGGTAATATGGTCATTCGCGGGGCTAAGCTGAGTTGCAGCTGAAGCAGTCGGGGGAACTCTTGTTGTGTTAAGCTCAAGACTAAAGTGCTTAAACTGCTTGGCTACATACAGTCCACGCTTTACCATCTTGAAGCATGGGGCATGGTGGCATCGGTCTCTCGAAGACGACACGCAACTAAATCTGACGATCCAGTGTTCGGTTCTCAGGAGCCTAGTAGCACGGCGCGGGCCTGTCAATCCTCTTGAGCAGCGCTCGGCAGTTGTCAAGGAAATTGCAAATTCTTGATATGGTTACTCTGCAGCCTGGAATCTCACGCTTGTGTCACACTTGATCACAGTGGCCTGGCACGAGGCGTCAACTTGTTTTGCTGTTTTTTATGTACGGTGCCTGACCCGACAAAGTCGAGCCAACAAGCTTGTAACATACAGTATTCCTTGTGTTTTGTGCTCACCCGCGTGGCCTAGCCCTTGGCTCTCGATAAGTTTCCGGCTTAAATCCTTGACAGCAATCTGATCTGACTCGGCCACCGGGCCAACGCGTGTCATAGCTCAACTAGTGCCACGGCATAGTTGCAGAGGGACTATCCTTGATCGAAAGTGGTGTTCGCTCATGCATTGGCCTGTCACTCGCAATCGAGGTACTGCACGCCGATGTGGTGTAAGCTGACATAAGTCGGGATTACTTGCTGGACTAGCTGAGTCGCACAAGCAATTCTTCAGCCTTGAGATGACACTGATCGCTGCCCGCAGTATCCTAGCTTGCATACAGAAAGCTCATTGGTCATCTCTATCTTAGGGATTTTTTCATGTCATGCTAGGTCAGGATTGATTCAATGCCCGGGGCTTTGAGGGAAAAAAAAATTTGTTATATCCAGACTCATATCTGTCGTGTGCAAGATGCGTTTTCTTCTTCTCATCTTTTCCTCATTAGCCGTGGTATGTTGGGCGAATCCTCATACCGCGCACATCAGCTTCTCTGCCGCAGTTGTATGAAAACTTTCGCATCAAACTTTTTCTTTTGTTCAACGCCAATTGCGCGGCACAGCAAAAAGCGGAAATGATTGAGCTACAGCCAACCGGAGAAGATTTCTTCCACAATGGCAACACGGTGCCGTGGGCTCAAAACAACATTGATACACCAACTGACAACAAGCCTACGACTGGACTCAGCTTGGCTATGCAAATGGGAGAAATCATGTACAACTATGCGGACCTACCAAGGACGGAGTCTGTAGCTGAGAGCTGCATCTCGGAAGACTCAAATGCGGACATCAAGCCTTTCCCGCTCATGGAGCTACCATTCGAAATCAGGATCCAAATCTATCGCTGGATACATTTGGGACATCCTATCAAGCAATCCCAGCTAACACCCTGGTACCCCATGCCTGTCTACAACCACTATTTTCTCAAAGTTGTTCAGCCAGGGAGCTCTCCTCCGGTCAGCGGTGCGGATCCGAGGATTCTCCACGACACAACTACAGCCAAACGCCCAGTAGAGAAAGAAGCCGGGGAGGTGACGCTCTTATCCCCATACCGGCCCCTGGCTGGTCTGCCCTCGGCACTCTTACGAGCTAACAAGCAAGTCTACCACGAAACGCGAGAGCTAGCATTGACGGAAAACGAGTTCATCTTTGTCAACTGGTTCTCATCTGGTTTATGGGCAGCGCGGTCTTTTGGAAAAGGCCTCCAGCCTTGGCAACGAGCCAGCGTGCGTCGGGTCCGCCTCGAACTGCTCTCGCGCGACCTCACTGGCACTTATGCCGACGAGTGGCGCGATCTGTGCGAGCTCTGGTCCACTGGACTGCGCGGCCTCCGGCTCAAGATTCTCTGCGGCGGCGGCGCTTTCGGGTCATGGGTTGCGGACGGTCTGCCTCGCCGAGGGTCTCCTACCGTTCGTGTCCGGGATGACAATGACAAGATTTTGCATTGGGTCGAGCATGGGCTTGCACGGCTGAAGGAACTCCGGCACCTCGAGGTTGAGATTGCTGTGGCTGAATGGGACGACACCCAGCGGGTGAGGTTTTGCCATGACCTCGAGGATGCGCTGTATGAAGTGCGGAGTCGCTCGAGTTGGGCTCCCGTCAGGCGTGTCGGTGTTGTCTGTGTGGAGAGGTGTGGTAAGTCGCAGCATGGAAATTGAGCGAGAGGATGGATGTAGGATATTTGTCTTGGAGCAGCGGAAGAATGCTCAGGTGGCATATTAAGTTTAATTACGTATTCACGTCCTCGAATCATGGCCAGCCAACCAACAAGCAATGGCATGCAAATCCGGGCCATTGTATCTTTTCTTTTCTTTTACCCAAGCATTGACGAGCTATTTGAAAGCTCGATCAGCGTTACTCAGCCTGTGTAAATAGTTATTTCTTTTCCTTGTTTTCAAGAAGTCTTGCTGTGCTTTTGGATTGTCTACTGTATTACTCGATATTCTTTGTTGCCGTTGATAACAGGTAGTCCACTTTCATCAATGTAGGGGTCAATCTTGACATCTCAAATTTCTAGTGAAATCTTCGTCTTGTATTTCGAGCTATTTAGCTCGCATCATCTAACCAATCTTGTCATTCAGCGGCAAAAGGACTTGAACCAGCCTGGATAACTGTGGTCTTCGGGTCCAGTCTGAGTTGCACCCCGGCATGTTGGACAAGCCATAGCCCATTTCATGTTGTTGTACTCGCCAAACCTTGGAGATCTATGCATATGATAGTCCCAGTCAACAGGCGACAAGTCGTGAGTATGCTTCGGTCTGTTTTTAAATTAGGCATGATCCCTTGGCCAGCTCGCAGGTATCGGTCTATAGTCGAGATGAAATAAAATATATATATCCTTCAGTTGTATAGCTGCCTAGGCGGGTTTATCCGTAATCCCCATTACAGGGAGTCAGCTTCGGGCGATCGAATTTACTAGAGTTGAACCATAAATCCAAAGCCATAAAACCTAAAAAGTCAACCACAAACTTGGCCCCATTTGGCATCTCCAGCCAGAGTCGCAATTACAGTTGTGAGGGATGACGCATATGGTTTGTCACAATCTTAAGATAAGAAAGTGGGAAAAAAGAATTAATAAGGGCGACTTTGATTTGCAGTGACGCCTGAGCATGTGACTTCGCGGTAGGCAGCCGATGAGTCAGGCAACCCCCGGTCGAATCACATCGCGCAGTCTAACCCCGTCTGCGGAGAAGATGCGACCAGGACGTGTTTGAATGAGAACACATCATCCTATCAACCACAATTTCGCGAAAGTATTGTGTTTTATTGCCATATGCAAACTATCTAGCTCCTCGATATTCCAATCCAGTTCCCCGAAGCATTATTATCAGCTTTCTCTTGATGCCCCAGGCCTGTCGGTCGAAACAACGAGCAAGTCATCTATAGCCACTACTGCAGCTTACTATGGAGGCTCGCTGTCAATGCGGAAGCGTGAGCTTCAAGACACCCTTGGCGAAGCCATTGGCACTGTACGTTTTCCTTCTTCCTTTTCTTCTCATCATCATGACAAGTATTCCGACTCGCAACATTGATTAGCTGACTGTCTGATAAAGTTATATATGCCACTGCGCCGAGTGTAGGAGGCAGACGAGCTCCGCCTTTGGCACTTCTGCAATCTTTCCCAGGTTCGCTCTCCCTCAGACGGAGGAGCTGTCGTGTTACTCGTAAGCAGGCTACACGCTGTCTTTATGCATTGATGCGCAACTCATCAACGACATTCTTTAATATCATAGTCGTCCTACTCCAAGTGGACACACGCTATACTGGTAGGTTCTTTCTAATCGACAGGTCCAACGCTGTCGGCTGTAGCACCGGACGGCTAACCTATTTATTCTGCAAAGCTACTTTTGCCGTAGGTGCGGATCGAGGCTTTTACACACGACGCCGGTAGGTCTCAATCCTATTGAGAAATTTGTCGTCGATACTCATCGTCCAACTTTCACAGGGAAAGAATGTAGTTTCCGTCAAGGGAGGTTGTCTGGATGGGCTCGACTGGAACAATGCCATCCACATATGGACCAAGTCGGCCATGGTCCCCATACCCGAAGGCTCTGAATGTTACTCGGAGGAGCCGACGGATTCGGAGTACTCGGGCCCCCAGGAAACACTGGATCAGCCCGTGGACGTCCCGGGTAGCGCCCTCATGGGCAGTGGAGGCTTGCTGCCTGAGCCGAGGCCGACTGAAGAAATATCCAAGCTCAATGATACCAAGAAGGGTCTTTGCGAGCTCAGTAGCTCATTCACTCATATAGGACACTGAAAGAGTAACTAATACTTTACTGAACTGTTGACTGTACATTACGTGGTGTAGAAATCGAGATGAAGTTGTGGAACAAACTAGGTAGAACGAGGTATCAAGGCGTAATCATAAGAAACAATCTAAACCTTCATTTCATCTCATAGAATGGACCATTTAGGCCTTTTGATACCTGAATGAAGAACTAATTGCTTGTCAAATGTTCTCCACTTTGCCTAATATCACTGGGAACAGTCTGTCCATTTCCTTCTTCCGCAGAGCGATGTCCCTGTGCTCCACTGGAATGCTTTGCTGGATCAAAGACGTACATTGGGAACTCTAGGAGGATCGTCCTCTTGATGATGACTGGCAGTCGCTCATACAACTGCGGTGGAAGCGGGATAAGGATACTGGTTCTCTTGAGGTATCGTTGGTAGCCTTCCCAGTTTGAGCCGTTCTCATATCTCTTCTTTGCACCTGGTCGCTCTGATAGCGGAAGTCCAGACACGAACATGAGCAGTATAGTCAAGAAGAACGGGCCCAAGATCGTGGCATAGAGGGCTTTGTATGCTTGGCCACGTACGTACCCATCAGCCGCAGAGGAAACAGCAATCATGTAGATTGCTGTATGTATTAGTTTGGAGTTTTGAGCACGGTAAACACTTAGTTTCTGACTTACCAAACTGGATAATAATTTCTCCAAAGTAATTAGGATGGCGACTCCAGGAAAAGAACCCCTTGTCGCAAATGGCAGACTTGTTGTTCCTTTGGCGGAAAATGAACTTTTGTACATCACTCATGCTCTCCATGACAAAGCCAATGGTAAATAGGATGACACCCGCAATATCGCGGCCCGTGCCAAAAGATGCCTGGGGGTATTGCTGGATGTTTGGCGAGTTCAACACAGTCACGGGTAATGAGACTGTCCAGACCCAGATCATCTGGAACACCCTGATTGGGGAAGAAACGTGGCATGTTAGTTCATAGGTATCTAAGACACTACCAGCCTAGGAAGCTACCAGTGGCTTTGGGAGATAATCCTTACCAGAATCCAAGAAATGGGAAGAACTTGTCACGCTTGTCATCAAAGCGATCATCCTTGCCCGTCTTTAGGATGCGAAAGAGGAGGAATCCCGAGAGCCGCACTGCAAAGATACGTGTTAGTCTGGCCGTTTTCAAGTTTGGAGTAGCATTCTGATCAAGTTATCCAGCAGCACCATTTCGGAAAGTAGGTTTTCATGAGACAACAAAGCACGAGTAAAAAGTAACACAAGATGATGCTTACAGCCCCAGACCATGATGAACAGCGACGCGACAATCTGGCGCGCATGGTGGTGGTCGCTGAAGGCAAGCGTAATGATGGCTAGGACTACAAAGTTTGTGCCTCCGGCAAAGTCTGTGTAGTATGCCTGTGTTAGTAATGTGGTGTTCCATTACCCATGAATGTGACTGAAATTTGTATTGACCACTGACCTGTCAACTTATCAAACTTGAACGTGAATGCGACCGCGAAGAAGGCGAGTTGGTAGCCAATCGTGATGAGAAGTGTGATGGCCAGGTAGTAATCATCGAGTACGTGAACGGTTCCCGCCATCTTGAAGGTCAAGTAATGTGAATACTCTGTTTTCTCGGCTTCAATAATCTGGAAAATTTGTGTGTCCTATTGTTCTGCTCGTTGTAAAAACTGCCTTGGATAGATGGTTCCGGCAAAAGACACTGCGACTTTCAAGTGCACAGATGAAACACGGCGAGTTCGAGATGCCACAATTCCGTGGATCCTGGGTTAGGTAAGGTACTACTACCTTGTTGCCGTCGAGGTTGTTTATCTCTAAATAACTTTGACGAAGAAAAGGAGAAAGACAACCGAGATGCCGCAGAGATGATATAGTTGATGAGCAAATTCAACAATCGCATCTGACCTGATGTAGAGTCCAGATCGACAGTGTAATGGCATCGAAGTTACAGCGTGCCCATCGTGGGGTGTCTAGCGCTGTTACTGGCGCGCTCGAGGCGCCGCGCCAAGGTGCCGGGGATTCCCTTTACCAGGTCGGCGCATTTCGCACTCGGACCTCGCAACCCCAATTCATCCTTGCATGATGTCATTGACTTTGTCGGTCATATACATGGAGTGTGTATGGTGGCTTTTCAAACCTATGGACGCATCGTAACCTAGAAATCTTTTTAATGCATATTGTGAATCTACCTGTAAACTTTTTTTTCTCGAGCAACATTTTGGTTATGTAAAGAGTTTTACCTGGAAATGATACAATTTGTAATTACATCTGTCACTTGCATCAATATGTCCAAGGCTATACAGAGTTGCACAATTATGGTTAATTGCAAAGCGGAAATGAAAGTATTCTATCTCTAGAGAGCTCTAGAGACGTAATAGGTGCAAGGTATCTTGTGCGCTATCACTCGCTGGGACTTCGGTACTTTCATCTTCAGATGGTGCAAATTTCAGTGTGGCCGTAAAGCATCTACACAATGATGCGTTGATGGAATGGAATTATGCCTCAAAGTAGCTCACAATAATGCATCCGTAGCATCTGATATCTGACACAACACCGTCCGATCAGTCCAGTCTTCAGATCATACTTGAGCCACCTAATTGTCTCTAGGGGAACGCGTGCTCTTCTCCAACTTCCTAAATCTTCAAATCAGGATTGTGCCTTACTAACGGGCAGATAGTGTAGTTTGATGTGGGTTTCGGGTTTCTATTTCGGAAGTGTTGGCGTTATTATTCCTTCTGATGATTTTGCAATCTGGCTCGGTCACACGCTCGGTACGTTGCGAAGGCGTGCAAGAGACTGTCAATATCCGTGGAAGAATTCGAAATCATAAGCGCAAACCTGATGGATATGCGTTGGTAACCACAAGGGCGTGAACCGAATGTCTTTCCGGAAAAAGTAGTTAGACATTCTTCAAGTTGTGGCCATATACAAACAGTAAATGTTCGGTCTGTCGATAAACAGTCCAGTTGCCATCACAAAATCTGTGATTTACGATTGTGGCTTCCTGGGCCAAGAAGCACTCGATCATCTTCTGCTTGAATGTTATAACAGCCTCAAAATCAAAGGGCCTAGAGACTCTCTCAAGCTAGGTATGCTGTCCGCCATGCCCCAGTCAGACAAAGGGGTAGATGATTTGATATCAACGTTTGAGAAGACCTTACAGTCCTGCAGTAAGTTATATAGAAGCAAGTATAAATAAATGTATTGGCTAATATTGCCATTTAACTTTCAACAAGAGCTTATGGGATATGGATGAGTTTAAGACTGTTTCCCAGGGCACATGTCCAGCAAGGAGATTGTGTGCAAGTACATTCGGATCGCATCCATAGCCTTAACTATATTTTTCTTGGCTGTTCTCGGATCGTTCGTTTCAGCCATATGACTTCCAATACATTTTTACCTTATTGCATAAAATCGGCACCCACTAAACGAGAAATGTAAGTAGAGATTAAGTTTAATCCTATCATTTCAGGTCCTGGCTGGGTAGCGAGTTAGCCTGCACCAGGTTTAGTCAGGTCCTTTGAAAAGAGCTCCTTCTGACCCTCCCGTGGACTTTGTTGGAAAACCGACCCGGCTGATGGCCGAGACTAATCTACAGAAGACACAGCATTCCGCTCACTACATTGCAGAATTTCAAGAAATGGTTGTCAGTCACTGGTCAGTGATCTGTGTGATGCCAAAGTTTAAACCAACCACCAGTATTGCGATTTGTCTCGGCGATACTGGTTGGAATGGAATGATACAGACCAGCGCAAACATCAGGGACGCTGGGCCAATGGTATTTCCACAGTGACTGTTGAAGTGACTCTTTGAAATCATAATTCTAGAGTATCTGAATGAACCGTTTTGGCTTTTCAGCACTGATTTATTTACAGGGAGAATAAAATGCCACTACCCTCTTTGGCGGCGCTGTCCGCCAACACCAACGATGCTGTATCTGGCTCGGACAACCCTGTTGTAGCTGCCCCAGTAGGTCTCATGTCTAGAGAATTATTTTATTGCCTTGTGTTATTCTAATATGAAGGACGTCGACGCCATGAAGCGAGGGCCCGAAGACCCCTATAAGAGGACCGAACAATCTGACATTTGCGATGCCTTTGGAAAAGTGAGTGGTAGTGAAATCCTAAGTTACAACGCATTCATTAGTACGTAATCATCAGTTTGTGAAAGTTCACCAGAGCTTGCTAAACACAGAGATTGGCAAGCAAGGAATGTTCGCCGCCACACCCCGAGCTCTAAAGACCAGTGTTGACGCCCTCGCCGACGAGATCATTGACGAAGTGCCCACTTGTGCGGGTAAGGCGAAGAGTGACACTTCTGATCTGGATGACACCCTAGAGAAGGCTCTCAACGCCTATGCTTAGATAATCTGGGTCCTGATCTTCAATATTTTCAGGATGTTTCAATGAGATACGTGGTAAACTTTTCAATGGTTCAGCAATGGAATAGATTCAGCCACGAAGGCAGCCCAAGGAGCGCTGGATACGTTGGGCCAAAGCATTCAACATTGCTAAACCGTGTCCAATCGAATATATGTGATTTTTGAACTTCGCCGAGGCCCAATGTCAACGACTGTGTGGAACGGTCCGATTATTTTTGTTTCTTGCCCACCTCTTTCAGTAAACAGAGGGTGAAAGAGTAAACGAGGTGCAACATGTTGCCCAATTGCTTACCATGATGTGTTTCTTGGCATCCCAATGCTTGACTGTTTCTGTCCCAGCCGCATGAACTCTATCGAATCATGGTCGCCGAAAAGCAAGAACATTGTGGAAAACAAAGCGTATGCTACTCCCGAAAGGATCCTTGGGGGGAAGCGATTGGATTGAGTCGATGCTGCATTGTTGACATGCAGGGAGCTGTGCTCGTAGCCTTTCACGGCAGCGAATCCGCCTAGATTTTCCGAATGAGCGCCTAAGCACTGTGTGCACACAGTCATCGAGGCCCAACGCCGACTATAACCATGCAAACCTTCGCGTGATTTTTGCCATTCCTGTTTGAGCGACGAAAGGGTTGCACCTTGAACCGTCGAACATGAGACTGATAAGAGCAAATGCAAATTCATCGTAGGACGCTGGCATCGTTTGGTCGGGTCTAGCCCATGCCGTACAGCAGAATTGAATTGCGTGCTGAGACTGAGTAGTATATCCAAGTAGTATTCTTTTATCGCATGGCAGGGGTGCTCGGTGAGGGAAAGTGACGAGGACTCTCACCTCGGGCCGACCAGCCACGACAGAAGGACACCCCGGCTAATGTGAACTTCTACGGTAAGTCGTGGCCATAGTTTCGCATGCACGGCATACATACATTGGTATTGGCAAAGGACAGGAGAACACGACACCCCACAGTCCGCACACGGGAGCATGACAGGTACGCAGGTAGATAATGCGCAGTGCGTAGTGTGAGGTACGTAGGTGAGCATCGTCAGATTGTTCGGCACTACCTCGAGGTAATCTGTACGTCGCAATCGACGTGGAGTTGCCGCGGTTTCCACCTATCCACCGAAGGGCTAGAGCCTGGATGGAGCCCATGCGAGCGAGCTGCAGCAAGGAGATCTAGGAGTCTATGGGCTGGCTGGCTGGCTGGTCTCGCTCCGACCTTTACCGAACGATGGGGAAGAAAACAAAAATAAAAACGCTCAATAGAGTGCGTGGCATGCAGGTCTCGTAGATGAAGGGGAATGGGTGTCCAGTCGCTATGATTGGCACACAACCATATGTACAGAGTACTGCATATAGTACTGGCAGTGGAAACAGAGCAATAGCTGTAGCAGAGGGAAAAGAAAGGCAGCAAAAAGGAACAAACCATCCTGGCCCAGAGAAAGGCATCGTGTCGTGTGATGAGACGGCATGCTGCATTGAAAGGTCAATCTGTAATAGATAGATCCATCGGGCTGCACCCGGAGTGAGCGAACACCCCATGCCAAGAGGTAAACAGGCAAATCAGAACCCTGGCTAGGGGGCATCGATCGATTGAGGCAATCCGAAGGGCACCAAAGGGAATGGGGTGAGTGTGGCCGGGTAGAGCAAAAAGGCAGCGCGGCAGAAGGCGGCAGAGATGAAATATCATTATTGTGAGGCTGTCGCGCAATCCGGTCTGCACAATCGAATGGCTGCAGACCTAGGTAGGTGCTGTAGACACCTCAACACCTCACCGTGATTGGCGCTGTTCCAAGGATCCGGGGAATGGGGGAGGGGGGTTTGGTTCCTCCTTTGCAATGCGTATTACCTACCTAGTAACCTCCCTATGGCCGGAGGTGAGGTCTTTTGTTTGGTCTGGCTGGATGTGAGCAGCAGCAATGATACGCCCACGTGGCGGGCGACCATGACCTTTTGAGGGGAGCGTCTAATAAACGTAGCAATTCTCGTTTGGAGGCATGATAATATACTGGGATACTCATCCTCTTCAATCGGTTTCCCTCTTGTATAAGTCAAAAGAACCAAGAACCCAAGAGTGCAAGGATCCCCCTTTATTAGATACTCGCTCTTGTCAAGTCGGTCGTTGTTTTTGATCGTGTGCCCACAAGAAGAAGATTATTCGGCTCGGGTCTGAGTCTTTTGTGCTTACCTTACCTACGGGACCCTCCACTCCTACAACAGAGAGAGTCTAGCACCCGCAATTGGACTCTAGCTTCCCTGTTTCCCCCGGACGGCATTTCCTCGGCTACCTGCCTGCTCAGTGGCCGCAGCCGCCTACCTCACCTTATACCGACTACCTGGATTTTCTGGGGCTTTCCGTCTCGGCTCATCCAGAGCGCCTAGACTCTGCGAGCGACGGAGGCGCTGCTGCACTGCACAAGCAGTTGGTGCTTTCCTCGGCCGACGAGCGCGGACGGACGAACTGAGGGGATTTTTTTCTTTTCTTTTTCTTCTTCTTTCTTTCCCCCTGGAGCAGAGATCTGGATTAGTCTTTGCTTGGGGGTGCTAGTAGCTCATCACTTTCTCTGCAAAGTCGCTCTTTGCTGAACGAGTCGAGCCTTATCAAGGCGAGTGCTCGTAGCCAGACAATAGGGCACTTTTTTCCGCTACTCTTCTTATGATGTAGTAGCAGCCTCAAATCATCGGCGCAAAGACCTGGAAGAAAAATGCACCCGGCACCTAGCCTAGCAGAGCTCTTGAAGTCGGATGATCCTCGCACCCAGTCGCAACAGCAGCAACAACCCGTTCGACAATTGGATCAACAAGCTCAGCATGATCAAATTGGCTTTGCTCAGACGTCTGGAATTCATTCTCCAGCTCGCGTGAAGTCACCGCTGCCAGTCAGGTACGTACGCATTGCATGCGCTCTATTATGATTATTTGTCATGTCATTATATACGCTTGGCTGCCAATTTGTTCCTTGCTCCTTCTACATTTCTTCTGGACTTTGGTCTGCATTTATAAATCCCTTCCGTGCCAACTTCGCTCAGATGTTGACAATCCTTTAGGAAAGACACTGGGTCTTCAATATCCACCGTCGCCAGCGATGTGACTGTCACGTCCAATGCCACCAGTGACAGCAGCTCGACAGCCTACAGTGTAGAGTCTTCTCAGTCTATCTTCTCGGTCAAGGATGGCGCCGAGATTTCGGGTAATCGCCGCACCAGCCGGAGGCGGACAGGTCCTCTTTCTGCTGCACAGAGAGAAAAGGCGGCTGTAAAGTTCATTCCCTTTACTTTTGCCCAAACCACTCTAGGCTGACCATGACCTTAGCTCATTCGAAAATTAGGCGCCTGCACAGATTGCCGCAGGAGACGCGTGGCATGTCATCCGAATCATCACAATATGACCTGGGAGGATGCCATGAGAAAGTATCAGGCGGCACATAGTCCACTGCAGGAACTCGCGCCCTTGGTAGGCCGCCCTCTTAGTCCTGCATCTGGTCTTGTACGGCAGAGCTATGCCCATGACCCTCAAGACATGGACATTGATTCAACGCCCACTCCACCAATGTCACAGACTTTGCCGGGACGGCCACCACTGAGCGAGTCGCGCATCCGAACCCCTCTGCCATCGGGACCGCGCTTGGATGCATCAGTTCCCATGCCTCCCATGGCTGCAGCACCACCTGCCATTACAACTCTGCCCAATATTGATTTCATCAAATCAGAGCTCGACACTGCCGCTTCCCGACACTTGTCTGGCCCTTACACCGGACGCTACAATGCAGTGGAGGCACTGCTCATTTGCTGGCAAGAGGATGACGAGAGTCGTGATGTGTTGGGTGCCGTGGAAGACTTGCAGAAAGTTTTTCATGAATATTCCTTTGCCACCAGAATTATCCAGATTCCATTCTCATCGTCGGGTTTATGCAAAAACTCGCAAAGATGGCTTTCCAGGGAGATAAATGACTTTGCAGAGGACCGAGACACGAGGGACACATTAAAGATTGTCTACTACAACGGCTGGACTTCTGTTGAAGATGGCGAGATGGTATTGGCAAGGTACGTCGGCTGTTTGAAAAGCCTATTGTCACTGGAACTCACTGACTCAGACATTCTAGTCCTCTCGATCGCGAGGGCTCATCCATTATTCGATGGAGTGGCATCCAAGAGCTGCTGGAAGGAGCGAGGTCAGACACGCTTATTGTATTTGATGCTGTATACCATGTATCTTCAAAGATGACACGCCGAAAGGGAGCTCTCGAAGTTCTCGCCGCATCTGCATTAGAGGAAGATTATGGCTTGCTGGGCAGAAATACCTTTACGCAGGCATTCATTCAGCAGTTGCGTGCCCGCCTAAGCCAGCATGTGCTCAGCGCTCTGTCCGTGGCAGAGTTGCATGTACGGCTTCTGGCAATGTACACGAAGACTGCACAAGAAAGGCAATCTCCTGGCCATGCATTGAAAACATCGATACCGCTGCACCTGCATGTATCTGGCGACTCGAGATTGCCGTCCATTACGTTATCGCCATTGCAGGGTAGGCAACCACGGACGCCAAATTTCAACCCAGATGCACATGGTGGCTATCATTTGAATCTATCCATCAGACTGTCAGAGGAGAACATTGATACAGAGTGCTGGGGCGAATGGCTCCGTATGATGCCCGATGGCGTCAAGCACGTTGTAGTTTCGGGCCCTCACAGTACGTACAGATGAGGCTCGACCCATCTGGACATTATACGTTTCTTCCCGTACACTTTATTACGGCGGGATTTTTTATGATATTTACGACGACGAGAGCAGCCTCCGGCTATTGGCTCATAAATTTCTTATTCTTCGCACCTTCAATGACATTCGGACCAGGACAAGTTCTCTCTGCGTATCAGGAAAAGCCGGGCATGGCGGACAGGATATGATGAGAAAGGGAACATTTGACGTTGTCAGCTGTGTAAACAGCACACTGGACTCATTTCACCTCATTAAACTAGATGGTAATGTTTTTGTCTTCCCCATTTCGTTTGATGATACCCATGAGTAAGGGTTGAGCATGACTTTTCCCTTATTAATTTATATAGATCAATGATATAAAACGATCAAACATGCGTATGAGTTAGCATAGACTGTGTTGGAAGTCGATGCGAAATGCGGTCGAGTCATCGTGAACTGATGGGCACAAAAACCCATTGGATTGACTGGATAATTGAAAGGGGGCTATCATGTGATACCTGACCCAAGGATCTTTGGCTGTGGCCAAGTTGAATGGGGTCAGTTTTTCCCTCCCTGTGCTATGCACGACGTCATACTAGGAGCAAATGGATGCCTGCCGTCGTCGAAAGTGTTGAGGCACAGCCAAAATGCGGCTTGGGCTATACGCATGCCGAAGTCTGTCATGAGATCAGACGAGTACGGTGTCTGTCAAAACAACCGAGAGTCTATACGATGATGATAAGAGGAGTTTCTGGGTTCGCCTTGGATGACCCCGATCCTGGGGGATCTAGTAGGTCCCGCACAGCCTGAAGAGTATCAGCACCAGCGTCGCGCAACACTGCCTCCACAGTGATGCTTATGCGCGTTATCATAAATGTAAGCAGGAAGGGGGAGCCCTTTGTCTCCCAATTGCTGGCGGCTAAGAATGGGTTGGAAAGAAGAACTACTCTCGCTATTGTGTACGAGTTATATAAATCTCTTATTAAGCGGAGTCAGTACAAGCAGAGCCTAGATTGCTTCTTGCCTGAAGAGTTTTGCAGGCGGGACAAGGTTAGAAACATGACGCAGCTTCGCGAGATCTGACGAGCTTCTACAGCGGCCTACTGCAAGGGCCTAATCCATGTGCACCTCGGAGACGGGAATTGGCAGATTGCCGGGGCGATTGACAGCGTTCCAATCCCTGGATGGCCCCGGGGCTAACAAGCTTAAACCCACCCAACCAAACCAGCCCCAGCGCCCCAAGACTGTTTTGGGAGATGCTATGGCATCATTGTGCCGCCGCCCAGCCGGAACTGTGCTGGGGACAACTGGACGGGCGCATGTGTGCACAGCACCAGTGAAGCCAGTAGACGCAGCCAGCCGCTATGCAACGGCGCGGTAGTCGTCAACTGACAAAACAATGGAACCCGACTTGTCCCTCGACGGATGTGTCTTGCCGAGCGAATGAATGAATATAATAAGCCAAGGAGCAATCAGCTGATCACAATGCCTTCCTCTTGGGATTTTTTTTCCGTGTTTGGAGATTCATATAAGCATGACGGGCTTGGCTGTCGCACATAGGCTGCACATCCATTCCCGTTTCTGCTGCCCGAAAGCAGGGGACTGCTCGCGCATTATGTCTTGTTTTCTCTCTCTTCCTTTATTCTGCATCGACCGCTCAGATGTCCCGCCACTAATTTAAGTAGTGACTGTTTAGCTGACCTGGGCAGAAGAGACTATCAGCTCGGATTGCGTGGACACCACCCACAAAACCAAGAGTACGAGGCCGAAAGACCCGAGCCTCACTCGGAGGAATAGACAGAGAAGTGATAAAACATGCCTGCCTACACCAGAGCAATTTGCTCGAGCTTTGTGTTTTGCTTGATCCTTTTGGTTTCGTTTCGTGTCTGACGCAACACTAAAAACAAACTTCTTCTCTTGTGCCAGGCTGCAAAATTAAAGGCTACCTGCTACCTACCTAAGGTAGGGCACCCCAATTCCTTCTTTTCGGGGGTTTCGTACTAGAACCGAGCAACCACCTTTCTTGGGTGAAAAAAAGTGCCTTTTTTTTTTATTCTTCTTTTCTTTTCTATATATCTGTCTGTCTGGCCTGGTCAAGGACAAATTCAGTTGAATCATTCGGCATTTTTGCTGCTGCCAGCCATGCAGCTCTCGTTGCCGTCATCGTTGCTTTCGCTGATTGGCCTCGTGCTGGCCGTGCCTGACAGCCACTCGGCACTGGACCTCGCGCTAGCCAACCGCCGCCGGCAGCTTGTTCATCGTGCCTCGCCAGACTCGCCGTCTGGAGGCTACGCACCGGCAAACGTCGACTGCCCGTCGGCGCGACCAACCATTCGCAGCGCGCACAACCTCTCAACTTCAGAATCGGATTGGCTGGACAAGAGGCGACAGAATGTCTTGGATCCCCTGAGTGCATTTCTGAGTGCTTCCAACATTACCGACTTTGATGCAGAGTCGTACATTTCCTCCAACAAGGACAATTTGACAGCCATTCCCAATGTCGCCATTGCCGTATCCGGAGGTGGGTACCGTGCCTTGATGAACGGTGCTGGTTTCATCGCTGCTGCCGACAGTCGCGTCAATGGATCATCGGAAGCCAGTGGTATCGGTGGACTCTTACAGGCGAGTACATATCTTGCCGGTCTCTCTGGCGGTGGATGGCTTGTTGGATCCATCTATGCAAACAACTTTTCCACCGTGGTAGAGCTCCGAGACGGCAGTCCAGGCTCGTCTGTCTGGGCCTTTGACAGATCCATCTTTCAAGGTCCCGAGGAATCTGGAATTTCCATTCTCAACACTGCCTCGTACTGGGACGACATCGCCAATCAGGTTGATGCCAAGCGTGACATTGGTTACGATGCCTCCATTACCGATTACTGGGGTCGAGCTCTCTCTTATCAGCTGATTAATGCAACCGACGGCGGGCCAGCCTATACTTTTTCGTCGATTGCCGACTCGCAGGACTTCAAGGATGCCAACCAACCCATGCCCATACTTGTCGCAGATGGACGTGTGCCTGGTGTCAAGGTCATTACTCTCAACGCTACGGTGTATGAGATGAACCCCTGGGAAATTGGGACATTTGATCCCACCGTTTTTGCATTTGCGCCCATCAAGTATGTTGGGTCCAACTTCACCAACGGCAGTGTACCAGACGATGGACACTGCGTGGAGGGCTTCGATCAATATGGCTACGTCATGGGCACAAGCAGCTCGCTTTTTAACCAGTTCATTTTGCAAAACTTGACTTCGTCCGGCATTCCCGACTTTCTGGTCAGCACTATCCAGGATATTCTGGACTGGCTTGGAGAGGAGGACGATGATATCGCCGATTGGGCACCGAATCCCTTTTATGGCTACGACGCGACAGGCAACAACTACAACGTCGATCAGGAATCCTTGACTCTTGTTGATGGAGGAGAGGATTTGCAAAACATTCCTCTCCATCCTCTGATCCAGCCCGAACGAGCAGTGGATGTAATCTTTGCCGTAGACTCTTCAGCAGACACGACGTATAATTGGCCAAACGGAACGGCGCTTCGGGCCTCGTATGATCGGAGCAAGGGCAGCATTGCCAACGGCACAGAATTCCCAGCCGTACCCGATGCTGAGACGTTTATCAACCTTGGTCTCAACAGGAAACCCACATTCTTTGGTTGCGATGTCAACAACTTTACCTCGCCCGACAATGCCCCGCCTCTGGTTGTCTACATTGCCAATACACCCTATACAGCCTGGAGCAATGTCTCCACATACGACCCGAGCTATGCCGATGATGAGCGCAACAACATAATTCAAAATGGATACAATGTCGGCACCATGGGTAATGGCACGCTTGGCGATAGCGGCAACTGGAGAACCTGCATTGGATGCGCCATCATGTCGCGAACCTGGGCCAAGGCTGGGGCAGATGTGCCGTCTGTGTGCCAAGACTGCTTCACCGAGTACTGCTGGGATGGCACCGTTAATAGCACTGCCGTCGGCTCCTTTGAGCCGGAGCCTTTTCTCACACTTTCTGCCGAGAGTGCTGCAGTGTCCTTTGTGAAACAGGGACCTGCCGGCCTGATGTCGTGCATAATGGGCATTACCTTATTGCTACTGGCATTCTAATAGTAGAGGGGCGGATTGTTTGACTGTTTTGACTTTCTTTGACGAATCATGATATCCACAAGAAAATGGCGTAATTGCATGGGGCATTGCATTAGTAGTATAGGTTTTCAAAAGACGTTGGTTCCTTGCATTTATTCACCATGCCAAGATGATTTCTGCCCTTGTGAGTGCCACCATGGATGCATGATGAACGCTCGTGGACTCGAACTTTTGTCCAATACCTGAACACGCATGTCCACATGATTTGGAAAATTCTATAGTGGCACGAGCTTTGTTAGACTCATTTACAGTAGAAGCATCTGCTAGCTTCGTGTTTTGAATATCCCTACAGTGCAAAGAAAAAGCATTAAAACCACAATACCCTTGGGGACCCAATACCCATATCATGAACGCCAATCGCCTTGCAATGCCTGTCTTAAAGAGTGACAATGTCTTAGTCCTGTCCCTTCCAACCTGTGTCCTGAGCCTCCGAGACAGATATCAGTTACTCCAACAGCCTCGAGGCTTCTTGGTGGAGTCCAGTTGCCGATGGATGCTGCTCGCTCTTGAGCGACGTGATTCTAGTTCCAAGCTTTGCTTAAAGGAGATGCAATCTTGGGAGCAAACTGCATGCTCTTGCGACGAGCAGCCATGAGTCGCATCAAAACGCTCTGGTCCTTGTTTTGGCCCAAGATACCTTGGCCCAGATCAGCAAATGTGGTCTGCTTGGGCGGTGCTGTTCGCATAAGCATTTCATTTTTCTCGGGTGAGTCGGCTCCCGACCAATCGGCACCCGGGGTCTCGGGTGTAACATCCAATTCCGAGACATAACGATGAAGTGCCTCTGGAGCAGGCGTCTTAGGCACTGGAGTAAGCATGCTACCGTCCCAGTCATCGTGTCCAACGTCTTCCATTTCCTCATCCTCGTCATTGGGATTGGAGGGCGAGTGCATCCAGACTGTGCTGTCTCGTCTGCCCATGCGGTTGTTGGGGACCGTCTGGCACTCGCGGGGTGCTGGTGCCTGCTTCACTGGCGTGACTAGTGTACCATTGAGGTTGGCAATGGCCTTGGGCTCCATGCTCTTACGGCGACGTGCGCCGCCACGGGGCACCAGAGCGGTGTCGATATAGTAAGGGGCTTCATCGAGCCACTCATTCTCGCGTTCACAGCTGCCATCATGTTAGCATTCATCATTTATTGTGCATGCACGGTTCTTGTAAATTGACTTACTCCAAGACCCAAGAGACCCCAACACATTGAACGACACCGCCGCTCTCCCTAACCTTTTCCATGGTTCGTTTGCCGCCATCTTTGTAGACAACGTGTGTAATGCCAATCTTCGATGTTGAGGATTCGGCCTCTGAGGGGTTGGCCGGGTTCCAAGGCCAGCTCTTGACGCAGCGAGCGCCCATTTGCGTGAGCAAGTCGATAAAGACAGTGCTGGCATCCGCACCCTCGCTAGTGTGAACGTCGACAAAGACGACGGCACCGCGAAGTAGAGTTGGGTTCAAATCATGCCTAGGTGTGCGAGCTGGTGTGCCAATGCTGGACCAAATATCGGACTTTGATGGTGTGACCGGGGGTTGCTCATCGTGCTCCTCGTCCAGGAGATCCTCCTCGGCTGATTCCTTGGTCGGCGAGTACGAGATGACGGTCGCATTTCTGGTGGGACCTGTAGGCCGCTTTGCCGGAACTCGAGAAGCACTTGCGCTGCGCCTCTTCATGCTCTTTGGTGTCGAGTCATCAGCTGGTTTCAAGGGAACCTTGGTGGTTGTGTTGAAGGTGCGCATGGCCGAAGGTCGAACGGGTGTGACAGGAGCTTGTCTGCCGTTGGAACCCAACAAAGCCGGGTCAATGGGAAGCGCGTTCTCATCGCCATATTCTTGGCTGGCTTCTGAGATTGTGTCGTCATGAGCCTGGGCTTCAATGACCTGCTCAACCTCCTCGGGCTCAAGCAGCGACATTTCATTCGCCTCGGCAGCTAACTGTACGTCCTCACTTGTGACAGGGATTTCGTCAAAGTCGGGTTCCTCGGGCTCCTCAAAGCTGGCAGCAAGGTCTGCCTCAATAGCGGCCATCATTTCAGCCTCGGCCTCGCTTCCCATTCCTGCTTCCATTTCTGCACGAACCCGCATCTCATCCTCAAAGAAGGTTCCCTTTGCAGGAGATTGACCAGGGGTGCTAGCCTGGTCCTCGACCAGGGAATAGCCTTCACTGTCCGATGGAGATGCTGCAAGGGTGCTCGTCTTCAATGGACTTCCCGATCGCCATTCACCCAATTGCTTGGCCAATGGCGTAAAACTCAATTTTGAACTCCTAGTCACAGACCGAATTGCACGACCGGCATTCTTGATAGCGCTTGAAGGTAGACCGCTTCTGGATGCCTTGGAGGACCCAGGAGTAGGCGTGGCGGGGACTGCAGAAAATCGTGCATCGTTGTCATCCTGAGATTCAGTTGCGGTTTGGTCACCAGTGACAGGCTCGTCGTCGAGGTTGCCATCTTCGGATTCTGGCAGAATATTCGTTTCCGTGTCAGAAGTGTCATTCGGGGAATCAACATCATCCTGTGCAGGTGTTTCAACAAGCGCATCCTCGTTGACAGCGTTGTCGACCTCCATATTGTCTTCCTCTGCATCCTCCATGGCTACTTCCTCTGCAGCCACATGTGCAGCTTGCCCTGCAGCAACCGAACTCTCCTCGGGAGCAATGGGGAAAGGCTCCAGTTGAGCAGCGGAGAGGGCCTTGAGTGGTGAAGACTTGTCTTGCAAAGCGGGGTCTGCATGTCGAGGAAGTACAGCAGAGAGGCGGCCTGGGAACTCAAGCTGAACGGGTGATTCAAGATTGATTTCCTCATCGTCCTCTGACATGTCAATGTCACCATCAGCACTTGGCAGCTCGGAAGAAGCATTTGCCTCTTCAATTTGATCCTCATCCATGGGCAATGTAGCAGCTGGCCCATCCACCATTAATGGTTTCGGCGCAGGTGAGGAGAGCGCGTCGATATTTACAGTACGAGAAACTGGTTCCGCGAACTTGATCGGAGACATTGGCCTCTTGGCTGGCGATCCCAGCAGCGATGCTTTGAAGGGTGACTTGGGTTGGCTTGATGACTCAGCAGAGGGTGCCTGGAGGCCAGGAATGGGGACCTGGGGTCGCTTGGCAGGCGATTGTAGAGCAGAGGGTTTAAAAGGAGATTGGGCAGTTTCAGTGTCAACTGCTTGACCAGAGAATAACAATTGCGGAACACCTTCCGATCTCTTGGCTGGTGACTTCATTGTGTCCTTGAAAGGCGTCGAGGGGAGTCTCTTGGCAGGACTAGCAAAGACAGATGTGCCAGCTAGCTCGTCATCATCGTCTGACCACTCGCGGCCCTCCTCAGTGCTAGGAGCCGCTGTCATGGCCATATCCGCGTTTCTGTGAACGGGGGGTTTGACCGGACTCTTCATCAAGGGCTTGACAGGTTCATCATAGCCGGCAAGCTCATCATCAGAATTGCTAGCTCTGGAGAGTGGGCGATTCTGACCATCCTTCTTAGGGCTTAGAGGGGCCGACTTCTCCTTCTTGTCGGCAGACGTAGCAGTTCTGGCGCTGGTTCGTGTAGCCCTTGTGGCAGCAGCAGCCTTGCGCACTGGCTTGGCGCGCATGCCGGTCGCTGGTTCGGTATCCGTCTTTGACTTTGCCTTGTTAGCGAGAGGGGGAACCATATTCTCCTTCTCTGGTTCCTGGAAAGTTACCGATTTCTTAGTAGAAGTGGCGATCCTGGACGCGGGTCTGGATATGTTGGACTTCAAGCCAGGCGTAGGGTTGGTGGTTGGCTCAGTGCAAATAGTGCCGGCCGCCTTGGTGGCAGCGGGAGCGGCACGGCCTCGGGTCGTCGTCTTCTTGACGGGAGCGGAGGCGGCAGGTGTCTTGTCTTCATCTGTTTGAGCCTTTCTTGTGCGCGTTCGTGTTGTCTTGACGGGCTCTGGCTTGGAGGGTTCCTCGATTGTCTTTTTCGGGCGACCGCGCGTCGCGCGTGCGGCAGTGTGTCCTCCTGTTGCTTGCGTAGATGTGGCAGGCTTGGACTCAGGCTCCTTCTCTGGCTCTGGCTCGACGACCTTCCTGGGCCGGCCTCGTGCTCTCACGGGCTTGGGGCCGGCCTCGGCAGCAGCGGGAGCCTCGGCCTGTTGTTGGGATTCCTCATGGTCTTCATCGTCTTCATCTGCGCGCGCTTTCCTTTTCATTGAGGCGGCGGTACGCGTGGTGGTGGGCTTTGTCGGGGCGGCTTTGGTGGTCTTGGTGGTTGCTGTGCTGCCCGCGTGCGCAGCTGCCCGGGCGCGAGTCATTCGCTTGGGCGGGCTCGAGACCTCCATGGTGTGTGGTTGGTGTTTGTCGACAGTAGGCGGATGGTCCGATGGATTGGTCGACTGAGAGTAAATGCTTCTTACCGTTGGACAGAAAAAAGCTCTCTCGCAGGGAGAAAGTGCTAGAGTCTGCACAAACAAGGGTGCGACTTGTTGACGAGGGGAGCCGCTTTGAAAATAAATTGAACCTTGTTTACTCCACCACGCGTGCTTGGTCAGAGCTCGACAGCTGGTGGGGCGACGTTGACAGGGCAACCTTTAATATTGCACCAAATGCCTATGCTCGTTTGTCTTTGGGATCGACTCAGATGGCAAAAAGTAAACATTAGAAATGATGCATTCATATCGGGTATTCATGCGGGGAACGCGTAGCATCTGTTGCGAAATATTATCATAATTAAGCTGGAGCCTCATGCATCGTATGTGCGCACTACGCGAGAGGTGTCGGTACTCCGTCGAGACCCTGGCCAATAGCTGCAAGACAAGCGCCGGAAAGCACTGAAAAGAGCTTCACACTACCATTATTCCCCGACAGGCTACTACTTTCCTTGTCATGTCGTCCTATGTAGATTGTGCGATGCATAGCAAAGGAACAGGAAGACAATAGGGAAAAGGGAGAGAAAAAGAGAGAGCTCTCAATCCGTTCGGTCTTCTTGGGAAATATCCTTTGAGATTGTAACCTAAGCAGGCCATTTCATTCCCTTGAGTCATGATTTCCTGGCTGCCTTGTAGACATACGGGCCCTACATTGAGCTTGCATACCTCGCTGGATCCCCTTAATCCCGACATTGGAGCTCCTCCGATCGTTTTGAGGACACGCCAAGAAAACTTACCTTGATGTAGATTGTCCCATTCACCTCTCCCATGTCATTATTGACCACTTTTGACGAGCTCGCATTTATTATGTTATATATATGTCTATCTAATAGATAGCGAAGTATAGAACAAAGGTGCTTTTAGGAACTATTTCGCGAAGAGTCTGGATTGAAGGGATTGGGCCCTGTATTCAAAAGATGCATTATTAGTCTGTTGATGGCCGAGGCAAATTACATTACTGAGCACAGTGAAGAGAGACTAATTACAAGCTGAGATGAAGGCAAGTTGGCGCGGCTAGAGTCAAACCCTGGGGAACGCTTATGGTCTGGCTAGGGAGCACAAGAATGCCGAAGAAATGAGGCTGTTTTGTACGGCATTTGCTAGAGGGTGTTCAATGTTACAAGTCATGCCGATCTGAAAACTGTACAACCTAAGACCACAACTCAAAGATCCATTCTATGCTGCTCCGCCCTCCAAAGAATCAACCTAGATGCTGGCCCGTACCTTCCTCGTAGGTTATGCAGGTAGCTAGAAGATATTCGACCATACTTGTCTGCACATTGTGCGTTTAATTTTGACAGGATGCACCACACACCCACGAGTCAAAAGTGATGAGCCTGCAAAGGCAAGGAATATGTAGATGGGAGGAGAGAATTGCAATAAGCCGATGACATTTTCTAGAGTACCAACAGCCAATGGAGGACGTCTCATGGCCCTGCAGATAGAACAATATAAACCACATATGGTGACACCAAACGGTCTAGTGATCCACTCACCCTGAGCAAGACAAGCCAATCAACCCGGGCACTTTTGACGTAACTGGGGCAATTGCACGACCCCAGGGCCAAAAAACCGCAGTGTCGGTAACGTTCAATCCTCAGCCCTCCGCTTCAAAAAAAACAGCACCCAAAAGCTGCACCGGAGGCAAAAACAGATAACAGAGGGGCGGCGGTTTGCTCTACTCCATACTTTTTTCTGCAAACCTTCTTTAGGACCCCCGGTGTCGCGATCCTTTATTTCGATACCCGGCTGACATTGCCGGTGACCTTTTATTCTTCTGTCCTGACATTTAATCATTTGGCCCTCACGACCCACACGGTAACGGAAAGTCTGCTCGGCTGAGCAATCTATCACTAAATCAGCAATTCTCACAGAGCCATCTTCCGTCCCCGATTGTCTCCGGCCTCTACTTGCCTTTATTACGTGACCACATCTGTATTCTCTTCTACCTGCCAATCTACACACTTCCGAATTTTGGCAAACAGCCTCTCCTCTCGAAACGCCTGTGTCTAGCGACAACTGAAGAAAAGGGCTTATTGCCGCTTGCCATTCTCAACCTAGTCGATTATCAGATCCCAGAGAAGAAGGAGGGGGGAAATAATTCATATCGCACATCGGAAAGCACGCGCCGACACCAATCTCCGTCCATACCTCGACTGTACAATTTTCGCCGCATCCTTCTTCGAATAGCAACGATACTGTCTTGCGTGGACGACCACCAACCGCCGCCATGGGGTTGTCAAAGTCCGCCCGTATCAGCATCATGCTGGCTATTGACACGGTCTTCTTCCTCGTCGAGTTGATTGCCGGACTTGTCGTCCACTCCTTGGCACTCACGGCCGATGCCTTTCACATGCTAAACGACATCATTTCGCTCGCCGTCGGTCTTTGGGCGGTCAGAATATCCAAGAGGCAGTCCACGGACAAGTTCTCCTATGGCGTAAGATTATATCCCTTATTCACGATGCACTTTTAGACGACTAACTCGGGAGCAGTGGGTTCGTGCCGAAATTCTCGGAGGCTTCTTCAACGCTGTATTCTTGATTGCGCTTTGTATCTCCATCATTCTCGAGTCTATTACGAGGTTCATTGACCCGCCCGAGATCACGAACCCGCAAATCATACTTATTGTTGGCTGCTGCGGCCTTGCTTCAAACCTTGTTGGCTTTGTGGTTCTTGGCCACGGTGGACATGACCATGGACATGGAAGCGAGCACAGTCATGATGGAGAGCACGCCCACGACCATGCCCACGACCACAATGAAGCCGCATTGGCCGAAGAAGGCCGGGTAGATACAAATGGCCGCAACTTGGCAGCCGATGATGGTCCAGTTACCGATATCTTCCCAGAGGTTGCCATAGCAAGGGCAAGCGCGGCGGGCAGTTCCCCCGACACCGTTCGGCGAATTCATTTCGATAATGCAGACTTTGGGCGTCGATCTGAATCTGAACACGTTGGCCGCAGCCAGAGTCGATCTTCGGGTTCCAAGAGTCATGAGCGACGTCGTGCCGGTAGCCTCAAGCATAGCCGCCTGCAAAGTATCGACGACCACAGTTTCCACCCTGCCAGTTTCCGACAGAACATTATTGATCACAGTCGAACCAATATTGGAGACTCGGATGACAGCTCTATGGATGGTGATGGTGTAGCCAACGAACAGACTCCTCTTCTCAACTCTAACGGCACTGCGATCAAGGACAATGGCCATGGCCACCACGACCACAAGCATCCTTCAATCGGTCGAAGTAGACGCGACTCAGGAGTACACAAGGAGCACAACCATAGCAAGCCAAAGAAGCCATCATCCGGTGGACATGGCGGCCATGGCCATAACCATGCGGACATGGGCATGAATGCTATGATTTTGCATGTCCTTGGCGATGCTCTCGGCAATGTTGGTGTCATCATTACAGCTCTCATCATTTGGCTCACCGACTGGTCCTGGAAATACTATGCCGATCCTGCAGTCTCCCTTTTGATCACGGCTATAATTCTTCACACTGCTCTGCCGCTCACCACGGCTAGCGCCAAGGTCCTTCTGCAGGCCACGCCAGACGAGATTGATATCCAGGACATCAAGGAGGACATACAGACACTTGAGGGAGTTACTAGCTGCCATCACGTTCACGTCTGGCGTCTTTCGGATACCAAGATTGTCGCTTCGATGCACGTCCAGGTAGCTTTTTCAGCCTCTCAAGATGGTGGTGTCAAGTACATGACCCTCATGAAGCAGGCTCGGAAATGCTTGCACGCGTACGGAATTCACAGTGCCACTATTCAGCCAGAGTTTTGCCTGGACGAGGCCTGTAACCATGACGAACAAGCTGCCGCCCGGGATGGGAACACGGCCGCAAATTGCCCCAAGGCTGCCACCGGCCAGTGCCTCCTTGGATGCACCGATGACTGCGTTGACGAAGGCTGTTGTTCCGCTCCGGCATCGCAGAATGGCGCAGGTTCAATACGTTCAGCCCATTCAGACCACAGCCACCACTAATTTTGGCCCGGACAATACTGGCTTCTCGAGATCACGTTCACTTGGCGTTCTGTGTGCATTATCGGGCTGCATTGAGCAAGATGTTTTTTTGTTTTTTTAATTTTCTTTTGTTTTATTTCTTCGGTCCAAGACATACTATTGATGGCAGTCGTGATGCCTGTCAAATGCATAAAAGTTGGGAGTGGCAACACTGCTTTTTACCTACTAGTAGACATTACAGTAAAGCTTGTGAGACTAATCCAGTGCTAGCGATGTATAAGAAATCAGAATATTTACCTTAGTCATAAAAAACATGAGTCTTTCCGTTTTCCCCTCGAGCTTGCCAACAAATCGTGCACGGCAGTCTAAACAGATGAGCAGATCTACGAGGTGTCCGCCAGTAATAGCCAAAATCTACTACCCTGACACTGGAAGTGTTATTTCAATGTTACTAGATCGAAATGCGAGGCGGTGCGCTCATCTTTTATGGAGTTCAGCCTTTGTATTACATGTCATCAAGTCCGACCTTGTGCATGAAGCACAACAATGCTTGTAATGTATAACAGAGAGAGGGTGGCTTCATTTGATGAATAATGAAGGGCTTGCTGTAGACTGTCTCCACCCACTCCTTCTCATTGCTATCCCAATATGATGGAGAAATAAAAACCTATAAAAAAATTTATGGCCAGATCAGGACTCTTGAAGACGGGTAGAGGCAGGTCGGTTACGGTATGTAGATATGTTTACGCCAATGGCTGAGATTCAAAGTAAGGCAGTAAAGTTCTATTGGATAAGCACCACAAGATTTAAGCTTGAGCTCGCAGGCAAGACATACCTACAATGGCGGCATGTTATTTGCAGATCCATGCCCGAATGTCTTGGCTAAATAGGAAGGGGTTGCGATGAAGCTGCTGAAATGAATTTCAGGACTCGAAAGCAAAAGGAGTGGCATGTCATTGTCCATATGTGTATTGTGTTGCAGCAGGTCACCGGTGTTTCGGCCGCAGGAACGATGGCACGTGTCTCCGCCTTTCACAAGCACCGAATCCTCCGGGCCTGCTGCTCCACCGTGCCGGACGACCGACGGATCGGTCTCCGAGCTGCTCAACCCTTAGGAAAGATGCAATTTGTTGGGATGATCACTCTGCTGCGGCTATATAACCATGCGTGTGTCTTCAAGATCCTGACCCAGCCACCATTGTGAAAGAAATCAAGTTACAGGCGATCGGCATGATAGATTGCTTATCCATGTTTTCTTGCTGCCGTTGGTTACGATGGTTTGTTTGGGTCTTCTCTGTTGGGAGACTTGGCTCAGATGGCGTCAGGTCAGATCTCCGACAGTCATTATCTTGTGGGTGTCTAGTCGAGGTTGGAGCCTCGTCAGCTATGCTTGATGCGAGGATGAAGTCTAGTGACTGCCAACAGCTTTATGATGGCCATTGTGGAAGAGACCAATCAGAGTGTTTGGCTTGATTACGAAACTGATCATGCCGCGATTCGCAAATTGCGGCTATAAAAGCTTTCCCTTTAGCCTTTGCCCGTTGTGCAGAGTAGCAAGCCGCTTGTGATCCATGTTCGGCACTCTTATGGTGGTGTGCATATCGAGACCGATTGCTTCTTGTGAGCTGTGCGTCAAGAAAGCGCGGTTGTCGTAATGATTAATTAAATAGTACATATTGAGCCTGCGTCGGCTTCTTGACTCCGCAGATGTTGCCTCTGGCTTACCCAACACCTTTGTCGACTGGTGGAAAGGAGTGCGTGCATATGCTTATCAAGTTTCGGGTGGGAAAGTCAGAGTGGCCGGGTAGGCCGTCGGCCAGACGTTCCATTGTACCAAAAATTCCGCCGTTTTGTTTATCAACTCTAGTCTGCGATTATCCTTGTAGATGGGTAAGCATCTTGTCAGCATAGTATCTTATTAATATTTGATGAGGGCCACCCAGCCGAATCATATGTCATGATTTTACCCACAATGTCACAATGAGAGAGAGCCTATCCTGTTGACAAGTGCTTTGATCAGATTGAGCAACACCGTTCTCTATCACGTATGCTTAATTTGATGTTTGAAGCAGATTTCTCAATGTAACGTGGGCTCAATCATGCTAAATGAAATTAGCATCCCCACGTTGGAAGAGCCGCGATCATGTGCAACCTCGCATTCGATATATCAAATTGCCAGGGCCCAGCAGTGCTAGATGAGATTGAGCGCAACAGGCCCATGCTCCGCAGTCGTGAACTATATCATCCCCTACCAACGGAGCCAAGTGATGTAGAATGGGACAAGGAACAAGAAGTGTCCCATGAGACTTGACGCATCGCCGGCCGCAGATTGCCTGCGATCAAGTTCTCAAAATTGGCGCAAGATGAGCATAGTGCTGACAAGATCAGCAACAGGTGTCGGACATACCTGTTTGTTGCGTTACCCTCATGTCTGTTGTCGTGAAACTCGCTCACTCGGAACGTATGCACTAGAACCCTGCCATATCCTTTTCGCAATGTATCACAGACCTGCGAGTCCTAGGATGAGAGGCTACCTTTGAATTGCCATTCCAGGTCGGTTTCGCGTGCGCTTGTGCTTGTGCACTTTGCTGGCACCGATGCACAAGGTATATAAACACATGTGAATCTCGACCACGTCGACAGATTGGGTCGCGTAGAAGCATTTAAACTCAAGTTTGCACATGTTCGACACCCTGACGATGCAGTGCATCACCGTAAAGGACATCTGCGCTGTAACCATCAAATCCCCGTCCCGACAGCGAGGTTCGGCCGTGTTGCCAGGGTGTTGAAGCCCACGAGGAAAGCCGGTAAAGCCCCATTTCTAGGACATAGGAGATTTAATCTTGCAGAAAGCCGATTGGGCAGAGTTTGCGCTGCCAGAAACGGGTAGATCTTGTTCATGTTCCGGAAGACCCATCTCCTCTACTGGGCAGTTACCTGGGGGTGGGGGGAGTAGCATTGTGCCAGAGGTACCGAGGCTGTCTCGAAAAGGATAGGACAAACATTTGAGCATCTGGTTCATGGAAACATGAAATGCCGTGGCACCTGGGGGTACATCGCCAACCTTATTGTTTTTTCATGTAGATTGATGGCTGGTATCCACTTGAGTGCCTGAGTGGGCGGACTGGAAGTCACCCAAGGTAAGCCCTTGCAATTAGATTGACGTCAGGGAAGCAGAGAGAAGGGACATGGAACATCAAAAAGGAGGGCGATGGCTTACGTAAAGTGTTCAAATGTTGCTTGTGCTGAAAGTACCTACTACCCAAGTACAGCTTACATGGGATTTTTCATGTTGTTGTCAAAATCAAGAGAGGAGGGGGCTATCCAATCATTAATGTATGCGTCTGTAGACTATGCTGTACCCGGGCAGTCTGCTGACCGCGGGTGATTTATTGACATTCTGCAGCCGAGAATGATTCAATCAGATGAAGAGTATCTGTCAAATTATTTCAATGCCGGCCGCTTGCGGCTTGTGGTCAATGCTAGCCAATCCTAGCTAATCTCTACGCAGCTGATACCCAGGTTCGGGGCTGGATACTTCGTCGGCCCGCGCAGCCGCCTCGCTATTCGGATTGGAGCCATTCCCTTCCGAGCGGTCAGCATAAGACGTCCCGGCACGCACTATAGTATATCGCACTTGTTCAGCGCCCAGTTTGCTGCAAGTCTTCCAGGTCTTGATTGTAAATAACATACTAAAAAGGTATCAATATATACCCTAGGTAAGACACAGAGATTTTCACAAAGAGCAGTGCCCTTGAGTATGGTAGCCAGAGCACTCTAATTTTTCGAATCCTAATTCATAGTTGATGGTGCGTACCCCGGCTCCATTGTACTGTGTACATTCCGGTCGGGATGGGTCTGAGACGCTTGCATTGAAAGATGCCAGGGGCGGAACTTTGCCCGGAGGAAGCAACTAGATTCACCCAGATCCAGGAACCGTTGGCATGCAGCTCGCTCGCTTCTTCAAAGTTCACACCACCAACTCTTGAACGACCAGGGTCTGATTCGGCAGACCTCTGTGGGATTGCTTGATGCTTCAAGGTCAGCAATCAGCTCATGGTGATCTCTTCCTTAACTCACGCCACCCCTTCGTATTGTCAAATGATGCCTTCGACCTATTCACACACTATACTATACGCCTTGTAGCTTGTCTTTCTACCCCTGTTGCACCACTGTGTCGGTCTGATATCGCGCATCCGGTCCGTTACCACCGGAGGACATCTACCGTATGAAATCATGGTCTTATCTGAATATGCGCTCACAACCACTCGGTAATGTACGGTCAAGGTCGTAGCAATCTCCGCTCGCGCTCCGCCGGCTCTGCGGCTTGGTTCACTTGGTGCCACCAGACTTCGAGGTTGGTTTAAACCATAATTGCAAAGCCGGTTGATAACATGACTGGCGGACAGTCACTGCCTCTCCCGTATTCCTAGCCTTATACCATCATGTCACATCGTTCGTAGAGACCTGCCAACCACCACAGAATCATTGCTGTTCCTCTCCTCTGAACTTTTAAACAGACGGTTTTGTTTTAATCTACTTACCATCTTCTTGCTCCGTTCCTACCTTACCGGCATTTGACTCCAAGTTTTCTGATGTAAACGGACCTATCCTATGATATATATACCCAGCTATTGCACACCTCAACCTACAACATCACTTGTCTTACTGCACTACGATACTTCCTGGCGTATTTTCTCAGAACCTCAGTTCTGGAAATATTGCATAAGTTTACAGAGACCGACCAGGAAGGACACATACAACTTACGAAGTATAGCTTGTCAAGATGGAAAATCATGGCGTGTCGAGCTTCGATGATGGAATCGACCCAATATCTTCTCCCTTCGACAGTGTCGATTCGGCCACAACTCCAGGCACCGAGTACTCGCCACCGGTGAGTCCCATTGCAAAGAAGATTGCTCTGCAAGACAGCCGAAAGACGGCGCGTGAGAAGCTCGCAGAGCTGAGCCTGGAAGAAAAGGTTTGGATTCCAATACAGAGAGTTGGTATAGAAATGAGCTAAATATGATTCCAGGTATCGCTTCTCACAGCGGCCGACTTTTGGCGCACCAAATCCATTCCAAATAAGGGGATACCGGCAATAAAGACTAGTGATGGGCCGAATGGCGCTCGAGGCGGAATATTTGTAGGCGGTACGAAGGTCAGTTGCATATGGTTGGTTACCCAGCCTACCATGGTCGTATCGCTAATAATGGTAGGCTGCGCTTTTTCCATGCGGAATCTCCCTGGCTGCCACATGGAACAAGAGGCTACTATACGAAGTCGGACAGCATCTAGCGGAAGAGACCAAAGCGAGATCAGCCAATGTTCTTTTAGCGCCGACAGTTTGTATGCACAGGTTAGTAAGGACCATTATGCAAACCGTAACCCAGTACAATAACCGATACATTGGATAATAGACATCCTCTTGGAGGCAGAAACTTTGAATCGTTCTCTGAGGATCCTCTGTTGACTGGAAAACTTGCCAGTCAATACATCCAAGGTCTTCAATCAAAGGGTGTATCGGCAGCTATCAAGCGTGAGTCTCCCGGATATACGTGAATTTAACCTATCTGACTTTCACAGACTTTGTTGCCAATGAGCAAGAAACTTTTCGAATGACCATTGACTCTGTAATGATGGACCGCCCCTTGAGGGAGATTTACCTTCGCCCCTTTGAGATCGCTGTCCGAGAAGCGAATCCGTGGGCAGTTATGTCATCGTATAACCTTGTCAATGGTGTTCATGCCGACGAAAACGTCTACACCCTCAAGAACATTCTTCGCGGCGAATGGGGTTACGATGGGTCAGTGTGATATTTCCTGAATCTAGTAGTTGTGTTGAAGTAAAACTGACCATGTCTAGCGCGGTCATCTCGGACTGGGGCGGTACCAACTCGACGGTCGAGGCCCTCCGAGCCGGTTGTGATATCGAGTTTCCCTACTCAACGAAATGGAGGTTTGACAAGGTTCTCAAGGCCCTAGGAGATGGCAGTCTGTCGCGAGAAACAATTGATCAAGCAGCAGAAAATGTCTTGACACTCGTTGAGCGAACAAAGAGCGGCGACATGTCTGAAGAGCAGCCAGAACGTGAAGAGAACCGAGAAGAAACCAGATCTCTTATTCGCCGAGCTGGTACCGAGGGTCTCACACTGCTGAAGAACGAAGGCTCGCTTCTACCAATCAGCAATACAAAGACGACAAAGATCGCAGTGATTGGACCCAATGCAAACCGAGCCATAGCTGGGGGTGGTGGCAGTGCCAGTCTCAACCCCTACTACAACACTCTACCCCTCGACAGTATTCGTGCCGTTGCAAGAGGCCAGGTCAGCTATGCTCAAGGCTGTCACATTTACAAGTGGCTGCCGGTCGCCTCGGCGTTCTGCACTGACAAGTCTGGAAGACCCGGTGTCACGTTGGATTGGTTCCGCGGCGATCAGTTCGAAGGTGAGCCAGTTGTACAGCAGCGCCGAACAAATACAGATCTTTTCCTTTGGGACTCGGCACCACTCGTTGAGACAGGCCCGAAATGGTCTGCGACTGCAACCACCTATATCAATCCAACGGAAACAGGCAAGCATACCATTAGCTACATGAGTGTTGGGCCGGGTCGACTGTTTGTTGACGGAAAGCTGGCTCTGGATTTGTGGAATTGGACTGAGGAGGGAGAGGCAATGTTTGATGGCTCCATTGATTACATGGTGGATGTTGAGATGCAGGTCGGCAAGCCTGTCGAGCTTCGTGTCGAGATGACGAATGAGCTCCGACCAGTCTCAAAGCAGAAGACATTTCACATGACACACAGGTATGGTGGTTGTCGAATCGGCTTCAAACAAGCTGACGCCATTGACTACCTACAAGAGGCCGTGGACGCAGCAGCAGAAGCGGATGTGGCTGTGGTGATTGTCGGCCTGGATGCCGAGTGGGAGTCGGAGGGATACGACCGCAAGACAATGGACCTCCCCTCAGACGGCAGTCAAGACCGTTTGGTGGAAGCCGTCCTTCAAGCCAATCCGTGCACGATTGTGATCAATCAATCGGGATCCCCCGTCACTATGCCGTGGGCTGACAAGGTTCCAACAATCTTGCAAGCTTGGTACCAGGGACAGGAGGCTGGCAACGCACTGGCTGATGTGCTGTTTGGAGTCCAAAACCCTAGTGGGAAGCTGCCCGTAAGACCGCTGCCGATCATGGAGATAGTTGTGATGCTTACCTCTTTCACAGTGCACGTTCCCTCGACGAATCGAGGACACACCCGCTTACCACAACTGGCCGGGTGAAAACCTTCGAGTCTTGTATGGAGAAGGACTGTATATAGGCTACAAACACTACGAACGTAGCCACATCTTGCCGCTGTTCTCTTTTGGGCACGGACTCTCATACACGAGTTACGAGTATGGTAGAGTCTCCTTGAGCAAGAGAATACTCATGGACAATGACCCGATACATCTCATCATGGCAGTGACCAATGTTGGCGCTGTCACTGGCGCGGAGACTGTGCAAATCTACGTCCGGGACGAGAAGTCAAAATTACCACGGCCAGACAAGGAACTTGTGGCATTCGAAAAGGTCTTTCTCGAGCCGGGCGAGACAAAACACATAACAGTGTCGTTGGATAAGTACGCTGTTGGTTACTACGATGACTCTCTTCGTTCATGGATTGCGGAAGAGGGAACTTTCAAGGTTCTCATTGGGGCATCCTCGAGCGACATTAGGTACGTTTAATGCGCTGGTCCGCCGTGTAATAAGTTTTCACCTTACTGATGTGCTATACGTAGGCAAACTGTCTCCTTTGATGTTCAAGAGTCATTTGTATGGGTAAAGTAGCAAGGATTAGGTAGAATCAGTTTCGGCATTTTGATTGCATTCATTCAGCTACACTTTGGCTCCCGATTTTACGCAGAGCAGCACATGAAACCTTCAATGGCTTTTCGTCATAGATGGTGTATTGCCATGGGGTCATCACCGAGTGGGGTATCAAGCAGATATGAATCCGAAGGGTCTTTGAAAGAAACGACATGGTGGGTGGGTTTGAACGGAGCAAATCACAGTTTGGCGCTTATCATTCATGGGCAATCAATGATGATTCTGCTTCACTATCATGATCGCAAATTGCAACTCGGCCAGGAAGAGCTCAGACCGTCAATACCTAACCCGCCGTAAGTAACGGTATACAAAACTGCGAAGTGTTATGATGTGATTTCCCATATATTGATATATATGAATCTTTGACACCCTATCATAAGCATAACATATTTCCAATACGCGTGGCAGGCTCGCACGACATGTGCGGCGTCCTCGTGATGTCTTTTCGATAGGCGTGCTGGCTCCGTGAGGCCACTTTGGGAAGTCCCGGGACATTATTGACAGGACCAAGATTGATAAGCATCCGAGGGGATAAAAGACTCGGAGGGTCCATGCAAAATCAACTACATAATGCTTGAACTCTTATCTCGGTGATTGGAGGCATAATACATCTGCTGTGGCTTGTCAAATGATTAAATCATTTTTCGGCTATAGTTTTGTTGCCTTTCTTTCCCGTGGCACAAAATCTGTAGATGACGGTTATGTCTTTTCTTCTTCTTCTTCTTTTTCTTTCATTGGATTGAAGGTCAGTGAGTATTCCAGGCCTCTGGTTCTGGCCATGAATCAATATAAGATGCTGCGGTATTGAAGATTGACTTGGGAGAATCAAGCCCACGCGACACAAGGATGACTCTTTTTGGTTGCACATAACTCTTCGAAAAAAGCATACGGGCTGTACCATGTATTGGATTCGGGAAATTCATCAGGCAAGACTTGATTTGAAACAAGCATGTAAAGATTTAACTCATTATACAATGGAGGCTGGGTCTATATCGTAGAGAGTGTCTATCATGGCTCTGAAAGCTCTCAGTGCGATATGTGTGGTTTGTCTCATGATGGATACTGATGCCGTTTTACCCGACTGTGGACAGCGAATCTGCTCCGTAGCGCAAATAGCACATTCACAACTACTTGCATGGCAGACTCGCCCATCAGCTGGTGAGTGAAGGTGACTTATCTGCATCAAGATGTATACATTACCAAAGAAGTCGTTGCGGTATTATTAGGGCTCATATTGCAATTGAATTGTTCTAGAAGCAGTGTGCTCTTCTACAAATCCAGAAGACCTCTATGGACGCTTGCGGTAGATCGCGCCAGGGGAGGTCCATGACAGGGACCAAGGAGACAGCGGGAATCCCCACTAATTTGCGCGTCTACAAGGAAGGTCGGGCCAGCTCACCAGTCCTAAAAAGTGGCCTCGTGTCATCACTAGGTTAGTGAGCTTACAGTTCAAATATCCAAATGCGCTGCGGTTCCACGGGAAGATCGTTGGCCGTGGTCTAGACAGAAAGACATTCAAAGCAACGTAAAGAAAGAAAAAACGACTGATTTATGATAAATTACAAGGTTCACTATAGAGACTACGTAACATCAAGTGAAAGTACCTAGATTCGTCTACTTGCCAATACCAGATTCGTAGTAGTGATACCAGGGGTGATCCCACCAAAAGCATGAGCCTCGGGTGGGCCTTGTTAGTGTAGCCGCCGGCGCCATAGAAGCTGTCCACCTCCTTACGCTGCCTCGTACCTGACATGGCGACAGCATCTACTACACTCTACCTAGTACGCGTACTGAAAGTTCACCAACGCCAAACCCGGCTCTTCTCTCCCTATCAAAGTCTTATTCGAATTGGAGCGGCACCAAAGCCCCTGAGAGAAAAAGGGATCCTCCAGGCACAACCCAAAACAGGGTTCAAGCTTGCCGCATACCGTTGTTAAGTTACTACGGGTCTCACGCGTCATCAAACCCCGAAACTCTACGCAAGCCTTCGATGGGACTTTGGGAGCGGGACTCTGAGGCTGAGCCCTCGACTGGATAACTTTAATAAAAGGAAACGAGGGAAATCATAGAAAACACCATGCCGCGCGCCGGCAGTAGCTCCAATGGCTACAGCCTGCCAACCTCGACCTCCCCCCGCGACTATTACGGCTCATCCTCATCGAACCCCTCTGTCACCGACAACGCCCTCGCCGTCTTACACGAGCTCTACCGCCGCATCAGACTCTACTGGAATGCTCGTGGTAGGGCATTGGCCTGGTCCATCACCATGAAAGTCGCTGCCGTCCTCAGGGTCAACCTGGCCGCCCGTCGCCTCCTGAGCTTTCCTCACCTGCTCGTTGCGCTGTGGATTCTGGTCATGTTGTGGGGAGAGCGGTGGACGTTCACAAGCCAAGCTCAGAGCTGCGATTGGGATCACTGGGAGGACTGGGTGAGTATCTTGACAGTACATGTAGACAATTTCTGACACCGACAGCCATCCGACGCAACACCGCACCGATTGATATTCGTGGCCGATCCGCAACTCATTGATCCGCACTCGTATCCTGGGCGGCCCTGGCCCCTGAACCCCTTGACATATACAATAACAGACAACTACATGCGGAGGTCGTACAAGGCCGTACAGCAGGAGCTGCGCCCGGACACAGTCATGTTCCTGGGCGATTTGTTTGATGGTGGCCGAGAATGGTACACTGCGCATGGCGGCTTCGAAGAGCCGGAATGGATGAAGGGCGAACGACCCGCAGACGAGGCCAAGCATGCAAAGAAGTGGAATAACAAGTATGGCGAGGACTTCTGGCTGCAGGAATATTTTAGGTTTGGTGACTTATTCTACGGCAATTGGGAGTTGGGCGGCATCTTGCCGGGCCCGTGGCAGAGGGGCAGGAAAATCATCGCCAGCTTGCCTGGCAATCACGACCTGGGCTTTGGACCGGGCATCAAGCCAACTGTGAGGAGACGGTTCACTGCATATTTTGGAGAGACAAACAGGGTCGATGTGATTGGAAACCATACCTTTGTTTCGGTCGACTCGGTCTCCTTGGCAGCTGGAACCCACCCCAAGAAGAACGATTATCTCAACGCCATGAAGGAGATATACGAGCCAGTGTACGAGTTCCTTGACCAGGTCCAGGCGGAGAAACGGAGGGCAGCTGCAAGGGAAGTCAAGTTTTGGAATGGCCAAATGGAAAATCTCAACTATCAACACAAGGTGGAGGAAATCGGCGACACCACTTTGAAAAACGTGCCATCACTAGATGCTGGGGGAAAGGGGCCTGATTTTCCAACGGTTTTACTTTCTCATGTGCCTCTATGGCGAGATCCCGGCACGCCCTGTGGCCCGATGCGAGAACGATGGCCACCGACAAAACCACCAAAAGGCCAGACAACACCAGTCAATCCAGATCACCGGAATGCGCTCCACAGCGTTGGGCATGGCTACCAATATCAGAATGCCCTTTCCCAGGAAGATTCCGTCCGCCTTGTTCAGAGCGTTGGAAATGTGGTACAAGCCTTTTCAGGAGACGACCACGACTATTGTGACATTGTCCATGGGAATCTCCCGGGCAGCGTTCCGGAAATCACGGTCAAGAGTTTCAGCATGGCCATGGGCGTCAAGATTCCAGGATTCCAAATGGTCTCTCTGTACAACCCGATTGATGAAAATGGGGAGTCTTTGCTTGCAGAAGGTATCCCAACGGTCCAGACACACCTCTGCTTGTTGCCCAAACAACTCTCGACATTTACCACGTATATTGCTCTGGCAATCACGACCTTGTTCGTTCTCGCAGTGAGGGCCTTTCTCGTACCGATTCTCAACTTGCAAGCTTTTGCTCAGGTTGGGACCCAGGCAGACACAGCTGCCCTTCCTGCGCATAACAAGGAAAAGGTAGAGACGGATGTTGAACATGGCCATGGCCTGCCATCTTCGGGACACTCTACGTCGAAATTTCTATCCGCGCGTACTCGTGAACGTGGGGCTTCTATCACTTCCAATGGCAGCGCCCGTGGCATCTCGCCACGGCCCAAAGGTGGTAAATGGGGTTGGGGCGAGGCTCCTCGAGGTCCTCGCATCGAAATAAGAAGAGACACTTACGACAGCAACACGTCACGTGGCTTTCAATGGCAACCTTCCAGGCGTGCCGATTGGCGAACCGCACTTCAATCCAGAACTCAGTTCGTGGTCCGGGAGTTTTGGACCACGAGCTGGAGAGTGGCTTGGATGGCTATCGGGTTCTATGCTTATCTTACTTATCAAGGATAGTCTTACAAAAATGTGTCGAGATCAGCGTGAGGAATCGTTGTTTGTTTGTACTGTAATTGTACTTTTACAAGGTGTTGAAGGTTGGGTTTGGGCATTAAAAGCGGACGAATAGAAGAGGGTCTGCATTCTGATCGGCAGGGAGAAAAGCCCCGCTCGTAGGCACATTGAAATGCTGAAATATATGGCCATGATTGACGGCATTTAGAGACATGTACATGAGAAAAGGCTTTTGGAAATAGTGGTTTGATCGATGCACCAAAGATAAAATCAAACGATGGGTTGGTTAATTCTAGAGATATCAGTCCAATACAAGTGAATCAGCATGACTCGTAGTACCAGGTCAACGCCACATTATAACAACTTGAAGAATCAAATGCAAGACGAATACATGTTGTCTCTGTTGCAAAAAAAGCATATATGGAGTACGGGTTTTTATAGGCTGCTTCGCGCCCGCTTGGCAATTCCGTGCCGATATTCAATTCCCATATCCTGGACGGAAGAAGATTTCTATCCATAAATACCGCCATTGATAATCCCTTGCCATTTCCCAGTAACTCCAATACAACAAAACTCCGGCGCTGGTATCCCAAGTTGAAAAATTCAGATATTCTGACAGGTCCATGTGAACCCAATGACCTAAACGACAATGAGATGGGGTATATAATAATGGGTGCCGTAAAAAAAACAAATGGTAAAACGCGGGGCCCGTGGTTGTAATGATCAGTAACTGAATTCGACATTGCTCAGCCCCATTTGCTGTATCATTTTGTCCTCTTCTGTTCGATTGTCGCCAGTCCCTGGATCGGTGTGAATTGTTTCTATGCTGTCGGTGGCGCTGGAGCCAGTAACAGATGGTTGTAATTCGTGGTGTGCAGGTGGAATTCCACTGTCTGCAAAGCCCTCGTCTCGCAGCTGTTGGAAACTCCAGCTGGGCTCAAACTTGTGACTGTTCCATGCGTGATCCACGCGCTCATACATTTCATCGATTTGTTCCAGACTGATCTTGCTCGTCTCGTATACCATGCAGTACACGAATATCCAAGAAAGAATGCAAAAGGCTCCCCAGACGTAAAACACCTTGGAGCCCATATCAGCCGCACCGGCGCCGGTTGAATACATGAATGGAGTGCCATAGGCAATACCAAAGTTGAGAAGCCAGTTGGATGCCGTCGAAAAAGACATGGCCTTGGCTCGAATCTTCAAGGGATATATCTCGGCAGTGACTACCCAGCATACCGGACCCCATGAGGCAGCATAGAAGAAGATGAAAAGGCAGACAAATACGATCAAGACGGTGCTGTAAGCTCGTGTCTCGGCATTGTTGACCACACTCGCAGTAATAGCAATCACCAGCTGGCATATAGACATGCCCGCCGCGCCCGTCATGAGCAGTTTCCGGCGGCCCCAGGACTCAACCACGAACAGACCTGGTAATGTCGAAAAGACGTTGATGACATTGGTAATAATTGATATTAGGAAAGGACTGTCGACCTTTGCGCCGTGGAAGAAGGTGGTCCCGTAGTACATGATAAAGTTGATACCGCTGAGTTGTTGTAGCATTTGTAGAGCGCATCCAGTCAAGGTGCGACGGCCGAGATGAGGCGCTCCGATCAGAAAATCGTTCCACGAAGGAGGCCCGAGACTCAATTCGTATTGGTGATTGGCTTCGATTTCGTGCAACTCATCCACTAGTGCAGGGTGCGTTATGTCTAGACGTCGTAGGCGGCTCAGTGACAGAGCAGCGTCATCTTTGCGTCCCTTTTTGATGAGGTACCGTGGCGTCTCGGGTAAAAGGACAATTCCGAGAGCCAGGACGCACGCCGGAGCAAACTGGAGGCCAATGGGAATCCGATATGCTGCGGCGCCAGTCATGTCCTTGACAGCAATGTTGACCGCAGACGCGATTAAAAGACCGAGAGTAATGGAAAGCTGGTAGGCACAGACAAGAGTACCGCGAATCCACTTGGGGGCCATCTCGGACTGATACAAGGGGACCAGGAGGGATACTGCGCCAACGCCTACACCAGCAAAAAACCTGGAGCACGTTAGAATCATGATTCCTTGTTCGGCCCGACTAACACCTACCGACCAACCAACAGCATTGGAATGGCATCGGCGCAGACTTGAAATATGACGCCGAAGCAGAAGACGCCGACCGAGACAAGTAGTGACCAGCGACGACCGATATAATCAGCAGAGGGCGCGCCCAATAATGCGCCCAAAGCAGTTCCAGCGCTGAGGATGGCAACTATGATGGCAGTCTGCGCGGGTATAAAGGCAGGCGAACCAGAGTCATCGACAAATCCAGTAGTAAATTGTTTCAGAAAGGCATCCATGGCCAGAATGCCGTTGATGGCGCTGCGCAAGCTGTTAGCTGACATTGCCTATGACAGAAGACAACGATGAAATGATTGATCGCCGGCATCCTGCATCGTCGGATGGGTCGGGGTCGGCTTACCCAGTATCGTAACCAAAGAGCAAGCCGCCGGAAGCGACAAACAGGCCGACCATGATGGCAGGCGCTGACGAGCCGGCGACATTCTTGGGTTTGTGCCAGCCCATGGCGATCGCCATGGTGACGGTGGAAATGTCTTCAATCCAGGGTTGCGTGTTCTGTTCGAAGAATCGATTAAAGACTCGAATAAAGACGGACGCAGAGGGTCAGTCGGCGTGGTCGAAACAGGAATTTGCGGGTTCTCATCGATCGAGGAGACAGTCGTAGTGGATAACAATTCGAGAGTCAGAGGTAAGAGTTTCCCAAAGAGTGGAGAAGTCAGTCAGGTCAGTCAGCCGGGTCGGTAGGAAGGGAAAGAAGAATTGACGGAAGGGGACTTTGAGAGAGGAAGGTGAGGGATCGGCAAGAACATTGCTGGAACGGCCGGGGCGCCTTGGCCAAGCTCCAGCTGACAGAAGTGAACTTGGAGGCACAAAATGTCAGGGGCCCTGATTTGGGTTGGGTTGGGGGAGGGGGGGTGTGAGAGAAGTCAAAATTTTCGCAGACGGTTGTCGGGATTTGGAAGAGTTGAGAGGGGTGAATGTAAAGATATTCCATTTACGCTGCAAGAATAAGAATCGAGAATATATAGTTTGTACATGGCCTACCTACACTACATTACCAGCTGGGAGGCACGCTTCCCAGTTTGTTTCGCGCTGAGAACAAGCCATGCGGAACACAGAACACGACTCTCTTTCTCTCTCTTTCTCTTTCTCTCTCGTCTCTGTAATCTGTTGTGACCCCAAGGAAGGATTACATATTCTGGGACGCACCCCAAAAGTGAGGACAGTCACACACCACCACCCATCGACCTTGACACTGCAGCTAGCCAAGGGGGTTGACAACATCCCATTGGTCCCGATGCCGTCCTGTGTGTGTGCCTCGCAAGCGACAGGTGCAAATGCGGACAAGCGCAGGTGCGGACACCGAAAGATGGAGACGCGTTCGACCGATTCGAAGCTGGGGGCCCCAGGAAGACAGGTAGGCCTACCGCTAACCTCCAGCCGTCTCACTCTAGCATCAGTGGCTCGAGTGGCTCGCCTGGCTGTCGCTCTTGGCACTTCACACGGCATCAGTCATGTTTGTCGATTTTAGGATTAGGAAGTATTCCACGCACGGGAATTACAGACCAGAGAAGTCTTCCATATTGGCTGGGCAGGGACGATATTTTCTACTCATGCTCAAAGGCTCACACTCTTTCTTCTCTTCCAAGGAAAACAACAGCAATCAAATATACTGTGAGGACTTGGTCAAGAATGAACCTGGATCTCAAGCAAATCAGAACCATGCCCCGCGGAAGGGTGCCAAAATCATGGCCCAGTCAGAGGACGGCCTATTCCACCAGATGACCGCGCACTACTACTTCTGAAAAAGCCACACCTCCATGGCTTATTACTGCGCACCCCAACCCAACATTCCACATCAGATTGGGCCACACAAGTCCCAAGGCACGGAGGCATTCGGCTACAAGATCGTTCCCTGGTCTCATGAATCCGAGAAGGTTGAGAAAGTCTGGCACAATATAAATCGTCCTTGTCCTACGCTCTGAATTGGTTGAGTAATATTCTTTCTTGGTGGGTTGTCCATTTTTTGCGACTATAATTACCGTATCAAATCCCGACAGCTGTCACGGGTGTCAGATAAACGAACCCATATCGACAGCAAGTCAATGAAACACAGGACAGAGTTGCATCCCTCGTGGCTTCGCGAACCTAATTGAAGGCAACTTTGGCACTCGCATTGCTACTCTGCATCGAAGTCTCAGGTATGGGAGTCTCGCTCTCGATCGGGGTCGAGTCAACAGAAAGACTGTATGGTCCATTAGTGCTCTGTTGGTACATGGTGACCTAAGACTTTTTTTTTTTTCCCTGCGGGGAAAAAAAAGACAAGCCTGGAACCTGGAGTCAAAAGAGCCATTTTCAGCCCTGAGACCCATCGATTTGTGGAACACCCTTGCTTTCTACCATTGTCTACGGAAAATTGTCACTGTTTTATTATTAGGGAGTATACGCAGAGTTTCCGCTGCTGGAAGCAATCGCTCGAAATCCTTCCAGCACTTCTGTTTCTCGATCACCTCTCGTACGACCTGTTTTGCCAATGGGTCGATTATTTGGTTTGGCACGAAGGTCGAAATGTATCTTTCTAGGGCTCCAAACTATGCATCGTTCCTAACTGCGGCCTCAAACCTTTGAAGGCCATTCTATTCAGAATATCGCTACGCCGCATCCGTTTGGTCCCCTATGCTCGCGAACATTACTCCTTAGTCTTCTAAAATATTGTCTGCCGTCATGTGATAACCACGCATATTTGCATGAATGGCAGTCGAGCAGCAAGAAGCAGACTTCGCGCGGAACATCGTCCCCGGGGATTTCAAAAGCATGCTTCACCAAGACATTTGGGCCCTCTGGACGACTATAGCGTGCGACTTATTTTCTGCTTTTCGTATTCGGTCAGTGCTTGGCGATGAAGCTTAAGCAGCTACTCTGTCGTGCCATCACCACCGGCTCGCAAAGAAAACTGAAGGATGCTTCCCTCGAGTACTCCCATTTGGGGTCCGGTGTTGTTCTAGAAGATATTGCTAGCCTGATTCGCATTTTGAGACATGACAAATCATCTCGGAGGACCAGACCCTCGTCTTTTGGGGACCTTATATCTGTTTTCTTTGGACTCGAGTCCAGGCCATGAGGTGGGCTGTTGTGACTCCATTAACATCCAGTTACATTAACAGTCTACTTTAATTCCAGGTGAATGATTTCATTTTCCAGGCTCTCATTCCGGGAAAAAGCAGTGACGGCGCGTCTTTGCCGGACTTCAGGAGCTCTATTCGCTTGAAAGCAGGATCGCTATCGCATCTTACATCGCCCAGCTCGTGTGACATGGCAAACCAGCAGGCTGCTTTATATGCAATGGTCGTTCTTTGTAGCCATCGGTAGGACCTACCTTTGTGTATCCCCGCATATATCGTAGTATCGTCCTTGTCACGCGATGCTCTTGGGTAACCCTGCTTTGACAGCCAAACACTCGTCAAACAGACACACGATCTATATCAAGACCATGCTCCTCAGATCTCCTTTAGCTGTAATCGTCACTTTCCTCTTTCATTTAGAAATTATGCTCCGCTCATTCATGGTCTGCCCCCCAAATTTTTCTTTTGAACCGAGGAACACCGGTGACAAGCATGCATGTGTGCCTCCGTGGATCTGCGGATCTGGAAACCCTACACGACGCTCCAGCTCATGCAGCGGATATGCAATGTCATCCGTTTAGCCCATGGCTGACCGAAAACACATCCTGGTTTTGAGTTTGCCATTGGCTTCGGAAAATGGGCCAGTGGCAGCACAATGCCATTATAACCATACAAATAGGCGTTCCATGAGGCTCAGATAGGCTGCTAATTATAAGCCCACAAGTAATAATTGCAAGCAGACAACAGGCATGGAATCTTGCATGGATTTCGACGCCATCAATGCAAGCTTGGCAGGGCTATTATATAGAAATTGCTCGTATTTTGAAAAGAATTTGTAAATATAAGATTTATCTAAAGGAATGATATCCGAGTTTCCGAGTTTCTAAATATTATTTTTAAAATATATTTATTCCGATTACGGATTTAAAAACTCTTTATATAAAGGCAAAACTTATTTTATTATTTAGTGATCCATATTATATTATTTTATTACATAATCACTTTTAAATTTCATAAATAAGTAAAATGTTTTTACATTAGCTATATAATTAATTATATATAATAACGTTAGCGTGAGCATTAGCATTATTATAAAATGATTTATCGCCTTAAATAAGCATTATGAAATGCAGTAAAGTATAAAGTGAAGAGTATATTTTAACTAATAAGACTTGGATAAAAAAGCAGTGAGTAAATGCTGAAATTTAGCGCAGGCATGGTAAAAATGCGCCACGAGCAGAAAAGAATCCATTTACTTTAATTATAACAAAGGATCCTTTTATTACAAGTTAATCTCTTTATATTCCCGCGTTTAATATTTATTTTAGACGGTTATATGCATAAGAAAAGACTTACATATCACATGTAATCCCTGTAATAATCTTTAATCCATGCTATAAAGTGTTTATTTAAATAAATATAAAGGCCGTGGGCTAAAATGACCGCCATTACCATAACTATTAACATGGAGGGAAATGACTCTATATGGGATATGCGATTTATATGTTAATTTGTAACTCGATAGATGAGTTTTTATGGAAATGGGAAAAATGAAATTTCCACTCTTTAATTAGATTCGTTTTATAGCTTTATTATTTTGCGAAGCATATATAATAACCGGAACTTTATATGCGTGCACGGCCTATTTCTTACCAAAAGTCACTATATTCACACCCGTATTTATAATCCAGGAAAAATAGGAAAAATCCGTAAATAGCTAAAATTAAAAGTAAATTACTAATTTTTATTATTTTTAGGCTTTTTTTTTTATTTTTTTACGACGTATACGATAATATAGCATTATATATTAAGCTAAATAGGAAAAATTATGGTTTCCCTACCAAAATTAGCATATTTTTAACTATAATTTAACTTTTACGATTTTTCTAATTTTCTTTAAAGACAAAGTGAAAAATTCGAATAATACAAAAAATTTTTCTATTAAATATAAATAAATTTATTGTTCTAGCTTAATTTTGCGATTTTTCCTAGGTTATTGGTAAGCACTGGAATACGGTGACTTTTGGTGTAAAACAGGGTTGGCACGGATATAAAATTCCGGTCTCTGTACGATCACCGTTGCGGACTATGGTGCATGAGTTGGCCTTTTTGATTTCATGGTCAATGTTGAACTTGATGTGGCAGGGTGAGAATGTACCTGAATCTTGATCAAGGAAGCCGCTTCATGACGTCCATAAATACTGAGATTGCAGGATCATGAAGAAGGGGGTTTGGGCAGCTCTGAAGGACTAATTTTGCCGAGGCCAAGGGATTTTTTTGATGATTGGGCAACCTATAACTAAACTTGAAGGTTGTATCATGCAATACTTTGATTTGGAGACAACGGTTTGTCAGCGCTCGCCCGTTGCCTTACCATCTTGAAGTATTCACTTGGATCGCCAAGCCCTCTGGCTCAATCTAGCTCTTGGCTTTTTCTGGTGGTGTAGTAATTGAGCCAAGCGAGTTCTGGTATAGCTGTTTTGGTGAGAATTTCGATTGGACGGCAATCAATGGAAAAAGGCTTGGCGTTTCTTGATTGCCACTCATTGCGCAGGACTCAACGGTGTTTGTCACTTGGTTTGCCCATGCGCGACAGTTTGAAAGAGAGACCTGACTCTTTTGGTCGCAATCGTCATTATAGACAAGTGTTGAAAGGTGCATGATATGGCCTTGATTGGCATAGGAATGTTGCTTGCGAAACATGCTGAAAACTGTCACATTGCGCCGTGGCTTTTCCAGAAGCACGCGCTCCAGTTGAAGACAAAAGTATGAAATCTGCACCAAGCTGTCTTTTGCGGTCCTGTCCTTGTTTTGTGCGAGTTGTCATTGCCTTTCAAACTTTTGTATACGCACTATTCACGCAAATCTCTTTTTTTCAGGAAGCTGGCTTTCATATTGTCGAACAAACTGTTACGAGAATACAATGATGCGGGTCATCATCATCTTCTTACTTCACCTGCTGGTGTCGCCAATATCACAAGCAAGCCCCTTGACGATTGCCGCACCCACATCAACACTAGGGACGCCCACGAGATCGACCGTGCCGTTTTCATCGCCAATCCAAAGCAAATGTCATGGCAGTGGAAGGAACTTGACCTCGACAGAAACTGGATCGGCGGCAAGAGTGACACCGGCTCCCACTGGAGGCGTCTTTCACGAGCCCGGAAGCCTAGCCGGCACAGGAGCTGCTGTGGCCAAATTCAGACAGACGACTTATTATACGTGCGTGACTTGGCCGAGCACCGTACATTGTGGGTGGCATGAACCTGTGGTGGATGCGAGTTTGAATACGGCGCCGATTCATAATCATGGCAGGTAAGATTCTCAACAAAAAAGTATTGCTGAGCAAGCAGCAATGATGAAGATTTGAAGAAGCCGTCACTCACTCTTGAAATAGGAGAATCGCAGTAGTTGCTGGAATAGCAGCGATTGTGGTCGCTGCATTGGGCATGTGACGACATGGCAACTTTTATTTAGCATCTGGATGTTACCACCCAACGGACATGCCGGTCATTTTCAAGGGTTATATTCCTTAGTTACCTAATAATGGTGATGATGAGCTCAATTGGGGAACATTGGGGTATGCCTTGGTCGAGGGCAGATGAGAGAATGCGACATTTTGGTTCTGAGATATCATGCCAAATTCTCCAGAGCTCCATCAAATAAAAGTCAACCGTGGAGGCTTAGCGCATCAGGGCAGCATGCCGCGTGTGCGCTAATACTCACAAGCTCCAGGGGCAGCAGAGATGCGCGCCCACCAAGATCCGAGGCTAGGAGGGGCCATATAGGGGCCATCTCCTTGGGCATTAGCTGCAGGGTCCTCCCTAGGGCAAGCTGGCGATCCCCAGCTCCGCGGCAAATTGTTCCTGATGAAGGAGCTGATGATCTTTGCGATCAAGGAAACACGAGGGGAAATAGTAACGACTTACGATACTGTCCAGAGATCATTGTTCAAAAAGAAGACTAGATAAATACTGTTGAATGATTACCAGAATAAGTGCCTACCCACGTACTCTGTAGGTAGCAATGAATGTGCCCACATGATGCAATGTACCTTTCGGGTTGCTTACGCGACGGCAGGTAACCTACCGACCGCGCTATCTCCAGGTACGAACCACTAGAACCCAGAAGTTAATCAACGGTCCCAATCTCCAGTCCCGCCGATATCTACTTGGAAATTGAAGTCGACCACTCCGCCCACTCCTCTGCTCCGGGGGGCAGCCTGTTTGCGATCCCTTTTTTTTTTCTTGCCTCACCTCTGTCTACTGTCCAGTTTGACTCCCGGCTGCCATCAATCCGCCTGCGATAGTGCCGAGCCTAATACCTGCAGACGACGGCGACGACAAACGGTTTCAAAAATCGATTCCCCATTTCGCTCGGGCCCATTTGTGCAGCAAGACGTTCCCGATCCCTTTCGCATCATTCATACCTGAATTTACTCGCGCGATACGACACGAAACGACACAAAATCAGATCAAAATCAGACCGCAAAGATGGGTGGCCAATTCAGCAAGATGATGGGCAAGATCTTTGGATCCAAGGAGATGCGACTTTTGATGTTGGGTCTCGACGCCGCTGGAAAGACGACCATTCTGTACAAGCTCAAGCTTGGCCAGGACGTGACGACGATTCCCACCGTCGGCTTCAACGTCGAGACGGTGACGTACAAGAATGTCAAGTTCAATGTCTGGGATGTTGGTGGTCAGGACAAGATTCGTCCCCTTTGGAGACACTACTTTAGCGGTAAGTAGAGGATTCGCTCGTCGCGTTCCAAAAGCCAAACGCGCGACATTTCAGTTCTGGGAGCATTCATGATGACTGACAATTTCTCAAACAGGAACCCAGGGCTTGATCTTTGTCATTGACTCATCCGATCGCGCCAGAATCGAAGAGGCCAAGCAGGAGCTGCACCGCATCATCAACGACCGAGAAATGAAGGACAGTCTGCTCTTGGTGTTTGCAAACAAGCAAGACATTCGAGATGGTTTGTGATACTCTGGCCATTTTGCGACCATTCTATACTGACCACGTTTTCGTAGCCATGAAACCACAAGAAGTTACCGATGCCCTACAACTCAACAAGCTCAAGGACAAGGTCTGGTACGTTGTGCCATCTTGCGCAACCACGGGAGAAGGTCTGCTCGAAGGTCTTGCCTGGCTCTCCAACAATGTCAAGGCACCTCCAGCACCTGCCAAGAAGTAGGGAGCCAAACACGGAGCTGAAGAATGGACTCTGCCGACAAGAGCATCGTCGAGTCGAGCTGGGCACACCTCATAATCTTTACGACACAACCTTGAGCGAACGACTGACAGCGCCACACCGAAAATTGTGGAAGATACTGTTGATAATACCCAGGAATGCTAATCATTGAGCCGGACGAGGAGGAAGCGAGACAAGAAGACACCAAGACGGAGCCGGCGCCAGATGCTCATGGTGATATGAGACGAGACGATATACTGCCTGTTTGCGTGTGCTTTTGCGTTTGTATTTGACAAAAGAGCTTGAGCACGATTTGCGATTTCGAGTTGATGCGGCGCGGGTTGTCGACAAGGCATTCCAGAGGGCGAGGGCACAAATATAATGGGAGTACAGCGGGATGCGGAAGGAAAGAGGTGCATTTTGCGTTCCTTGGCCATTCTTGGGAAGCATGGAAATAGAGTCATGCAGCGTTGAACTAATACAATTTTGTAATATTGCTTGATTGGTCTTTTGCATCATGTCAATGATGCGCACGTTGTCCCAGAGGAGCCATCATAGGCCACACTATATCTTGTCGTCTCTGACCCAAAGCATTATCAGTAATTATGCAGATCTCTGGATTAATTACGTTGCGGAGCATTCGACGCGACAGAACAAAGGCATTTATTTGATGCCGCATCGAGTGCTGTGCCAGCAGTCACAAACAGATGAGAGTTGACCGCTCGTATCGGTGGTTTTGATATGCTAAACTTTGGTGTGTAGTTGAAGATAATCTTTGCAAATGATAATACTGGATTGATATGGCATCCAAAGTCCATTCATCATCACCCTCCTCCCGGGGGCCGGACTCTGGAAGCAAGAAAACCAAAAGCTAGAGAATATTCGACTGCAAGTCAAAGAGCATACCGCCGTGTTGGAAACTAATGATCATCATTGGCGTATATATATACATGTTTTCGAACAGATGGGACTAGGTTGCTCATGCCATCAAGTAAACCCATTTGACAGGCACATGATCGTGGACATATTTGTTTCTTGTGGTTATAGCAAGAGCAGGATTCGTCTGACCTGCCATGGTAGGGTTCTGGTCATATCTCTTTGCTTTGGTCAGTATGATGAAGGCTAATAATGATCATTCTTCATATTGCCGCCTTGACTTAGGCAGGAGGAGGAGGCTCTGGTGACACTTGAGGCTCTCGATAATGGCTATGCTTTACACTTGTTTGAAAGTTGTGAAAATTAATGCAACAGGTAGCGAGCCGCTGGCCAGGGAGAGAGTAGTGAGAATTTGGCTGTATCAGTGTTTCCGCCATTGTTAAAAAGACCAAGCTTCTGTTTCGTGGTTTGGCAGATGTACTACGATCCGTGAATAGCTTCCTACAATATGATGTGCTGTGTCGTTAAAGCCGGTATGGCGCAAGGAACCCTTCCCAACCACGTACCATCGATCATGTACAATCAATGACTAGCTCTTCCTAGCATGTTTTCATTTCTTGAACAAAACTTTGATGGAACAAGACAAGTGTAGAGAAAATCATGATTTGCAATTATGGTCCACACACATGACGTGTTCGACCATTGGCGGCCGTAAATACGTACTTGTAACTTTTGTCAGTAATTTGACCAAAGGGCGTGCCATACCTACCCCTCATGGCGACATGAATCCACACGGATGCCCCGCAGCGGAAGCGGATGTGAACATTCGGGAGCAGGTGGTTCGGAGCCGAGGGCGGGCGTTTATATAGACTCTTGAGCCTCAGTTAATGATAGAAACCAAATCTGGCCATTCTCACCACATTCAGATATTATCAAAATGGCTACTACCATTCCGTCCCGACTGCTGATCATCGGTGCCACCGGGGTTATTGGCAAATACATCACCAATGCAATTCTGTCATCGAAATCCCGCATCAACAGCCTGTCACAGATATCTATTCTCACTTCGCCTGCCACGGCTTCCAACCCCGCCAAGGAAGCTCTGTTGTCGTCTTGGAAGGATCAAGGTCTGACGGTCATAACTGGCGACATCACTAGTGTGGATGACATCCGGAGTGCGTACAAGGATGTCGACACTGTAGTTTCTTGTCTTGGCCGTGGCGGCTTGCTCGAGCAAATTGAACTTTTAAGGCTGGCAGAGGAAAGTTCAAGTGTCGAATGGTTCTTCCCCAGTGAGTATGGGACAGATATCGAGTTCGACGAGACGAGCCCGGTTGAGAAGCCACACCAGAATAAGCTCAAAGTGCGGGCTTTTATTCGGGACAATATCAAGAAGCTCAAGGTCACATATGTCGTGACTGGTCCCTATGCCGACATGTTTCTCGAGTTCAAGGCCGGCTTCCCTGCCGCTGGAGGGTTTGACGTCAAGAAGAAGGAGGCAGTCTTGGTGGGAAGTGGAGAGGACAAGATTGGTTTCACCACCATGCCAGAGTGAGTGGAATACCCTTTTTTGTACTATTCCTACTAACAAGCTGCAGCGTTGGAAAATTTGTTGTTGCAGCACTATCAAATCCCACTGCCTCTCAGAATAAGGCTTTGAAGGTGCAGTCTTTTGTAACTACAGCAAAAGACATCCTGGCCGAGTTTGAGGGCCAGACTGGGCAGAAGTTTGACGTCAAGTACACATCCAAGGAGGAGCTACGCCAGGCAGAACAAAAACTCTGGAGTGAAGGCAATCCTTCGGCCGCCACGTTCACCCTGAGAAGGATTTGGGCGGATGGAAAAACTCTCTACAACAAGACGGACAATGAGAGCTTGGGGGTCAAGGTGGACGACTTGGAACCATTGAGCGTAGTCGTTGCTAGGGCCGTCAGTGGAGAGGGTTATTAAATCAAAATAGCAGCAATGCTTAGGATGAGGAATAGTTACCACCTTGCGTTGTGGCTCATGTCACTATGTTCTATGTATGGGTGCTGTAGTTGCAGCTGCAGGATGCTTCAGAGACCTACTTATAATTTCAGGGTCGAAATATGAAATGATATTATCCAAAGTTCAGTTCTGATCATTATCCATGACATGTGCCATTTGTTGCAGTCCCTTTGTGCTTGATGAGATTGCTTGATTGCGAACTGTTTAAAACCAATGTCGCATATGTCCCAAGGACGAATATACAAATTGATGACCGTGCTGTTATACATTACCACCAATCTCGCCCAGGCGGGCCGCGGAATACCAGGCAGGGATGTCAACTAATGTTGGTTAACGGACCATTACCGCACAAGCCCGGCGCTCATTGGTAGCGGTGGGTGGATTCCGCGCCGATACACCCCACTAAAATTTTTCTCAGATGTGCTCTTCGATTGCACAAGCCAACACCAGGGTCTTTGCCAAAAACTTTTGAGTGTTGCTGCGCATTCGGACCACCACACCCAATTCGTCATCACTATGTCTTCGGATAAAAAGGAGAAAAGGTCCAAGCGGGACAAGAGCGATCACAAGTCCAAGAAGCGCAATCGCGACCTCGAGGCGCAACCCGAAGAGGAACACAGACACAAGCGATCCAAGAGCGAAGCGCCAGGCGCAGACGACCAAGAAACGCCGGCAAAAGCCAACGTCGAGCAGACAGCCACCGAGGATGCCCCCGTACAAAGCGGCAAGGCTCGTAGGAGCGAAAAGAGAAAGAAGAAGCGACAATCGCAGGGTGCAGAGGACGGCGAAACGGCGGCCGGCGACGTTTCCATGACGGATGCAATGGATCAGGACAATGTCCCGGCAGCCGATGCTGTTCAAGACGAGAAAAAGCACAAGAAGGAGAAGCGCCGCAAGAACAAGGAGGCAGAAGCTACGGAAGAGACACAGGACGCCACGAACAGCACCTCTCACCAACCCTTTGGCAAACTCCCTGAGCAACCATACCCATTCTTTACGCAAAAGGTGTCACAGTATTTGCCGCTTTATCCTCTTGGTATGATTGAGCCAGTAGAGGGGTATGCAGAGCAACATCTCAAACCCTTGATGAATCACTACGTCCCAACATTCCAAGGTGTGCTTTTGGGCTATCATGATGTGCAGGTGGGAGAAGCTCCCGGAAAGGGCTCTCTCACAGAGGATAGCGACGATACCCAAGAAGCTCTATTAGAGTCGATAGACGAATATGCCGTGAGCTTTGGCTGGTTGACGGCAAAGCTCGACCTTTTTAAACCGACCCGAGGTGCTTGGATGGAGGGCACCGTCAACATGCAGACCGAAGGACACTTGGGCGTTGTCTGCTGGAACATGTTTAACGCTTCAATCGAGGCTGGTCGTCTGCCCAAGGGTTGGCGATGGGTTAGTCTACTCGACGGCAAGCAGGGATCTGAAGAGTTTACGCCAGAGGACGAGGACGGGCAGCTGCACACGACCGGGTACTGGGTAGACAAGGAGGGCCAACGAGTACGAGACAAGATTCGATTTCAAATCAAGAATTTTGAAGTTGGTGTAAGCGGCGATTATGGATATCTCAGCATCGAAGGCACAATGCTTGACCCCGAAGCAGAACAACAAAAGGTTGCCGACGAACTCGAGAAGCTGCGCCGGTGGAAACTCAAGAATGGCGCATCGCGAAAGGAACACAAGAAATTGCCAGATTTTAGTATGACCAAGTTTGGTATGGACGAAGAGCAGGAAGACGAGACACAGCGAGCAGAGGTTTGGAAGGGCAGTCGGCCGGCAAGCGAGACTGCCGAGTAATGACGTGGGCAGACTGTTTTGAGCATAGAAATTGCATGTCTAATTGGAATTGCTTGATGACTCTTGACTGTTTCAACCTGCTTTGCCGTTGTATTGTCCGGGAAAGAAAAACGCAAGGAAACATGTTTGCAACGTTCAATGGCAAGTGGGCGTGACTCGCGCCAGGTTCTCATCCATCGTACCCAGGTCAGCCCCACCAGCCTACCGGCAGCGTCCCGTGCGACCCCAGATTCCACTTGTCCCCATGCCCGACTCTTCAACACCTCCGTCCGTCTGTACAGCACGTCGATTGTGAGCGAACCGACTGTTCCTTTGGCCATCGCATATCGACCCTTCTTTATCAGTGTATCTTGTCACCTACATTTGACTCCCAAGATGTCTTCAGGGCTGCGCCAGTTTGCCCACGATGTCTCCCCGTACCTTGTCATATTGATTGCCGTGAGCGCCCTTGGGCCTCTTCAATTTGGTTTCCACTTGGTGATACCCTCCATCTTCCGGCCGTGTCAAGGATCAAGCTAATAGACGGCCAGGGCGAGTTGAATGCACCCCAAGATGTCATCACCTGCCGCAGAAAATCCATTTCCGCTCGATTCGTATCGCGATCCGTCGACGTTGCGAGCATGCCCGACTGCATCTACATGGACAATGTTCAGTTTGCCGTCGTCTCGAGTGCCTTTACAGTAGGCGGTCTGTTCGGCGCCCTGGGTGCCGGCCCCATCTCTTCCGCCAAAGGTCGACTCTTGGCCATGCGTCTCACCAGTCTCTTCTTTGTCATTGGGTCTGTGATTGAAGCTGTAGCTGCCTCGGTCCCCATCATGGCACTTGGCAGAGTGTTTTCGGGTGCTGGAGCCGGAGCCGCGACGGTCATTGTGCCAATCTACATAAGTGAAATCGCACCTCCTAAGGAAAGAGGATTCTTTGGGTTCATGACACAGATTAGTATCAATGTTGGAATCTTGCTGGCTCAGACTCTTGGGTTCTTCCTGAGCCACGATTCAGCCTGGCGCTGGATCTTGGGAACTGGTGCAATCATTGGAGGCGCTCACAGCATTGGTCTAGTTGCCGTTCCCGAAAGTCCTGCCTGGCTCGCATCGAATGCAAGCGTATCACATGCCAAGCGTGTTTTGCAGCGCATACGAGGCAATGACTATGATATTGAAGAAGAAGTGGCCTCGTGGGGAGTAACGAATCCAGAAGAACAAGGCCTACTACAAGACGCCGAGAACCCCGAAGTCGCCAAGTCTGGAGGCGAGCACTATGGCTTTATACAAGTTGTACGCGACCCCGAGACTCGACCTGCCATTATTGCAGTTGTGGGCACAATGTTTGCTCAGCAGCTTTGTGGCATCAACTCCATCATCATGTACTCGGTATCTCTTCTCGCCGACCTGCTCCCCATCAACTCGGCGCTGCTTACGATTATCATTTCGGCCATGAACCTTGTCGTTACCATCGCATGTGCCCCGCTACCGGATAAGCTGGGACGCAAGGGGTGCCTTTTGGTGTCTACTGCAGGACAGGGCACGAGTGCTCTCTGTCTTGCTCTGTCCATTCTGTTTGGACTAAAGGTCCTCAGTGCCGTTGCCGTGCTGGCCTTTGTCGCATTCTTTGCTGTTGGCTTGGGGCCTGTGCCATTCATGCTGGCGAGCGAGCTCGTAGGCCAAAAGGCTGTTGGCGCTACTCAGAGCTGGGGGTTGGGCGCCAGCTATATTGCCACCTTTCTTGTTGCGCAATTCTTTCCCATCATCAACGTCGCCCTGAATGAGCGATTCGGTGGCGCAGGTTGGGTCTACTTTGTATTTACCGCCCTTGCAATCTGCTCGGGGCTCTTTATTTCCACAAGGGTGCCAGAGACTCGCGGTAAAAAGGATGCAGACGAGGTATGGGGAAGGACTAGACGCCTAGACTAGTTATGGCATTTGCAGATAACCTAGAATTATGAACCTCTTTTCAGCAACCATTGCTGTCGGATCAACTGCTCCACCTGCATGACACCTGCAGCAACTCCGTCGATGACTTTGAACGTCTTGTACGCAAAGTCCTCGCCACATTCCTCCATAGCCGCTGTACGGATCTGATCCTCCAGGCCAGCCATGCCCGCACATCCCATGGCTACACATGTTACTTTGCCTTTGCGAAGAAGTCTCTTGGTTGCCTCACGTATCTTTTGGTTGATTACCTCGGGACTGACACCATGATGAAAATCCGAGGCAATCAGTCCTGTAGACTCGACGCCTGCGAACTTGTCGTTGGAATCAGAAACGCTTGCACCGAGGAAATGTTGGACTCCGTGCAGGAGATGAGCCTCCCAGAATTTTCCAGTCGTCACAATGCCCCATTTCTCGTCGGGGAGGAGGAGAGGCAGTGCGGTCAATATACTGGCCTCAAAGATGCCAGTTGCCAGTATATTCTCCCGAGCAAGCTCGACGACCAAAGGATGCACGCTAAAACACGCAACCACTATGCCGTCGAACCCTTGCTCCTTAATATATGGCCATGCGTCTGCTTTTACAGCTTGAACGCTGGCATCAATATCGTCGCCGTCATTGATACTTGCCGGAGCACTCGAGGGTCCAGTGTAGTAATGAATATCCGTACCCTTGCACCAGTGTTAGTGCCAGCTCTTGGGCTGAGTCATTGACCACTCTGAAGACTTACCTGGGGAAGTTCTGCAGACGCAACCACTTTTTTGACACCATCTGTCATGGAACGAGACGAGTTGGGATTGAGCACTAGGATTTTGGCCATTATGAAAGCACTGGTATGATATGGTCAGCTGAGGAGTTGAGGCTGGTATTCTCCAGATTTGTACTGAAATAAAAGAGTCAGTTGATGTTGGAGTTCCTTGACCCCACCATCTCCAGTTTCCACTACGTTGACTATTTACGGATTTGGAGACGTTTGGATCGACAGTACCAGAATCCTCTTCTGATGGTGGCACTATTCTACATATCTTTACCTTTGGTTCAGCATTTGTTTAAAGCATCATGGTACATATCTGCAAGTCATATCTCAATGATTGTAAGTGACATTAGGTATTTACAATCCCCGCCATGTTGAATACAATACGTACAGCCTCTAATGTTGCTGCGGGGCACCGCGGGGCGGTTTTCTTGGACATCTGGAGCTAGGTAGCTCGGAGCTCCATGCTGCTCACGACCGCCGTACCAGCTGGACGGAGGACCTGCCTAAGCCACCGCTGTGGCCGTGCGCCATCCCCCCCTTCTGAGGAATACCCCCTTATGAGGTAGTCTCAACTGCCATCAATCGCACCGCCGACCCCGCCACCATCACCACGATTACCAGCCGCTGCCTGCTCTCGGGAGCAGATTATCAAGACAACCGACATTTGGAATTGGAAGCCCCGACAATCAACCAGAACCGTACACTGCTGGCAGCTCTACTGCCGTCGCCCGTCTCAACATGTCGGAAGCTCCTATTGGTATGACCAGCTCACCTCCATCTCGCATGACCACACCTAACAACTTGTAGTCCTCGACGGCGGAACGGGTTTCCTCAAAGTCGGTTACGCCGCCCAAAACTTTCCCGAATTCCAATATCCTTCCATTGTCGGCCGACCGATCCTTCGAACCGAGGAAAAGGGCAGCGACAATGACGTAGTAATAAAGGACATCATGTGTGGCGACGAGGCCGCCGCGGCCAGAACCATGCTCCAGATCAGCTACCCAATGGAGAATGGAATTGTCAAGAAGTGGGATGACATGCAACATCTCTGGGACTACACCTTTTTCGAAAAGATGAAGGTTGACCCTACTGGGCGCAAGATTCTCCTGACCGAGCCGCCCATGAATCCACTCAAGAACAGGGAGCAAATGTGTGAGGTCATGTTTGATCGCTACGGATTTGGCGGCGTTTACGTAGCTATCCAGGCCGTGCTGGCTCTGTATGCGCAGGGTAAGATACCCGAGTCCTGAATATGAAATCATCTGATAAGTCTAGGTCTGAGCTCGGGAGTGGTTGTCGACTCTGGTGACGGTGTCACGCACATTGTGCCCGTCTACGAGTCCGTGGTGCTCAACCACTTGACGCGACGCCTGGATGTTGCTGGTCGCGATGTCACGCGCAACCTGATTGCACTGCTCCTGCGACGCGGCTACGCCCTGAACCGAACTGCCGATTTTGAGACGGTGCGACAAATCAAGGAGAAGCTCTGCTACGTCTCCTACGATCTCGAGCTGGACAAGCGTCTTAGTGAAGACACGACCGTCTTGGTTGAGAGCTACACGTTGCCCGACGGACGTGTCATTCGTGTTGGCAGCGAGCGTTTCGAAGCCCCTGAATGTCTCTTTCAACCGCATCTTGTTGATTGTGAACAGCCTGGCATGGCCGAATTTCTGTTCAACACTATCCAAGCAGCGGATGTTGACGTTCGGTCCTCGCTTTTCAAGGCTATTGTTCTCTCTGGCGGCAGTAGCATGTATCCCGGATTGCCAAGCAGATTAGAAAAGGAGTTGAAACAGCTGTGGCTCACACGTGTCCTGGGAGGCAACCCCGAGCGTCTCAACAAGTTCAAGGTCAGGATAGAGGATCCCCCAAGAAGAAGACACATGGTTTTCTTGGGTGGTGCAGTTTTGGCAAACATCATGGCCGACAAGGAGAGCATGTGGATCACCAAGCAGGAGTGGGAGGAACAGGGTACCAGGGTGCTGGAGAAGTTGGGACCACGATAGAGTAGTCGGGGAGTTTATGGTAGCAATGCTTGATTGAAATAATTATTCATCAAAAGAGCATCCCTCGACTTGACAGCATTTTTCATGATTTGAACTTGCGAGTGCATCCTCGTGTGTACACGGCTGGCAACTTGCAGATATCCCTCTGCCGCCTGCGCCACGGTGGGTGTGTAACCGTTGGTGTGTACCAGCCACAATTCTGGCTAACTCGTACTGCTTACTTGAGCCTATCATCTCAACTTATATTGATTGTCCAAATGCTGCAAGATAATCTCCATAAACAGCTGTGTCAAGCAATTATGACTTTTCAGCACACTTAGCCGTGACTTATCCTAAATCGGGCCGCGCCTGCTCATGTATCTAGAGTGGCAAGCCCGTGGACCTTCCGGCGCAGCGCGCTATTAGCTTGCAAAGTGCCGACCGGTCACTGAATCACAAACCATTACAACAACATCATCATCATCCTCATCTTGAGACTTGCCCATCAAAAATTCTGGGAATGAGCGTTGCACATCCTTGGCACGCATCATGAGCCTCAATAACCCATCATCAGGACCCTCGGGGCCCGGGTCTGTCGCTGCGCGAAACCAAGGCCTGAAGCGGAGTGTCCAGGCTGCGTTTGACGGTCAGTAACTACATCTAGAGGTCGTGCCACCTCCTTTTGATCGCCACCTCGTCGACTACCTCTGCTTTCATTTTGCACAATTTACTGACCCCATCAGACCCAGTAGATCGCGGACAGGAGCGTTATCAGAGCAAAGTTCGAGTCATGGACAAGTACAAGGTTGTCGGCTTTATCAGTAGTGGAACATATGGCCGCGTCTACAAAGCCCTTGGTCGCCAGGGTCAGCCTGGAGAGTTTGCCATTAAAAAGTTCAAGCCGGACAAGGAGGGTGAACAGATTCAGTACACGGGCATTTCCCAATCAGCCATCAGAGAAATGGCCCTTTGCTCGGAGCTTAACAATGCCAATGTTATTCGCTTGGTCGAAATCATCCTTGAAGATAAATGCATTTTCATGGTATTCGAATATGCCGAGCATGACTTGCTACAAATCATTCACCATCACACGCAGAACCCAAGGCATCCTATACCTCCTGCGACCGTCAAGAGTATCATGTTTCAGTTATTAAACGGCTGCCAGTATCTCCACAGCAATTGGGTCCTTCATCGAGACTTGAAACCCGCAAATATCATGGTCACATCGGCAGGTCAGGTCAAGATTGGAGATCTTGGTCTCGCAAGACTCTTTTGGAAGCCTCTTCACTCGCTATTCAGTGGAGACAAGGTTGTCGTCACAATATGGTACCGCGCACCCGAACTTCTACTTGGCAGTCGACATTACACACCAGCCATTGACATGTGGGCAGTTGGCTGCATTTTCGCTGAACTCTTGTCCTTGCGGCCAATTTTTAAAGGGGAGGAGGCCAAGATGGATTCGAAAAAGACGGTTCCCTTTCAACGGAATCAGATGCAAAAGATTGTTGACATTATGGGATTGCCCACTAAAGAGCGCTGGCCTTTTCTCACGAGCATGCCAGAGTATTCGGCACTGAGTACTTTACAACCCCCCATGCTCCATCATCACTCACATCATCAGAATCGCAACACATGCCATTTGGAGAAATGGTACTACAGCACAATCGGTACACATTCTTCCACATCATCACCGAACTCCAATGCCGCCCTGTCTTCCCTCGGCGCTGAGGGTTACAAACTCTTGGCAGGGCTTTTGGAATACGACCCAGAGAAGCGACTGACTGCTCAGCAAGCACTTACCCATCCCTTCTTTTCAACGGGAGATAAAGTGACCAATAGCTGCTTTGAAGGAATCAAAGCTTCGTACCCTATGCGCAGAGTCAGCCAGGATGATAACGACATTCGAACTTCGTCGTTGCCTGGGACAAAGCGCAGTGGCTTGCCAGATGACACGCTCATCCGGCCAGTCAAAAGAGTCAAGGAGGGTTAAACCACCCGTGGATACAAGATGGCATTGAATAATTTCTAGAAGTGTAGACACTGTACAATTTATTTCTTCCGCCCTGGCGGCAGGCCTGTTGTTATCAACTAAACTTGGTCCACTTGAGAGTTAATGGGACGTACAAACATGGAAGAAATCTGGGACAGGACTGACTACTGCAATATGGACTTTGATTAAACGTGCCCCAGAAATTACACTGGCGCACCCACGCAGTGACAACCGTTGTTGTGCTGGAAGCGCTGTTAAGAGCTTCGTTGCCTTGAATGTTGTTGTCACGTTCTCGGGCACTAACCTGGACCTCCCCAAAGTATTCACGTAGAAAGTCACCACTAGCAATAAGATGCTACGACCAGACACCAATGGGCCTCTTTGATCTCAGGCTTTGTCCAATAAACTATTCAAGTTGGGATAATAGTAATTTGTCACATTCCATAGGCGCAATGCCGGCAAAGCCAAGAGATGAGCTGCAGTACTAATGTAAGGTTAGGTAGTTTCCCGCGGAATTGATAACGGCCTCGGAGCATGTGGGGTAGCATCAACGGATTGGTTTCGGAGGTCTTCACACCTACTGCGTTTATTACCCAAAGATCTTATAACCTTTCCATCTTGAACATAACAATTTTTATTGAATTTTGGTACCGAACCAACTTCATATTGGATACAGCATAAATTATATTCGACAGTTGTAATTTTTCTTCTTTCAAAATGGCACCTGGTATCATTAATGACCCGCCCAGCGAGGAACTTGCAACTCAGAGCTCCAAGGCCGAGTTCCCACCTACTCTCTACCGCAATGTAGATGAGGCATCACTCCGGGAAAAGACTGAAAGGCATCTACTCTACTATGGCACAAGCTTCAACAAGGATGTAATTTGCGGCGCCAAGGGACTTTACATCTACACAGCATCAGGACACAAGATATTGGACTGGACTTCTGGTCAAATGTCGTGTCTCCTCGGCCATGGTCACCCAGAGATTGTCAAGACAATCGCCGACCACGCAGCTAACCTCGACCATTTATTCTCTGGTATGGTTTCACCTCCTGTCATATCACTTGGAGAGAGGCTCTGCAATCTGCTCCCGCACGGCCTAGGCAAGGCATTCTTCCTCTCGACTGGCGGCGAGAGTAACGAAGCCGCCATCAAGATGGCAAAAGTGTTTACTGGCAAATTTGAGATTGTTGGACTAGGTGCCAGCTGGCATGGTGTCACGGCACAGGCTCTAGGCACACAATATCACTTTGGAAGAAAGGGCCAGGGTCCTCTGATGCCCGGCATGCACATGCTACCTCAACCCAATGCATACCGTTCCGTGTTCCGACGAACCGATGGTTCCTATGATTGGGAAGCTGAGCTCGAGTATGGCTGGCGGATGATTGACATGGCATCGTGCGGTTCTCTCGCTGCTTGCATTGTGGAGCCCATCCAATCTTCCGCCGGCATGCACGTTCTTCCTACTGGCTATTTGAAAGCTCTCAAGAAGCACTGCGAGCAAAGAGGAATGCTTCTTATTGTGGACGAGGCTCAGACCGGAGTAGGCAGATGTGGAGATCTCATGGCAATCATTCATGATGATGTTGTTCCTGACATTTTGACTCTGAGCAAAACTCTAGGCAACGGACTTCCACTCAGCGCTGTCGTGACAAGTGCCGAGATCGAAAGAGTCTGCATGGAGAGAGACTATTGTTTCTATACCACCCATGTCAACGATCCTCTTCCAGCAGCAGTGGGAGACAAGGTGCTGGAAATTGTGGTAAGGGACAATCTGGTATCGCATTCAAAAGACCTTGGCAACGTTCTCTATGCTGGATTGAAAAAGCTAGAGAGCAGATACGGGTGTATCGGTGACATTCGAGGACGCGGTCTGATGGCTGGTATCGAAATTGTCGCGGATCGAAGCACAAAGCAGCCTGACCTTGATGTCGCCAAGAGGATAGGCAACAAGGCATATGAATTGGGTGTTTGGGCAAACCTGAGCAGCCATCCAAGTTTTGGCGGCACATTCAGAATTGCGCCTCCCATCACCATCACAAGGGAACAACTAGAGTTTGGTTTGGAGGTTCTAGAAAAGGCATTTGCAGCTACGCCTGGAAGCCAACCCCTCTACTAGTACAAGGAATATAATACAAGAGAAGTATTGAAGCAAGGTGCCGTTGCCTGTGTGATCCACACTGACTATAGTAATGATGGCCTACCTAACCAGTCCATGCAACAACTATCGAGTATGTCTTGAACAACAATGACATGGGTGCTTGACGCACGCAAATTCCCTTACGGTGCAACCCCGCGCGAGGAGTCAAGACTAAAAAGTGCAACAGCTTTTTCACAGCAACACTAATAATCCATAGTGGACTGCCAACGTCATAAAAGCTGCATGAAATCAAATTTTCATTGACCTGCGAAGCCGATCAAATGGTTGGAAACACAAATGCCACAAAAGTCATGACGTATAGTGACGGGCTCGAGCATATTCTTCAATCTGTTAGTCAAAACGGAAGAAGCCGTCAAGCACATGAAGTTCTAGACAGTTTCTAGTGCTGAAGTAAAAAGCTGGCGGCCCCTGAACTTGTTAGTATAGTGGACGGCCTACTGCTTGACATGACTCTACAGGGGGCAGGTCTGGGCCCTAAATACCTCACCTACTATAAGCTGTTCGGTAGAGCCTACCCAATTCGAAAAGCCGGGCCCACCCCGTACCCGGAACCCGAATCGCTAGTCCCGGATTCCGCCATGTGGGACAAGTATAGTCCAAAAATTTCGACGACCGGCGCTGATGACTTTGTCATACACGGCAAAGTCGTTGGAATTAAGCTTCAGGCACAAACGGCTCCGCACATGGCAAGTCCACATGGCAATGGAATTTCCCCTGAGTCGTCGTCCAATCGGAACAAGTTTTCATAGTTTGGCGGACTAGTCACGACACGATGCCGCTGCTAACAGCGGCCGCTTTCGGGCCATACCCGCAAGACAGCACCACCCGCAAGGCAATAGCCCAATTTCTAGAAGTTTCAAGTCTTCTTGGACTTTTTTGGTGAAAGAGTACTGAAAGATGATCTCTATAAAAGGTGGAATTCCACCTCCCTGGAATGGGATTCTTTTTTTTGTCTCATCCACAACACAATTCAGTCCTTCATTGACTATCCTTGACTATCACAGTCACTTTCTTTTCTTGAGTTGAACTCAGTCCCTTCTCTTACAGAAGATTATCATTCTCTCGCAGTCGATCTGCATTTCTTGTCTCATCTTTCGAGATTCAGCTCCAACGACATTAAGATCACTCCTTAGATCTTTCACTACCATCAAAATGCTTACCAGCACTCTTTCTCTCTTTGCCGCCGCTGTGGCCTCCGTCTCAGCCGCCGCCATCCGCCGCGACAATGGCATCTCTGTCACTCCTCACGACAAGTACTCTTCATCCATTGGTGTCCTTGGCTGCAAGGTCAACACCAACCGCATCGCATACTGGCCATCATTCCCCAGCTGCGACAGCATCTGCGTCAAGGTCAGCGCCAACGGCAGATCCGTCAACCTTCTCAAGATCGACCAGTCTGGCGGAGCCCACGACATCTCCTACGATGCCTGGAACTACCTGAACACTGGAGAGTCTGCTAGCTCGGATCCCTCCGCCGGTGGCGGTATCGCTGCCACCTATGAGGACGTTGACATGTCCGAGTGTGCGGATCTCATCACCGAGTCCGAGGGCCGCCTTGCCTTCTCTGCAGCAAACTCGATGAACTTTGTCACCAGCTGCCCAGCAGACTCTTGGATTGGTCAGCACTCTGTCCTGTACAACATTGCCAACTCTGCTTGTACATATGGATACGACGAGGCCTGCAGCATGCCTGACTTTGCTGTCACCAACCAGCCAAGCTGCCCTCACACTCTTGGATCGCAGGAGCCTCTTACCACCTGCCCCGTCTACAACATTGACTACATGACGGGTACCCAGTCGCTGGCTCTGTAAATGTGGCCATGGACATCTTTAGATATGAATAGAAATATAGACTATTGTTTGGGCAAACACTCTCCAATGCTACCATTTATGTGATTCGCGGTTTTCTTTTATTTCGAGTTCTGATCATTCTGGTGATGTTGGCCAACTAACTATATTGATACCTTGGAAAATACAGTGGCAGCGCAGTATTTGTTATCGCGTAAAGGCTTCATGGTATATGTTGATGTTCTTTTATGGGGTGTACCTGTGACAGCGCCATTGTCTTGTATACCACAAGTCCTGATCGCCCAATACTGTCAGCTTGATCAGACCTATCCCCATATAGCACTACTGATTTGATATTTTCTGCCACCAATGTACCGCCACTGCTCCTGCTAGAAAGTCTTCCATGATTGCGTCTAAAAAGTATCCCACAGATTGGGAAACAATTGATCCATAAAGGGTACTTCTGGAAGAGCCATCTCTGATAATGCAGAGAATGGAACATCTTCAATAGCTTGCGTGGCGGATGGGGCAATGAGCTTTTCAATTATTTCCTCGTGTTGATTCAAGCATATATCACCGAGATCCCAGCCGAAACGATCACGATGGTTGCGCAGAGCTGTGATCAAGTCCCAGGCAAGGCGTAAAGATGTACTGGTGGCGAGCTCTGCTTGGCTAGTCTCTGTCTCCAAAGCACAGCGCAAAAGAAACGTTGTCGTGGAGGAGAACATGAATGCACTCATGGGAAGCCAAAAATCACTTAGCTGTTTATCGCCGAGCTCCTGAACAAACAAGACAATTTCTTCTGCAGTCCTGCGGACTTGCATATATCGGTTTGCAAGCATGTCAGAGTCGGGCCCGTACGTCTCGCGAACATGTTCAAGTTCGAGCCTCTTGATCAATAGCTGGACAGAAATGTAAGAGAGTCGCAGATTTGCAGCACCCGGGAGCCCAAGAAAGTTTCCACGTGTGATAATGCGCCTGATACTAGTTTCTAGCTTCTCCACCCAGTAGTTGAGCTTGAACTCTAGTTTGGAAATTTGATCATTGTTGCGAACGATGCAATATAGATGCTGAAGGCAATGACTGAGGACTCTTGTCAATCCGAACAGGGCAATGAAGACGTCTTCTGCTTGGCGTTCGGATGGTTCGCTCCTTTGGGTTTCGAATAATTGTCTGGACGGAAAAGGGACATCGTATTGCTCATCCTGGATATGGAAAGGCGTGCCGTGGGCAAGACTCGACCTGGGTTCCGCATTAGAAGACCAAGATTGGACACAAGGTGGGCAACTTACCATTTGTCATGAATCATCAACGACCACCAAATCTTCATTCTGAGTAGCTTCTCGGCATTGGGAATGTCCCATGGCAAGGGATCGCGATTGAGTCCCAGTGAATATGCTAGTGAGACTGCTGCACCAAGTTGTACGCCATTCCCAATCAATGATGTCGTCGGCCTGCCTCCGATGTTAAGCAAAATGGCCGTGACTGTCGATATGCCTGGCGACAAGTGTAACTCCGAGTACAGTGCTTCATTGGCCAGATTCCATATGAATCGCCCGTCGGGAACTCGCTGTTCACATCTTTCGGGAGCAAAGCGCCAATACGTTAGAGTGTGCGCATATAGTGATGCGAGCAAGGCCGGGGAAATCTTGTCTTTTGCAGTCTCATTTTGAAGCTTGAAAGAATGGCGATCAAGCAATGGTAGGCAGAGGTTAATTCTATGAAAGTACCTAGTCATTATTAGTATGCACCTCGATACGCTTGCACATGGATTCTTACAGGTCAATGAGCTGATCAACATTGGGTTCCAATAGTTTTTCAATTATCTTCAATTTTTCTCGGGATGGGTTTGAGCTATCATCCATGCCCAGGGGTCGTTTCTTGACATTTGCAAACAAGACTGGTGTGGACCGACTGGTAGGGAATGGGCGTACCATTCGAATGCCGCCATTGCTGGTACTGATTACCGACAAGTAGTCGGCAAGGACCTGGCTATCACTGGTGTTTGCAGGTCCGACGATGTGTGGATTGTCCTGTTCTGCATCATCAACAGAGAGTGGCGTAGGCTGGCAGTCATTTTCATCACTTCTTTTATCCACCCATTGACTGCTGTCGACCTCGGGTGTGCTGTTTTCTGGCGCCACAAAAGGACTACGGGCTGTGAATGTCGACTTGGGGGAGGACGTCGGCCTCCTCCGCGCGGGGCTTTTGGGGAGAGGAGCCTGTAATGACTGACCCGCTCTCAAGGCAGTCTCCCCTGGAAAAACACAATCGGTACCATGCACACGGCACATTAAACATGAAGACGATTGAGCCTCAAGTTTGCATCGCGATTTGCGTCGACGACATGGATGACATGCTGGCCGCAGGTGGGAACGGTATGGTCGCTCTCGTGAGCTGGGCGGCGGGGATTGCATGGCAGACGTGGTGCCAGCGACAGGCGTGTGATGTACACCCAAGTTGATCGAAGTCGAGTACGGCAATGGCAATTCGCTTCTGCTACTCCAGCCATCAAGATGCATTGTCGCTTCTCTTTCCATAACCATACCTTGGAAGACCGTCATTGACAGACATGGTCTTTGTCCTCGGACATGTCCTAGAAGCAGATAAGGCCTGCGGGGGTTTCCCGCGGGGAACTATACAAACTGAGTGGGCCTAGTTGATAACGAGTTTATGAATCGTAAGATTGAACTAGATGTTGAATACGGCTGGCACATATCGCGATAATGGCCCGTGGTTCAAAATCATCCCACTCGCGAGAAGACAACGTTTCTCTGCCTGCCAGCTTGATTGAATCGAGTATCTAGCCTTCGGCCAATCTAGCCCACAGCAGCAGCCATGTCCAAGCATCCTTACCAAAGCCTCAACATTGATGAGCGCGTCAAAAGAGTATTGGCTAGTACACCTCTTATTGACGGCCACAATGACTTGCCACAGCAGCCGAGAGCATGCTTTCACGGCAAAATTCACAACAATGAAAAATTCGACCTCAATAAGGGTTTTGAGCGTGGCATGACGGATATTCCGCGATTGCGAGAAGGTGAGCAGCGGTGCGTGTCTCGCTGATTCCCAGCCTGCTGATATCTTTTGTGTTTAGGTGCCGTGGGAGGGCAGTTCTGGTCTGTCTGCGTGCCATGTCTCCGATCAGCAGAAAACTTTTCAACCCCAGAGTACTCTGATATGGCCAGGGATGCGATTGAGCAGATTGATCTGACACTGCGATTGGTTGAGTCGTATCCTGAGACTTTCCAACTTGTGAACGAGCCAGACGAGGTTGCATCAGTATATGCATCTGGAAAAATTGCATGCTCGATTGGCATTGAGGGGTGAGTTGCAAGCCTATAATCATACAGTTCTCTGCTGACCCTGCAGACTGCACATGGCAGGAAATAGCATTGGAATTATTAGGGCATTCTACCGACTGGGGGTTCGATACGTAAGTTACCAGGCAACAAATTCATTGGCTATTCTGACAAGTGCAGTGCACTCTGACGCACGTCTGTAATAATGCCTTTGCCGACAGCTCAACCTCCAAAGTTGGCCCAGTTCATGGTGGGCTGTCCCAGCTGGGTCGCTCAGCTATCGTCGAAATGAATCGATTGGGTAAGTGGTCGAATCCAAAATCAGTACATGTGTCTAACCTTTTAGGCATGATTGTCGACATTTCCCATGTGTCGGAAGACTGTGCGCGGCAGGTGTTGCAATTGACCAGAGCTCCAGTTATGTTCTCGCATTCGAATGCCAAAGCTGTCTTTGACTGTGCCAGGAATGTCCCAGACGATATTTTGGATATGGTTCCAAAGAACGGCGGCATCGTCATGGTGACATTTGTTCCAGAGCATGTCACGACGCGGCGAAGAGATGCGACTCTGGATATGGTACTTGATCACCTGTTTTACATTGCCAATCGCATCGGATGGGACCACGTAGGACTCGGATCCGACTTTGATGGAATTGCTTCAGTGATCAAGGATTTGGAAGATGTCAAATGTTACCCGAGGTTGTTGCAAGCCATTCTCGACCGAGGAGCGACTGAGGAACAGCTTGCCAAGGTAGCTGGTCAAAACATCCTGCGTGTATGGAAAGGAGTCGCAGCGATCAGGGATCGAATGAAGTTGGAAAATGTTTTGCCGGTGGAAGATGTCTGGGCTGACCGAACTTGGTGGAGATATGATGGGTATTATCAAATGCCAGACCCAGATCCCGAAGACAAGTTGGGTCTGGACTGGTACGGAGTACCGCCTCCCGACGAGGGTCTGTATTTGGAGGACAAGGAGACTGCCAAATAGAACTCAATTGAATGTTGCAATAATATTGCTGCGTCATCACTGTCTTGGAATATCTGCATGAATACTGCGTTCTTCAGACACAGGAGCTGTCACCTGCTGTGGTACAATTTGAACGACGGAGGACTATGGGGAATGTATTTGACTAAGTGAAGATGAAGCTCCCAGCCCGCGGGTTCCAGTTTCTTTTGCTCAAGGTTGTCGTGATTCATGATTTCACTCTCCCATGGCTGAAGATATTGTAGAAAAACCCAATATGCTCCTTGTTTTCATCTGTGTGGCCAGGCATCATCGTATGCATATGATACTCTGATTGCATACAGATAAAGGGTACGCTAACGGGGCCCGGCGAGGACTCGTCAGCCCACAAGTTTCCCGCGGGCAGTCTAACTCGTCTAGTCTGGAGATAAGAAATCAATATGGTGCAAGGGAACAGGACCCGATGTCCATCGGAACATTTAGGCTCTCCCATATGTTTGTCTCATGTATAAAACAAGCATATAAAGTAATTCTCATAAGAATGCTGTATTAGCTGTTTCAACTACAATGTTATTGACTTTATACAAGTAGAATACTGCACAATGGCCGAGCATCGAAAAGACATCAAGAGCGTTGATGATGAGCCTGCCAACAATGCAATCGACCTGGTTCATGAGGCAGAGGCAGAACATTTTGATAGCAAATCGTCAAGACGTTTGCTATGGAAGATTGATCTGCGACTCATGCCACTGCTTTGCATCACCTATGCATTGCAATCGATTGACAAGACCACGCTGGGCTATGCAGCTGTCTTTGACCTCCAAGATGACATTGGCCTGAAAGGCACGGAATACTCATGGGTCAGCGCCATCTTTTACCTGGGCTACCTTGCGTGGGAGTTTCCCACAAACATGTTTTTGCAGCGACTACCAATCAACTACTTCATGTCCGGCACTGTAAGTCAAAGTTCTATGAGCTTGGTGCCATATGCTGACTTACTTAGGTCATTGTCTGGGGAATCATACTCATGTGCCATGCGGCTGTTTCCGATTTCAGTGGATTAGCTGCGGTTCGAACATTTCTCGGCGTGTTTGAGGCTTCCATAAATCCAGGAACCATGTTGCTCTTTTCCATGTATGTCCCGCTGCACTATTGAGCTGAAAGTGCTCTGACCATACTAGGTATTATTCTCGTGAAGAGCAACCACTGCGGATGGGCATATGGATCGGCTCTGCTGGCCTTGGCTATATCATTTCTGGAATATCAAGTTTCGGCATTGGGCATATCCAGTCAGCACTCGATAGCTGGAGGCTCATCTTTTTGATATGGGGTGCCATCACCTTTGCATGGGGGCTGATACTGGCCTTTCTACTGCCAGGATCTCCACTGACGGCCAATTTCCTGACCGAAACAGAGAGAGTGCTGGCTGTCGACCGTGTTAAGACAAACAACACTGGCATCGAGAACAAGCATTTCAAGAAGAAGCAGTTTGTCGAAGCCATGACAGATCTGAAGACGTGGTTGTTGTTTCTTTTTGCCGTGACGAGCAACTCGCCCAATGGAGGGCTTACCACCGTGAGTATTTCCAATATGACTGTCACTTGCATCCATCAAAGCTTCCAGCGTTCTCGGTTGGAAAGGTGGCTTGAGCGACAATCTTTACAAACAGGGCTTTTGCTTACATTGAACAGTTCCAAGGACTCATTATCAAGGGAATGGGTTTCTCGACACTTCAGACAACCCTCATTCAAATGCCATCAGGAGCTGTACAGCTTATCGCATGCCCACTTGCTTGGTAAGTCACCCATATGATTGACGTTTGCGCATTTTTTCTGACCTCGTCAGTTTCTTCGCCTCACACGTTCGAAATTCACGGCTTCCAATCATGCTCATTTGCTTGGTACCATTCCTGGCTGGTGTATGTGGCATTTGGCTGGTTGATGGTAGCAAGCCATATGCCAGGCTCGTGTGTCTTTGGATCTCTTTCACTTATACAGCCACATGGACGTTGTCAATGGCTGTTGCAACGGCTAATACCGCAGGTCACACAAAAAAGATCACAACAAATGCGATGCTCCTCATTGGCTATTGCTTGGGAAACTTTATTGGGCCATTCTTCTTCAAATCGAGTCAGGCACCAGTGTACAACCTAGGCATCGGCATGATGTTCTTTTGCATCGCTGTTCAAGTAGTGTGCTTGGCAAGTATTTGGATACTTTTCTGGCGCAGGAACAAGCTGCGAAAAGCCGCGATTGAAGAGATCAGGATTAATGGAGATAACGGCCAAAGTTATAAACGGGCATTTCTCGACGAAACAGATTTGGAGAATCCATATTTCAAAGTAAGCGCACTCCTCCTTATGATTCCATGCTACGCTGACAAAATAATAGTATGTGTATTAATATGTGGAATGGTTAAATATAAGAATAACTGTTATAAATCCTAATAAATGGGATAATTATTTGCAAACGTATATAATATAATAAATTAGCATATGGACTTTTTTGCATTATTTATGATTTATTTGCGATTTATTTAAATTATTTATTATATTTACTCGCATTATTTATAATTTATATGTATTATTTTAAATTTATTTATAATATTTTAAATTTATTAATATTATTTTGGATTTAATTATATTATCCTTAAAAGACGCATATAAGATTAATATATTTATTTCGATAAATATTATTTTTAATTTTAATTATTATAATACGGGCGGTTATAATTAAAATATGAGAATAAATTATATAAAAGCATTTAAACTTCGATATTTTATTTTTTTTAATAATTAAATTTAATATTTTAAAATTACGAATATTTAAAATATTATATTTAATTATATTAAATTTTCTTATTTAAGCCTTTAAGTTAAAGGTAAAGACTTTGCTAATTAATAAGATATGCTTTTTAATTAATTATATTTCTTTTTTTGTGGCAATTAGTTAAACCTTAAGGGTCTTTAAAATACCAGATATAAGGAGCATATAAATGTCCTTGTTAAAAGCAAGGAGCTTACGGATGAGGTCCGTACGCTCCAGGGAAGTTAACAAATCTTTTTAATAAATAAGTGTATAAATGGGATTATATGCTCCCTTTTTAATTAGAACTTAGACAGATATAATACACCTTATAATTATACTTATACCTTTTAACGCTTTTAATTTACTTTAATATTGTGATTTTTTTAAACTTACCTTACATGCTCCTTTAACTGTATTACATTTTTTAATAATAAACCTTTATTTCTCCCTTTAAGGATAAACCTTTATTTTTCTTTTTAAGGATAAATCTTTATTTCTCCTTTTAAGGATTAAGGTTAAAACGACGGTATAAAGCACCGGAGGAGAAATACGTAATTTTAAAAAGCAAAAAAGAATCCGATTAGCTTTATATAACGTATATAAAATTAATTCCGCCTAATTATAATCCGAAGATTTTAACGGCGTTAATCTTAAAATTTCCTAATAAGGAAATTTATAAAGCCGGATTTTTCCGGAAAAAGAAAATCCGAAAATTCCTTTAAAAAAAGTCTTATCCCATAGCTTGGACAAACTTTACGTAAAGCCCGTCCGATTTATATAAGCCTTTTTATCTTTATTTTAAAGGCCGGGAGTAAAATTCGTTCGGTCGGGGACGTAAAATTCTTTCGATATTAATCCCATTAAAACTTTATAAAAACAGGCCCGATTATATTAGATTTTCTTATTTAAGCCTTTGGGTTAAAGGTAAAAACTTTGCTAATTAGCAGGATATGCCTTTTAATTAATTATATTTCTCCCTTTAGGGACAAACCCTCGTTTCTCCCCTTAGGGATAAACCCTCGTTTCTCCCTTTAAGGACAAACCCCCGTTTCTCTTTTTAGGGATAAACCCCCGTTTTTCCCTTTAAGGATAAACCCCCGTTTCTCTTTTCGGGGATAAACATCCTTTAATAATAAAAATAACCGTATATATTTATATTAAAACGAATCGCTAAAAATAAATATATTAATAATATTAATTAATAAAATATAATAATTAGCATAATAGTTATAAAAAGGATTTATTTTAATTAACGAAAATATTCGCAAAAGCCGGGAAAAAAAAGTGGATAAAAAATAAAAAAACTAACGCGTATTTAAAAAAAGTAAATAAAAGGATATTATTAATAAAAATTAGATTAAGCTAGTTAAAAAGGCTTTAAATTACCTAATTAAAGCCCGATAAATACCGCTAATTGCTTGCGTTTGTTTTTATTTTTTAATTTCGATTATCCGCAGCCTTTAATTTTTTTTTAGGTAAAAATTATTATATTATAATATTATACTGGATTTTCTTGTTTAAGCCTTTGGGTTAAGGGTAAAGACTTTGCTAATTAGCAGGATATGCCTTTTAATTAATTATATTTCTCCCTTCGGGGATAAACCCCTGTTTTTCCCCTCGGGGACAAACCCCCGGTCTCCCTTTGGGGATAAATATCCTTTAATAATAAAAATAACCGCATATATTTATATTAAAACGAATCGCTAAAAATAAATATATTAATAATACCGATTAATAAAATATAATAATTAGTATAATAGCTATAAAAAAGACTTGTTTTAATTAACGAAAATATTCGCAAAAGCCGGGAAAAAAGAAAGTGGATAAAAGATAAGAAGACTAACGCGTATTTGAAAAAAGTAAATAAAAGGATATTATCGATAAAAATTGGATCGAGCTAGCTAAAAAGGCTTTAGATTACCTAATTAAAGCCCGATAAATACCGCCAGCTGCTCGCGTTTGTTTTTATTCTTTGATTTCGATTATCCGCAGCCCTTAATCTTTTTTCGGGCAAAAATTATTATATTATAATACTATTAAATATATCGAAATATAGTATAAACGACCTAAGCCCTTTTAGCGCTAAGCGAGCTAAAATATCTTTAAATAAACCGTTTTTTTATAAAGCAGCCGAGCTTTATAAGCTTTATATTGCGAAAATGCCGGTAAATGCCTTAATTATTGTTTAGAGTGAAGGCTATAATCGCGTGCTTAATC